AATCTTTCACATGGTATCAGAGCCATGAGCTCACGCCTGCTAGGGTTTCTGCAACTTTGCGGCTCCTCTCATGGCGGACAATCAAACCAGTGGCGCCACCACACAACGCACCACCAGCTCAACCACGCTACCTCCTCGTCCTGCCATGGATCCTTACTACGTCAACCCCAAAGAAAATCTGTCCCAAGGTATTATCTCTGTCAAACTTGATGGTTCCAACTATCATGTATGGAGTCGATCTATGCGGATTGCTCTCAAAACCAAGCACAAGCTTGGGTTCGTCAATGGCACTTTACCTATGCCTGAAGCCACAAACACAAATTATGAGGCTTGGGACCAAAGCAACACCAACCTTATGAGTTGATTCTCAACTCCCTCACTGATCCAATAGCTGAGGCAGTTATGGATAATGAAACTGGTCTGGACCTTTGGAAAGACCTCCAGGAACGATATGATGAAGTTGATTCCATTCGTTTAGCTCATTTCGTACTTTGATTTCCCTCTGCAAACAAGGCAATAACTCCGTTACAGACTACTACAACAAGTTAGGTGTTCTATGGGCTGAGTTTCTCTCATTTAAATCTCTGACTGCTTGTGAATGTGGTGCCACACCCCTTACTCTTTCCTGTGCTACCTATGCTGCTGTTAAGGATTCTCATGACCAAGACCACACCATTGATTTCATCATTGGGCTCAATGAAACCTTCTAGATGACGAAAAACCAACTCCTTCTCATGGATCCCCCACCCACCTTGAAGGCTGCATATAAACATGCCCTGAAACTTGAACGACAAATGGGCAAACAACAAAGTACAGAGAGTCCTGGAGTGGACTCTGTCGCTCTAGGAGTTCTAAACCAGTCCAAGAACAAGGAATCCAAGAATGATTACCCCCGCACCAACAGGCCACCCTCCTATTCCAGCTCCTATCCTAGCCAAAGGAGTTCTTCTGGCCATTCAGGAAGCAATCAACAGCCTCTTTTCTGCAACTATTGCAAGAAGACCAACCATGTTATTGCCGATTGTTGGAAACTCAAACGAAAGAGAGGGGAACATATTCCTCAATTCGCTGCTGCAGCAACAGTTGGGGTGTCTGACCAACAAGGCCATGATCATGGTCATAACGACCATCACCATGATTCTCGATCATCCTCACCTTCCACTACCACACTAAAGCTCTCCCATGATGACTGTCAGCGCTAGATGATGTTACTCCAGCAATCTGGTGGAGCCAGCCACTCCTCCCCATCTCATCCTCCTGCTCAAGCACATTCTGTGTCCAGACATATCACTCCAGTGCCAAGCGCTGGAGGTAAATTCACTCTGTCCACTTTCACAGCTTTACAGCAACAAGACCTTCAGCATGTTTGGATTATTGATACTGGTGCTTCTGATCATATGTGTTGCAACCTGGCCTCTTTCCAATCCTATCATCCTGTTTCCAACACTTTTGTTACCCTTCCCACTGGCTCCAAAATCAATGTCGATCATATTGGTACAATTGTGATCAATCCTAGCCTCACTTTGCACAATGTGCTCCATATTCATAGTTTCACATTTAATCTCCTTTCCGTTAGCACTCTCACTAAATCCATGCTCATCTCACTCACATTTAGATCCTTCTTCTGTGAAATCCAGGCCTTTCCTTCACAGAAGAGGATTGGTTCTGCACGCGAAGTTAGAGGTCTATATCAACTTGACCTCCCCAACTCCACCCCACTTTCCACTTCCTCTCCGCCTACTGATGCTGCTGCCAATTCCACTCCACCAAACAAAGCTTCTCTATGGCATGCTCGCCTAGGCCACCTCTCCAATTCCAGAGTTAAACTCTTTCAGAAATGTAATCCCCAAGTTCCTGTAGACACAGTTAGTCATTGTGAAATTTGCCATTTTGCAAGGCAAAAGAAACTCCCACTTTCTTCAAGTTCCAATGTCTGTCAAACTCCTTTTGAACTCATCCATTGTGACATATGGGGTCCCTTGAACACCACCTCTTATGATGGTTTCTCGTACTTCCTGACTATTGTTGATGATCACTCACGCGCAGTCTGGGCCTACTTAATGAAACACAAATCCGAAGCTCGCCCCATCCTGAAACAATTATGCACAATGGTTCAGACTCAATTCAACAAACCTGTCCAAACAATCCGTACTGACCAAGGTCAAGAATTTCACATGACTGACTTCTTTCGTGAACATGGCATCACTCACCAGATGTCTTGTGTCGAAAGGCAGCAGCAAAAAGGCCGTGTTGAGCGTAAACATCAAGATATTCTCAACATAGCTCGATCCATCAAATTCCAAGCTCACCTTCCTCTCAAATTCTGGAGTGATTGCATCCTTTATGCAGTACACATTCTCAATCGCCTTCCTACCCCTCTCTTGTGCAATCAAACACCCTACCAAAAACTCTATCACCGCACCCCAGACTACTCCCACATCAAGGTTTTTGGTTCTCTATGTTACACATCAACACTAGAGAATCATCGAACCAAATTTCAACCCTGCGCCAGGAAATGACTCTTCTTTGGTATTGTACTCGGCATAAAAGGATACAAAATCCTCGACCTTGCCACTAACAAGATTTTTGCCTCCCGGGATGTCATCTTCCATGAAACCATTTTCCCATTTGCCCCCACCACATCTTACCTTAGTTCCTCCATTGAACCAGACATCATTGCCCCTTCTGCCTTCTCTCCTTCACCCCCTACACCATCCACATATGATCACTTGTACACAGCTCATGATTCCAATATGCAGGAAGTTCCACCTGCTGCTGAAGCACCACCTGGCATCATCGACTTTGAAGCCATAGATGGTCCTAATCCACCTGAAGCAGATTCGGCAGAAGTTGAAGGGGGGGCCAGTCATCCCACAAACAACTGATCCAGCTCCAGCCACTAATCTTGATCATCCCATTCCTGTCCAGAATTTAAGGAAATCTGATCGACACATCAAAGCTCCTGTTTGGCATGGAGACTACTATATGGGAAGTGCTCAAAGCAATCTGCAAAACAACAACAAGTACCCCATTTCAGCTTAAATGGATTATTTCCAACTCAGCCAGTCACACAAACACTTTTCCATGGCAGTCACAAACATACAAGAGCCTCAATCCTTTGAAGAAGCAATGAAAGAAGAACACTGGAGACAGACAATGAAGGCTGAAAGGGTTGCATTAGAGGCTAATGACACTTGGGATGTAGTCGATGCTCCAAAAGGGAAGAAACTCATTGGCGGTAAATGGGTTTACAAAACAAAATTGCAATCTGATGGAACACTAGAAAGGCACAAGGCCAGGGTGGTTGCAAAGGGGTTCACCCAAATTCCTGGTATTGACTTTCTGGATACCTTCTCCCCAGTCGTAAAGATCAACACAGTGAAGATTCTACTAGCAGTGGCATCTATAAAAAACTGACACCTTAATCAGATGGACATCAGTAACGCATTCCTAAATGGCGACTTAAACGAGAAAGTCTACATGAAGCTCCCACCAGGCATGGAGATACCAGGAAAAGCCTGCAAACTGAAGAAATCCTTATACGGACTCAAACAAGTTGGCAGACAATGGTACGCCAAGCTAACTGAGACTTTAACAAGGTTTGGATATATTCAATCTTACTCTGATTACTCTCTTTTCACCAAGAAGTCAGAAGGATCAATTATTGTGATACTGGTCTACGTTGATGATCTCATTATATCCGGCGACAATCTGAATCTAATATAAGAAGCTAAGGATTTCATATCAAAACAGTTTCAGGTAAGGGATCTCGGAAAGCTGAAGTACTTCCTTGGCTTGGAAGTGGCCAGAAGTAGTGCTGGAATATCAGTCACTCAGAGAAAATATTGTTTGGATCTCCTAATGGACACAGGATTCTTAAACAACAAACCAGCCAAGACACCATCAGATATGAAGACACGGCTTACACAGTTCAAAAATGAAGAAAAGGAAGATCCCTACATGTATAAGTCTCTACTCGGGAGACTAGGCTACTTAACCACCACAAGACCTGACATAGAATACCCAGTACAACAACCATGTCAGTTTCAAGCAGAACCTAAGGCATCTCATCTAAAGGCAGCACACAGGATTCTCAGATACATAAAAAACTCACCAGGGCAAGGTTTGTTCTTCTCATCCAACACCAATCTCCCACTGACTGGATACTGCGATTCAGACTGGGGGGGCTTGCCCTGACACAAGGAAATCGATTACTGGATATTGCACCTTCATTGGGAGTTCCCTCATCACGTGGAAAGCGAAGAAGCAAGTCATTGTTTCCAAGTCCTCGTCCAAAGCTGAATACAGAGCCCTATCTCAACTACTAAAGGACTTCAATGCGGAACACAAAGGACCAGCCAATGTCTTTTGCGATAACAAATCCGCCATACATATGGCGGAAAACCCAGTGTTTCACGAAAGGACGAAACACATAGAAATTGATTGCCATATCATCAGGGAACGAGTGAAGTCGGGGCTAATCAATGTGAAATATGTGTGTACAGATAGAAATTTGGCCGACATCTTCACAAAGTGGTTGAGCGCTCATCGCTTTAAATGGATTCTGTTCAAGCTGGAAGTATACGACATATACTCGCCAGCTTGTGGGGGGCTGTTGAACTCAACCTATGGATCGAAGGAAGATGATGAAGAAAAGGGTAAAGGTTCAACGGTCAGAAGCAGAGCAGAACAGATGAAGGAGGAAGAAGAAGAAGAAAGGAGCGCTCAACCAAGTTCAAAATGCAGAGCTCTTAGATAGAAGAAAACACTGCGTAGTACTCAGTGGCGGATCCAGGGGGTGGCCACCCCGGGCCCCGGCCCAGCCCTCCTCTGGATCCATAGTTAGTATAGGCCTTATGAATTTTTCGATTTTAGATATTCGGGTCGTTGTTATTTTAAAATAAGATTGGGTATAATTAGAAAAATAATTCAGATGAACATGTTCAAAATCACTACTTTAAATTTAGCTTATAAATTCTAACCCCAAAGGTTATTCGTCTAAAAAAACAATGAAACCTAAAAATTCAAAAAGTTTAAAATGTAAAAGACTAAAACATATATGAGGTTTGTTACCTTGAAAAATTTACTAGAGCAGTTGGTGGATATAGGGATGGAAACACAATGCAAAATGATTAGTAGATTGATTTGTCTAGTGTTGATGCTGCCGTTTCAACAGCTAATACGAATAGAACCTTTTCAACAACGAAACATGTGAAAATTGATTTGCGCAACAAAATAAGCGATGGATTTTTAGTCGGTTGCTCAAGTATTTTATTTGAAACAGTGTATACTATTGGTATGGATGTGGACTCCATTATTAATGTATTCGCTAAATTAAAATACCGTCATGTACAGTTTACTTTGTAAAAAAATTATAATCATTATTTTTTTTACTATTCTAATTTTCTAATAAAATGCGGTCCAGTTCACTTTTGTGTTCTGGATCCGCCGGTGATAGTACTCCTTTAAACGCACAGTTTTGTATAGTTGTAGTTAGTAAATAGAATAGCTGTACAGATAAGACACTTGTCATTCTTCTACAGGGTAAAGCAGTTAGAGGTTGTTGTCTTGTAGCTATTCTTTCTTCTGTGTATATATCAGCAGCGGAGCTGCCGCTGCCAATGGAATGCAGACAGAATTTCACCAAATCATTCATCTCTTTTCAATCTTTCACAATCTTGATCTCCTCTCCCTCTTCCCTCTCAAACAAACAATTTACCCTTCCAATTCTCATTCTCATTTCCCACCGGAAAGTAAGCAGAAAATGAAGACCACGGTGAAGGAATGCTGCATAGTCCGACCAGCGGAAGACACACCCAAGCAGCGGCTCTGGCTCTCCAACCTGGACCAGTTGTTCGTGAACTTCCCTCACGTCTCCCTGTTGCACCCTTACAAGCCCGACGGTTCCCACAATTTCTTCTCCACAAGAGTGATGAAGCAGTCCCTGGCCAAAACCCTCGTCGCCTTCTTCCCGGTCGCCGGGAGATTGGCCCAAGATGAAACCGGCAGATTCGAAATCGATTGCAGTGGTCAAGGCGTCCTTTTTGCAGAATCTGAAATTGACGCGTCCATGTCTGAACTCGGCGACTTCTCCTCGCCTCAGCTGTTGAGGCAATTCTTCCCTGAAATTGACTATTCCAGAGGCGTTTCCTCCCTTCCCCTGCTTCTCATACAGGCAACGTAGCTCTCCCGAATCCGATTTTTTATTTGATTAATGCGTAAAGGAAGGAAACCCACCAATTCTCTCACTAAGATTTATGATTTTTTTCTTCTTTCTTCCTTTGATTCTGTTCTTCAATCAGGTGACAAGATTCCGATGCGGCGGAGTATGTCTAGGGATTGGGCTTCAACACGTCTTATGCGACGGTGAAGGGCTCTCTAATTTCATGACAGCATGGTCCAATCAAGCTCGCGATCTCCCCATTACCAGTCCACCTCTCCTAGATCGTACCTTTCTCAGATCTACATCATCTCAACCCCTGTTTCAGCACCCAGAGTATCAAGAATCCACCACCGATTCAACCCCAACTGCTATTACTTCCACCGAGATCCACAGCATACCCAACAGCCAAATCAAGCACCTCAGGGACATGACCCACAATCGGTACAGCAGCTACGAGGTCCTGGCGGCGCACATCTGGCGTTGCGCGACCACCGCCCGGAGATTCGCCGACCAGAACCAGCCCACCACTCTCCACGTCAGCGTCGACGGCCGGAACAGATTCGATCCGCCGCTGCCGCGTGCCTACTTTGGCAACTGCGTGTTCCACGCCATGGCGGTGGCTTCGCCGGCGGAATTGTTGTTGGAGTCGCTGGAGGGAACGGCCGAGAGAATCAGGAGGGCGATACGGAGGATCGATGGGTTGTACGTGAGATCGGCCATTGACTGCTTGGAGCGGCCCGGGGATGGGACGACGAGGGTCCAGATTCCGGGGACGGCTGGGTCGGCCCATCTCAAGGTGATCACTTGGGCCCGACTATCGTTCCAGAAGGATTTTGGATGGGGCAGGCCCATTTTCACCCGGTCGATAAATCGGTCCGATGGGAAGTGTCACATACTGCCCAGAAGTGACGGTGACGACGAGAATGTTCAATTGTCTGTTTGCTTAGAGCCCGCTGCAATGGAGAGGTTTAGAATATTGTTGACTAGTGTTGGTACAACTCTTATTTCCAAAATGTAAAATATAAAAAGTATAAGTATCAAACTGTAATTTGCCATTTGAATTCATGGATCAATCCATGAATCCACCAATCCAATTGGATTTGGATCAAATGGATTGGATTTAAATGGATTGGATTAGGTGGATATTTTTAATGGGTTGGTGGATTAGATTGGTGGATTGGATTGAGAATTGTCACCTCTAAAAATAACCAAAATTTAAAGAACAACTAAAGTATCAATTCAAATCATTGTATGAAATATCTCTTAACAAATCGTAAATGAGCATTAGTCTCAAGCCTACTAATAAAAGTACATAAGTGAAGGAGTTCAATTGGAGGCTTCTGCAATCAGCTTCATTGCTGATGATGGCATCTCGAGCAGCAGCTTTCTCCTGACAGGTGGTCCAATTGCTCCTGCCTCCTTGCTGAATTGAACTGGATATCGGCTCAAATTAGCAATAGGTTTAGAATTTATTGGTTAATCGCTATAAAAAATCATTTAGAAAGCCAGTGATTTACAATTTGTAAATTATATTCAACTCGATGCCTTTTGCTAAGTTCTGAGCTACCAAGATAACACTGTCGTCTGTCACAATTGTTTGAGCAGAATAAAGAACCTACTAGTTGTCAACAACCTGTCATGGTAGTTGGTCACTACAACCCCATACACCGTCGAATGAGAAAAATCTCAGAATGATGTAAACAATCGGTACAAAATCCGTTAATTTCTTAGACATTATCGTCCTCCAGCTGCATTATTGCAGGATCGTTTTACAGTTATAAAAGTTACACCTTTCCTTACAGAAGCCCATAATTAAGTTGCACGAACCTTTTTTTTAATATTGTTTGATACTTGGATTTGAAACTGGAATGATGTATTTCTTACTACTTTAGAATCTGTAAAGCTTGCACACATTGATAAATGATAACCATTGCCTTTCTCAAACAAACCATCATCAATCATCATTGCACAAAAGCTGATGAAAAGTTTGCAGAAGCCTTCATTGATCATGGCGCCAGCCCTTTCGGGAATCAATTTCCACCAATTTGCGCCTTTAAAAGCTTGAAAGCTAACAGCTTAAACATCCATCGCTCCATTACCCTGTCCAATACCACTACCCCTTCGGAAGAGCGATCGATCGAACAAAAAAGATGAATGTCACCGTGAAGGAAACTTGGATTGTCCGGCCGGCCGGCGAAACACCCAACCGGCGGTTCTGGCTATCCAACATGGACCAGATGTACGTCAAAATTGGTCACATTCCCTTTCTGCTCCCTTACAAGCACGACGGATCATCCAATTTCTTCGATGTCGGAGTGATGAAGGATTCCCTGGCCAAGACCCTCTCCACCTTCTTCCCCGTCGCCGGCAGATTGGCCCAGGATGAAACGGGGAGATACGAAATCGATTGCAGCGGCCAAGGCGTCTTTTTTGCGGAAGCTGAAATTGATGCTGCCATTTCCGACTTCGGCGATTTCCAGCCTACTATGCAGTTGAGGCAGTTCTTCCTTGAAGCTGACTACTCCCTGGGGATTTCCTCCTCCCCCCTGCTTCTCATCCAGGTAACTAAGTAAGTAGCTAGTTGGAAGCATTATTACGATTTTGTTCGTTTTGGGTTAATTAGTACGATTATTGTCCGCTTTGAAGTTTGAATCGAATTCAGACAAATTTACTTTTTGAATCCTTACCAAAAGACCTCGCATTAATAAATTTGGTGAAAACTAATTATATAATGCTCCATTTTTCGTTGTATTTACTATGTGTTACTTGTATTGTCCGGTAACATACATAATTGATTGCTCTGTTTCAGGTGACAAGATTCCGATGCGGCGGAGTTTGTCTAGGGGTCGCCGGCCACCACACCTTATCCGACGGTGGAGGGCTGGGTACTTTCGTCATCACATGGTGCAACCTAGCTCGCGGCTTCCCCGCCGATAAAAATCCGACGCCGTTCCTAGACCGGACGATCCTCCGATCAAGAACCCCACCTTCTCCCCTGTTCCAGCATACAGAGTACGAATCCTCCCCTGCCGCTCTGCCTCCTCTGTTCCTGACTCCGACCGAGATCCTCGACATACCGATTCAACAAATCAAGCAATTGAAGGGCAAGGCCATCAGCTACAGCACCTACGAGGTCATGGCTGCACACATCTGGCGGTGTGTCACCATCGCCCGGCGACTCGCCGACCAGAGAAAACCCATCACTCTGCACATCAGCGTCGACGGCCGGCAGCGGTTCAACCCGCCTCTGCCACCGGGGTACTTCGGCAACTGCGTGTTCCACGCCAAGGCGGTGGCGTCGCCGGCGGAATTGGCTTCGGAATCGCTGGAGCAAACGGCGGAGAGGATCAGGAGAGCGATAAGGAGGATTGACGACGGTTACATGAGATCGGTGATTGACCATTTGGACCGGCCGGGGGACGAAACATCGAAGTTTCGGATCCCCGGGAATACCGGGTCGCCCGACCTGAAGATCATAAGCTGGACCCGGATGTCGTTCCTGCCGAAGGATTTCGGGTGGGGCGACCCGATGTTTACCCGGTCGGCGAACCCGTGGGAAGGGAAGTGCCACATTCTGCCGAAGGTCGGCGACGACGACGACAGTCTCCCGTTGGCCGTGTGTTTGGAGCCTGACGCGATGGAGAGGTTTAAGGGATTGTTTACTAGCTTTGCTTTGCCGCCACAATGGAGACTTTCACCGTTGTAGACTTGTAGTGAATAAATCTTTGCGATTTGGATGTGATTCTTTGCTTTTTCTGTTCTGAACTTATGATCAATAATCGCCCATTTGGATGTACGTTTTCGGCTTAATTTATTTTTTTTACTTGTTTCTCTCGATTTCGTGTTATTATGTAATATGTATTTATGAGAATATTGTTTGATTGTTAATAATTGTTACTTTTTTTTTTATTAAATTGATCTCTCGTTTTGTATATTGCTTATATTTAAAATTGGATGTGTTGTTATCCTAAAAATTATATTAACTAAGTTATGAAGAATTTAAGATTTTGCAATTTGCATGCCTCTCTACAAGCCTCCACGTCAGCCCAAGATTTTATACTACTTGACCATGACTAAGGGAAATGAGGAGGTTAGGCTTTCATTTAGCAAATGAATTATACCGATTATGTTAGATAAAAAGCTGGCCGGATTTGAAGGAAGGGCCGGCCTGGCTTTGCTGTTTAAGTTTTGTCTAAAGACTAAAGGGCTAATTTTGATGGGCTGATAGACTTGAACATTTAAAGCCCAATCATGGATTGTGATAAAACCTGCAGCCGAGTGTCTTCAATTTCCTCTTCTAGGTTCTAGCTTGTTCTTCATTTCCAGCGATGAGGTTTTAGGGTTTTCTGTTGTATACAAGAGCCGTGCTTCCTCATCGAGAAGCTAAGACGACGTCGGATTAGCCAAAGTGGTGTGTTCTTCACAAAGAGCAACACACAGCGCTTCTGCACCATACTACGTCGTCTCAAGGAGATCGTCCATCAAAGTCTTCCATCGAGGATCTTCTCCTCAGATCCTCGACATTCTTCCTCGACAACCTCTTCGACCCTTCATCTGATCGACAGTCTCCTCGTGCACCATACTACGTCGTCTCAAGGAGATCGTCCATCAAAGTCTTCCATCGAGGATCTTCTCCTCAGATCCTCGACATTCTTCCTCGACAACCTCTTCGACCCTTCATCTGATCGACAGTCTCCTCGTGCACCATACTACGTCGTCTCAAGGAGATCGTCCATCAAAGTCTTCCATCGAGGATCTTCTCCTCAGATCCTCGACATTCTTCCTCGACAACCTCTTCGACCCTTCATCTGCTCGACAGTCTCCTCGTGCTCCATCAAGGGCGATGCCTCAAGCCTACCTCAAGATCATGATGACCTGAAGATGACCGTTCTGATCAAATCCTCTCGCAAGAAGCCAACAGGTCCTTACAACGGTCATTAAGCCCTCTCACCTATAAATTATAGGGTTTGTAATTCAATTGTGACTTGGCAGTCTGTATTAGAAGAATAGAGAGGTGTCTTCTGTTACTTTGGGTCCTGTTCTTACTTCGGTAGAACAAATCACAGTGTTTGAGTACTGGGTGATTTGTTCTTGGAAGTCTGTTTGAGTGTTTTAGTTTCTCCAAAGAGCCAATTCGTTGGCTTGGCTCTTGTTCGAAATTCTGTTGTGCGTCTTCTTTGAAAAATAAATAAAATTGTCTTTTTCTTAGATGTTCAGTTGAGAGTGTTGGCCATTCTAAATTCACATTTTCAACTTTTCATTCTCTCCAAATTAGGAATCAATTCTAGAGGAATCAACTTTTCAAGTTGTAAAGTTGTACTATAACATAATGATACAAATTTCTTTATGGTACAACCTAAACTTATACATTTAATGTTATGGTACAACTTCAAGTTGTACATTAAAGCACCAATACTATATAACATAGTAGAATTGCTCCCAATTCTAATGTAATCGTAACGCGTATAACCGTTGGATTTGGAAATAAGAATGGAATATGTAGAAAATATTAGATTTAAAACTACTTCTTAATTTGGTTATTGACAGGTTTTCTTTTTTCGTAAGGAATTGTAGTATATCTAAACTCTATGTGGATTCTATAATTAAGTGAGAAAGTAAATAATGAAAGTTCATTTTTGAGGATGATTAACATGTACGCATGAAATTACTAATGTCTGGAGAAGTCTGTTACAATGAATTGCAAATTTTCCATCATCTAAAAATTTCAAGTATGTACAACAAGTTGTAATTCTTATAACATACTCGATCACGATTTGGACCGAGGGAGAAAGCAAAATCAAAATACAGGCTCTTCAAATACAAATTTGTCGATCTTGATCATTTATGCAATTCACCTTTTGATATATATATAGTTTTTCAAATGTTACCACTCATTGACAGTATCAGCACCATATAATCGTAATAATGCTTTCGCGTGCATATGCAAATAAAACTCTTGACAAATTAGACAACTGAGAGAAGTTAAGTGTATATTAAAACTATGATATGGTCACAATACACTTTTTGCCCTTTTCCAATCATGAATGAACTTTAGTTCATTTCTATAAATTATAAAATGGTACAACACTTAATAGGATTGGACGGATAATTAATGAAGTGGGAATTAATGTTGAATTCAATAGTTCTAACCGGCGACCAACAGGATGTGGGTAAACACTTGAAAGACTGAGTAGTGAGTACCAACTACCAAAGGGTTATAGGTATAATATATTAATATGCCCCTCTATTATGACGTTTTATCAAACATGCCCATCTACTATTTTTTACGTCAAACATGCCCTTGTACTTTGTAAAAATGATCAAACATGTCATTTTGTTAAAATTTTCATCTAAAAAGCGTTAACCAAGGCCGAACTTTGGTTTGGCCGACACAGATAACTAAAATATCTCTAATAAATTCACTTTAGAATTTTTTTTTGGTTATTTTGTATAATCAAATCATTCAAATAATTTCACTTTGAAAAGACCCAGAGAAATAAAAACAGGGGACAAAACTGACATTTTCCCTCCAATTTGTCGATCTCGGGTCGTCTAAATCCCAATTCAACCATGATTGACGATTTTTTCAATCGAAATTTTAACAGAAGGACATTTTTGATAATTTTTCCAAAGTACAGGAGTATATTTGATGTAAAAAATAGTAGAGGGGCATGTTTGATAAAACGTCATAGTAGAGGGGCATATTATACCTATAACCCACTACCAAATGACGAACAACTTGATGATTGCATAAACTTTTGCGAGGGGAACGTTTAAGCTAAAATTAATGCCAATCAAGGAGCACTTAATTTAATTAATTCTATGTAGGGTCATATTTGGTCATCATTCAACTACGACGGAGATAAACAATCATTCATCACACCACAACAAGAAAGCCCTACGAACTGCTAGCAGTTTGATTCATGCAGAATACGAATCATAAGTCCAGAGCCCGTAGTTTAACCTGAAAAAGACTCTATACCATTGACGGGGAAAATGAAGCGAGACAAAGATGAAACGACGCTCATTTATCAACACTATCAGTATTATCGTAAAAATGATAAGATAATATACGGGACCCCATATCCTTGACCACCCGATCGGCTCCGCAAGCCGGCAAATGCTGCGACGAAGACGTTAATGGCCAAAATCGTAATAATGGAGGAGCAAGGTTGTTAACCCGGTTCAGCTCGTTGGTCATGTCGAATAAGTGAGTTGACCGTTGATGGCCCGATCGTTTTACCTGATTTATAGCTCAGATATATGGAAAAAAAGTCCTTATATTGTTCATACATTTACAATTATAGTGAAAATTCGGGTAAATGATGCCCACATTTGGTCACCGAGATTACTAAATCGTGTCATTTTTAGTCACTAGAAAAATTCAATATCAATTTTTGTCTCTCGGATTACTAGAACAGAAAATTGAATAAATGTGACATGTTTTAGTAATTGGAGTTACTAAATTGTGACATGTTTCAGTAATTCGAGTGACTGGAGTTGGACGGAGGCTAACGGGAGAGCGACTAAATGTGGTCTTGTTTCAGTAATTCGAGTGACCAAAATTGATATTATATCTTTCTAGTGACTAAACATGACGCGATTTAGTAATCTCAGTGACCAAATGTGGCATTTACCCTGAAAATTCATGCACTTATATAATATCAATATTCGAATGTTCAAACATATATGAAATTTCAAAAATAGGGCCAGGCAAAGAGTAAAACTGGGTAAACATACGTATTTTGCAAAAAAAAAAAAAATAATAATAATAAAGAATACTACCCCGTGTCATCTCCAACCTAGTAACCTTGCTGCTGCGGATCAATCATCGAATATTTTATAACCCGGTTCGCTCATTGAGTCAGAACATGATTGTCACGCCGGCCGGCGTGCCACTGGTTCAACCTGGTTTAACCTGTACCGGTCATAAAACCGGCATGATCGATATACGAATCTCCAAATAAAATGATCTTATCTTAGTGAATTTAATTGATAAAATGTAATTTATTATTTATTTTATGTGTTAAAAAGTTAAATGTTGATGTTATCTGTTGGATTCAAGTACAAATATTTAGGTATTAACGTTAAATGTTGTGTTTATAAATATGAGAATTTATAAATTATTTATAATATTAACTGGCATGAACCGACACCAACTGATATGTACCACCGGTTGAATCATTCCACTTGCTAAACTGGCACACTGGCATCAACCGGTTTGACAACCTTGAGTCAAAATCAAAGCACCAGTCGACCATGTGGATCGTGGAGGAGTCTATTCCAAGAGTGACGGAAGATACGACGTCACGGAGCAATTGAGAGAGGCCAGCCAGGCATGGCAATGGCATGTCGATCTCTCTCTCTCTCTATCTCTATCTCAAAAACAAAGTGGGGGCTACCATAGTCTGAAAAAAATGGTTCGTCTAATTCGTCTTCACATGTCACGGACAGAGTCTTTATATGTTGGCCCATCTCAACTTGGCCTACAGAGAGAGCTTTCACTTCACTTTGCTCACTCACTTATCTCCACCGTCTCATTGAGAGGTAAAAGCAAGCAAAGATTATAGCCTTCGCCAATGGAGAACGGGCACCACAGCACGTCCGATGAGGAGCGGCCGCTGCCGCTGCCGCCGCGGTCGTCGCCGGAGTCCGATGAAGGCACGAAGAAGAGAAAGCTCGGAGGCATTAAAACAATGCCCTTCATATTAGGTAAGTAGTTAGCTTCTTACTACTTCCGTGTGTGTGTGTTTTCCGACGAGAAAAACTTCTTGTGTTTGAATGGAGATTAATTGGTACAACAAATTAATTAATGTGATCGCCCCCGCCGGTCGGACGGCTGCCGATCGTCACCGTCGAGCGAGCTGGCTATAGCTAGCTACGTTCCAAACAAATTAATAGCTAATATCCAGCTGTTATAGTATACATGGGACTAATCGCATGCATAATTAAGCCGCAATCGAGTGTTTTTTTCTTCTTCTTAATTAGTTAATTAATTAGTTGGCATGTACTTACGTAACTGGTGTGCTATTTATCGAACGGGTTAATTTAATTGTCAGCTGTATCTTCAATGCCTAAACAGAGAAGAAAGCATATCCTGCCGGGTAACAAGTCTAATTACGGTTCGTCGTTAATTCATCGGCTCCTCTACTAGGCTGCCAACTTTCTATTGTTATTATATGAACCATATTTATAAAATAAATAAACTAATTAAATTTTAATATTTCAATTGGTGGGCTCTGAGGCAAATAATTCACATTTATAGGGGAAAAAAAGTATGTCACTGTTGAGTTAGATTCTTCCCAAAATTGTGAAAATGGCCAACACATGAAAATTAAAGGCTAGCTAGGATCGATGGACAGGAATTAATAGATTCGATGGACAGGATCGCCATCACTTTTTAATATCTTCAACTTTTGTGTATTTGCTACCCACAATTGAACTCTCTTTTCCCCCGTCACATGTTTGCTCTATAAAGATTGCTCTCTACATCTATACCGCGTTGTTTATCGATCTCGTTGCGTTATATTTCATCCTTACAACAATATATATATAAAATTAACTAGATAGATAGATATTACAACGGGATAAACTACGCTTTCATCATGAAAACGGCAAAACCAAGTCTCATTTATAATTGAAAGAGTTAACATGTGAATGTTAACTAGATTATTTGAATCTTCATAAAATTGAGTGACAAAAACTCCCATTTCAACTTATCATTTGAAGTGCTTAAAACTATTATTCATAAGAAATTAAAATAATTATGATCAGGATCGATTAACGGTATATGCATCATCTCGATCACACCAATTAGAACCTTCGAATATGATAAGTATTCCAAAATCATCAACTTTTCTAAAATACTTACAATCCCATCACTGAACACGTGCTTACAAGAGTACTATATAATCGTCAGATCGTGTGCTTAGCATCTCGTGATTGTTGGATAAACTTTGACGATAATTTTATAAATGATATGCTTCCACATCAATTCAATAACCACGAAGCATCAATTACACAATTCAATGATTGTGCAATCGGTGAGCACTATAATCGGGTTGCAAAATCGTACAAGTTGTCGAACCCAAGGGCTGATTCATTTGATTGGACGTAATTCGTAAGTGGGAGTGCCGCATGGCAACTTGTGAACAACAAAGCAAAATAATAATCGCGGGCGCCTACTTCTAATTTGTTTTCTTAGATGACTCATCGTTTACTTTGACTGTGGTCTACGTTTACCCCTGTTTTGTTTGTGTAACAATATAATTGTGCTTGTTTTTGTCCTCGTATTATTGGTTATATATGGAACATCTTAGTATCTCAACCAAACTGGTAAACGTGAACAAAGTATTCCCAACTTTAATTATTATTTTGAATAAATTTATCCAAAAAAATTGTACGAAAAAAAGCTTGGTTTGTAGCTCAAGTTACGTTTCACAGTAACACAAAAATGGTACGCAGTTGTATTTGTATAATTATCATAGTATCACATAAATGGTATAAGCCATATCCATATATATGGTGGCGTCTTCGGTGCACTCATTTTTTTGTGTGCATTTAGTGCACTCGTTTCATAACCGTTATTTTAAACATGCGATTTATGTCAAAATGATGTCAATAATCACTTATGATGTGAAGAACAATAACACACATGAATTTGCAAAAACCATTAAATATTTACTTTAATTTGAAGGATTTAGAGTTTAGAGATTTAGGGTTAGGGTTTATAATTTGAGATTTAGGGATAGAACTCAAAATTGGAGGTCTAGAGCTTAGGGTAATCCGCTAATTAGTTGTTATCATATGTTATATCATCATATTACACTAATTCTACAAATTAAAATTCAAAATCCGACACCTTAAGACTAGTTTTTGAGTTGGGTGCATTGAACGCACTCATTTTTGTGAGTGCACCGAAATAGTCACCATATATATTATTGTTATACATATTAATGTCGGCATGTCTTTGGAAATATAAAAATGAAAGGGCATTGTTATCTAAACAATCTAATATTTAATGTATAAAACTCCAAATAAATTTTAAATGAAAAAAAAACAGTCTGGTTGAGAAAAATTGAAAATGTCATTTTATTTCAATGCGAAAAGTCCTTGAAACCTTACATTTCTATTATAATAGTCCCACACCCTTTGGTGATTTTATTTGATGTAAACCTTACCATTATTTTTCTGCTTAAGATTCCACACGAGAAACAAAATCACCATAATTTATAACAAACTTAGCTCTTCAATTTAGTGGGCTTATTATGAACCCTTCTTACACAGAAAATAATAGCAAAAAGCATTATAATTTAATTTATCCACAAAAATCCGAGCCAAAAATAAATAACATTATCTTCGAAAATAACTTTGAGAAACAAAAATTGTAGAGTGGTCGTGCACCACGTGGGGATTGGGAATGCCATAAAAATAATGGCATGATTGTGCTAATATAAAATGGATGGGAGATGGACCGTCCAAATAAAATCCAATTCTGTCTCAATTGTGGGAAGTATGTCCTCTAGCTCCAAGTTCACCGTTCTTATAAATGAAGGAAAAGTTCCTCTACCCCTCTTTTTGATTGCACCATTCACTACTCAACTACTGACACGTCCTCATAAAACAAAAAAATGATAATCAGCCATCATATTCAAGCTTTCATTCATAATCAACCGGAGCTCAGAAATTCTACGAAAATTAAACAATATTCATATAACGAAGTTTAGGATCAGAAATAGAAATGTAACGCAAATTCATCAAAGGTAGTGCTTCCGATTAGTAAGACAGCAACATGATGAAGATTGCTAGGATTTGTACTATTGTGTAATTGTACAACACAACATGAGCCAACATAAATTTAAAAATCAAATAGTATCCGGACTCGTTTATGACCTTATCGATTTGTCATTCAACGAGAAAATGAGAAAAATTTACATAAATATATCGTTAACTTGCTAACCAATCACATGTTTGTTAGCATAACAAATGTAGCTTGAGTGTAGATCTGATGTTTTTTTGTTGTTGTTGTTGTTCTTGATGCGTAAACTTGAGCAGGAAACGAAATATGCGACAAGTTCGCAGCCACCGGGTTCCACGCGAACATGATAACGTACCTAACCCAAGTCCTCAACTTACCAATGGTGAAGGCCTCCAACATTCTAACCAACTTCGGCGGCACCGCCGGCTTCACCCCTCTCATCGGCGCCCTCATCGCCGACTCCTTCGCCGGACGCTTCTGGACCATCATCGTCGCCTCTCTCATATACGAATTGGTACACACAATCACACATACCAACAACAACCAACTCAACTCAACTCAAACCCAACAACAACTCTCGTCGTCACAACGCATCATGTTAACGAACAGACCACTTGATTTTTTTTTTCAGGGCATGATAAGCATCACCACATCCGCCACGCTCCCATCCCTCCGGCCACCGGCCTGCCCGACCCAAATCAACTGCCAGGAGGCGTCCACGTACCAGCTCTGGTTCCTCTACAGCTCCCTCCTCCTCACCTCCCTCGGCGTCGGCGGGATCAAGCCGTGCGTCATGACGTTCGCCGCCGACCAGTTCGACCTGAGCCGGGCCGCCGTCAGCGCCCGGGGGTGGAACTTCTTCAACTGGTACTACTTCTGCATGGGGTTTGCCACGCTGACGGCGTTGACCGTGGTCGTCTACATTCAGGACAACGTGGGCTGGAACTGGGGTTTGGGGATCCCGACGATCGCCATGGCGTTGTCTATTTTCGCTTTTGTGTTTGGTTCGCCGCTTTACAACAAGTTGAAGCCCGGAGGGAGCCCGCTTACTAGGTTGACGCAGGTTGTTGTGGCGGCGGTGAAGAAGAGGAAGGTCGTGGCGCCGGAGAATCCTGAGGTTTTGTACCAGAATCGGGAGCTTGATGCGCTCATTTCGGTGAACGGGAGGCTGCTTCACACGGATCAGTTCAGGTATAAGTTCCTTTCACTATAATTAAAGGTCACATTGGATTGTTATTTGAGGTTGAAATTGGGTCAAACCCGCTTCTGAGAATTCTGCTCGATTTGACTATGCAAAGTCAAATTTGTAAAATTGGCTCGTCGTGTCCCTGTTTTCTCTTGACTTGTTCGGGTTGGGTATCGAGTCTGGTTTAGTCAGTGGGTGGGCTCAAAGGAAACGACAGATTGGTTTTTAAAAATTTACATTTTGCTATCCAAATTCATCGTTTCTTATAACTTAGTACCTAAATTTTATTATTCACGAAAAATTTGATCGTAAAATTTCACTTCAGTACCTTTACATTTTTGCATTGCACTACAGTAGCTGCCCTTTTAAACATTACAAAAAAGGTTCAATCTAAATCTGTACCCTATCCTTTCTCACTTTCAAACAATTAATTGTTGCTATGAGTCATAGGGTCAAAAAGCGACCAGACTGTAAGTTGAGACCCGGTAATCTTAATAGGGTCGGAAGATGAATCCATCCTAAACTGGCCCGGCCCGGTCCTCAAGGCCAAGCCGAAACCGAGTCTGTGGGTATCTAGGGTCAGGTTTACAACCCTATATATATAGTTATTTGCTCCTACCACTCTCTTAGATGATCTTGTTAGTATATGGTATTATAAGATCCATTATTTGAACTCTCTCAACAACTCGCGTATTTGGGATTAACTGGTTCTTGACATATTATCACAGCTAGCCTTGTGCGATCGAGAGACCTTTTATATTGAATTTCAATGACCCTATATACTCTCTTAATCACATGATATGTCCATAACTACTACGCAAATTTGTCATTGAATCTCTTACAATCACTCGAGTTATTGCAATCTAACGTACAAATCACTGGTTTCTTTCTTCTTTCTGCATGAAAAAAAAAAACAGGTGCTTGGACAAGGCAGCTATAGTAACAGAAAACGACTTCAAATCCACAAGTACTCCAGACCAACAAAAACCAAAACTGTGGCAGCTCAACACCGTCCACCGCGTCGAGGAGCTGAAATCCATCCTCCGGGTCCTCCCCATCTGGGTCTCCGGCATCCTCCTCGTCGCCGCCTCCTCCCACCTCCACAGCTTCGTCATCCTCCAAGCCTTCTCCATGGACCGCCACATCTTCCCCAAATCCTCCTTCCAAATCCCTCCGGCCACCCTCTCCATCTTCAGCGTCCTCACCATGATGCTCGGCCTCGTCCTCTACGAGCGCATCTTCGTCCCCTTCGCCCGCCGCTTCACCAACAACCCCGCCGGGATCACCTGCCTCCAGCGCATGGGCATCGGCGCCGTCATCAACATCGTCGCCACCGTCGTCTCGGCATTCATCGAGGCGAAGCGAAAGCACGCGGCGGCTCGCTACGGCTTGCTCGACAGCCCCAAGGCCGTGATACCGATGACCGTGTTCTGGCTGATCCCGCAGTACGTGCTGCATGGCGTCGCCGAGGTGTTTAACGCCGTGGGGCATATCGAGTTCTTGTACGATCAGTCGCCCGAGAGCATGAGGAGCACGGCGTCGGCATTGTACTCGCTGACGTTGTCGTTCGGGAACTATATTGGGACCGGGTTGGTGACGCTGGTGCATAGGTATACGGGGAAGGACGGGGAGGAGAATTGGTTGCCGGATCGGAACTTGAATCGAGGGAAGTTGGATTACTATTACTTGCTGGTGACGGGGATTCAGGCGGTGAACTTTGTGTATTTTGTGACGGTGGCGTGGTTGTATACTTACAAGCCGTTGGAGGAGGAGAAGGAGGATGGAGATGGTGGGAGAGAGGAGGGGATTAATGGAGGTGGTGAGAATGGGAAGAAGGGATGTGAGGAGGAGAATGGTGAGGTTGAGCTTCCTCGAAGAAACGGAGTTGTGTAGGTGTATGGCAATATGTAGTTTTACACTAGGTATGATGATATATATCCTTCAATAAGTAGAGGTGAGAAGTGATTAGTTTACTTCTACTTAGCTTGCTGTATTAATTCTAATCTTAAAGTTATATATATAATATATGTGATTATGGTTACCTAAACTTTGAAATTTTGGTACCTTGAGCTGGGCTTTATGGGCTGTATCTCTCTAAGAATTTAAAATTTTGGGACAGGGTCCAATGCATAAGTGCTTCCACGTCAATGAATTGTAAAACGAATTACAGATGTTATTCCTGGTGCCATCTCACCATTTATGCAATCAAACTTATGGGTAGCTATCATAAATGATAACTAAACTATTCACTTTGTACAAAACGGTCATAAACTTTTAATTTTGCACGTTTCAGTAACATATGTTTCAACAAATAACAAAAAAGTAATTTCATCCATCTCCATCAAAAATTCTGTTAGTTTGGTCCAGTCAACTATCGAGTCAGCATCCACATCATCAAAATAATTATTAAAAAATAATTATTGGCGGTAAATGGTAAACCGATTATTGCCGGTATCGGTATCCGAGTGTAGATGGTGGGAATTCGATTTACCAGCCCCAGTTACGGTAAATACTGATGGTAAGTCGGTAGTACCGATACCAGGGCCAGTACGCTGCGTTTAGGTTTTAGCCCAAACCCCTCCAAAGTTTCAAACCCTAAAAAACGACCCCCTTCACCGCCCTTCCTTTCGTTTCCAGTTTCTTTTCGCCCTTCCCTTCGTCTTCGCCTCTCCTCCTCTCCGCTTCTCGCCTTCTCCTGTCTCGAGTCTCGACCGACGAGACCACGTCGCAACACCCCAAATCAAAACCCATACGACGACGACGGCGATGTCAGCATTGCCAGCCTCCCAGTCCTCCTCCGCCAGACCGCCACCTTCCTCCGCCAGGACACCACCTTCTGCAGCAACTCCTTACAGTAAATCGGTAAAATCGATTTGTAACTGTTTATCGGTAATTCGATAACAGATAACGGTAATCGATTTTCCCCTTCCCATACTCGGCATACCGTTTACCGGTCGGTTACCGACCGATTGTCACCCCTAACCTGGCAAGTTATTTTGCCATTACAAATAAAAAGCCCATAGATTGATGGGTTTAGGGTTCATAACTGTGCTTCCCGGTAATGTTGGGACTTGTTGAATTTACATTACCTTTTCTTTGTTGTGTTTTAAAAGCCATTACTTTGGTTTGGGCCCCTTTCCTTCTCCAATGTTGTATTTTCGGTTTCTTTAGTCTCGTCGTTTATTTGTCAGTGACAATTTAATGTTTTTTCGGTCGAGGACAATTTAATGTTATCGTCACATATTAATTATCGCTATTGACTAAAATGAAAAATCCACCCAATACTATATAAATATTTTCCATGAGAACATACAGGAATGCAAAATTCCTGCTACCTGCGCAACTACAGGATGGGTTTTCTTGTCTTTTTGATAGAAACAATTTTTTCACTTTGCAATCCCAGCTTCCTTTGCTTGAGTTTGCTTCTTGGGAGGATATAATGAGCTTGGGATAAATTTATTACTTGGTCAGTCTTTGTGTTTAAACACATTAAAAAGAATCCATAAAATCCAATCATATTGGTCTTTTAAAACAAATCTAATGTAAATTGTAGTTTTAGTTTTAGTTACATACAAATATTTAACCTTCCATTTCTATCCATTATGTTTTATCATGTGGGTTTTATGTCAACGTAAATTTTAGTTTTAGTGACATACAAATATTTAAAGTTATAATCGTTAGTAGATTTGTTCCCTTATAAAAAAATTGTTAGTAGATGTGTTAGAAATTAGTAAACTTTTATTTCTAACTGTTAGTAGTTTTGTTGGATATGTTTTTTAATTGAAATTTTGATATATATTTATTTTAAGAGTATAATTATTGTTTATTCATGAATGAAAACTTGAACTTGGAAATACTATCATTTCCATATGTACGTAAGACTAGGGCTGCAAATGAGCCGAGCTGCTCGCGAGCGGCTCGGCGTTCGACTCGAGAAAAGCTCGTTCGAAACTCGACTCGTTAATAAACAAGCCGAACACGAGCTCACCTTTGTTCAGCTCGTGAAGCTCGCGAGCTAGCTCGACTTGGTGGCTTGTTGAGCTAAACTCGTGAGCTGGCTCGTTTAGAGCTCATGATATGTCTTAACATGTGGCTAGAGAGCCAACTCGATTATCAACTTATGGACGAATCAATCTATATCTTATGATTTAATTCATATGGTTGTTAAATTATATATCTCACCATATATAAAGTTTAACATGTTGAGTATGTGAGCAAATATATCTTATTTTCTACTTTAAAAAGAAATTATGCATCATAGATTGCTTTGATACTATGAAATAACATGATTTGGAGTAGTTAAAATTTATTAACTAAATGATATATGATACTATCAAAGTATAATATGAGATTAGCTAACAAAATAAATCATATGTATCATGATATATAAAATGAAGTATCAAATAAAAGTTAAGATTTTAATAAACAAGCTAGCTCGAGCTCGAGCTGGGGTAAAACTCGACTCGGCTCATTTACGGCCCTACGTAAAACGCAATAAAAGTTCTAACAATTTGAAAATTATGAAGGTTATTCGATGGCAAGATTACTACACAGTTCAATTTTAAATGTCATTCACACACTTCAAAATAATCAATTTCTACTCTTTCACTGTTCTCAACTCATTCACTTAAGAAAAATAACATATCATACCCACAATTGTACACATTAAAAAAAATCTACTACATAGTGAATCTCATTTTTATTCTTTTGCATTTTACAAATTCAGAATTCAACTCCATATTGTGGACAAAATCGCTTAGTCTAATTTTGTTCTACGGGATCACCAGGAAATTAGATTTTTTGAAACGTTAGTTGTGAAACTAGTCCAAGCACGTGAGAGATAAAAATACCTCTATCATTTTACCTCCTATAAATTGAGGCAATGGAGAGTTGAAGCGTGACATTAAACACACTAATTATAACATCACCGACCCTATAAGTACACCATTTTAAAGATAAGGGTAAAGTTTATTTGCACTAAAAATGCATTTCATATTTGTAGATATTTCACCATTAGATTTTTGCTTTCAATAAAATAAAAGAGAAGTAGAAAGAGTTATTCACATTACTCTTATAAGAAGTTCTCTCATACAGTACTTTTACAAGAATTATACATTAAGATTAAAGACAACAGAGGATAGGTAACCATCTACTTTTACTCTTTCATTATTCTTAAATTCAAATTCATTCATCGAGGAAAAAAATCATACATGCTAAAGCATTATGTTGTCGAATAAAATAGAATATCTCAATTGCTTTCATTTTATAGATTCAGGATCAACTATGGACAAAATTGTTGAAATTAACCTTATTGTTCCGGTTCGCGAGAGAGATAGTTTTTTGGTATTGCATGAAAAATTATTTGAACAGTATGAGAGGACGTTTACCTTCTCATCTTCGATAAACTAAAAGAATGAAGTCAAATTTTCAAATCAATTACAACATCGCGAACTTCTTAAGCGAGTATATAGTTTTAAATATAAGAAAGGCTAAAGAAGGTTAATTTCAGACAAAGTTCATGACATGGACAAGGTAAATTTAACATATTGAAAATAGTGTTTAACACATGTAAAATTTTGTACCATTAAATATTTATTTTTGTAAAATGCTTAAGAATATAAAGAGTATGCTAATGGTGGGGATAGTAGATTCGGTGATGGATTATAACATTGTTAAGAAGAAGGAAAAGATTGTTGATAGCGGATATATAAATTTTAATGATGGGAAAAGAGAGAATCGTTGATAATATTTCTGATTTGGGTGAAGTAAATTATACTAGTGTGAAAATGAAGTTTCACATTTTCAAACATGTTACAATTAAAGTTTGAGATTCAATGAAATGCTAGAGATAAAGAAAAGACAATTAATGGTGAGTATAAAATTTTGATGAGTGAAGTTGAAGCCACATGAATAAAAGAATGCTTTTGATATAGCAGTAATATAAAAAAATGTCCAAAACAAACTTTGTAGTTTTTTTTTTTGAAAAATAAAATTTGCAGTAATTTCTAATAGCGAGTAGTAAATTTCAAGTGCACTTTATTAATATTTTTTTAGGAATCAATTACCTTGCATGATTTTTTTATATTTTAGTAATTGAATAATTTAGATTCATTCATGATACCAAATAAATGTTGGAACAAGATTGAAGAGAAGCTGGAAAGGAATCCTTCTCCTCCGCGGATTCGGATTGAAAGTGGCGCCAAAAGCATTTGAAGTTTAAGTAGTCTGTGTCAAAATAAAGGAACTGTGTCATTTTTGGTTTATTTATTTTTTGGTCCTCTAAGTTTTGTTTGTGTCTGTCGAGTCATATAGACTGTGGGGTTTCTGTTAAGACTTTTCAGCAGTAGTTGGGTTAGTTGCAGCTGATTTATAGGAGTTAGAGGAATCATGGAAGCCGAGTCTTGTGGCTAGAGTCCTTGTATATAAGTAAGTTTTGATTCCCACTAATAAAGTGTCAGATTGCAACCCATTTTGAGCTTTCATATTGGTATCAGAGCTCGTGCAAGCTGTAACCATTAGAGTTGAGAGAAAGGTGAGTTTGCAGATAAAAGAGAGATCTTGGGTTTTCTGGGAAACTCGAGTGAGTGTGAGGTTGGCTATTTGGGAAACACTGGTGAGAGAAAGCTGTGAGTTCAAATTTCGAAAGATGAGTGAATCCAATGGCTTTGCACAGGTGTGGATTCCAAAGTTTGATGGTGGATTTGAGCACTGGAGTCTCCTCATGGAGAATCTTTTAAGATCCAAAGAGTATTGGCATGTGGTGAGCACTGGATTCAGAGAGCCTGCAGCAGGTGAGACACGGACGTATGCACAAACCAAGGCACTGGAAGATCTGAAACTCAAGGATTTGAAGGCTAAGAACTACTTGTTTAGTTCAATTGATAAGGTAATCCTGAAAACTATTTCCATGAAGAACACTGCTAAGGAATTATGGGATTCAATGCGAGAAAAGTACCAGGGTAGTGCTAGAGTGCAGAAGGCTCAATTGCAGGCATTGAGAAGAAACTTTGAGCTTCTGGAGATGACAGAAAGTAAGTATGTCACTGAGTATTTCAGTAGGGTGATGATGGTATCAAAATCCATGATGAATTATGGAGAAACCCTCACTGATGTGCATATAGTTGAAAAAATCCTTAGAACTTTGACTGAGAAGTTCAATTTCGTGGTTTGTTCCATTGAGGAATCTAAGGATATTGAATCTTTAACTGTGGATGCTCTTCATAGCTCATTGATTGTTCATGAGCAGAAGTTTCACAAGAGAACTGGTGCAGGGGAGGACCATGCTCTAAGAACCTTTCATGAGTATGGTGGTAGAGGAGGTCGAGGTGGAAGAGGATAGGCTTGGAGGGGAAGAGGAAGAGGTGGAAGAGGTTGGAGCAAGGAGAATGTCGAGTTTTTCAAATGCCACAGATTGGGACACTTCAGGCATGAATGTCCTGAGTGGAACAATCCTCATCAGCAAGCCTACTACACCAACTACTACCCTACTCAAGACATATCTAGTGGTGACATGAAGGATGATATTCTGTTGATGGCTAGCATTGGAGCAACTGATGAACAGATGGAGGAAGGAGAGAAATCCTGGTGGTTTCTTGACTCAGTGTGCAGCAATCATAAGGCTGGCAACAAAGACTGGTTTATCTCACTTGACACCAGTTTTTCTTGCAGCATAAGGCTGGGAAACAACTACAAGCTGTCAGCAGAAGGGAAGGGTAAGCTATCTGTGCCTGAATTGAAGACCTCTTTTGTGATTCAGGACGTGTTCTATGTACCTGATTGAAGACCAACTTGTTGAGTGTTGAACAACTGCAAGAGAAAGGGTTGAGCTTTCTTATCCAGGGTGGCTGTTGCAAGCTTTTCCATGAAGAGAAGAGGCTACTGGTGCAGACTCAAATGAAATAAACAGGATGTTTGTACTGCATGTTGATCTGAATGTGGTAGAGAAACACCAATGCTTCCAAACCAGTGGCCTCAAGAACAACTCCTTGGAGTTATGGCACAGGAGGTTTGGTCATCTCAATACACAAGGGCTTCAGTGTACAAAGCATTTTCGCAATATTATATTACCTATTATAAAGATAAATTTATCACTATTGGCTAGTCATATGTGACAATAAAAACTTTTCACGGGTAAAATATACATGTGCTTAAAATCAAAGGTACAATATACTTTGGGTAAAAAATTATATTTAGACTTTAAACTGACCGGAGTTTGGGACATGGTACTGTACTATAATCCTTAAAGATTAAATTCTGAGTTTTAATTCTATAAATCTCATATACTAAGATTTATTTGATTAAAAAATCAATCGACGTTCATGATTCGTCAAAATAGATGGAACAAATTACATGTGCCATTTTGGGGTTTAAGGTCTACGATTTCGATAACTAAGATCAAAGGTTCACTCATTCAGGGTTAGAATATAGTATCATACTCCAAATTCCGGTCAATTCAAGGTCTATATTTTATTTTCTTACTCAAGGTATATTATACTTTTGATTTTACTCAATATACGATACAAACCACCATATATATATGTGTGTGTGAAAGAAGTTGCAAAAGTCTAGAAATTTGTGCCTAAAATATTGCATAAGTGGTAAATATATACAATACATTTTTTCTTGCAAAAAAATATTGAGAGATACAATAACAAAAAGTGTCTATCCGGAAGACGTTCCATCGCTTTATGCAAAACAATTCAAAAGTTGGGAAAGAGCCCGCTGCATAATACCTTCGAGAGATAAATATAAGGGTTTTAGTTTTCAACCCTCCCAGACAAAGACTTGAAAGCAAATGATCAAGATAGATCATTTAGGTTGTCAAAACAAGAACTTTAGAAACAAATAATTAGAAGCAATTGATATATTAGCGTCTAAAAATAAACATTTGAGACTATTACATTATTTGATCCTATAGGTAGAAATATTTGCTCATGTATCAAAGTTTATTATTAATAATAAATATAAATGAAATCAAAATATGAGCTATAGAGTCAATTATTGTAATTGCTACTAAAATTATGCAGGTCATACCACTAAACCACAATTAGAGGCAAATTTAATTGCCACTAAACCCTATCATGAAAAACCTAACTGGCAGAGGCCATACTCCATAGTGGCCCCATGAGGCCATGACCATAATTAACCCTTTGTGCCCGTCATCGTTTCCACTTCCCACTTCTCAGTGCTTTCTTTCGAAAATTAGTAAAGGAAGAAGAAAGAAGAGAGTTACAGACCTCTGCCTCCACCCACAGTAATCCACCCTCGTCTACGCCTCTTCGCCGCCTCTAAATCTCCCACCGCTACCACACACAACTCTGTCCCTACCGCCTCCTCTCCATCTGGTGATGTTCATTACTCCACAATGGCCTCCCGATTTGGCGCTGCTGCCACCAGATCCAGTGCACCTTCCATCCTCAACAACATTCAGCACCCAGTGAAAGGAATGGCAGAGGAAGCTAGTTTTTTCGCTCAGAGGGATCCATTGCTGCCCAACGTCGATTCCTAATGATAGATCTAAAATCTCCAAGAACTGGTGGTTTAGTTCACAGTTTGTTTGTTGTGCCCTAGACTGTCAGATTTGCGCTGCTCTGACGGCTTTGTCATCCTTCCCGCATGTTCGAGACTTCAATTGCACTTTGCCTCCTCCCCTGGCCTCTATTGATAACCTTTAGTGAAGGTATCATCGTCCCTCGCCACTAGGATAACCAGATCTCGACCTCCTTCTTTGTCGCTGTGTGTATGTGGACGAACTCAATGTTGTTGTTGTTTCCTTTCCCTCGGGTTTCGATTGAAAGTAGTAGTTGTGGATTCAACGAAGGATGTTGTGGCTATTTGTTTGGATAGTTGGAGATTGAGAATCATCTTTGTCCTGGTGAAGATTGGGTCCACTGTAGATCCGGTTTGAAATGGCAAAGGATGAGCTGAAGGATGAAGTAGCCATCAAGGAGCATCTTCTTAGCGATGCTCGGTCTTGATATTTCTTGAGGCGAAAGGATGCTCGTATTTGATGCGTTGAGATTGAGGTGGAGAAGAAAGGAGGAGGAAATGAGTTGTGGGTCTGCAATTATTCATTGCTTGGATATTGCATTTGAGTTTGACGGTTTGCAATTAGCACTATATTCAATCAGGTATAGTATTATTCGACATGAATTGGTTTTTAAAGCATTTACCTTGATGTTGTATTGGTTATGGGGATTATTGTTGATTAGATTCTAGCTTTAGGTTGCAGATTCGGGAAGAGTATGTGAGTTATTAAAGGAATGTCGCTAGTCTTAGTTATGTCGTGGCTGATAAGAATTCAGAGTTTTTCACCCGAAGGCCATAGAGATTAAACTCGTACTAAAAGGTAGACTTATGCATCTTTTGCCAGATTACTATGACGAACATGTATTTCATCTGCCTTAGTCATACAATTGAGTCGATTTGTTTTCTGCAACAGGCAAAACAACCAGGTTTAGATGCCAACGGTAAGGATTATGTGGGTCACTATAGGATTGCTTAGAAGCTTACAAGTTGGATTCATCCCCAAAAAACTCATAAGTTGAGGCCTGAGCTAGTAAGTTCGTTCATGTTTAGTTTGGAATCTTGATGTACTACAATGTTTTCATACCTCTAATGTTGGTAATACCCTGTAGCCTAGGAAGCTTATGTATGTGCAGCCAGTCCAGACAACAACGAAGAAAGAGCTGAAGAAAAGGGATGGATAAGAATGTTGTTGCTTTGAGGAGGTGGTAGACGTTGAGGATGGAAGTGGGGATGTGATATATTACAAAGTTTACGGCTTCTCTGCATATTAGAGTTCTTGTGGCCTTTGCTCCACTAAAAGAATCCATGGTTTCGGTGTTTATGTCGTTTCTCGTCCTTGGATTGTATTAGTTTTTTTTTTGTCTGTACTCTATCTTGCTAGTTTTGTTGTATCATCAGTCATTTTTTTGACAAAGTTGTATTAGTAGTCATTGAGTATATACATATGTAAGAAACTTTCCTTTCTCGTTAAATACTAGCACATTTCTTTTCATCAAAGTTTTATTGGTATAATAAAATATAGTAATTTTAAACGATATTAATAGCAAAATAACCCCAAAAAAGTTAAATACCAACAAATTTATTTGTCTCTGAATGTATAATCTATGTCTCCATTAGGCTCTTTACAAACAAATAAAGTTCTCTGAAAAACTAGAATGGCAAACAGTTTCATTTATCTCTAAAAGTAAATAAAGGAGCAAATATAGTTGTCTAAAAAACTAGAACGAAAAACAATTACATTTGTCTCTAAAAGAAGATAAAGGAGCAACTTATGGGTTTTAATTATATAATTTGCATCCAATAAATTTGCATCCGATTCCTTAATTTGTAGCAGCTATTATTTGTTTCTACATTTGCGTCTAAAAGGAATTAGAGACAGAGACGTCCGATGCAAATAACATATCTGCTTCAATAGATATACAGAAACAAATAAATGTCATTTAGAAGCAAATAACCTCTGTCTCTAAAGCCTAGTTTTGTTGTAGTGTGGTGGTTAGATGAGAAACACCTTCCTTTAGTTTGCTATGAAGAATTTAGTTTTCACCAATATCTCATATACAACACTATATCAAGAGAACTAATTAAACATATTATACTAGCTAGCACAATGAGTTTCTCTACAAATGACTTATGTATGTATATGCAAAGAAGTCATACATTTATGGTGAAAAGTAGAGATGGATCTGAATAAATCATAATTTAAATGTGTGCATTGCAATTTATCCTTATATAGTTTAGGTAGGATTATAAATAAATTAAATTTCACGATTTGTGCATGTGTTTGGTAATTGGTATGATGCTAACTTCACAATTGAGTTGATTGCTCAATACCACTGAAAATTACCAACCTATACACAACTATTGTGCCATGTGTCATCATGAGCATGGCATGTAACACATTTGTTACATGTTCTTCATGAATTCGACTCACTTTTTTGTGACTTGTGGACTGTGGTCAAAGAAAGTAAAAGGTTGTATACTGGTTGTTGTGTCTTGTCAAGTTAGAAGAGATTTACCCGCATGCATCCTATAAACCCACCGTCTTCAATCGTAGAAATAGTGCCACAACAGTAACACAACGTACAAATATAATATGGCTTAAAGCTCTACTACAAAACCCAGACCTACAAAATTATGCAATATCACTTTAGAATATCTGTCATAAACTAGAAGTTCCACAAAACCATATATCTATATACAACCCGCAGCTACGTGTACTGTGCGACGTGTCCACTTTGACTCACCAAACTTATATTCCAAAAGCGAAAAGAGTGGAAAAAAAAAAAGGAGAGAAAAGGAAAAAGAGAGAAAAAGAAAAGCTCATCCTCTCTGGTCTTCAATTTCCACGTCCAAGTAAATTTCTCATATGTTTTTCTCGCGTTTACAAGTTTGTATTTCTTTCCAAATTACAGAAAAGCGGCTTTTTATTGTTAGTTTTTAAGCTTTTAATTAGCTTCATTCGTATTTTTCTTGTACGTTAACGGCAAACCCTTGTGCGAACTTCCTCAAACTTTGACTTCTACTATTCCCATTCAATTACGTTTGGTCTACATTACAATTTGGAACGAGGCATGCACAGCACAACTTAACAAGCAATTAGCATTCACATTCATTATTAGGTCACCGTGGTGCATGCTGAAGCGATCATTAATTAACACTTTGTAGCTAGAGTGCTAGAGTTTAATTAACTTATTCGTAGAGATCAAACTACAAACTGTGGCGGAGTTCGAAATTTGAACCGGACTAAATTCGAACCTTATCGACTATATACATTTCTAAAATTTACATGTACTTTTATCCTTATTTTAAAATGGGTTATAGGTATAATATATCCATCTACTATGATGTTTTATCAAATATGTTCATTTACTATTTTTTACATCAAACATGCCCCTGTACTTTGTAAAAATTATCAAACATACACTTTTGTTAAAATTTTCATCCAAAAACCGTTAACCAACGCTGAACTTTGGTTTGGGCGACACAAATGTCTAAAATGTCCCTAATAATTTCACTTTATAATTTTTTTGGCCAAATAATTTCACTTTATAGAGACCCAGAGAAATAAAACGGGGGGCAAAAATGATATTTTCCCTCCCATTTGCCGATGTCGGGTCGTCTAAATCTCGGTTCAATCATGATTGACGATTTTACAATGGAAATTTTAGCATAAGGGCATGTTTGATAATTTTGTCAAAGTGCAGGGGCATGTTTGATGTAAAAAATAGTAAAGGGACATGTTTGATAAAATATCATAATAAAAGGACATATTATACCTATAACCCTTTTAAAATTGAATAAGACTAAAATCCTTACTAATTAACTTCAATCTAACTCCACCCCTAAGTACTAGGGGTGAACAAACACACCCGCAAACCGACCCACCCGTCCAACCCGACCCAACCCACCCGTATTTATCGCTAAAACGAAGGTTTTGGGTTGGGTGAGGATTTTCTTTTGCACAACCCGCCTCTTTTGGGTTGGGTTTGGATTTTTTATTACACAACCCGTAGAACCCGACCCAACCCGTGTTCCAATTATTGGTATGAGTTCGTAACCAAAAAAATATTTATGTAGTATATAGTCATACTTATGAGAAAATTAAGATATTTTGCCATGTTTTTCTCTTAAGGTCTCCCTAATCTAATGCATTCTTCGGCTTAAAGTTTAGACATAAATTTAATATAGCTATGATTCACGTAATTTTTTTTCTTGTGTACAATTTTAATAGAATAACATATTTTGGATGCGTTCATTTGTAACCTTTTTAGCCTATTTCAACAAATGTCATGAAAAAAACTAGACATAAGTTGAAGTAAATCAAATTTTATGAAAATTCAAACAACATTTGTGAATTTTGATACCTTTCACCTTGGTTTATTCGTTTGAATTTTTAATTAGCTATAAAATATTTTTATGAAGTAGAATAATTACATATTTTTGTGTTGGGTTGGGTTTTTATTTAAATATATCGCCAACCCGACCCAACCCAATTAGAAACAAACCGTAGGGTTTAGATTTTTTTGATTGGGTTTGAGTTTAATATTTCCCAAACCGTAGTACATGGATCGGGTGATTAAAATGTCTAAACCCGGACCACTCGACCCATGTACACCCCTACCCCTAACTACAAAACACCATTTTTAGTGGACCGGCTCGATCGCTCCCGCAGTGGTCTTTTTTCAGTGTGCAAATACATAGATATTATTATTAGTAAATCACTCGCCATTAAACTAATACAATATTTGCTCGTTATAGTGATGATGAATACAAAATTGTCAATAATTTATTATCAAAAAGGAAAACAACTTTGGGTAAAAAGAAGCTACCTGAAGATCAAATATGGTGTTGAACGTGTCGAAATAGGAGAGCAGCCATTTTGCTCTCCTCGTCTATAAATAAATGAAGCTAATCATAATTCCCAAGCCAGCTGCTTCGCAATTTGACAAATCGCATATATTTCCAAGCCTAACTTGACAGGAACCACATCCACGTGTCGGCAAACCAACCCCTGCCGTCGACACATTCTACGATGATCTGCCACTTCTCTTTCGCTCGCGTCCATGCAAAAAAAAAATATATAGGTACCACTTTTTCTCTACTTATTTGTCCCATTTGCATTTTTGCTACACAAACTTCCAAACACACTTACACGTGTCCGCGTTTTCGGCCTGCCCTTTCCTACTTTTCGTCACAGGTTCATGCACAAACGAACGAGAGTCAGCCAGAAGAAAAAGCCGCTCTTTTCCCAAATTTCCACCTGTGCTGTTTTAGGCAGCCGAGTTCTCAACTTCCTCCTCTACTTACTTAAATACCCATTTTTTCTCAATTAAGTGACGATTTTCCAAAATTTGACCATGTAATTAATTTAGTTTTTACTAGTCACACCAACACAAGATGGTAATTAATTAGAGCGTGGAATCAGGGAATTGGGACACGTGAAACTGGCAATATATCCCACTTTGCCGGCGTGGGGGCTTTGCTTTTGGGCTTTGACTGGTTGGGTTGGGTTGGGTTGGGCTGGGGTGCTCTTTGGATAAGGTCGGCCGTATTGATCCAGGCACGTGGCCGACTTTAACCGTCAGATACAAAGTAAAAACCGGGGCCCATCTGCCCAACAAGTGTGACAAGGACGACCGTACTTATCTCTCTCCCTCTCTCTGGTTTTTTTTACGCGGCGCCTTATATATACGAGTCGACACGCCCATCTAACAGAAGAAAGAAAGAAAGAACACTTGGCAACCAAATCCACAAGCCATCACCAAGAAAGAATTCGAGAGGATTCTCATTACTACCCAGCCCCATTTTCGACCCAGCTCGGTCCATCGATTGATTTGAGAGATAAAAATGGGTGTGCAAGACAAAGACCCACTAGCTCAATTGAACCTGCCCCCGGGTTTCCGGTTCTACCCAACCGATGAGGAACTTCTGGTTCAGTACCTCTGCCGGAAAGTCGCCGGCCATCCCTTCTCGCTGCAGATCATCGGGGAGATTGATCTCTACAAGTACGATCCATGGGTTTTGCCAGGTAATTTATATGCTTAATTAGTTATGTACAATTATTAAATTAAAAGAATAAAAGAGTTTGTTTTGCTGATAATAAAACCATGGTTTGGTTTCGGCTCTGTTTATTGCAGAGAAGGCTATGTTTGGGGAGAAAGAGTGGTACTTCTTCAGCCCCAGAGACAGGAAGTACCCGAACGGGTCGCGGCCCAACCGGGTGGCCGGGTCCGGTTACTGGAAGGCAACCGGTACCGACAAAGTGATCACGACCGAAGGGCGTAAAGCCGGGATCAAGAAGGCTCTGGTTTTCTACGTCGGGAAGGCTCCGAAAGGGACCAAGACCAATTGGATCATGCACGAGTATCGCCTTCTCGATTCCACCCGCAAGCACGGCAGCACAAAGGTAACCATTAACCAACCCTTTTCACTAATTTTAATTCTTGTTTGTTTTAACCGGACGGTTCGATTCATTTGGCTGGTTGGTTTGGTTTGGTTTGGATTGGATGCAGTTGGACGATTGGGTTCTCTGCCGGATATACAAGAAAAATTCGGGCGGGCAGAAACCCATGCCCGGTCTATCGACCCAAGAGCAGAGCAACAACGGTTCCTCGTCGTCGTCCTCGTCCCACTACGACGACGTACTCGACTCCTTGCCGGAGATGGACGAGCGTTTCGTTGCTAAACCAATGTCCCAAGAGGACAGGAAGCTGAGCTTGAGCAAATTGGGTTCGGGCAGCTTCGACTGGGCCAGTCTTCTCGGGTTCAACCCTGCACCCGAACAGAGCGCGAACCAGACCCAACAGCAAATTACAATTAACCCCAACACCGCCGGTCCCAACGACTTCTACGTCCCTTCCATCTCGCAAGGCACAGCGGCCGCAGCTAATTTCGACGTGGATTTATCCAACACGCTGAAGATGAACAGCAGGGCTGCCATGGAAGAAGAGGTTCAGAGCGGGGTCAGGAGGCAGAGTCAGAACCAGAGCCAGAAAGTGGACAACTCGAGCTTCTTGCACCAAAACGCCGGCTTCTCGATGACCCAAAATTTCATGTCATCGAACCCGTTATTAAACCCGTACGGGTACCGCTACCCGGCCAAACCCACCACCGGATTTGGATTCAACCACTGAAAAATGTGATTGATGGGATCTGTAAATAAAACTAGGATTCTTTGGGTCTAACCTTTGGGATTTGGCTTCTTTTTTTACGAGGAATGGGACAAGGAATTAGATTCGAATTCGATGTACAATCAACCAAAATCCGCTGTTGTAACAATCCATTAGCTAGTAGCTTGTACTTGATCTCGATTGATCGTAATATCAATCCATCTGGATTTGATAGCAAATTGTTGCAGCCTTGCAGGTTTTGATCTTCAGGCAGGGGACTGTTAGCGGTAATGGGCTGAGTTGGGCTATGATTGTATTTGGTTAGCTTGTGATAGGCCCATTGTTGAAGTAGCATGTACGTAGGAGTTTGTGGCGGTAACCGAACCCTAGCAAGTGATTACGTGAGCTAGGGTTAGGCAAATATATATACATGTAAACTGACGATGTACCGATCTAAGGGAAAACCTAATAAGATCATCAGCTCGGAGAGTTCTAGCTCTCCCGTGGACTAGTCCCGATCTCGGGGAAACCATGTAAACAGTGTGTCTCGTTTCCTTCTTCGTTTTCGTATTTGATTCTAGCTAACATGGTATCATAGCTATCGTCTTTGAATTCTGATAGGGTTTCGGTTAGATTGAACTCCAAGAACTATGCGTTGTGGGAGTTCCAGTTTCGTATCTTCATTGAAGGTAAAGGCCTTCTTCCGTTCCTGGATGGTACGTCGGTGCGGCCTCAAGTCCCGCCGTCGTCTGATGAAGAACTCGCCAGGTGGGTTCAAACGGATGCTCGGGTTAAGTCATGTCTGTTGAGTACAATTGATCCAGTCATTAGCCTGGGTCCTCGGTTGCTTCGTTCTGCTAGGGAGATTTGGGTTCATCTTGCTCAAACCTACACCACCGCTGATCCCCAACGGCAGTTTGAGATCACCTTCGAGTTGGCTCGGCTCGAACAAGGGGACATGGATGTGACGTCGTACTACAACGCGGCGCAATTATTGTGGACCGAACAGGATTTGTTGACTGCTACGTTGTGTTCGGCGGCTGCTTCGGCAGAGGTTATTCAGGATCGACATCGAACCAGCATGATGCAGTTTCTCAGTCGGCTGAAGCCAGAGTTCGAGTCAGTGCGGGCAAATTTGCTGCAGCGGGAGAGTTTGAAGATGGATGGCATTCTGGCCATTTTGGTTCGTGAAGAAACGCGTCTAAAGACGCAAGCCCAGTTGGATCTTCGGCCGGGTGCTGGAGAAGCGGTGTTCGCGGTCCCAGGATCAAAGGGAGCTGGGGGATCTGTGACTAAAGGCGCGCTATCTGCTGGAGGAGAAGAAGAAGCTTATGCTGTGTCTCGTCCACAGTTTCGCCGTCGCATGTCGGAAGTTGTTTGCCACCACTGTCGCCAGCCCGGTCATTATCAGAAGTACTGCAAGCAACGCAATTTTTGCGTCTATTGCAAGAAGAAGGGTCATATTATTACCGAATGTCGATTAATTCAGCCCCGATCGTCTGACTCTCCTGTTGCACCGCAGCCTCCGCCAGCTGGAGGTGCCTATGTTGTCCGCCAATCTCCTGCTCCACCGACGGCTCATCCCCAAGGCCAGTATATGACTGCCGAGGCTATCGAGCAGCTTGTGAATTCTGCTCTCCAGCGTTCGTTACCTACGGCAATAACAAGTGCTTTTGCTACACTCCATCAGGCTGGTAAGAATCTCCCTTGGCTTTTAGATTCGGCATGTTTTAATCATATGACGGGCAACAATAGTTCTTTTACGAAGTTACAGTCAGTTAAGTTGGGTTCCATTCAAGTTGCAAATGGTCAGCAGCTAAATGTTGCAGGCATAGGTGATGTTGAGAAGCCTCATATGAATCTTGCTAGTACATTATGTGTTCCAAATCTTGTGCCGAATTTGGTTTCTGTTGGGCAATTAACTGAGCAAAATTGTCGTGTTGTGTTCGATCCCTCTGGTTGTGTGGTTCAGGATCTGAAGACGGGGAGGCAGATCGGAAGGGGGAGTAAGCATGGAAGAGTTTTTCAGCTCGAAGAATTGTCGGGTCAACCTTCGTTACCTCGGTCCTCGTTGAGTCTTGAGTCTCGTGTGCTGCCAGTCTTTTCTAGTTTACCCGATAATGATTTTGAGTTGTGGCATTCTCGTTTAGGACATCCTCATTCCAGTCGGCATGTAACCATGTTTAAACAACGTCTTTTTGGGAATAAGAAGGTTGATTTTTCTTCGGGTAATTTTTAGTGTGCTAGTCGTAGTTCATTTCCTTCTAGTACGACGGTGATTTCTGAGCCTTTTCACATCGTTCACACCGATCTTTGGGGTCCTTCCCCTACAGATTCCCGCCATGGTTACAAGTATTTCGCGTTATTTGTGGATCATGCTACTCGATTCACTTGGGTCTATTTCCTCCGTTTAAAATCCGATCTTTTGTCTGTTGCCACCGATTTCTTAAAAATGATTCAAACTCAATTTGGTAGGACAGTTCGTGTAGTTCGGTCAGATCCTGGGGGGGAATTCAGTTCTAATCCGCTAGCCAGTTTATTCCGGTCTCAGGGTATTTTGACTCAAAAATCGTGTCCTGGGGTGTCTCAGCAAAACGGGCTTGTCGAGCGTAAAAATCGTCATGTCGTAGAGCTAACTAGAGCTATGTTATTGGCGTCTCATGTCCCTGCTCGTTTTTGGCCTGAGGCAGTGGCTACGGCTGTTCGGTTGATAAACTATCAGATTACTCCTGTTCTTGGTCAACTTAGTCCTCATTTTGCTTTGTTTCAAAGGCATCCGGATTACTCCCGTCTTCGAGTTTTCGGGTGCACTTGCTTTGTCCTTCTTCCGCGTAAAGAGCGAAATAAGTTGTCCTCGAAAACGTCTAAATGCGTCTTTCTCGGTTATAGCGACATTCATAAGGGGTATTTATGCTACGATCCTTCATGTCAACGTCTTCGCATATCGTGTGACGTAGTTTTCTTTGAGCGGCTCATGTTTTACTCTAGTACTCCTGAGGATGTGACTTTTCTCTCTGAGGTGACCCGACTTCCCTTGTTTGATGATGATGAGGACGTAGCAGAAGACCTCATACTCCCCCCCGACTCACCTGCCCCAGCAACCTCGGCATCCAGTAGCTCCGCCTCGTCTTCGGCCAGCTCATCACCAACTCCGACCAGCAGCTCTTCGTCTGATGATTCTCCTCCCACCAGCAGCTCCTTGTCCGCGGCGTCCCCGCCCTCCTCGCCTCCTGTTCCACGTCGTTCACTTCGGGCTAATAAGGGCCAGCTACCCATCCGGTACAATGATTTTGTGTCCTATAATGTTGAGGCCTTCACTATACCTACTTCCTATAAACAGGCAATGCTCGACCCCAATTGGAATAATGCCATGCAGACTGAGTTTGATGCACTTCATGCCACGGGTACATGGGAGGTGGTGGATCGTCCTCCGGAGCCGGTTACGATTCTGGGTAATCGGTGGGTGTATGCTGTAAAAGTAAAAGCGGATGGCACTCTTGAGAGATTTCGGGCTAGACTTGTGGTACAGGGGTTCGGTCAGGAGTATGGTCTCGACTACGACGAGACTTTTGCTCCGGTGGCGAAAATGCAAACCGTTCGGACTCTTCTTGCTGTAGCTGCAGTTCGGGGGTGGCCGTTGTTTCAGCTAGATGTTAAAAACGCGTTCTTACATGGGGATCTCAAGGAGGTGGTGTACATGCGCCGTCCTCCAGGGTATACGGTTGGACGTGATGATCAGGTTTGTCGGTTACGTCGCTCCCTCTATGGTCTCAAACAAACACCTCGTGCTTGGTTTGAGAAGTTTCAGAGTACAGTTTTGGCCCTTGGTTTTCGGCAGAGTAACAATGATCCATCTCTGTTTTTACGATCTTCGTCTGCGGGTCTCATTGCACTTCTCTTATATGTTGATGATATGATCATCACTGGCGATGATGTTACAGGGATTCAGAAGCTCAAAGCGGGCCTTCATGCGTCCTTTACATTGAAAGAGTTAGGCTCGTTATCTTACTTTCTCGGGCTGGAGATTACTCGGTCACAGAAGGGTATTCTTTTGAGCCAAAGGAAATATATTGGGGATTTGTTGTCTTCTGCCCAATTTGGTGATTGCATTCCTGTCTCTACGCCCATGGAAGTTAATTTGCACCTTAGTCGTGACTCGGGAGTTCCGCTTGTTAATCCGTCTCAGTATCGTCATCTGGTTGGTAGTTTGATATATCTCACCCATACGAGGACGGATATTTCATTTGCCGTCCATGTGGTCAGCCAGTTCATGTCCGATCCTCGCGTTGATCATCTCTCTGTTGTTCACCGGATACTCCGGTATTTACAGGGTACTCGTGATGTTGGTATTTTTCTGCCTGCTACTGGCAATCTCTGTTTACAGGCTTATTCCGACTCAGATTATGCAGGCTGTGTTGATACTCGGCGATCGACAACCGGGTGGTGTGTTCAGGTGGGTGGTGCTTTTGTGAATTGGAGGTGTCGGAAACAGGATAAGGTGTCCAAGTCCTCGACGGAGGCTGAATATCGTGCTATGTCAGATGTAGCTTCCGAGTTGGTTTGGATGCAGCGCCTTCTTCTCGATCTTGGTGTTACGTGTCCCTCCCCGATTACTCTTCATGTAGACAACACCACTGCTATTCAGATAGCGGTTAATCCTGTGTTACACGACCGGACTAAGCACATCGAGATACACGTTCACTATGTTCGTGATCTGGTTCATGAGGGGTTTCTCGTGGTTCGTCATGTTGCTTCCGCTGACCAGCTCGCGGATTTATTCACGAAGCCTTTTCATCGCTCGCGCCATATGTTACTATCGGACAAATTGATGCTTCGAGACCAGCATCAATTTGGGGGAGGCTGTTAGCGGTAATGGGCTGAGTTGGGCTATGATTGTATTTGGTTAGCTTGTGATAGGCCAATTGTTGAAGTAGCATGTACGTAGGAGTTTGTGGCGGTAACCGAACCCTAGCAAGTGATTACGTGAGCTAGGGTTAGGCAAATATATATACATGTAAACTGACGATGTACCGATCTAAGGGAAAACCTAATAAGATCATCAGCTCGGAGAGTTCTAGCTCTCCCGTGGACTAGTCCCGATCTCGGGGAAACCACGTAAACAGTGTGTCTCGTTTCCTTCTTCGTTTTCGTATTTGATTCTAGCTAACAGGGACCCCCAAAAGTTAAAAAGTCTTGTGGCTGTACTCTGTAGTCCTCTTTGTCATATTTGGTAACGAGTGGTGGCGATTGATTTGCCAATTTGTCATCCCCATCACCTTTTCATCTTCGCTTGCTGAACAAATAATTGCGGCCGTAAGCTGGATTCAATGAACCAAAAAAAACAGGGGAAGGGACAAAAAAGGGTAGCAAGATACATACAAAGGGAAAATCAAACTTGTGGACAAAATAATGTTCAAACTCTCTCGTGTGATTCATCGTTACACATTCATGAACCAAATTACGGGCCGGTCTAGCTAGCTAGAGATAACGTTACAGGTGCCAGGCATGGCCGAGACTCTGCAAAATCTCAGGAGGGATGACATAGCTTGGATCCTTGATGCCCTGTACCTCCGATAACAGGACCATGAGCTGCAGGGTCCTCCAAGCCCGGGTGATCAATTCGATGGGCCATCGAAGCGGGTTCCAGCCCACCAGCTTCAGCAGCTCCGCCACTAGCATGGTGGAGAGAAATCTACACGAACGAGAAGCAAAATCTCAATGTTTAGTTTTTGGTGTTCTTTGTGGGTTTCTTATAGTGATATGAACTGGTGGAACAGGGGATTCTCTGTTTTCGGCACGTTTCTCCCGCTGCTTGCTGCTAATTTATGGGTCACGCAAAGAGAATGTGATTTGCGGGGTCTGCCACCGGATTGGAGTTGAAGGGTTCATGGTATCGGCGTTTCCTGTTAGATTGTTGGGAATGCGGCGATAAAACGTAGAATAGAGTGGTTTAGCTTTTCCTCTTTGGGGTTGTTAAAGAAGTTTTCATTTTACTGGCTTAACTTTGGAAACTGGAAGTAAAAAGGATGGGTTTGGTTGGATGTATTTATAAATTGACGTAATTTTAATTTGTTTATACAAGTATAGGTTATGTTTATTTTTATATATAAATGAGATTGAAATGTAAGATCAATACTTTTAGAATTTATCGTGTTTATAAGGTATGAAGTCGTGCCTATTCATGTCATTTGGAATACATTCTTGACTTATCTTTGTAGGTATCTCTTTACCAAATATATGTATTTATAAATTCGTTGAGAGTTTTGAGACGACGAGGTGTGTGAGTTGACACCCTTGGATGATGTCTTGCTTGTCGGAACAACCTAACAAGTATCTACCGGCCCATTTAACCACACTCTTATGGGTAAATTGACTTTGAGCGTCCGAGCTTTGGGCTATTAAGTTGGGCTTAGAATTCTAGATTGTCGCGGATGGGCCTCTGAAAGAGATACTAAGTTGTTGGGCCTCAACCTTTGGGCTTATGGAGTTCGTTGATACTGCTTTGTGAAATTGTTAAACCTTCTCCCCTAATGATGAGAAAGAACGATGATAATGTCCTCGTTCTTCATAGCTTATGCGGCGTCGTCTAGCTAGAAACTTATATATAAAAGTTGGATGAAATTAGGTAGAAAGAAAGGGATTGGTTATCATGCTAACCATTAAGGTAAGCATCATGCTAATCACATGTTATAGTAGTACAATTATAATTATAGTTATAGTTATTGTTTCTGTCGTTGAAAACATCATTTTTTTTAGTTGCGGGACTTCAACTCCGAGGAGATCATAACTGTACATAGTCATTGTTTTTAACATTCACAGTCTTTTTTTGCACTTGAATGACTATAACTCCGACGCGGATTACCAAGAAAGAACTCATGATTGGCATGATTCTAAGCGCTCCTATGAGATCAGTATACAGTAGAGGATTCGATCACTAAATGATGGCTGGCAAGGGAAGAGTTAGAGAAACTAGTACTTTATTCATATAAATTTTTCTCACAACCGTCAACTCATGGTTAGTATGACGCTAACCTCTTATAAGTTTTTAACAAAATCCGCTCCCGGAATTAAGGCTAGCTAGCTAGTACTAGGTTTATATCCACTTCCTCACAAAACGACAAATATGCATGTACATGTCAAGGGTTGTAAATATTTGACTAAAAGAGGTGGAGGAGGGAGGCCCTCCCTTGCACTCACTAATTAACCCACATCATCATCAATTTAATAAGTTGTGTGTCTAATCTAATCTGGTTGGTTGTCCTTAATTAATTACGATCGCACCACAGAGTTAAAGCAGACGACGATTAGATATCATGCGCACTTAAATCACTAATGCATGGAAATTACCACCAAACCCCTTGTGTTTAGACAAATCAACGTCTTTGGCCCTTCCCATATTCTTCCAAAGCCTATCATTGGCCTCATTAATTCGACAAATATAATAAGATTTCCTTGTCTACCCCAATTTTTAAATATTAATATATTTTTTTAATTACAAAGATTCAGGAGCCCTGATGAGAAGTGACTTGTAAACTGTACTAATACTGTTCTATCTACAGAAAGCATAATTGTTGAACTAAAACAAAACATGCATGATGATGAGACTTGAACTTGGATTCAGGTGAACCTCCTGCAAATGTAGGTGTTTTAAGCTTTCGTTTAAGGAGACAATTAAGAAAGTGGTGTAAATTTTTTAATTAATCTTCTCTAAAATTACTAAGACCAAATAGTTTTGTGTATACAAAAGAACCTATTAATGACAATACATAAATACATAATTAATAAAACGACTCATAAAGTAAATAGCTAGGAACTCACGTGCAACTTGAAAGATAGATAGTAACAGAGTACTAACTACTGAGCAACCATGTGCTACAATAAACAAATAGTCGAACTATCCATGAAAATGTATTTTGTGGCACTAAACGGACAGTCATGTTAAGTCGATGAAAGATTTAACAGTGGCGGAACCAAAAATTTGAACCGGGGGGGCCTAAAAAATATACTTTGGAGTGGTTTGACCATGGTCATTGGTGAGGGGGGATAGTGGCTTACCAACTAGTCAATTTTTAGAATATATATCACATTTTTCACGTAAATTTACCTATTTTTGAAAGTTGAGAGTAGCTATAACTCATCCTAAGTTTAACGTGACTCCACCACTGGATTTAAGTACAACAAAATACGTAAATGAACCAAAACTCTTCAAACTTGCTCCACGCAGACTAATTAGTTTGTGGTGTAGGAATTGAAGATGTGATTTGAGAGCAAAAGAGATGGGGATGAGATAGATTAGATAGGACTTTAGGGGGGGTTGTTTTGTCCTTTCCCCGGGCCATGATCATGATAATTAAGACTTAAAAGAGAATGGACTACTAAACCTGCAAAAGAGAAAAGCTAATTTAGAATTAAGTGGTAAATTAGAGGTGACATCCTCTGAACAAATGGGTCCCACTGGTCGAGCATTCAACAAACATAAGCAGCTGGGTCCCGCCTACCAAGTTGATGCCTTTTGTTTCTTTTGTCCTTTTTCTCACCATTTATTTACATTTGGTATTAGAGGGAAATCAAATTACATTTCAATCCAAGGAACATTAGGGTATGCCAGTTAGCTTTAGTCGAGATTAGTCGCAAAGTCATGAAGAAGCTAGCAAAAAATAACATCAACAACTTGAAATTGAATTCAAGTTTTAGAGGAAGTGAGTATATAGCTTCCTGTTCGGTCAGATTTGAACTTGAGTGGCGTCCTGACTCCTGAGTGAGTGAGATACACGAGGGCTAAGATGAAGATACATGTGAAGTTTTGTAGTACGGTGAGTGAGATAAATCACTTTGGCGTCCTGATTCTGACTCATATCTAACACCTGCACATTTTCTGCTCATAGTTATCGCCAAGTGGGGTCCCGAGACTCCAATCCCTTGGCAGTTGGCTCCGCCACTGATCATGTGATTCCCATTTTATAACATTTACACGAACGATGAAAAAATAGAACTAGTAAGAGAATAAATGAACTAACGAGCATGCATGTCTGTCAAGAACCAGTTGATCACAATAGCTCGTGTTGTTGCGGGAGAGGTTCCATAATGGATCTTATATCACAGACTAACACACCCCCTCAAACGAAAGCCACTCACAAGGGTTTGAAGTTTGCACAGATCCCAATAACTCGAATTGTTGGGAGAGGTTCCATAATGAATCTTATACCACACACTAACAATCTTATCATCCTTCTGTTATTCTGTCTCGATTTGTTCATCAAAGAAATGACGTGAATCAAGTTTTGATGCCGCCATCAGCTTCACCATCTTCCTCCTCCACTTTTCCATGCATGGTGTTGCTGTAGCAGGCAAGATTCGAATTCCTTACTTTCACAGTGTACGTCTTTCAATGTCTTGCGACGAAAAATCGACGTTGACATTCATCAAGTTGGCACTATGCAGACGGACGACAAATCCGTTTACGATCACCATTTTCCTGCTTTATGATGAGACGATATGTATTGGAGCCTCTTTTCTTTTCTTATTCTTTTCCTCACGATTTTTGGGAACTTTTTTGTCTAGTTCTAAGCCCGTGTCGGGTCATACTAATGTAATATTCTTTCTTTAAACTTTACAAGGAAGAATATAATATCCTTTTACTTGAACTTCAAGTTACCATGCCATTTCAACATGGATATGGTGCTGATTAGTTGAAGGTTGGCTCAGTATTCATATACAAGATCGATGAAGGGAAGATCGATACCTCATATTGATTTCCTTGATAACGAAATATATTCCGTAGGTCAACTCGTCAATACTCTGAAACATCACTTCTTTGTTGCAGAACGACGACGAATTCTCATTTTGATAACCTGATGACTACCTTGTTGCATTTGGTATAAGATGAAAAAGTGTACAATGCACGACCAACGTGCATGGTTCCATTTGATAACCTCGGAGCCAAGGACTACAATACGTGCGTATTGATCATGAGGAACACATTTGACATATTCATAGTATATATTGAGGGAATGCCCTCTTCTAGGGTTGAGGCAACATACAATTCACTTTTTTTCTATGGATGTTGTCACATATATATATATATATATCGACTATAATCTCAATTTTTCATAATATAACACTTGGCCAGCAAATTGCAGGACTATCAATGTTTCATAAAGATTTCTCGGGCGTAGAAAAATTATACACGTGCATGACTCAATTATCACGAATCAAACTTAATGTCAGGGACCGATTCATTTTAATGACTCGCGAGTTGTTGCAGGGATGTTCAAAACAATATTTTAATAATCAGTAAATATCTTCAATTAAAAAAAGATGGGTAGTGAAAAGAGCGCTATTTTCATCATCATTTAAGTCAACTACTTACCTTTCACTTAATTAATTATCTTGTTTAAGGTGCAACAAAGACACCAGAGGAGGTAGTAATCATGATATGCTAACATACTATAGTTAGAAGTTGGTTTTTATTTTAAGTTAATTACACTTAATTGACCAATGGCCATCTGACCAATAATTATATGGGGGTTGGTTGGTTGTGTGATGTTTTTCAAAACAGGGTAAGAAATCGGCTCATCGTAATCCTGTTCTCGAAAGGATTACTGGGGCCTCTGGAAAAAACAAAGGCGGTGAAGTAGGGTTGAAAAAGAAAACGGCTGCTAGGTCCCTCCTGCGGGCTGTTGCAATCTTTGTTCATATTGCAGCCAAATACAGAAGCATGACATACTGATGGTGTAATTTCTGGTGTTAGAGTGATTGATCACTACTGTTTAGGGCTAATTCCATTTGAACCCCGTTTAATACGCAATCTCAAATACGTCGAGGTTTGAGAGACCGATTCGAGTTTAAAGAAGCAAGATCTTATGTATTTTTGTATAAATTACTTTTTCGCCCTTGATATACGTACGACATATCTTTCGACGATGTGCAAATCAGGTCTTGTTGACCCTGACCATTTAACCTACTTTCGCCTGTCTTTGCAAGTAGGGCAAATATGGACATTGCAATAGTAGTACTGGGAAGATTGTTCTCATAAATATGGCATAACAATTGCATGTGCATTTTGTTTGGCCACTGTATAACGTTTAATGCATAACTCAAGTTATTGAGAATATTATTTAAAATGATAAAAAAAATTATTTCAACCGTCAGCGTTCAAATCTACGAAATGATAAATCATATTTCAGTTATTGTCCCAACGACCAAATATATAAAAAAAAATCGTTTAATTCGACAATTATCACTGGATAAACATGTTGAAATTTACATGAATTATTTTGCTTTTGGAAGAAAAAAAAGGAAATTTGTGAGTTTGCAAACTGTACAAGGTATGAAGAAAAAGTGAAAAGGGACAGAGGGTACCTATCACGTAGAAGTCAGGAAACAGAATCAGGGTCAGTGTCTCAAAGCAGGCGGGGCCCCTCTGCCCCATAGATCATAGGGTTGCCCTATAAAAAAAAATTTCCTCGTCTCCCAACGACCATTTGACTTTTATTAATTGTACGTGATTAGCGCTCCGATCAAAAGTTTAATGACCCAATCAGCAAACGAAACAAAGTACCATAACCTAATCCGAAAAAACCCCAGGCCCAAATATCACCATCACACCCACACTCTCTCTCTCTCTCTCTCTTCCTCATCTTGAAATTTTTTTTGTTGCGTTCTGTGGACTGTGGGCCCCCGGCCCACAAAGCCCCTCGGGCCCACCCAACTCCCATCCACAACGTGTCCTAGTCTCTCCCCAGCCTTGCCCTAGCCTACGTGTCGACCTCTCAACGGCTGCAAAGCACCACCACTTCGATCCCCTGCAACTCACCCCCACGGTAAACATCGCTGCACCCGCTCCCTCCCCCTCCGTTTCACGTCGCTCTCGTTCCCATGCAGAATTAATCACATAATCAATGCGGTTTAACGGAATCAAAATATCTAACCCGCCCCAACTCAAAATGACTAATCCACCCCTCGGACTATCAGTACGCGACAGCGCTGCACCGGATAATTCCCCCTCCAGCCGTCCTCTTCGTGGCCCCCTCATTTATAAGCGAGATGGACCCCTCTTCCTTCCCTACGCAACATTCGAACAACCACCTCCATTTCTTCTCTCTCTCTCTGCAGATTGTTTGAATTGAATCCTCCCAATTCTTCGTCATCGCGATCGGGTGGATTGGATTGGATACATGGAGAGCACGGATTCGTCCGCCGTCGCCGGCGGCGGAAACAATCAGCAGCAGCAGCCTAACCTACCACCAGGGTTCCGTTTCCATCCGACGGATGAAGAGCTGGTGGTTCACTACCTCAAAAAGAAGGCGTCCTCCATCCCTCTCCCAGTCTCCATAATCGCCGAGGTCGATCTCTACAAGTTCGACCCGTGGGAACTACCAGGTGTGTTATCAACTTATTGTCATGCTATCCTTTTTGAATTCTTAATTTTTTTTTTGGGGTTGCGTGGATGGTGTTTGATGAAAGTCCTGAACGAAAAAAAAAATATAAACAGCAAAAGCTACGTTCGGAGAGCAGGAGTGGTACTTCTTCAGCCCGAGAGACAGGAAGTACCCGAACGGGGTGAGGCCCAACAGGGCGGCGACGTCGGGGTACTGGAAGGCCACCGGCACCGATAAGCCCGTCCTCACCTCCGGCGGGACCCAGAAAGTCGGCGTCAAGAAAGCCCTCGTCTTCTACGGTGGGAAGCCGCCGAAAGGCGTCAAGACCAACTGGATCATGCACGAGTACCGTCTCGCTGACAACAAAGTCACCAACCGGCCCCCTGGCTGTGACCTCGGCAACAAGAAGAATTCCTTGAGGGTAAACTTTTTTCAAAATTTCTCTGTCTAGCTTTCTCCTTCCTTCCGATCGATCCAATTTGGATTGGGTTTTTTTTTTCTTCCTATCTTGATAACAGTTAAAGCGCACAGATTCGTCCTCCATATTCTTTGAGATAAATAACCCATATTTTATATTCTCCCCTGCTCTCTCTGTTCATCCTTTTTGTTCTGTTCTGTGGACGACGTGTGCAGCTGGACGATTGGGTGCTTTGTCGAATATACAAGAAGAACAACAATCACGGGAGGTCATTGATGGACCAGGAGAAGGAGGATTCGATGGAGGATATGCTGATGGGCCCGATCCCGCCTTCTTTACTGGTGTCATCGTCAACTGCCCAACAGAATTCCAGGCTGCAGCTTGGGAAAGGCGGCGGGAGTTATGGGTCTCTGCTGGATCATCATCATCAGCTCCACCACCACCAACAGAGTTTGTTCGAAGGAATCGAGCCCAATTCCCTCGCCCACGCCAATCACCACCACCACCATCACAACAACAATACTTCCAACTCCTTCTTCTCCCACTTGGCCGCGGCGGCTTCATCCAGGCAACAGCTAGAAGTGCTCCCCATGCTCCCTCCCCTCAAGCGATCGTCGTCCCTCTTCTGGCCCACATCCTCCGACGCCGTCGTCGTCGACGATGATCACGACCCTTCCTCCGGCAAGAGGTTTCACGACGGCGACGAGGATAACAACGGCGGTGGTGGTCCGTCATCAATCGCGTCACTCCTCAGCCAAATCCCCCAGACACCTTCTCCCACGTTGCAACAACAGCACTCCACGGCGTCCATGTTGGGCTCCCTGCCGTATCATCATAATCAGCAGCTTCCTGGGATGAATTGGTACTCCTAATCAATTCGGTTCTAAATACATATTGGTTACCCAAAAATGAAAAATCCCACCATTATAGCTAGCTAGACACATATATATATATTTCTATAGGATCGGAGAGATATTGAAAGTAACAGAAAGTATATGTATGTATAGGTTTGATTCAGGTCCGGAGGAGGAGTGATGAGGTGGGTGCTGAATCGATTTTGGGGGGGTTTAGAAGGGTATTATAGCTAGCCAGCCTCTGCCGGCGGGAAGCTTGTGTGTTCGCCGGCTTCCCGCCGGCCGCCTATCGTCTTCTTGAGTCAGTTTTTTTTTATATATATAGTTTGTTTTTGTTCTTGTTCATATCCATCGTGTGAGAGAGGTAAATAGAATATAGTTACATAATATATATGTATACAGTTATATATTGTATGAATTTTACAGAACGTTATACACCAATATGTATGCAGGCTTTTATGGAAATTAGAAGGAGTACTTTCAGTTTCCTCTTCAGAACGGGAACCACCTTTTCATTTTTCTGTTTTCATTTTCCTCCAGCTGGTTCAGAGATACTGTGATCTATGCGAGAGATTTGAGTTTATGGATTCTGTGTTTCGAGATCGACCAAAGTGGCACTAAAACGCCATAGCTTTCTAGCTAGTTGTTTTCTTCTGATCTACTGGGGAAAAATGAAAGAAGAAAGGGTTCTTTAGCAATACATTTGGCATGGTTTTTTCAGCATGCATGCCTCTTGTACATGCATACATACACACTTCTTATTGTGATTTTTTTGGTCTATATTGGTTTTAAAAAAAATCACCATGTGAACAACGATTAGGTCCGGTGATTTTGTTATCGATTTTTAACTAGGTTTCAAGTTCGAATCTTTCAATCAACATATAACAATAAACAAACCGTCATCACCATTATAAAAAAACAAACAAACTAATATATCCATATATCTTTTCTTACCCTTAATACACATATTTTATGGTTTAATTCTGGGTACTTAATTAGCACATAACAATAAAAATAAACCGTTATCACCATTATATAAAAAAAAAAAATACAAACAAAGTCATCATGATCATACATCTTTGGCTTTCCCTTAATGCACATATTCTGTGGTTCATTTTTCTTCTACGTAGGCTGCCAGTCCTATGATTCTCCAGGTCATTCCTTTTCACCACTAATATGCAGCAAGTATATTTTGCGCAAAGTGTAAATTGTAGCGATATAGCTTTGTTGACTGTAACCACATCAAAATCAGTCCACTAATTTATGTATTAAGGCAATAAATCGGTTGAGAAATTAGAATCGATGAATTGTGGGTTGTGGTGATCTCAGTAGTGATGCTATAATACTACCTCCACAGTTTATATAACTTACCATTATTGTCTAAATTCTGTGCTTACTTTTCACCTTCATTCCACCTTACAATTTAATACCCACAAAGAGAGCAGAAATTGCTTGTTTCTGTATGTGTATATGCATCTGATGTTTGAAAGGCAAATAATGAGTCGTCCTCTTAAGGGATTCGGAGTGCAGCATATACGCCGTCTGCAGCTTTTGGAGAGAGATATGGCTGCGAATCCAGCTAGAATCAAGAGCGAGCTGCACATGATTTCTGCAGCTTTTCAAAACCCTTTCAATATGTTAATTTCCGAGAAAATCTTTAACATCGAGAGTATTCAACGATAAATCAAAATCTCCAAAGGTTGTCAAATGATTTCGAATCCGAATACTACCGTCACGAGAACAAAATTTTACACACAAGTGTTTCGTTCAAAAATTTGGATTTATGGTCGATTAAATTGTCGGAGTTTTTTGGTGAGTTCATGATCAAGAGAGGTTGATGTGGGCATGTTAATCTTGAATGTCATAGGATACACATCTTTGAAATATTTAGTCTTTTTTTTCTCTTTTCTGTTGCAATAGTGTTACCTAGACTGTGACACCTTGTCAAAACCTAACCAAGACATTAAACACATTGATTAGGACAAATCAACTTGCCATGATGAGTGAGTTAAGCTTTGGAGTGAATCCATCAAGCTATATGAGCATTTATTTTAATGAATAACTAGAAGTTCGATGTACACATATGAACGGCGGTGGAGCCACGTCGATGACATATAGGAGGATATAGTCCGCTTTAACTCTCAAAACCCATATAAAATTATATGTATATTTGTAACAAATTCGGGAAATATAGTTCGTGATGATGAGTTTTTATAAATTCCCTCACTCGTCAATTCAAATTCTATGAGTACATATTTTTAAGCTACATCGTTCAGTTTTCTGACTCCGCACTGCTGCATATATATGAACATGGCCATGTAAAGTCTTTGCTAATCAAGAGGAGGAGGGGGTTATGGAGGGAGTCATTTTCAAGCTACTTAGTGTACATTTTGATTGATAGGACATAAGCGCTTGTATGCATATTCCATGACTTCAGAGGTCACTCACTCTCACATGTATATATATGTTGACAACAAGAGCCTACCTTACCTCACATTTGGCCTTTACCCTCTCTCTCTCTCTCTCTCTACTCTCTTGGGCTGATGACCACACTAATTAAATTTATTAGAATTAAGATATAATTTAGATTTCATTTGTTGGGTCCATCTTGTCACTAAAAGGAATCATTATCTCTAAACCACCCATGATATGAAATTAAGAGAAATACATCCCACCTCTCGTTTAATTCCCATTCCATTCCGGGGAAAGAGTACAAATCAACTTTAAGACAATTTTGCATCATTGTTATCTAATTCGGGCATGCAGATTTTGATATGATCATAAAGTTGCAGATATTATCTCCCCTTTTCTTTTGTAGAAGATGCTTTTCTTTGCAACCGCGGGTAGATCTTTTTTTCTTTCGATTAAAACTTGTTTAGCCACGGACCATCCACCTTAATTTGTGGCTCAAGTGGTAAGATAGGAGAGTCGATACAACAATGAGATTATAAGTTCTGGATTGCCTACTTTACATGAGTTTATCGAGTATTTTTACACGACCTTGAAAAGTATTAATATATGTGCCGAATTTCTTTGTTATTGAGCAAAGAAACTTTGTTAAGCTCGCCCTATTTATCAGCTCATGGTACTCTCACGGGTTTTGGTTACATAACTCAGACCACACATGAGCAAATACACTAAAGGGTGGATCAGTATATGTGGTCAACCATTTATCGTACCAATTTGACATAAATATTTGAACCTATTCTTGGCTTTTTAATTAGTCTTTTATCTCCATACTACTATTGCTAGACTTAATTATGATATAAGGGTAGGGATGGTATTAGTCAGTACTACATCTAGAGTTACCCAAAGGATCAAAAGATCAATGGGTTTTCAATTTCCATGACATGTATTTTGGCTTTTCTCTAACTTTATTTCAGTCTAAAAGCCAAGAACCCTAGCCAACGACTGAGACTCATGCATGGTTTCCTACATAAAACTGTCTTCTCCAACATAAGGAGAGACTCCCGTGATTAGACTTATCTTCTATTGATGAGATGACTATCAAGAAGATGAATCTCAAACTTGAATAATAATAAGAACATGTCATTCAACGCGAAAGTTTGTTGTCGAGAAAACTTACTAAGAAACTTTAGTGTATCATGTACATAACATCAGGAAGAAATCTCCACAAGTCCTTACAAATTTTTAATAACACTTGTAAAATTGATGATATCAGTTTCACGAAGACGGACGCAACTTAATTTTTTTTTAACATTAAGTTAGAATATTTTTTTAGGCAAAGATTGATCAATTAATCAATTTTCAAGACAGCACATTATCCAAGTCTCTATCAACCAACAAAATGCTCTCCAAGGAATCAAAAACAGGAAGCTGATCATCAATGAAACTTAGCTACCCAGATGGAAATGGCTTCTCATTGATGAAGCCACCCATATATTTTAACCCAACTAATAATCAACATAATTATCTTTAAATCCATAGAAAACCCCACAATTGATGAACTCCAACTCGAAACCAGCTGCATGCTTCAACAGAAAAACCACCATAATGAACATAATTAATTGGGTTTGCTGAGCTGTTCCCCCCTTCTTTTGTTAATGTTTTATGGCTGTCCCAATTGGTAAAATGAAGGAGCTAAAGCTTTCTAGGACAATTGACAATATTGTTTACAGTTGATGCAGAGGGAGGAGCTAGGTTGCCTCAGAAACCTGTTTATGGCAATATTCTTACCCTTTTTTAAGCACCGACTTGCCGATTTACTGCTCCATAATTGCTTTCCTTTTGCCCCACAGATGGGTGGTGGGTTAATTAATTGGATCTTTATCTGTTTGATTAGCCCTTCTTCCACTCTTCAACCCTTTCTTTTGGTTTTTTTGTTCAATTAGCATTCTTAGAGGAACCACTTGTTTAGAATAATAAAAGCAAATTGGTGAAGAACAGCACACTTGGGATCAAGACATTGAAGAACAAGCTTGAATTGGATAAGGTGATAAAGGGTGACAACCGTGATCATAACCCTTCATTCAGCCTAACAATACAACGTTGAGATGATGACAATGAGGGTAATTAGCTAGTAGACAGTTGTGATGTTGAAACCCTAAATGCATATTAAATGCATTTTTAGCTGGGTGGAAACAATACTTGCGTCCCTTAACTCATAGCAAATGTATATTTTATTTGGAAAGGAATTTAAATTTGGATAAAGTAGTTTTATTTTATTTTATTTTGAAGGGTATAGATGACGGATTCGGCATGAGTCTATTCTGCATCGATGATAAAATTGATGAATCGTCGATTTTGGCGGGTTTTTTTGGATGACATTTTCGTTATTTTTTTCGCGATTATTCTTAATCTAATTTATTTTGGATTTTGAAAGATCACGGATTCGGTCTAAAGCTATTATTCAACAATGATTGAGTCTATTAAACACCAACTTGGACGGATTTTTTCGAAATGACATTTTCCTTGGATTTGAAGGCTAAAGATCATGGATTTGTCCTGAGGTTATTCTACATCGATGATAAAGTCTATTAAGCACTGATTGGGTGGATTTTTTTCGGGTCTATTTTTGGCATATTCCAAAGGGGTACATCACAAATTTCGGACGATTTTTTCGAAAGGCCATTAACCTTGGCTTTTTAAGGCCACTGATCACGGATTGGCCCTAAGGCTATTCTCCACTGACAATGAAGTCGACTAAGCGTTGTTTTTGGCGGATTTATTGGAAGGCATTTTCGTAAATTTTTATGTGATTTTTTTCAAAAAAGCCATTTTCCTTGGATTTGAAGGCTAAAGATCACGGATTCTGCCAGAGGCTATTCTGCACCGATGATAAAGTCTATTAAGCACTGATTTGGGCGGATTTTTTTGGGTTCTTTTTTGCAGATTCCAAAGGGGTACCATCACTGATTTCGGGAGATTTTTTTGAAAGATCATTTTTCTTGGATTTTTAAGGCTACCGATCACGGATTCGGCGTGAGGTTATTCTCCACCTACGATGAAGTTTATTAAGCGCCAAAATTTGACATATTTTTTTAAGGGCATTTTCGTAATTTTTGTGCGATTTTTTCAAAAATCATTTCCATTTAAGGCTAAAGATAACGGATTCAGACTGAGGCTATTCTACACAAATGATTAAGTCTATTAAGTACTAATTTGGGTGGATTTTTTCAGTCTCCATTTTTTGCAAATTCTGAAGAGATCCCATCACAGATTTCAGACCGATTTTTTTCAAAAAGACTATTTTCATTTGATTTTAAAGGCTAATGATCACTTCGTTAAGAGGCTATTCTCGGCCCATATTTTACTCCAATATTGGGCCTTAGATGTGGCAGTCCAAGCCATTATTAATCCTATTTGCGGTCCTGCAAAACTGCCCTTAATTGGGTGCAAGATTAACCCAAACAGTTTTTGTTGGGCTTATTATCTAACATATGCCCAAATCCATACTTGTAGGGCAGTTCACCAAACAAACTACTTGGGCTTCTGTTAAGGAACATAGTTTTCAAGCCCATTTTTGCAATATCTTGCAGTGTCACGATATGCAATTATAGTCAACACTCAACAGAATTGTTATATTAACACAAATGAGTACTTAGTTTTTTTTTTATTTCTTTCAATACTTGCTGCTTTTTATCATAACAAGTTCTCTGAATACCATATGTTGCACGTTGCCAAGTAAGGTAATACGTCATCATATTAAAAGAAATTGTTGGACGTTCTACCGTAATGGTATTGGTAGCTAGTGCCGTGCTACAAGCGTATCCATTAGCATATCGACTTACAAAATTGACGCTGATTCTATTAGTCGTCACTACACGAGTTGAAAGAACAATTATTACCTGAACGGAACTAGGTAAGGGTGGATTCGGTTCGGTTCGGTTCGGTTATAACCAATAACCAATTGGTCGGTTACCGGTTATTCGAACCACCATCTCCCCCTACCGAACACCGACCGACGCCAATGTCTCGGTTAACCAATAACCGACCGGCCAGTTATCCGTTAGTTGGTCGGTTAACCGAGATAACCGAAAAATGATGATGGTTCGGTTTTAACCAAGTAAAATTATTAGAATCACCTAAAATGAAAGGTTCTAACTTACATTTCTACATCTAAATCACACCCAAAGTAAAGTCTCAATCACTTTTGCATAGAAAATACATCTTAATCACCAAATTAATGTCTCAAATTCAACAACATAAAGTTATAAACTTCATAACCGAGTATTTTCACGTCGTTTTTGTGAGGGAGTGGTCGGTTGATTATTTCCGGTTATTGTCGGTTAACCGAATAACCGATTTTCGGTGACTCAATTAACCGAATTACCTATTAAGAGCTCCGACCACCTACCGAAGCATATAATTTTCGATTATCGGTTAACCGATTAACCGGCGGTTATCGGTTAACAGACCGGTTGCGATTATTGGTTAACAGACCGGTTAACCGGTAACCGACAACCGAACTGCCACCCCTAGCAACTAGGTGGCAAAATGGTCAGATTGTTGCAACAGTCTAAAGAATGAATGAAAGAGAGGAATGTTTGAACTTTCAACGTTCTTCCTTCTCATGGAACTTTCCATTCCAATAAACCGAAGCCAGCTAGAAGGACTAAGGCAGGCAGCTGAGTCGCTGTCTTCCTTTCTCCCTTTGACCACAACCCAAACCCTAAACACAAATTCAATGGAATAATACTTTCTTCCCCAACCCATTACCAGCCCACTAACTAAACTAATAACTCCATTCGTGTTAGCGCTAGCTTTGACCATCGCCAGCCAGCCAGCCAATTGGCTAAGCTTACAAAGAACAAAGGCAAAGTCAACACATCCGCAACCGCCTTCCCTCTGTATTTCCCTCCCAACCAGCCCCATCTACATATAAGAATACACCACCAACAGAGAGAACCAAAACAAACAAACCCAATTGAACCCAAAAATCTACATTCTCCCCAAGTCGAAGAGAAGATTGGAGCTTAGATCAAAATGTCGGTAAATCATCTGGGAGCCAAGATGAGCGGCGTTCGTCTCGGCCAGAGAGAATACGGGAGGGAAGGGAGCTGCGGGGGGTGTGGCCGGATGGGTAGTGGTGCTCCCGCCGGCGTTGTACGCGGAGGAGCAGCTTCGTCGAGGGTGATGAGGACGTCGTCGAGGTTCGCCGGCGGGAGGCACGGCCGGCACGCTATGCCTCCGAGCAGCAGCAGTCACGAGAAGTGGAGGAGGCATCAGGCGGCGGGGAGCAGGGAGGTGCTGAGGCGGGCGTTGATGCCGGCCAGCCGACGGCCCAGCCTCCGGTGGGTGAATTTCCGGCCGACACCTAGCCGCCTTTGTAACATGTCCATGGCCGCCGCATAATCGATTTAATTGCTATATTCATCATCATCATCATGAGTTGTATTTGCTTAGTTAATAGCCTGGCTTCCTCTGCTGTAGCTCTGTTTGACTCCTCTGTTTTTTTCTTGCGAGTTGAAGGGAATTTGTCTATCTTAATTCCCAGAACCCTATTCTTTGCCGATTCTTCAATTTTGTACTTGTTACTAGTTCGTCCTTGAACAATAAAAATAGATGGCCGGAAGCTGATTCGCTGGATCGGTTCACAATAAGAACAAGGTTCAAATCTACGAGTCTAATACGATGTCTCATATACAATATCGCAGCATTTCACTTGACACCTATCGTAATTGGTATAACTTTTAGAGTTGATCGTTAATTCAACTTAACAATTCATGTTTGAACCTCCAACCCAATTTAGCTGTCAAACAATAGTTCTAAAACTAGAAAGTTGTCTTCGATCATTGCCAGCCTGCAAATCTGCTAGTGATCTTTTCCCCTCAAGTGCACAGCTCAACTCTGCTGGCAATGGCATACATTTTTTGCTCATATCTTAGGGACGAGCACTTCACACGAACTGCCTTTTATTAGTTGCCTAATTGAGATTTCGTATCACTAACTCATTATACTAATCGCACACTGATCATCATTAGCCTGTTACCTGGAACTTAACCATAGGGCCGACTTCCAGGTCTGACAAGGAACATGGGAAAACTGCAGCAACGACTGGAGTGAATTGAAGCAGTGACAATCAGAGCTCCAACTTCAGTTAAGCCGGGGATCCTGCTTCACCTCTGTACGCGTAGAAATGCGCTGGAGGTACGATCTCAACTAACGAATAGTTGAGATCGCAGAACGCACCTCCACCTGGACCTAGCATTTGTATACAATCACTGTGGCTGAAAGCATTTCTAGCCCGTAGCTGAATCAGGTTTTGGCCAATCTAACTGAAAGAACTAATTGTATACTGTTTCTTTTAGAAAGAAGACGTAGTAGCACTAGACTCGAAATTCTATCCTTAGTTCGTGAATCGCATAAGCGAATCTAGACCTCTTTGCAGACAGTCGACCAAATGGGAACAGAAGGATTGGCTTTGTATAGCCTTCATCTTTTGTTTTGACAAAATAAATGACGACCAGGAAACTTCCCCTTATCTCTTTGCCAGTTTCGCTGCACCAAGTCAGAAAATGTATCCTTGGAAAAAAACAAAGTCAGAAAATGTATCCCTCACTTCCACCACCAGAGGCCACTACCTCAACTTCGCTTCGTCCTCGCAAAGACTTCATCACGCGGTAACCTCACGAAGTCGTCCCCTGGTTGCTAATCTATAAGAAAGAAAGCTCTCTGCTTTCGCCAAAACCCAAATCCTGAAATCCCCTGCAACAACAATGGAGGCAGCCTATTTGCCACCGGAGATCCTACTCGACATCTTCCACAGGCTCCCGGCCAAGTCCATCCTCGCCTGCGTCTGCGTCTCCAAGTACTGGCTTTCCCTGATCAAAACCCCTGATTTCGTCTCTGCCCACCACTTCAACCAACAATCCGCCATTTCTTCTTCCTCCAAACCACATCCCCTGTTTCTCCTCCGCCTCTGTGTTGGCTCTGCTCTGGTAAACCGCTACTCCATTCACCGCGACGACCGCAGATTCACCCACTACGCCGAAATCAAACCCCCTTCAGCAATCAACAACCAGTCCTTCTCCATCGTCGGATCGTGCCAAGGGTTGGTCTGCCTGATGCACGATCTCTACGCTTCCAACTACACAATCATCCTCTGGAACCCTTCCATCGGAAAAACCTTCGCCCTCCCTGAACCGGGTGTCACTTTCGAGACCCACGGCGGATTCGAAGCACTCCTCGGTTTCGGGTTCGATTCGTCGACCAATGATTACAAGGTCGTGAGAGTCGTGCGGCTTCTGGAGTACGAAGAAATCGCAATTGAAGTCGAGGTTTTTTCACTGAACGCCGGCTCGTGGAAGACGATTACCTCCACGGCTCCGCAGTACAACATCGTGGAGCGCGGGTCCCAGGCTTTCGTCAACGGGTCGGTCCACTGGGTCGCGACCCGGCCCGGCAACGACGGCGGTGGCGACAAGAACTTGATTCTGGGTCTCGATCTAAAGGGGGAAGAGCGGTTTAGGGAGCTGGAGCTGCCGGAGAGCTTGAAATTGGAGAGGGCGATGTTCTTGACGGTGTGTGGATACAAGGAATCGACGATTGCGGTGTTCAAGAGGCCGTATTTCACGGAAGCGGAGAGCGAGATTTGGGTGATGGAAGAGTATGGGGCGGCGGAGTCGTGGGTGAGGCTGTTGACGTTAGGGATGTACGGTGGGAGACTGCCGAGGGCTTTGGGGTTCAGAGGGAACGGCGATATGTTGTTCGAACTCGCCGGCGGGGAGATTGTGTCCGGTGATCCGGAGAGTTTCGAGATTAAGGAGTTGGGGTTGTGGGGAGAAGCTGGATACTCGGTCGTGGGGAGTTTCATGGAGACGCTTGTTCTGCTTGATAGGTCGAGTGGATGGACAGAGATACCAACTGAACCCGAATTCACATTTGCTCAACCCAACCCAAGAAAGTAAAATTCAATGTTGATTGTTGATAGGTTTTTCATAGTTGTTGGATCTATAATTTGTTTTTTTAACAATAGTAATATAAATTACTTTTTTGTGATTAGATACTACGGAATGAGTTCGAATTAGTGCCGACCAGGTCGTATAATACCCGCATGGATACTGGATGAGTCAGATCGATCAATTTTTATTTCTTAATATGATATTTGAAAAAAAGGTAGATAGTTTACTCATTTACAAGAACACATAGATAAAACCCCAAACTAAATCGAGGATCACAATGGGATGGGGTGGGTATTTCAATTCTCGTATCTGCCTCGCATTAGCGCCGACTAGGTCGTGTAATACCCGCACAGATACTGGATGGATCAAGTCGACCATTCTTATTTCTTAATATGTTATTTGGAAGAAAAAAAAGTTGATAGTTTACTCTTTTACAAGAACACAGATAAAAACACATTATACATGAATGAGAAATATAGCAAAAAGGATAGTTGTATGCAAATAGTTGAAAGACAAGAGTGTTAATGTTTCTTTGGGATGAAAAATATGATTTTATAAGGTCAAAAGAGGAGAAATACATGTACATATTTATGCAAATCATGATAGAGCAAGAGGCGAGACGGGAGAAGAGAGGGAGATTAGAGTTGATAATGATACCCATACTCCACCCCACGTACACTATTGTGAGTCGGGTAACACCCATTCCAAATAGGTTGAGACAGGTCAAATAATGCGAGTCAGATCAGAAATTGACATCAATAGCCTCAAACTCACCATGGCAAGACAAAACGAGGGAAAACACCAACCCAAACCCGAGGATGGGAGAAAGAGAAGCAAACAAGCCTTCGAAAACCGTAGGAAGCTAAGTTCATCCCTAATCCAGCTTTTGCTTGACCAATCGTGAGAAGTAGATCTTCGACTAACAAGAGCTACATAGCAACCTTTGAGCAATGGGCATTCGACAGAGAAACAGTAAGGAAAGAGTCTTCATCCTCAACATCTTAAAACCGAGTCCGAGTCTTCATCTTCACTTGCCTTTCTTTCAGACTTTTTATGTTCTTCATCTATCGTTGTTTCTGTACAACTTCGTAGCTGACTGTCTTTTACCTGTAGTCCTCTGCTAAACAGTTTGTCTTGGTTGTAGTCAACCCAACCCATACCTTCTTTTTTTGCTGTCATGCGCTCCAGAGTATTATTCCTAAACTGACTATGCACTTCCACTACTAAATTATACCTTTCAGATCCTTACAAAATCTTTGATTTTTAGTTTACACTTCACAACAACCCAAAATTTAGAAACTTCCCCGTACGGCCCTATCCACTTTGCCAATTTCAGCATGCACCAAGTCAGGAAATTGATCCCGCACTCTCCCTCCCATGGCCTCAACCTCGCTCCCAGAGACTTCATGACGCGGTAACCTCACGAAGTCCACCCGAGTTCCTAATTTATAACGAAGCTCCCTCTCTGTTTTCACCCAAACCCTCAATTCCTGCAACAACTCAACACCAGAAATGGAAGCAGCCTATTTGCCGCCGGAAATCCTACTCGACATCTTCCACAGGCTGCCAGCCAAATCCATCCTCGCCTGCGTCTGCGTCTCCAAGTACTGGCTTTCCCTGATCAAGACCCATGATTTCATCGCCTCCCACTTCAACCAACAATCATCCATTTCTTCCTCCAGCCCACACCCCCTGTTTCTCATCCGCCTCTGTTTCAGCTTCAGGGCTCGGGAGAACCACTACTTCCTTCGCCGTGACGACCGGGAATTCACCCACTACGCCGAAGTCAAAACCATTCCACCCATCGTCAACGACAGGTCCTTCTCCGTCGTCGGATCGTGCCGCGGATTGGTCTGCCTGATGCACAATCTATACACTTCCAACTACACAATCGCCCTCTGGAACCCTGCAATAGGGAAAACCATCACCCTCCCCAAACCGGGCGTCACTTTCGAGACCCACGGCGGGTTCGAATCCCTCCTCGGTTTCGGGTTCGATTCGTCGACCCGGGATTACAAAGTGGTCAGGGTCGTGCGGCTTCTGGAGTGCGAAGAAATCGCAATTGAAGTCGAGGTCTTCTCCCTCAACGCCGGGTCGTGGAAGCGGATTACCTCCGCGGCGCCGCAGTACAACATCGTGGAGCGCGGGTCACAGGCTTTCGTGAACGGGTCGGTCCACTGGGTCGCGAGACGGGGCAGCAACAACAACGAGGGTTACAAGAACGTGATTCTGGGTCTCGATCTACAGGGCTGCGAAGAGCGGTTCCGGGAGCTGGAGCTGCCGGAGAGCTTGAAATCGGACAGCCCGATGTACCTGACGGTGTGTGGTTACAAAGAATCGACGATTGCGGTGTTCAAGAGGCGGTATTTGGGGGAACCGGAGAGTCAGATCTGGGTGATGGAAGAGTACGGGGCGGTGAAATCGTGGGTGAGGATGTTGATAATCGAGACGTACGATGGAGAAGTGCCGAGGGCGTTGGGGTTCAGGGGGAACGGGGAGGTGTTGTTCGAAATCGCCGGCGGGGAGATCGTGTCCGGCGATCCGGAGAGCTTCGAGGTTTCGGAGTTAGGGTTGTGGGGAGTCGCTGGGTACTCGTTCGTCGGGAGTTTCATGGAGACGCTTGATCTGCTTGATAGGTAGAGTGGGGGTTCTTCTTGGGCCTAGTTTTGATTGGGCTTTTCTCTTAACTTTGTGGTGTGGACTTGATTGGGCTTTTCTGGAGATCCATCAATACATTCGTGACCGTTAAAACTAACTAACTAATGTCTAGGGATGTCAATTTCGACCTGATTCGATTTATTCGACCTGTTTGACCTGTTTTGGGGCGGGGCGGGCATGGGTACCTCTCATCGACCCGACCTGCCCTGACCCGCCCCATTCTCGACCCGTTCTTGCCTAAATTACATATAATATTAGTTTAATTACTTAAGATTTTCCTCTTATTACATTATATTTTAACTATAATAAAGTTGTAAATAAGTGAAAATCTCAATTTCTTCAATAATTTAACTACATTTTATCATATTATGGTTTCTTTCTTGGTCTTTCAATTAAAAGAACGAATATTTCTAATGTTTTTCACATAAATTACATACCCAATGGGTCGACCTGCCCCGACCCGCGCCCCATGATAAATTACCCGAATTGGACCCGACCTGCCATGGGACGGGTATGGGTATCGAGATACCCGCCCAGAACCTGACCAATTGCCATTCCTACTAATGTCTCCTGTCTAGTTGTCTAGATAAGAATTGAGTTACTTTATTTGATCTCTAAAGATTTAAATTATCTGCAAACTCTGTTGTATGTTGTCACAATCCAAATTTATAAGGTGTTGAATTCTAAACAATCTGATTACTTTTCTCTATACATGATTTTTTTTTATGGGATATAAATGATTTATTCAATCCCTATTAATTAAAAAAGGCACAACGAACTTATCAACAACGACCATAGGACTAAATTCAACCACTATACAAGCTCGACTATCTTCTCTCTAATTTATATACTGAATACAAAATTTTACTTTTGAAAATTCAATCGCAAACATTTTGATCCAACGACGATAAATCTACATTGCATCTTTATCAAAGTGAAAACAACACAAACAAATCACTGGAAACTCAACAAAAAGCTATTTGGTTAGATCCATTTTTCTGAACTTCCAATATGCAAACAAGTTTTATTCCAAGAGATTCACCACTTCACAAGCAGATGAACAGGCTTAAAGAAAACAAAAAACCAAACCACAAGATGAGATTACGGCGGGAATTTAATTATTTAAGCTTAGCCAATATGAGGCACCTTAACAACCATGTGATCTTTGTCCACGAAAACTCGAACCCTATCGCAACGGAAATCCCCCGTCACAAAAGCTCCTTCCTTGAAGATCTTCGCCGTCACCATCGGATTCTCCTCCCCTATCTTCTCCACCGCCGAATCTCCGTCAGCCCCTAGCAGCTCCGGCCACAGACTCTTCCCTGCATATATATATACGTACAAGTTAACAGCGATCGATCGAACATACAAAACGCGGCGAGTTTCGTGAAGGGAGAAGAAGAAGAAGAATATAATTAACTCATGGATGAAAATCTCACCTGGGCAGTGCGACATGATCAAATCTGTCTATGCTATTACCGAGTTCGAGTGTGCTCTGAAAAGAAGGGTGGAAAATATTTATAGAGGAGAAATTTTGGGGGTATGGACCGGCCGGTTTCGGTGTGGTTTTGTCATTTTTCTGTGTTCGGTACTGTTTGTACACATGTGGATAGAGGCGCCGCCGGCCGTGTCCGTGATCCTTTAATGTCCCAATCGAACCAAAACCATCTCCCAAAACGACAACAGGAAACGACGGGCCGGCCGGAAAAAGAATCGATGGTGAACTCAAAGTTGGCCGCCGATCAGATATAGATACCCGTGACTACACATAGCGACGCGTTATAAGGTGTTAGTTTATGCATTCGGTTATAATCAAATCTTTTTGTTTTGATAATGAATAAAAAGATTTGGTGGTAATCACGGTTGGTTCATTTTGTCCTAAAAGTCTTCGACCATAATTTTGTCCTCGAACCAATGATATGCTGCATTGAACCAAGAACGGATTACAACTAGGGCTGCAAATGAGTCGAATGGAGTCGAGTTTTACCCCAGTTTGAGCTCGGCTCGTTAATAAACGAGTCGAGCTCGAGCTCAGCTCATTTATTAACGAGCCGAGTCGAGTCGAGTTCGAGCTAACTTGTTTATTAAAATCTTAACTTTTATTTGATACTTCATTTTGTATATCATAATAAATATGATTTATTTTGTTAGCTAATATCAGATTTTGCTTTGTTGGTATCATATATCATTTAGTTAATAAATTTTAACTACTCCAAATCATGTTATTTCACAATATCGAAGCAATTTATGATGCATAATTTCTTTTTAAAGTAGAAAATAAGATATATTGCTCACAAACTCAACGTGTTAAACTTTATATATGGTGAGATATATAATTTAACAACCATATGAATTAAAATCATAAGATATAGATTGATTCATCCATAAGTTGGTAATCGAGTTGGCTCTCTAGCCACATGTCAAGACATATCATGAGCTCTAAACGAGTCAGCTCACGAGTCAGCTCTCGAAGCAATTATTAACGAGTCGAGTTTCGAACGAGCTTTTCTCGAGTTGAACGCCGAGCCGCTCGCGAGGAACTCGGCTCATTTGCAGCCCTAATTGCAACGTTAAAGAAAGTGAGAGCATGTATCGAATTTTAATTGGTCATGAAGGGTCTTTGTTCCTTAATCAACTAAGTCTATACGAGAGATATTGAGAGTGAATTCCAAGTTACTTAATTGCGGAAAAAACTGCTTTTATTAACGGTAAGAGAATGATATAAGATTCATAATAATCTTCTCCATCAATTTGAGTCAGAGCAGATACATCATGCCTTTCCGAATTTCCGAATTTTGAAGATTCGTTGTTTCTTGGAATGACTTGCTAGTTAATACGCTTTGCATATTACTTTACACTAACAACAAAGGATTTCTCCACTTTACTTGTGCCACACACAATAGTACAAATGGTATGCTATGTACCTTCTTTTCTTTTTCTTTTCTCTCTCTCGCTCTCTTCTTATCTGGATTTCTAGGGAACGTAGATATGCCACGAAAAGGAACAGAGTGTTTTAACACCCGACATACAAAACATACATATACAGATATATGCAGCGGGTATGGGTTACCGATATTGGCAAGTTGGGATGCATGCAGTTGTATGGAACCGAGATTAGCCCAATCCTTTCCAATTTGGGAGTAGCTGTAGCTCCTTACTTGCCCAGTCAATCTCTCATCTAGCAAGCATCAGTCTCAACTTGGATACTAGAAACCCTTCTTACCTTGTTGACTCCCTCCTGATCCTCTCTATTCCTGCTCAAAAGGTTCTACTGTCAAAGCCAAGCTCTGGTTTAGGAAAAAAGAAAACGCTATCTTTCGGTTTAGCTAGTATATATACCTCGTGGTCGTGGGGGGTGGCTGGTGCAGAACTGGAACTGGAACTGGCTTCAACTGGTACATCTGCTATTCTAGCTTCTGATTTTTCGTTCGAATACCTGTTACAAGATGGAAGCAGGAACATGATGAACCAAAGATCAAACAAGTTTGGTGGGTTGATATCAACTAGTAAACATGATTGATTTAAACGGGAGGATTCTTGACAATATTGTAAACAGAATAGGGTGGCGGAACTATATGATCCTTTCCCAAGGAAAAGGACAGGAGAGGCGGGAAAAGAATGAAATTTTGCTTGCAGGAAATGGACAAAATGCCTAACGGACAAACAGTTTGGCTCTGTGAGCTGGTGTCTACCAAGAGAAGACCCATCACTAATGGTATCCATATAAGCGTGAAACACCGCAGACCACAAAAAAAAGGCCGAAACAGAATACTTGAAGATTCTAAACCAATCCACTAGGTGAATGATACTCTGCCAGCAATTAAAATAACAAATAATAGATCCCATTTCCTGAGATTCAGAAATTTGAGGGTCAATGGCCAACTACAGTCTACAGACAACGACCTTTCTTAATTTGTGATAAAACGAGTCAAATATCCAAGTTGGGAAATGGGCAACGTCAGTGGCATATGCAGAGCAGACAGTTCAAAGAACCAACGAGAGTATAACTTACGTGGAGAGGATTGTCACCCAAATGAGCTCCACACAATCCACCCACAGAAGCCTTTGCTCTACCGGGATCATACCATAGGTTATAACATGAGCAAATGGCCACAGCTTCCAACCTGCCTGTCAAACACAACACCAAATATAATAGAACTACGAGTTAGACAAGTTCTGAACGAGAAGAGAAACTAGGTCCAAAATCAAGTTCCCGAAATCCATTCGTTGGTTCTTAAGTAATGAACAACGCCACTAGGAAATAAACTGAAATTTTTTTAATTGCAATGCGGGATGAATGCAGATGGAAGAGCAAAAAGTAATTGTCTTACTGTAAGCATGGGAAAAAAGGTAGCCCTCAGTTCATCCAAAATGGTGAGAGGAGACTCCAGCCTCAAGAATCCCAACACAGTAAAATAGATGCTATTCCAAACTGCAGACCAGGCCGTTTGGTCAAAGGCTACTTTGACAGGAACCGCCCACCAGTCGTGAAATGGAAATAGCTCCTGAAGAAGAAACAAAGAAATTACGCATAGCACACATTAAGTATCTGAATTCTACCAACCTGTCTTCAGCAAGACTAAATGAAAACGGGAGTAATTACCTCACAGAATTGGTAATAGTAATGTGAAAGAGAGCCATGCAACGTAAAACCAACAATGCCTGATCTGAACATGCGCGTGCGATCAAACTCAAATAGTGGTTTACCTTCAAAACACTGCAGGTGCCATAAACGATTATTACAAAGCAGATATCATTATAGGTATTTCCATTCATTCTTCAAAATCACATTCACTTACTTGTGCAATCCAATCTCCCAAAGAATACACCACTCCACTAATAACCATTTTTGCCAAAACTGGGTTTGTCTTTAGAGCCTCCTCATAGGCAGACCAGTTGTGCTGAGGCGCATATCTTAGTATCTCATAAAGGGTCCATCCCTGGGACAACAAAATAAAGGTAACTTTATAAAAGTAATTCCATGTCACACGAGTTCAGCAGCCAACAAGAAAGTAAGCCCAGAAGAACACTATGTTCATTTTTCTGTGGAACTACTTAGATGGTACATAAAGGGGAATTAATAAAAGTATAAAACGAAAATCATTTCAAATGACTGCTTGTTGACAGTTGGAACATAACACAAACAATCAAGATGCAGTACCGTAAACCTCAATTGGAAACAATTTTTAACCAGACCAAAAACAAGCTCTACAGAGTTAAGACTTCTCTAAGCCACCAAATAAAAGTTCTTGAGTATGCCCTGTCGCTTAAACTAAAACCCATCCAATCTTAACTCTTTTTTTATTTTTCCTTCTTTTTTATGTCACCTAACAGCTGTTATAAAAGCCGATCATAGAGGTCAACGAAATTCGACTAGCAACCTATTTCGAGATTGGATATTTGTGGACAAGATTAAGAATTACTAATATCAGCATGCAGGCAACCTGAAGCTGCAATCAAATCTTAATTCAACTATCTTATGGTCAACTCCAGTAAATAGTATGAAGTTCCTTTGATCCTCCAGCAAAGATTTAGGCTTACAACTTACAAGTACTATATTGTTTGGTTATCCCATTAGGCCATCTGGCATTGCATCATCTAGCTCAATCTCACCTAGACATAAACACATGATGCATGTTTATACAGCCCACTCTCATGCTTATGCATAATGAGTTTTGAGAGGAAAAGATTGTACCTTCTCTTTCTTAAATCAAAGACACATTTACAAAGAAACCATGATATCTAGCCAAATTCTCATAGATGCATAACTGAACATGTCTCTGTCTACTTGCATGATCCCAAGACAAACCATGTAATTTAGTACAAAATTGGACAAAGAACGCATTTTTCCATATGCATAACAAGGTCCACAGCCTTTAACATGCGCTGATATCAACCAGCTAACATGAAAACGGAAAAAAGTATAGCAAGCTTCAGGTAAAAATACAACATAGCAGCAGTCAGATAAAAGATTCAGCAGCCAAAACAAGTAAAAGCAAAGCTCATCAAGAGCACAATCAAACAGTAGGCCAAACTGATAATTCACCACTAAATAACTTACATCTGAAGTACTTCTACTCAGAATTACGCCTACCATTGAACACAGCCAGGGAAATAGAGATAGAGGGACTTACATGCCAGTAATCACGATCAATTGTGAGCAACTTGGTAATAGCATAGCTGCTGGCAGCAAGAACAATCATGGCGTTAATCGTCCTATCAATCAGGCGCTCCATTTCCAGCTCCTTCTCCCTCTGATTATCTTCCCCGTCGCCACCACCGCCTCCAACTATGGAACCAGAAACGGAGGAGAAGCCTTCCAGCGACAACTGACCTTCGCTCGCTCCGAACCCGCTCACCTGAGCCACCAACTCGCTGCCTTCTCTCTCCACTTGGCCTCCCACCGCCGCCATGCCTTCTTGCCGGTCCGTGCTATCCCCGCTCTGCACTGGGATGACATCGAATTCGTCCTGAACAATCGAGTTCACCACCAAGCTATCAGCTGCCTGCTTGTTTCTCGAGAAAATCGGATTTCGAAGGACCTTAATAGGGATTTGTGAAGAGGGGAGGCTCTTTGAAGTGGGAACAATTCTGTGATTGGAGAGAGGGAGGAAGCTGTGAGGAGAAATGGCGTGGAGGGAAGCCATTGGAGGCTGGCTTCTGAGCCTTTTGAGAGTGGGAGGAACTGAGTCGAGGCGACCGAGTTGTCAATCTAACGGAATCGTTTTCCTTCTCAGTTATCTCCAAGGTTTTGAGTTTGCAAACGAGGCCACTTTTTATTTAATGGGGGCTGAGATCTGGTGTGCCGCGGCCCAATGTAAGCTATTTGACCTTCGCCCACCTCGGACCACTACCGACAGTGAAGAAGAGATATCCGCCAGAGAGGTCTCTGTTCCTATCACCACCGGATAAAAATCATGGTGCAAATTTGAGCAACGACGTGTTGGCCAGAATCAAACAGAACGCTGTAGACCAAGAGTTCTACACGGATGTCAAACTCACAACCTATCTTCAGGTAAAGGGATTCTGTAAACGGAGTGGAACTCTTTGACAAATTCAGAAGAACTATTTCTCATTTTCCCCACACAGTGGTGGAATATTCAACAAACTTAGAGAGGATAGAACTGGTGACTACTCTGGTGTTGGCATTTGTTACAAGATAAAAAGAATGATCTACATTGTGTGTCTGTGGAATAACCAATGAGTTGAGTAAAGTGGTCATTGGCAAATATGATTTCATCGTACCCTGTTGCAAGAGAATCAAGCTGGTCGTGTTTTCTGCTTCCAAAAAGAAGGAACAGCTGGGTTCTTCAAGTTAGTTTCAGCTCTGGGTTGGCAATATAAGGCGATCTTGACCATCCACCATCTTTGCTGATCGAATCACATCGCCGGTTTTTATCTGCGAAAGAATGTCCCTCCCACTAGTTGCATATCTGCAAAGCAATGTTATGGTTGAAGCACAGAAAACCTGGCAGTGCAGAAGCTCACACAGCAAGCCATAGTCAGAACCTCACAGACGTACCCGAAAACCGAGAACTGCCCTTCGTCGAAAGATAACCCTCCTAAGCCAGACTGTCATACAGTTAACAAGAGGAGCAGTCAAGTGATGAGTTAAGAGAGAGTAACTTTGAGGTGAAGATAGGTTGGATTGGATGATGCATGGTACTCACATTTCTCTTGTCGTAGAGGTAGAAGAAGAACTGATATGGAGCTGAGTATTCTTCGGACACATCACTATGTGCCATTGCAACTGCTCCATACACTGACATTGGAAGAACTGGCAATTCACCGTCCTTTTTTTAAGACAACGTGAAAGTGATTAGATTGTGAAAAAGCTGAGAACTTTTTGGGCAGCTATAAATTGGGATGATGAATATATAGCATCATTGTATAGACAGTATTGTGTTACCTGGATACTTAATTTTGTACGGTACAATGGCTCGAATTGTTCTGAGGGCATTATTTCTAATGGCACACTGTAACCGGCATTCTTATCGAGTCCATCATCAGTTATGACAGCTTGGTTAATAGTGTTGAGCTTTGCTCCGTCGTATGCCCCATCCACTACCTAAGAAGATCAATGTTCACATATCGTCCATGAAAGGGAAAAGAACAACGGAATGAGAAAATTAGAAGGACCGACTCAGTTGTTGATTCAAAAGTCCTACCAAATGAATCAAAAAACGAAATGGAATTGATATAATGGAAATTGCATAAAGGTTAAGTGAGGTTCAACTACCTTACCAGTTTTGCGAAATTCCCTGCAGTCAGTGGTGCTGAATATCCATCTACAGTAACCTGTTTGCACATAATTTAATTTATTTTGTAGACAGTTCATTATAGTAGGAAAGAGATAGGAGAGCAATAAGGTATCCAGGAAAAAACTAGACAATTATAGATGGAGGACACACTTCACTACTTCAGCATTGGAACTGACTAATTCAAGCAAATGTCAATATCCTTATCCAGACATCCAGCATCCGAAATTCAGTACTTCAAGCATGTAGAAGACTCAAAGTAGAAATGCATGTAAAATGACAGGAAATTTGCTTTCTCATCATTACAGATTACTTATCAGACCTGAATTTTGACAGTCTTTCTTGATTCACCACCCGCTTCAGGGGAAAATGCTGAACCATCTCCTTTCTCAATGGTAAATTCAACAGTTCCTCTGCCATTTAGCCTACAGGCCAATTGATTCTTGTGAGAAGATAAAACCAATGAAAAGGCTGTCATTAGTTATGTACCTGTATCTATTAAGTTGCAATACAACACACCACACAGGGATAATCAGTGGAAGGGCTGACCTTGGATAATCCTTGTATTGCTCTGGCAACAAAAAAGAAAGTCCTGGAGCCTGTTACAACCCAAGGAAATCTATTCAATTATCCTTTCTACAATGTTTATGATCCCTTGAAAGGATTAGCACTGGCAGATGCAAGAAATTTAAGATTTTGGTGGAGATTGGTGAACTTGACAAATGAACATAATTTGATATCGTTGCGAGTCCATCCATGCACAAAGTAATGAATAATATGAGCCAACCATCACTGCTTTCATGTGAAATGGATATTGGAAAGTTGCTGGATTGATAAGGAATGACCAGTGCTAAGAAGGGAGGGTACTTCCACTCACGGAAGAAACAGGAGAGGAAGTATTACATACCTGTAGCAACTCAATTTCAGCAATGGTATCAAGTGAAGATGCAAGGCTAACAGAAACTTTGTCTGGGTCCTGGTCCTTAATGTTTTTTATGAGAGCTTGCAAACCACCCTTGAAAATGGAAAAGTTAATTTAGTATCCTTCAAAAATGAACCTCCACTCCAAAAGAAAATCTTTGTCTTCAAGACAGTCACTGGTTTCGTGTTCCAATAATGAGATGAAGAGACACCAAAGCAACGTTGAGCAGTTTCCACATTTACAACCCATCTAAAGGAGCCATACCTTCCCATCAATTAGAGATGCATATAATGAGGAACCCTTGTCCCTGAACTCTTCAGGTACACTTGCCAAAATGGAGTTCTTTTCCTCTGTTGCAATCTGAAACCATCACACCATGTTACCCAAATATTGAACATCAATGACCACACAACAGTTTTCTTCAGCTGGTAATGAACTTTGAGCATGGTATATGATTATCACAACTACACAAAGATGGCCAAAAGATATCTTTTTCTGATGGCAAATACCTTGAGGGCTTTTTTCACATTGCCTTCCATGGTTCCATATGGCTTCCGCTGTGGTATCCTTAGCAAGTATGAGAGATCCTCCAGTGAATTCTGAAACCCACAAATCGCAAGGCAATCCGTAAGCTGCTCGCCCTTCCAAATCAAGAGGCATGCATAACTCAGTCATTGAGAGAATACCTGTATGGCCTTCATGTTTGCATTGGCTGGAATCGCCTTCCTTAAAGCAAGTTCTCCGGTTCTTGGAACCTTAGTGTCAGGAGAATAAAGCACCGCATTTGCCGGTGGAGTGGGGAATGGCTCCCAGCCAAAGAAAGGCAGAGGGGAAGACAATTGAGCAAACATAAGAACCATAGCTATTAGACCCTCTAAATTCTTGTTTCTAAGTTGGGAACTCGGCATGCCTGCTTCAACGCAGAAAGGAAGCCCCTTGTCCATATCCTGCATAACTGCTGGAGGGTTATAATCTTTGCAATTGTCTCCCTAACCTAATTGGCTAATCTAGCTAAAAAGACACTAATTTTACAGTTTTGCTAAAGGGAGATGAACGGGGTCTTAATCACATCACTCTGCTAGGAAATGTGCAGAAACTACAAAACAATTGGGATGTGAAACCCAGATATCTGAAGCTCGAACCTGAGAAGTGGGTTTTGCAGGAGGGCTGCAGTGAACCCTGTAATCGGCAGGACGCTTGCCGGCGGCTGGAGGGCAGTGGAGGTGCGGAATTGGATTGAAGCGAAATGGGAAATTGGAGGATGAGAGCAAGTACAGCGTCGTGCGAGCTGAAGAAGGGGAAGAGAAGAGCGAAAGCCTGTGGACGCCAGAGGTCGGGATAATGGAAGGGAAAGCCATAGCCTCTGCAATTTTGGGCTCTGCCTGTACCGAGCTGCAGATTTCGGCTTCAGTGGGAACCGATTTGTGAGGGAGCAGAGCAGAGGAAGAGAGTGGGGAAGGTTTTGGCGCGCCTCATCTCATCTATATCTTCCTTCCGTACCCGATCCTATGTGTACAAATTTCATTGGTCTATTTCTCCACTACTGACTCATTCTTCTTGAGCTTTCTGACGTGGCCTGCGAAACGTTTCCCCTGTATTTTGCTCATTTTTACAATAAAACATGGTTTCTCAAATTTCTCATACGATATCATTAATTTTGCAAATCACTTGGTTTATTCAGATATTGGAAACAATCCACAATACATTACTCTACTAAATTACTCGTTTAACATAATTAGTCTGACACAGAGTGACTTGAACGAATCATTTTAATGGAGACAAGAAGAACAAAGTATCATAACAAATGTGTGAACTACTTTGTAAAAATAAATATTGTTTATATAGAGAAAATGTTGGTCAATCTGACATGTCATGCGGAAATAAAACGGGATGATCGGTGATCGATGTTGCTATCATTTATGATGTTAAAATAAAACAATTTTGCAATCTTACTGCAACCGAAAACAACGGTTTAATAACGGTTTCAAATATTTTGGATAAAATAAATGTTATTTCTGAGCGACAAATGGTAAGATACTAATACTGAACGATGTCAAACATGTTTCAAAACTATAAGTTATTTCTTGTTATAAAAACATGTAAACAGTAAGTTTTGGCATTATCGTTCTCTTTCTTAAAGATCGAGACGCCACGATGTCGATCGATGGTGTGAAGGAAAATTACTGCGCCGCCATTATCGAAGAACAATAGTCGTGTTATGTATGACTGTAAAAGAAATATTGTTTAAAAGGTAATCATTTTTTAGATTTTTTTCTTCTTGAAAAAATAAATGTCTTCTGATTCGTTGCATGTGTTTCTGGCAATTTAGGAAAACACTGAAATGGGATTCTCTCATTCAAGTTCTTGACATAAAAGTAATCATCACATTATGGTTGTTGACATAAAAGCACTATGACCTTTTTCTTCAACCTTTTTAAGCCAACGTTATTTCTCCATCCTTCTTCACTCCAAACAAATCCAGAGACTTGGCAGCTCTTCCAAACCAAAACCCAAGTTCAAGAGATAGGTGGAATAACAAGCTCGGGGATGTACTATCCAAGTGGTTTGTTTGCTCCAAACCCAGTCACCCAAATACCACCATCGCTATCAATGGATGAAAAGGACATAACCAATGACCTTTTGAAGGAGTACTTGACTGATAATCCTGTGGAAGAACTGAATTATCTGGTATAATCTAATTCTTGTATATAAACTTTATGTCTAAGATCTAGTAGTAGAGTTTGCATCCTTTTGTTATTTGCATAAATCTTCTCCTTTGTGATTATTGTTATCTGCATTTCAGATCTGAAATTCTTTTGGTTAGCAAAAGTTTGCATGTTGGTGTTGCCTTACATATGTTCATGTTTGGTTTGTTGGATTCATATTGACATACAGTTTCCAATCGTATTTTGTCATGTTTTATAGTTGAGTGTTGGAGGTTCTCTACGTATACCAGATCTGGAATTTATATTTAAATTTGGTTGTTGGTGTTGGTTTATATGTTTGTTGGTTTATATGTTTGTTGGTTCATGTGAGCCCAACATCTCTTTCTCTGTCTTTAGATTCAGTGTTACATGTTCTCTCTTATCATATCTGAAATTTTGCTCTAAAGTAATTCGCATGTTGGTGTTGGCATATATATGTTCATTGTTGGTTTGTTTGATTCATTATGGAACACCTTTCCCAACGTCCTTTCCCAAATCTTAAGGGTTCAGTGTTAGATGTTCTCTATATATAAGATCTGAATTTTTCAAAGACTTAGTGTTGGTCAGGGGTTGTTTGGTTCATTTTTACACATCTTCCAATGAGTTTTCTTTATTTCAAGGTTCAGTGTGAGATGTTAGCTTTGAGTTTCGTTTTGGTGTATGTTCATGGTTGGTTTTTTTGGCTTTTGTTCAAGGTTTGCATACTTGGATATTATTGTGGTGTTTCCCCCTTTTGATGATATTAGGGCACATTTACAAAGGACTTCTCTATACAAGAGATAAGGATCCACTGCTAGAAAATTAAGCCATAAACAAATACATGCTAATTTATGTTTATGAACCCTTTGTATCAATGTTTGTAAGACCATAAATACATCCATTATACATGAATTATGAATTAAAAAACTGTCATTTTATTCTTTTATTTAAAATTTCTTAGATTGTTCTTTGCAATCAACGACCACCAACCTAATTTTCATTATATGGGAAGGAGCAAAAGAGGAGGTTTACAAGTTTGAATTCACAATTTTAGGTCTAATTCAATGCCACAACCTCTAGTAGATTCATATGACCCAACAAAAATATTTATATTTAGGGTTATCTTTTTTTATTATTATTATATTTGGGCTTGTGTTATAGTCTTTCCAACCTTGTTTCTTTCCTTTTCTTTCTTGTGCTTTTTCTCTAACTTCATAATTCCGTTAAATAACAACGTCCAAAAACGTTAAGAGAGCCATTTTATGCTCAGGTTAGATTGTACGTATGAATTCTTGATTCAGTAAGTTAGAGTTTAAACTTTGAGTAATCTTACAATAATCCATGAGGTGTTTCCTTAATTACTTTGTACCACGATAATTACTAATGAATAGTCTTTATCCGATTAAATATTTTTGTCCTGTTGATTATTCTAATTAGGTCATTCATCCGAACACAAACCAGACGGAGAACTCTAATTTGCTTAATCGAAACATAAGCCTGACCGAGAACTCTACTAAATTACCAAAAGTTGAGCATGCCTACAAAGAAGATGTACCCGCCATACCCGAAAAACTTGAAGGAAAGCAAATTGATCATGACACAAATCAGGCAAAAGATTCCTCTACCATCCCAAAGTCGGAGAAAAACGATGTAGAAGATATAGCCCCCAATCATGTTTCACCAAAACAACAGATTAATCAAGACACAGATGATCAAACAAAGAATTCATCCAACATATCAGAAGAGGAGCGCAACTACAAAGAAGATAAAGATATTTTATCCATGAAAATTAGAGATCATCTCGAGGTAGCTAGTATTCTATTCTCTTTATAATTACTCGGTTATCATTACTAGATTCACACCCTACTTCGCCCTTGTTGGTTTTGCCTTATTTAGGCGGCCAAAAAAGCTTTTGAGGAAGAATGCCAAAAGAAGAACAATGACGTTGCAATCAAAGCAAAGCCCATCGCCTTCTGTCTACCAGAGGGATCATCCAACACCAACAAGGTACATAGCTAAGTTACTTGACTACATGTGTTCATAGCAGTATGCAGTATGTAAACTAGTATGCTATTCTCTTTATAATTACTCGATTATCATTACTAGATTCACACCCTACTTCGTCCTTGTTGGTTTTGCCTTATTTAGGCGGCCAAAAAAGCTTTTGAGGATGAAAGCCAAGAGAAGAACAATGACGTTGCAATCAAAGCAGAGCCCATCGCCTTCTGTCTACCAGAGGGATCATCCAATGCCAACAAGGTACATAGCTAAGTTACTTGACTACATGTGTTCATAGCAGTATGCAGTATGTAAACTAGTATGCTATTCTCTTTATAATTACTCGGTTATCATTACTAGATTCACACCCTACTTCACCCTTGTTGGTTTTGCCTTATTTAGGCGGCCAAAAAAGCTGTTGAGGATGAAAGCCAAGAGAAGAACAATGACGTTGCAATCAAAGCAGAGCCCATCGCCTTCTGTCTACTAGAGGGATCATCCAATGCCAACAAGGTACATAGCTAAGTTACTTGACTACATGTGTTCATAGCAGTATGCAGTATGTAAACTAGTATGTTATTCTCTTTATAATTACTCGGTTATCATTACTAGATTCACACCCTACTTTGCCCTTGTTGGTTTTGCCTTATTTAGGCGGCCAAAAAAGCTGTTGAGGATGAAAGCCAAGAGAAGAACAATGACGTTGCAATCAAAGCAGAGCCCATCGCCTTCTGTCTACCAGAGGGATCATCCAATGCCAACAAGGTACATAGCTAAGTTACTTGACTACATGTGTTCATAGCAGTATGCAATATGTAAACTAGTATGTTATTCTCTTTATAATTACTCGGTTATCATTACTAGATTCACACCCTACTTCGCTCTTGTTGGTTTTGCGTTATTTAGGCGGCCAAAAAAGCTGTTGAGGATGTAAGCCAAGAGAAGAACAATGACGTTGCAATCAAAGCAGAGCCCATCGCCTTCTGTCTACCAGAGGGATCATCCAATGCCAACAAGGTACATAGCTAAGTTACTTGACTACATGTGTTCATAGCAGTATGCAGTATATAAACTTCTTTGCACTCTGCAGGTCTATTCGTTTGAGAAAAAGAAACAGAAAAAGAAACAACCTTCTATATCCTGGGGAATAAAGCCAGTATCATTTTTCTCAGATATCCCTACAGATATTATGGCTAATCTGCAAGGTCTTGAAAAGGTAATTTACTTATGCTAACCATGTTCTAAACTGATCATTCTGTGTTCAGGTTATCCATGTTAATGTACTTCCTTTCAACAGTGGCTGATGAATCAAGAGGAAATGGAAGCGACGATGGAACATAAGCTTCCAGTTCAACTGTCTATGGCTAGAAGGCTCCAAGGATGGACTATGGAGCTTAAGCAGCGAACATCCGATGTCAAAAAATTTGATGCGGTACTGTTTCCATTTTCCGTTCAGATGATGAATGTGTGACCAAATTTTGTGTGGGTTTGTCACATTTGTGGAAGCTAACATGTCTGTGAACAGTATTATTTCCACCAGGATTTAAAGGTGAGATTTCGCTCAGTGATTCAAGTCATTAACTTTGTGTTGCATAATTCTCTTTGGAAGCCGGTGAAGGGTGAGCTCCCTAGTAAGAGGAAAGGTTTGGTCAGCTATGCTCCTCCTGTAAGTATATTTAATTAGCATACATGTTGAGACGCCAGATTAGTAGATTACATATAATATCTTTGATTGAATTCAGGAATCTAGTCAAAAGAAGAGGAAGATAACAAAGGCGGAAGAGATTGAAGTGCAGGAATTCTTAGCAGAAGCATTCGACAATCTGCAGAATGGTCGATGGGATCCTGCATATGGAGGAACTCTGCATTCTGGCAGAGAAGGTGATTGTTCTCATGCGAAGAGTAAGGATGATGCCGGCGGAAATGGCGACGACATGGACGGGGATGGTGTTGATGATGGGAGTACTGCTGATTCCGGTGGAAAGGGGGAGACAATGAAGTGACCGATTTCGATCATTGAGTTGGTTGCTGGGAAATTTGGAACCTTCATTTATATCATGCATGATGCATATTTTCGATACAATAATGGATCAAACAAGTGGTGTTGCTGGTCATGAACGTGATCATTTGCAGTTTGTTGGTTGTTTGAATTTGAAGTACATTTTGTGAGAAGTTGAACATTGCAGTAGCTTCATTGACATTTTTTCAGGGAGCTAAATGGTTATTTTCAGATATAGTTTTTTGTTGTTTCATAATTCAGAGGTTCCGTATTGTTGTTGATTTTATGCCCTTGAAATATTTTTTTTTTTCTGTTTCTTAGAAAATGATAAATTTGGTATATGGCATTATCATCCATGATTATGGACCAAGCTTTAACAGGGTGAGGTTTATCATACCGGAGTTTGTACTGAAAAAAGTGAGTAGTATGATATTTCATATTGAAATCATAATTTGATTGTAGTTCAACGGTTTAGAATCGTCTACCAACTTAGCCTCTGATATATAGTTTTTTTCTGTCAGATCACCGATAACTGCGGTACACTTTCGCACTACTTTTTAACGCTTTCTGCTTATATCCAAATTATGATATCCATAAACTACGGGCTACGGCCCAATAACTTTACCTTCCCAGTCCCCCACCGAACTATTCCATCCAGTCTACAAAACCCACAACCCAAAAGGCCGAACCCCTCCCCCCAAACCGTTCCCTAGTCCATACCCTCCTTCGGCCCATCCCTTCGGCCCAGAATGATTAACATAAAGTAACCGATCGAGCTGGCGTAATCTTGTGCTTGGTTCCTAAACCCTAATAAAAAGAGCAATCAAAGAAATGGATGTCGTTGAACTAGAAGGGCTTAGCTGGCATTAAGTGTTCTTTGATATTACACCGTGAATTTGGTCGCCTCCAGAACATGATTTAAGTTGAAAATGGGAGATTTTAGAGATAAGGATACAACAAACAAAATGGGCGTTGGGAAGTCTTATTGCTTTTCCAAAGTGAGCCAAATGTGTTGAATAGAAGAGTTTATTCAATGTATATATTTATGACCATATAAACTGCCCAAAATTACACATTCCTTTTGCTTTTCTAGCATGTATAGTTCCAGCTTCTTCTTCTTTTTTTTCTTTTTCTTTCAGTGAAGATTTCCTTGCTGTTAATATTGCATGTTCGCCAGCCCAAAGGAGTTGCCCGTCAAATGTATAAAATGTTCTTAAACTTTGTTGCATTTTTACTCAGACCAACTCGGTGATCGAGTCAAGGTGGGAAAGAATGTTTTCATTTCGTCAAGGTGAGGATTCTGGGACGGTGATCTGTCAATTTTGTCAAGATTCCTTTTTTAAAATTAAATTAACAATTATCAAATAAAAAAAACATATAATTAGTGCAAGTTACATCAAAAAGTTCACGAAATGTTTTCATATCGCGAAAACTGAACTTCAAACAGCTTCTTCGTCTAGGTTTGGGTCATGTAGACTGATAAGACAGGGATGGCCACCTGCCTGCCCTTATGAACAAAGGCAGTGCTCAGTTTCCACATTTTGTCATCAATGCAACCGCTGTAATGTGTAATGTTCAACGTGGAAGCAATATAATACTACAGAGAGAGGACATCAATGCTGCAGACCATAGAATTAATAATCAACGCCAAATTGTTGTACTAGCTAGCTAGGGTAGAGTATGTTTAACGGCAGTAGTACTAAACCTGGATTCTTGTTTCAGGCTATTGAATTAGAACACAGACAACTTGTCTGCAAATAGTTTTTCCCTTAAACAAGTACACAACACAAACAACGTCGAAATACCCACGAGCCCAAATTCCAAAGAGGTTTTGACCAGTGGCGTAGCCAGGATTTTATTCAAAGGGGTGCCGTAAAAAATTACATTTGCAGTCTCATGTCTGATATTGTGAAGTTATTTTATAACTTTATGAATCGGTCAAACTATCAAAATTTCACACTTAATAAATCCCACTGAATAACCATTCACAATTTCAGTTCACTAGATATGCGAAGGCTGATCAATCGTTTCATAGCATAAAATGTTATTAACTTGTGGATTGACAAATGATCGTTGCAAATCAAATCTATCTTCACAATCAAATACATTGATAGGAACTAATTTTAAAGTAGAAATTCGTGGATAAAATTAATTTATTAATTTGTTGTGATTTAATGGTAGAAGATTTGACGATTGACATTAAGATTTAGGATTTTGATATCACCATCAACTAACTAATACTACTAATATTTTGTGTTTTTTCCAAATCTAGGGGATGCCATGGCACCCTCTTATTACACTCTACACACGCCCCTGGTTTTGACCGGTTACCTATATATTAACGGAAAGAATCTTATTAGTTGGAGTTAGATTGCAGTCTAAATCTTTTACAAATTCAAATAGTGTTTGGGTGTTTCAACTTGGTAGCTAACCAATCGAATCGCCCGCATTTAATCCGTTGTTTACGTCGCAATCGTTCGCCCGATCGTCGTGGCTGGATATAAAGCCTCCAATGTCACTCAGTCATGTCCTTATAGCGCGCACACGTATGAACTTGCTCAACCATAGGCAAAATGCACCCTCTCGCGACTTGTTACGCGTTGTCCGTCGATCGATAGTCGGTCTAGTCTTAGTCCAACTTTTCATGCAACACAATCAAAGGAGAAGAAACTACACAGTTTCAGAGGGAAATGCACTGAAATGTGCAATCCTTTTTGACAGAGGGAACGCACATGGTACTGCTGCTGCAAATGAAGGAAGAGGAAGAGGAAGAGAGAATAAACGCACACATGCAGCAATTAAGATGTCTGCAGTAAGCTTGAACACTTTGGTCACGAGGGGTGGGACTCTCTGCTCTGCCCAATAGAACCGGAAAACCCACTCGATCCAATCAATCAATGGCTGCCTTAATGCAAAAGATCCCTCTCCCTTCTTCCCTCTTTCTCGCTGAGTTTGGAATTGGATCACTCAACTGTCTGTCGGTTTCCACTCTGCGGTTGCCACATACGCAAAGCCATAATACTTTCATTATTCAATCAACCAGACTGCCATTTCCACCCCACAGCTCACTCACTCAGCCGCATGTATTGAATAATGATCACTAATTAACTATAGATCCAGGACCAGAAGAAGAAACTGAGTCACATTATTATTATAATATTACTAGTGTACTCATATTATAATTCATCCCAGTGAGTGTGACTGAACTCTGGCTTCAGCCCTGTTCTAATGGTCCAGAACTCTGTTAGCTGCAGAGAGCTAACTTTCACCCTATAAAATGGGCTGGATCGTAGTCGAGAGGGTGAAATTTGTTGTCGCGCGAATGTATGGTTTTTCGTTCGACAGTTTTGAATGCAATTACGGTTTTACGATCAACTTCAATCGCCGAGATGTGATCTGAATCACTTGTGGGTAGAAAAGTAAGTGAAAACTCACTGTTAGAATTGATGGGTGGGTGAGTGGGTGGAAGGGAGAACAAAAAAAAAAAAAAGCCAACTTTAATATCACCTCCAAGAAAGAAACCCAACCCAATTCACTCCTCAGCTACCAACAAGCTAGTAACAAACAGCAACAAACTCATTCAAACCACATATCCCTTTCACTTTCAAAAGGTAAAAAAAGAAAGAAAGAAGAAGATTAAAAGAGAGAAATTTTAGTTCATCATTTCTATTGCCCAAAGAGAGACATATGACCCCATAACTCATCATCTCAAAACCACTCAACTCTTTCACTCTCTTCCACCCCACAATCCACCATTTTCAAAGGTCCCCCCCATTCTGTTTACATCCTTTTAGCCAGGCAGCCCTCACATGCCCCCTCTTCCCCACCCTCAACCTTCTCATCTACCCATATTCATTTACCGATTTTACTACGAATCAGGATACGTGTGTTACCATCTAAAATTATCAGCATCGTGAATCAACTGATCGTGGAACACGACACACGTAATTCATCGATCGTGAATCATGCCAAGACATGCTAACTTCGATGCTGCATTAGAACCATATCAAATTGTTACTACCAAGAGAATGGTGGTCACTTATCATGCCAAGATATTCTAACGGCAATAGACAATAGAATCATATCATATTGTTTTTTCTTCTTGAAAGTGGTTGTTACATTTCACCTCAAAGCATTTCCCCTAGTATCGTTAATGAGCACTAGAACGATATCGAATTGTTCTCTACTACATAGAATGATTCACTTTTTAACTCGACACGATATCTTCTGCAGACAGAATGACAAGTGGCTTTGATGATAGTCTCAAGCGAGTAGTTGATTTGAACTACGAAAATTCTTTAATGTGAATTAAACACCTTAACCACTTTGAGCTACACCTATAATAGCATAGTTAATCACTAATCCTAAAAGTCAATCATATTTATACTCTCTTAAACATCACTATCAAAATTCCAAATCAATCAAATCTCACAAGGTGTGCCATCAAAACTCAAAACCACACTCTTCAAAACCTAAGAATAGATTCCACAACGTAGGCAAAGCAGCTGTTGACTAACACCCACCACCAAGAAATACACACATTAAACATAATCAAGATTAGGACATTTTAATCATCAATACTCTTTCATTGATGATCATAATTTTACATTAGATAACGTATTGCTGTATCTAATCTCCTTCAACACAAGCATCTGGATCGGCTTCGTCTCCCCAGATCTAGTTCCCTCTCTCTTCCCTTCTTAACGTATATTCACTCAAGTCTCCTACCGTTTTCTTTTTACTAATTACCGTTGACTAATACCATCTGCTAATATATATAATTTAAAGCCAAATTTTTTTAATAATAACAATTTAGCATTAATTAATCACTTTATTGAAAAATCTCCAGTCGAGTCGGACCTCACCCATACCCGGAATCGGCTGCTGACTCGGCTTCCTGAACGAAACGATGTGGCTGCTAACCATAAACGCCGTGACCCGCTCCGAGACCCGAATGTCCTCCATCTTCAGCTCCTGCAGCCGCCGAACGTACTCCGGCACGTGCACCAGGTCCCACACCACTCCCATCCCGCCGGGTTTCAGGACCCGAACCATCTCCCCAAGGACCCGCATCCGCTCCGCCGCCGCCTCCACCGTCCGGTGACCGTACTCCTTCCCCACCGTGTGGAGGAACACCGCCGATACCACCACGTCGAAGTAGTTGTCCCCGAACGGCAGGCTCCTCACGTCTCCTTCCCTGCAAGTCACATATTCCCCCACACCTGCAAAATCAACCAAATCCACAATTAAACCCAATTTTCTCCCAATCTCAAATTGACCTAATAAATCGATAATGAAAGATGGAAAAAGAAAGAAATTCAGACTACCCAGTACACACCTTCCATGTTGGCGGTGCGGAGGGTGGAGAGGGTGGTCCGTTTGGACCGGTCCAACCCGACGACCCGGCCGGAGCTGCCGGTTTTTTTCAGCTGGGTGGCGACGGAGTTGAGCAGAATCCCGCGGCCGCAGCCGATGTCGAGGGCGAGCTTCACCGACGACCAGTCGTTGACGTGGCCGACGATCCTCTGGGCCATCTCGTGCTGCAATGCCACCGAGCTGTAGAAGAAGTTGCCGGCGGCGACGAAGAGGCAGACGGAGGAGAGGGCGGCGACGCAGCCGGTGAACCCGGCGGCGAAGCGGGCGGCGCCGCCGCCGGCTGCGAAGAGGAGAGGGAAGGCCCATTCGAGGAAGCTGCAGAAGGGGTCGAAGTAGAGGAGGAAGAGGACGGATAGTAGGGAGAAGAGGAAGGCGTTGAACAGGAGGAAGAGCAGAGTGTGCCATTGATCCATCCCGTAGATTGCGTAGATCTGCGTCCAGTCTCGGTTCGGGGGGCTGGTTTTCCCCATTTTCGGAGCGGTATGGAGGGCGTGAGCTCGAACTGCCAGCGACATTTCGACCTGAGATGGATAATGAGCAAAAATGAAATGACAGATCCGCCACAAAAAAAAAAATCTTCTGAAAGTAACAATGAAAATGACTGTAGAAATCAATCTAAGTGAAGATTTTTCAGAGCAAATGACAAAAGAAGATCAATCCGCAGAGAAGGGTTAGAAAAGAAAAGCAGTGAATCGGAATCAGAGACTAGGAAACAGAAAATCTCAACATGGGGCCTTACCAGAATAGGGAAAAGCTCCAAAGAATTCTTCTTTACTGAACGGGAGATGGAACAAAGGGAATGACAAACAGAGTACCGAATGAATCAAAATCTCCTTGTTTCCCACCTTTTCCCCCAACTTTTTTTTTTCTGGGCAACCAAACAGAGTACTCAGAGAGCAGACAGTAAAAAAGAAAGCAGAGCACTGTACTGATACTTCTGCAATCAATCTCTCAGCCGTACCAAAAAAAGGTCCTAACTTGTAGCAGCCACTTCAAACTTCAAATCACACACCAACGTCGGCAGATCCATTTTGAGCCAAGAAACAGAGAACAATTTGCACAACCCAAGAAGCAAAAGGCAGAGCAGCGAGAGGTCACGCTACCGAAACAAAACAAGCAAAAAAAGTAAAGAGTGGGGAAAAGACCAAACCCCTCCTGCAGCAGCAAATCGCCGCCCACTCGCTTCCCCAAATCAAAAGGGCGGACTGGCAACAAAAGCCTAGCCTACAACAGGGGTAGTAGTAGTAGTGTGTGGTGATTCGGTTACTGAAATGGATAGAAGGTGTGAGAAGAAAGAGACAAGAATACAGCCAGAGCTTGTTTTTTCTAATACGGTTAGTTTTCTTGCTGCAGAGAGTGTCAGAAGGAACAGAATGATAGCAGTAGCGCTAATCTCAAACAACAGCAACAGATTGGGGAGGAGTGCTGTGTTGAATGATGATGGATGGAGGGTTTGTAGTCGTACTAGTGGATCGCCATTTCACGCGTTTTTCTGAGCAAGCAGGGAGGCGGATGGTTTCGTCGTTTTGCGGGGGTTTTCAAAATGCCTGCTGGAGAAAAAGGTGGGAACTTTTGGAGCTTTTGATGGGTTTTCTTCCCTCTTTTTCTCACTGCTTTACAGGGAACGAGATTAATAAGGCGGAGAAGGAAGAAAAGAAAAGAAGGCTATTGGGAGGGAGCTGCGGAATTGGGGAATTTGGTGGGTGGAGAAATCGGTATCCTGGTCGGTAAGTCTTGTTTATGTGAAAAAAGTCGCGAGGAAGGGACAGAAGAAGAGAGAAATTTTGAAAGGGTAAACTGGGAATAATAATATTAAACAAAATCTGAAATGGGATTCAGTCAGAAATCAAAATCTGAAAAGATAAAGACCCGACGGACCTTTTCTGGCCACCGTCACCGGCTCCGTACTATTGCCACGATTGGGACTGAAGAAGACGACTAGTGGAGTGGAGGTGCGACTCGGTTGATGACGGTGCGGCAGTTATTGGGCTATTTTTTATGGGCTTTTTAGTTCATAACAGAAGGGAGGTATGGGCTTTAATTCATGCTATCTCCTTTTTCTTTAACGAGTAGGAGTTAAAGAGTAATTTCACAAATAGCTTGGATATGTAATTGTAATGATAAATTTGATCAGAATGTATCGTTAAGTAAATGGGATCAAATTAACTCATTTGTTAGTAAATTTTTTTTTTGGAAGTAGTTAGTAAATTTTATGGATGTACTAAGTTGGCTTGTATTATTTCAATTTCATATTCATTTCGATGCAATTTCAATTGTCTGGAGCGGATGTAAAATAATTTGAATTGATTCGTAGTACATGACTCATTTGTGAATTGATCCATCCAAATTTATCTCGTTTGTGAATTGATCCATCCAAATGATCTCAAAACCTCCTCAGGAGATTGTGACATTGTCACTTGGTGATTGATTGTCCAAGTCTTTTAGCGGGAACCCCTAAGGTGAGAGGGTGTGACATTGTCACTTGGTGATTGATTGTCCGGTCTTTTAGTGGGAACCCCTAAGGTGAGAGGGTGACGTACATATGGGATGGTTATTCATGTTTAACAAGCCTTTTAACTCCTGCAGTTAACACAATTCGAATCGTTACTATTCAGATTTTTAGTTCTCGTTGTTCAAGAGATTTCTGATTCCACCATTGATCATACTATTGACCAACCTTTGGATATCATTATATACCAATTCATACGAGTTCATTATTGAGTAGTACGTCTAGTAGTTGTTGAGTTTGTCAACAATGGAAGCTAGGTCGTGAATAGTGTAGTCATAGTACAACACCAAATAATTTGTACCATGTCAACAAGGCTTACGAGTGCATTCTCTCTCATTGGTGGGTTGTAAGTTGCAACGAATTTTTTCTTTCTTCAAACCTAGCCTTTGACAAGAGAGAATGGAGAAGGGAATGCTTCTTTCTTCCTACCATCAACCGGCCGACCAACGGAGTCCAACCCTTTTAATTAATGTCAAATGCAACAATCAAGATTAGACTCGTCACCTCTAATAGTGATCCTTTAAGTATTTAGATTACTAATCTGTGACGAGAGATTACATAACAGTAGTCTTACGTCAACATGAAACCCAACTCTCAAGGTCAACCTCTAAATGTTTGTCGACGATAATAGACTTGTTGGGTCCATGAATCTGTCAACTGTACCAAACATATTCCGTGCCTGTCGGGTTTAAAGAAACCCCACCTACAAATATTTTTGGTGAAATTTTTTCCGATTCTGATTCAATTGGTTACCCACGAAGATGAATAAGTTTTGCCAATCTCAAATTGTTTGTACCTATCTTTGTCTTTTTGACATATCTTTGAGGGGAAAAGACCGACTTGGTGAGAAAGAGATGTCCATTTTGATCCAAGCATAGAATTAGGACGTTTTGCAGGATTCAATCTCCAAGTCTAACACGAGAGGACGACCATCAACTGAGTTGGTAAAAGGAAGATGAAGAACCGAAAAAGGAATCGCAAGTTACGTTCCGCCCGTCAATCAAGGGGTTATTATTCAAAGACGAATAGGACACAGCAAACAATCGGACATATTATTCTCCATTCCTATGATTTACTTTAGCGTTGACACTAACCCTGCGTAGGGAGACACGATGATAAGAAAAGGGGATCGTGTATGAGAAACGAATTATAATGTGAATTGACTTCTTTTTTTTTTGTTTCTTTTTTGTTTTTTAGATTTTGTATATATATAATTTTTCTTTATCATTTCAAAAGAAAAGAAAAACAAGATACGACAGAATAAACAGGTTCTTTGCAAGTCAAAATTAGAAAGATGCATGAAAGAAGAGCGGTTTGTCAACCAGCCTACTATCAAACGATGAGGGAGCTTTTTTCGTCACGAGATGGGCAACCCTATTATACTTACACGCCCCCCAAGTGAAATGATACACGCTGCATAGAGTCATGAAGAACCTAATAAACCTCGGTGAGAAAGCTGCCACCCAAAATGTGGGCCCAATTCTTCCGATTAATCATATGAACGACCCCACCTGCACATCACCAACGCTTAAGGGGTTGTTCGGAGGTTGGGATTCTCCAAATTGAAGTTTTTTTTTTTTTGATAATGATGACATTCATTAACTTAAACTGAAGTAAACTAAAGTACAAAAAAATAGAAGAAAAAACACAGCAAAGCAGCCAGAAGGGTGGCAGGGACACAAAAACAGGTAACACCCAGCTGCAGATGCATCCCCAGGCCCAAACTTGAACACTAGGTGAATGGAAACTGTCATCCCATCTCATCTCAGAGCTCTACCTACAAGGCTGGGGATATAAAACATGTAAACGCAATTGCAGCTATCTCCTGCAAGTCTTCCAAGAAACCCGAAAAAACAGACGACACGAACACGGGGCACTGCGATGCTGAACTCACCAGCGCGCAAGAATCCCGAATGCAGACCACCAACTCAAAGCCAAGTAGTACCTCTGCCACCACACGTTCTCGACTTCAAAACTTCCAGCCAGCTTTCCGCGATCACTTTCTCCACTTTATCCGCCGCTAAGAGCCAATGAGCAATCAAACTCCCTGTTTTAAAAGCTACTGTCAATTCTGGTGTTGCTTTGCCATCAAAGGTCCGAGCATTTCTTTCTCTCCAAACGCTCCAGCAGAGAGCGTGGAGTAGAGATTTAGTACACCACTCTTTCGGATTTGCAGGCTTACACTTTGGCCAATGCTGAATTGCTTGTGATATGTCGGGGGGAGCGTTTGTGATGCAAACAAAAGCCTGCAGTACCTCCCAAACCCTGCAAGTAAAGCTACAGGTAAGGAAAAGGTGATTTGCGTCTTCCTCGGCCACCCCACACAAGACGCATTTGCTGGGGAAACTCCAACCTCTCTTCTTCAATGAGACGTGGGTGAGGATCTTCTTCTGATGAACAACCCACATGAAAGTGCAAACCTTGGTTGGAATATGCCCTTGCCAAATTGTTTTGAAGGGGAAATCCTCCCTCGGTTGACACTTCTCCTTGATGAACCTTTGATACATGGAGCTCACGGTGAAAGATGCAGTGTTTGGAGCCCGCCACATCAAGGAGTCTGAACCTGCAGGAGCTGACGGAAACAAAGATGGCACAAGAGAGTTAAGATAATTTAGTAAGCTAACTCGTTCTCTCTCCGCCCCACCCCTTAGTGTATATTTAAGAGGTATTTCCCAAGTTAAACTCTCATTTTCAAAATGCAGACACTGTGAAACTGAAGCAAGTGGGAACGCCGCAGCAGCCGCCACCCTTGGAAAGATCTCCGCAAGAGTCCTTTCATTGAGCCAATGGTCAAGCCAAAACAGAATGTTGTTCCCCATACCGATTTTCACCCTTGCGAACTTCCAGAACTCAGCATTAACTGTTGTGATTTGTTTCCAAAGACTGATCCTAACGGCGCCTTGGATCCCTCCGCTTTTCCAGCTCGTTGCACCAATGGCAAACTTTATTTGTATGAGCTCCCTCCACCAATTGTCTTGCTCCCTCGCAAACCTCCACAACCATTTACATATTAGTGCCTTATTTTGTAGTTCCAAGTCCTTAATCCCCAGTCCACCCCATTTCTTTGGAATTTTACATCTTTCCCAAGCCACAAGATGAATTTTCTTCTGCTCTCCAAGTCCCGACCAGATGAAGTCTCTTTGTATATTCTCGATCCTTTGAATCACCCCCTTCGGTGCAATGAACAACGAGCATCTGAACAGGGGCTGGCTTGCAAGGCAAGCATTACTCAAGACGATCCTCCCACCCAGTGAGAGCAAACTCCCTTTCCAACCTTCCATTTTCGTCTGCAGTCTTGTAATTACTGTGTTCCAAACTCCCGCCGCAGCAGGAGGGGCGCCCAGCGGTAATCCAAGATAAGTGGTTGGCAGAAAGCTCCAGTCGCAGCCAAAGACTTCCGCAAGTCTCCCCAAACTATCCACATCCCCGACAGGAAACATTCTGCTTTTCTCAAGGTTTACTTTGAGCCCAGAGACGCTCTGAAAGCAGACGAGGATAGCAAGGATGTTCCTTACCTCCTCTTCAGTAGCATCACAGTAGATAATGGCGTCGTCTGCATATAACAGATGTGTCACTTCCCCTCTTCTGTTTACTTCATCCATACAAAAGCCTTTGATAAACCCCTCGCTACAAGCTTCCTGAATCATGAAAGACAAGATATCCATGGCAATATTGAAGAAAAAAGGTGACAAGGGATCACCCTGCTTCAGGCCCCTCTCTGTTTTAAAATAACCGGTTGACTCCCCATTCACTAGAACCGACAGTCTTGTGGACGAGACAATCCCCTTGATCCACCTCTGAATTTTTGAACTAAACCCCATGGATGCCGCCGCACTCAACAAGCAACCCCAATTGACACTGTCAAAAGCCTTCTCAATGTCAAGTTTCAGGATTACCCCCGGTTTTCCACTTCTCTTCCTGCTGTCCACTAACTCATTGGCAATCAAACTTGCCTCATGAAGTTGTCTGCCACGAACCCCTGCAAACTGATGTCGAGTAACAATTCTATCCATCAACGGTCTGAGCCTTGCGATTAGTACTTTGGACAGCACCTTGTTGAGGCTTCCCACAAGGCTTATTGGTCGAAAGTCGCTTACTTCTTCAGCCGCATCCTTCTTCGGAATTAAACAGAGAAACGAGTGTGCAATCGAGTCTGGCATGAAACCAGAAATGTGAAACTCGTCGAGCGCCTTGACCAGATCCCTCTTGATAACGTTCCACCCCTTTTTGTAAAACTCCAGAGTAAACCCATCTGGCCCGGGAGCGCGATCACCATCACACTCTGATATTGCCTTCCAGATTTCTGCTTCTGTGAATGGAACACTTAGTCTGTAGTTTTCTTCCGCGTCAATCAGACCTGTTCTGTAACCCTTTGGGAAAGGTCTAGCCTGTTTCTCTTCCAAGAAACGCCCCTGAAAATGATCCCGAAAAGCTGACTGCAGGTCTTCCTTAGTGTCAACCCACACTCCATTAACCTTGATGTTCTGAATTTTGTTCCTCCGCAAATTGTTCTGCGCTACTCTGTGAAAATATGAGGTGTTCAAGTCCCCCACCTTCAACCATATCTCCCTTGATTTCTGCCTCCAGATAATCTCCTCCTTAAGCAGAGTTTTTTCTAACTCACATTTAAGGAGGGTCCTTTCTATGAGTAATGAGTCAGCCAAGGGTCCTTGTTCTTCAAGCTTATCAATTTCTTTGAGTTTAAACAGCAAGCGTGAAACTTTCTCATCCGTTCTGCCGAATTTCTCTATATTCCAGCCTTTAACCATAAACTTTGTGTTTCTCAATCGTTTACCAAAGAGATAGAGACACCCAAAACCGGTTGTTGGCAGGTTCCACCATCCCACGAGACTTGTGAGGAAAGACTCCTCCAACAGCCACACATTCAAAAATTTCCAAGGGCGAGAAATCTTCTCTTCGGATCCCCACCGTAAAAGGAGGGGATTATGATCCGATTCAACTCTGTCCAGCGCCAAGACTGATTCCGGAGCGAAGCAACTGTCGAACCACGGATTAACTAAAGCTCTATCAATACGAGAAAGGGAGCCATTACTGCCCCCGCGACTCCAAGTGAACAAAGAGCCTTTGAGCGGTAGGTCGATCAAATTCTGCTTACTGATTAGTTCGTTGAACTTCTCCATCAATTCTCTATCCCGGGGGAGACCCCTGTAATCATCCTCACACCTTACCAGGTTAAAGTCTCCAATGATACATAGGGGATCCAAACAGCCTTCACATACCATCCGTAATTCCTCCAAGAAAGCCAATTTGTTCTCCTTATCCTGGGGACCATAAACCCCAAGGATTGCGAAAGTTTCTTGCTGACCCACTCTTTGTAACTTCACCGCAAGGCTAAATTTCCCTTCCCACTTGTCCACCAAACTGAAAATCCCTTTATCCCAGAAAATAGCGATACCTCCACACGTCTCGATCGCATCCTTTGCAGCCCATTCCGAGTTTCTCCTTCCACTGATGGAACTTATCAGCATTCGAGTGCAACATCCCACTTAGTTTCGGATAGAACCACAATGTCTGGACGCCATCTCCTAATCAGCCTTTTGATTCTTGCTCGTTTGTCACTAGCACCCAAACCCCTGACGTTCCATGATAGAATTGAAGAACCTTGCATCATAATTAAACAGTGGAGTTATCAGCAAGCCTGGGACCTGCACTCTTCCCTCTAGCAGTGGCCCTTTCTGGATCTGTATCAAAATCTTTCAATTGGGTAGATCTCTTCCTGAGTCTCGTTGAGGTTACGCATACCGCTTGAGAACCCAGCCTGCGCATTTCCATTTCTGTTTTCGACCTCAGCTTCCTTGTCTTCCTAATCTTCGTATCCCGGGCAATGTCCTCAACAAATTTGTCAGCATCTTCACTCGAACCATTTAACTCTAGACGGAACACTCTGCTAAACTTGACGCTGCATTCCAGAAGGTTATCCGCATCACGTTCCGCTTGCCAGTCGAAACGATCCTCCAGCCTGGTTGGGTTGAAAGGGATGATGGCTAAATGATTGGGATCCTCCACAGAAGGTGGGTGGTCCAATAGATCTTCAAAGGGTGGGGATGCGAGATCATTAATCGGAAGAGGATATATTGATAAAAATGTATCAATTTGAAAAATACCTTGTTTGGAGGTTTACATTGTGCTTTGTTATAAATGAAAAAATAGAGGGTAGACAATCCCTTGGTCACAATCTCTCTTTTTGGTAGAGATTGATAATCACTCATTTTGAGTGATTGTAGGTGGGTCAAGAAAAAGGTAATACATATATTCTGTAAAAAAATTAATAAAAAAATGACTTAATCTTGACATTACATGCATTGACTAAATACAATCACTTGAAATCACAACTTCCAAAGGAACACTAAGTTAGGAACACTAAGTTTCGCAGTCCCCTGGCCTGGCGCATGGACTGGTAAGCTCGTCTCTCCCATGTGCCATACAGTTCCTTTCGGAATTCATTTTGTGTCTCTTTCTGACCATGAGATCCGACATTGTATCATGTATGACATTAAGAGCATTCCTATTCCCTACGATATTAATGTTATGAAGTAGTTGTGGTTTGCATCCGTTTTCGATAAGAAATAGCTCGATTACAGTCAATCAGTTCAATTCAAAATATAATATAAAGACTGGCTTATTTTTGTCTCCAAACATATATAATAAGCACATCATCAAAAATATACTTAGAAAGGATGGGCAGAGCAGGGCATGATCATATAGTAAATGAAGTTTGAAAAGACCATACCAGAAATAGGTATCTTTGAACATGATTGAGAGCCAAAAAGACCATACTATACAAGGTATTTGCTAAAACGTTATAGTAGAGACTGAAGATGTTCATTTGTCGAACAATAGAAGCATACAAGTAACAGATGGATCGATCGTACCTGGTTTCGCCTAACGAGACAGGAAATAAAGATGGTGCAGGCAGGAGGATGTCTCGGTGGCAGAATCAGGTTCTACATGACTTCCAAGTCAAAATTTCATATTTTAATTTGAGTAAATCAGAAGAATCACAATACAAAAGCCATCCCTGATCCATCTCCTAACTCCAAGAAGGAAAAATGGAGAGCAGCATCCAAGTACTCCCTCTGCTCTTCTCATTTCTCTTCATCACCATCACCTTCATCTTTCCACTCCTCAGACCATGGAAGAAAGACCAACCCTCAAACTCAAAGCAGCAACAGCGCGAAGCGGGTAGCTTCTTTCCGCCCCATCAGGGAACAAGAAGTTGCCAGTTTAGTAACTGACATTTGCTGCAGACAAGGTTTGGTGACCAATGTTAGTAGGATGATTTACTCTCTGACGTATAGGATCATATCAAGGACTGCATTCGGGAAGCTGTACAAGGTTGAGTCGTCATTCGTACCGGTTTCTATGGAAATCAATGACGTTGGGAGCGGGTTTGGTGTTGCTGATGTGTTCCCATCGTTCAAGTTCCTTCAGCTGATTACTGGGGTTAGATCCAGGCTGCAGAAACTGCAGCGAGAATCTGACCGGATACTCCATAGCATAATCAATGAGCATATAGCAGCAGCAAAAGCAGGGGAAGGTGAAAAGGAGGAAGGAGTAGATGATCTTGTGGATGTTATGTTGAAGATCCAGCAAAATGGAGAGCTTGGTTTCACATTAACAACTGATAGTGTCAAAGCAATCCTCCTGGTGAGTCAACTACCCTGCATTGCATGTTGGCAGCGTTGCATGTTGAAGGAAATCATGTGTGTAATGAAGTCTGTTTTTAGACTACTGTGCATAGTATTCACTCTTCAACTGTAATCATCAAAATTGAAATTCTAACTGTTAAGAGTTTGTCTAATATAACGATAGAGTCTAGTATGTGCAACTACTCATTCATTTTTACTCATAATACCATTGCATGTGAATTTATGAATGTGTTTAAAATACACTAACCTCTTAAATCAAACAATACTGTTTGCAGGACATGTTCATTGCAGGAAGCGAGACTTCATCAACAGCAGTGGAATGGACGATGTCGGAGCTGGTTAGAGACGAGAGAGTGATGAAGAAGGCACAAGCAGAGGTTAGGGCAGTGTTTGGGAAGAGAGGGAAAATTGAGGAAACAGGAATCGATGAATTGAATTGCCTGAAGATGGTTATCAAAGAAAGCCTGAGGCTGCACCCTCCTCTGCCTCTACTGATTCCAAGAGAGTCCCTGGAGCAATGCAAGATGGAAGGATTTCACATCCCGGCTAAGACCAAGGTGATAGTGAATGCATGGGCTATTGGGAGGGATCCGAAGTACAGGAGTGAACCGGAGAGATTTTACCCCGAAAGGTTCATGGATGGCAGCAGTGTCGATTACAAGGGGAATGATTTTGAGTTCATCCAGTTTGGCGTTGGAAGAAGGATCTGTCCTGGGATATCATTTGGTGTAACCAATGTGGAGATTGCGCTTGCTAATTTGCTGTTACACTTTTTGATTGGAAGCTCCCTGAAGGGATGAAGCCTGAAAGTCTCGACATGAGTGAACTCTTCGGAGCTACGGTGAGGAGGAAAAATGATCTGCACTTGATTCCAACAGTTTGGCAGGCATAATCCCTTTTCTGCTGCAGATAATCAGAATGATCAAACACTAGTAGGGTAGCAAGATGTTTTATGTAGAAATAAAAAAATCAGATGAAGCAGCAATAAGAATGAGAGTCTAGGCTGATGGTGAATGATGGTTATAAGGCATGCTGCTTAGATGATATCCTACTATATCAGTTGTACCTTCCCATCTGTTTTTTATTTAGTTTAAATGTACTGGTAAACTGAAGAACTTTGTCAAACCAAAATGAACTAATGAACCTTGCCATTCTGAACAATTTGTTTGCACGATATGAACTAGGAGTGAAATGGCGGATAAATAATATAATGATGAAAAGAGAATAATTATTAGATCCATGCGTTTTGATGAAAGAATTGAAAAATGTGATATTCAAATACAAATTCTCGTAAATATAAAATTTTAGCATAAAAAATAAACCTGAAAGTTATAAACCGTTAGAAATACTATATATATTGTCTTCGTACATAAAATAAAATGCAAGCCATATAGAAGACTAGAACACAGGTGGGAAGTACGAGTGGATGACAAACGAATGAATTTTTGACAAACTTTTCGACGAATGAACTAAAATGGGTCAGATTGTTATATTTTTAGAGTATACGATAAACTAATTTGAGTCTAGATATAATTTATATTCTAAACATTTAATAGATAAACTCATGCTATGATTCTTTACAGTTTAGACCCAAACTTAAATATCAATTTCATAAAAAAAAATGTTATGGACGATATTAATTTATCGAGAGACAACAAAATACATATAATAATCAAATCATCAGTATTCAACAAAAGCCCACCCGTAGCTACCCTAAAATAATAACCATTCAAGAGAGAGGTTTTCTGGGATGGAAAACCGAAGTTTCAGCATAACAAAATTGACTGAATATAAAAGAACATATGGCAGGTTCTTACTGGTTTTGTCCCTGCTCTGCCTCCAAATCGACCAGAAAAAATGGCGCAGAAACTGAGTGGCAGAATCAGAGATCCTCGGCAAAGAATGGGAGATTCTACCCACTAAACGACACAGGCTCTCCAACACTTCCAGTCAACTGTTCAGATTTTATATAATCTGCAGAATCACAGTACGAAACCATCCTAATTCCTCTGCTAGCCCAAAAACAACCCAAACAAAATGGACAGCAGCAGCCAAGTACTGCCTCTGCTCTTTTCATTCCTCCTCATCACCACAACCTTCATCTTCCTAGTCCTCAGACCATGGAGGAAAGAGAAACCCTCAAAGTCAAAGCAGCAGCCCCCGCGGGCACTTCTTCCCCCGGGTCCAAGAAAGCTTCCAATCATCGGAAACCTGCACCAACTAGCCACCTCCAAGTTGCTTCCCCATCACCGGCTGCTGGAGCTAGCCAACGAGCACGGCCCTCTGATGCACCTCCAGCTCGGTCAACTCCAGACCGTCATAGTTTCCTCAGCAGAGATGGCTAAACAAGTCATGAAGACCCACGACCTCACCTTCTCCAATCGACCATTCCTACTCGCAGTCGATATCATCTCCGACAACCTCAACCTCGTGTTTGCGCCCTATGGCGAGTACTGGCGCCAGCTTAAGAAACTGTGTGTGTTGGAGTTGCTTAGTGCCAAGAGAGTTGCTTCTTTCCTACCCATCAGGGAACAAGAAGTGGCCCGTTTAATAGCTGATATTTGCTGCAAACAAGGCTTGGCGACCAATGTTAGTAGGATGATTTACTCTCTGACATATAGGATAATTTCAAGGTCTGCATTTGGGAAGCTGTATGAGGTTGAGTCATCATTCGTACCGGTGGCCATGGATATCATTGACGCTGGGAGTGGGTTTGGTGTTACTGATGTCTACCCATCTTTCAAATTCCTTCAGCTGATTACTGGGGTTAGATCCAGACTGCAGAAATTGAAGCGAGAATCTGACCGGATACTCCAAAGCATAATCGATGAGCATATAGCAGCAGCAAAAGCAGGGGCAGGTGAAAAGGAGGAAGGCGTAGATGATCTTGTGGATGTTATGTTGAAGGTTCAAAAAAGTGCAGACCTTGGATTCACATTAACAACTGACAGTGTCAAAGCAATCCTCCTGGTAAGTCAACCACCATTGCATTTGAGGGAAATCATTGGTGTAAAAAAAAAAAACAGACACAGTACCAAATTTACTCATATTTGTCTAATATTACCGTACTCTAAACATTACAACTAACTCGTGCATTTTTACTCATAGGTGAATTTATGAATGTATGGTGAATTTTAGAATACAAACCTCTCAAGTCAAACATACTGTTTGCAGGACATGTTCATTGCAGGAAGTGAGACTTCATCGACAGTAGTGGAATGGACGATGTCAGAGCTGATTAGAGATGAAAGAGTGATGAAGAAAGCACAAGCCGAGGTTAGGGCAGAGTTTGGGAAACGAAGGAAGGTTGAGGAAACAGGGATTGATGAATTGAATTACCTGAAGATGGTTATCAAAGAAAGCCTGAGGCTGCACCCCCCTCTGCCTCTACTTGTACCAAGAGAGTCACTGAATCAATGCGAAATGGAAGGCTTTCAAATACCAGAGAAGACGAAGGTGATAGTGAATGCATGGGCTATTGGGAGGGATCCAAAGTACTGGAGTGAACCTGAGAGATTTTACCCCGAAAGGTTTGTGAGCAGCAACAGTGTGGATTACAAGGGGAATGATTTCGAGTTCATCCCGTTTGGCGCTGGAAGAAGGATCTGTCCTGGGATATCATTTGGTGTAGCAAACGTGGAGACTGCACTTGCTAATTTGCTGTTCCACTTTGATTGGAAGCTTCCTGGAGGGATGAAGCCTGAAAGTCTGGACATGAGTGAACTATTTGGAGCCACGGTAAGAAGGAAAAATGATCTGAACTTGATTCCAACAGTTTGGCAGGCATAATCCCTTTTCTGCTGTAGATAATCAGAATGATAAAACACTATTAGGGTAGCAAGATCGTCCGTGTAAGAAATAAATAAAAAAATTAACTGAAGCAGCAATAAGAATGAGAGTCTAAGCTGATGGTGAATGATTGTAGTAAGGCATGCTGCTAAGATGATGATATCCTACTATATCCATTTTTGAATGTACTGGTACAATACATTTTTGAATTCACCAGCTTATAGCCAGTCCTATTTCTTGTTGCTATCGTCTCTTATGAATTCACCAGCTTTTAGGAGTCTTAGGACACACAAAAGAAAAGTCAGTACGACGATCAGTTATATGAAATCTAATAAGCCTCCCGTAGGCGGCATAATTTAGGCAAATCCATCATCACCACTGAGCTAGGAATGCAGTTGCTAATTGGCATGGTGAGGCTAACTGCTTGAGAGGAGTCAACGCTGCACCCAATGAAACCCTAGCTAGGCATTGTGCACCTATGTGGCTGAGAATTGGAAACCATAATCCAAAGTTCTGGTTAACAATAACCTAATTTACCCATAAACAGTCAACCAAAAGAACAAAGGAACTCTAGATAGGCATTGCACCACTTCGAATATATCCCATTTGGGACGTGGAGAAGGATGTGTCCTGGAATAACATTTCGACATCGAACTTCCTCTTGCTAATCTATTGTTCTATTCCCACCTTGGTACTCCCTGGTGAGGCCAACCCAGAATCCTTCCGGGCAACGGTAAGAAGGAAAAATCAACTGCAACTCGTCCTACCGTGTGGCATTGCTTTGCCTGCAGAGCAGCTGCATCAATGATGCCATTATCAATCTTAATGTCTAAGTCAGTGAAGTCCTAACTCTGATCAACTGAATTTCCCTATCCGACCTAAAGCAAACCACTAGAACGCTGCTTCATAGGATCGTAAGTTTGAACTATCAATGCGTAGCAATGACATCGAAAGTTCTGGCTAAAATTCGTCACAATTAAACGAACTTTGGAGGGAAATGGTGAAAGTCAATTAGCTTACATGCATTCGAGAGATCATCAGATTATATCTCCCCCATACCGCAATTAGGACACAGCTGGATTCGATAGATCATCAGATGGATTGGCCATGTGTTTCCTCCATCGCCGGCCTCCGTGAACTGCTTCCAGCGACCATGCCACCGGGAAGAGGTCCGGCGCCGTTTCCATAATAAGAACCGGCAAGCTCCATTGTTTTTTCTTCATGATCGTACGAGAAAAGCACGAGCTCTAGTCTGGGAGAATTTCAGTATGCCCAACGAGCTACAAGAACTGGTGGGAGACCCTCGAGTCTGTCGTTGGGGTGGACAATCTCAATCTGACCGACCCAGGTTTCCTTCCCGGGCCCAATTACAAGTAACCGGTCACTGAATTTTGGGGTGACAAACAAATTAAATACCCAATTTTTATTTTTAATAGATTTCATATAAGTTTAGTAGAGTAACTAGAGGTTAATTCACTTCTTTTATTGTAAATTAATAATGTGGTGATTTTCACTAATTAAACACCAATGAAAAGCTAGACCATCCAATTAGCAATCGAGAAAATTATAAAGAAATGGGGTGGTTTAGGTGATTTGAATTGAAATTTTTGGAGTAGTAGCTTGGGTTTTAATAGGTATTTGCTCCAATAGGTAGATTTGAATTGGAATACTAATGGAGGTTAATTGGAATTTTGTGAGTTCTAGCTTTGGTTTTAATAGGTATTTGCTCGAATAGGTAGATTTAAATTGGAATTCTCAATAGTTGGAGGTTAGTTCACTTCTTTCATTATTAATTAACGTGACGACTCTCAATAATTAACACCAAATAAAAGCTAGACCATCGAATCAACGATTGAGAGAATTAGAAAGGAATTTTGGTGGTTTAGGTGATTTGAATAGGAATTTTGTGAGTACTAGCTTTGGTTTTAATAGGTATTTGCTCAGATAGGTAGGTCATATAATATACTTTGTACTAGTAACTTGTGTAATAGTTCGAAGTGACTTGTGTGATAGTTCAAAGTTTACACTTATTTGATTAGGTTCTCTGCGTCTCAGTTTGCATAGATTGGTTTCATTTCTTAAATGGTAAACCTAACAAGGTTACTACGTTGATTAATTTTATTCGAATTTTCACAAGTTAATATGTAAAATTAGTATTTCCATTGAGCCACCACCAAAAAGACTAATGAAAATAATAACGCAGTACTTAAATCTAGTCTCTAAAATTGGTTATCATTCAAAGTTAAGGTCGTGAAGCTTTCAAGTGGCCTTTGAAGAAGCATATGGCACTAACTTGATGGCCTCAACTGAAGCGTTAAAGTTCGATGCTGTTCCACCCAACCGACTGAACTCTGTTCCATTGTACAAAAGGTTGTGGATCACTATAATCTGGCAAATTTAAGATTCCACAACGTAACCCTTTAAACAGAGTCAACCTCCAGCTCGAGCACCAGCAGATTCTTTCGAGTAATCATCTCTCCTTCTCTGATACTCAACCACCTGTAAAACACGAACGAAACCAGAACACATGAACAAAAAATGAAATGGCTGGCGATCAATCAACCATCTAGCTCAAAGTTCATAATCACAAATCATTGTCCATATGACGGATTCTATGACGATGCAAATATTAGAGATCAGAGTAAGGATGAGCAAGATGGGAAGCTAGTTATAGATAATCTTACCAGCTTAGTGTATTTAGATATGATGTTTCGGAGATCTATATTGTGAATTATAAAAGCCCCTTCAAAGGTTGGAAGAATCCCAACTAGCATAAACAGCTCCAATGAATCCTTCATGCAATTTGGCACTGCAACAAGCAACTATCCCCCGGTCGAGGCCTTCCAAGTAAGTTCCTCTCGAGAAGTCCAGAGGGCGCCCTCCAGCATCAGTTACTACCCCACCAGCTTCCTCTACAATGACCACTCCTGCAGCATGATCCCATATCTTCTCTTTGTAGCCACACCTTGCGAATTTCATGAATATTTCTGCATCTCCTCGAGCAATGGCTGCATATTTTACCATGCTATGAACTCGCAACGGTTGGTTTCTGCCATCATAAGATGATCAAATGAGGCATGCAAATCAAGAGGAAGGTGATGAAGATCAAAGACAATAAACTACATAGATAAGCAAGATTGTATTGGACTCTAAAAAAGCAAGCATGCAGGAAGTTAGATGACTGAATCATATCCTTCCAAACTGCAACATACCTATATGCACTCAAATTCTAAATTCCTCTCCTAAGACCTCAATAAGATGTATCACTTATAAAGAAAAAAGGATCGCATAGGAAAATAAAAAAGAGAATAAACATGACGTACTTGAAACCCATACTATGAGCCACTCCAGCAGTAAACGAGTGGTTTGAATTAGCCTTCTCTACTGGTTCACAGAATGTAGCTAGTCCCGGGTCATCAATTGATGAAACCTTGATCTGCCTTGCGGAGTTTGGCCATTCAAGCATCTTGTTCTGCTGTACCAACGGCTGCATCCATGCCTTTCCACTGCCCTTCTGTGCATATATCACACATCCTTTCTCCCATGTGTCAGTAGCTGAGGAAGACATGCTTTCATCATACTGATGATGATGATGGTGATGGTTTAACCAACCATTCTTCATAGGGTAGTTAGGACATCCAAGAACTCCCATAATGACTTTTCCATCCTCAATCAAAGCTAGAGCTATAGCATACTGATCCCCCCGAACAAATCCTAATGTGCCATCCACAGGGTCAAGGACCCAATGTCTTCCAGTAGGGCCACCAGTTGAGTTGCATCTGCTGATAGCTTCGAGAACTTGGGAGGCTCCCAGGGCCTTCTTGGGACTTTGAAGACCATATTTTGGTGCCTCGGCCAAGCTTTCGTTAACAGTCTTTGTGACTGATGCCAGCAAGTCGGCTAATTCAGCCTTCGATAGGGTTTGAACATCTTCTTCGGCTACTATGGAGACATTTTGATCCTGGAATGATTCTGCCAGTATCCAACTAACTATTGCTTGAACACTCCAATCTGTTCAATGCTTTGACAGGATAGAAATCAGTGGATAACTTATCGTGTGATACCCATTTTCGATTCAGAATTACCGGAAAGAGTGGCGATAGTCATTCATTAGCGCTAGAGAGTCTTCCAAAGGATAAAAATATAGCAGAAAGAATGTCGATTCCCTAGATATTGTCTCTTAAAATAATAGGCACTTGTGAAATTTCCATCATTTCATGATTAGAACAGCTTTTTCTTGAAAATTCCACTAAAATCGAGAGTTGAAGAAACAATTAACAGCAATGCAATTGATCTTTACCCTTCATTTCACCGACTCATACCGTCATACTCCACATAAAGTTTCTCGATATCAAGTAATGAACTTTCTGGGTAACCAAACACTAGAAAACCTAAAAAGCACCAGAAATGGAACCTCCCCGGAAATGGGAATTCCCCAATAGCCCAGAAAACCGCATGAATCAATCAGCCAACCAACAACCTCGCCTAGTCAACCATTCAATTCAGAAAGACAAACCCCAAAAGAAACAGGAACCAATTACAGCAAAGTACCTGCAACAGTAACGGGAGAATCATCATCCTTGGACTTGACCTGCCCGGTGCCGTGAGAAACCAACCCTGCTTGAACTCTCTGGCAAAGGGCGCAAGCCATATGAACAGCGCGAACCGCCACGCCCAATTCCCTCGCGTAATTAGCGTCTCCCATTGAATCCGAGACGCTTTCCCTTTCAGATTGTAAACCAATTCAGCGCCGCATGCGAAATGTAAAGAGCTCCCCAATGGAGTTTTTCAGTTTCTGGCGGTGAGGTGTCGCGAAGTCATGAAGGCACTTTGCAGCATTGGGAAAGTCGAGAAAGGACGAAAAAGTGATTCGTGAGATCGCACTGCGTTTATATGCGGAATAAATTTATGTTTTGATTCCCGAGAAAAATCAAGGAGGTTAGATGAGACCCGTGCTGCGAATTTCGCAGTTTCGGAGCACCAAATGAAGAAGCCAGTGGCTTGTGTTTGCCGTCTAGTGGTTTTGAATAAAGTTATCTTTTTTATTTTAATTAACTTCCCCACGAATATTCACTTTTCGGTTCTGTGGATCGAGCAGTGGAGAGTGACCTGAGCAGATCTGTCTGATGGTGCTAGGTTGCTGTAATTTTCCCCCATTGTTCTTTATGGGCTCGCAACGGTTTGGTCCAAACCGGATCATAGAAAACCAAACAAATATCTAGAGTGCATTCTCACCAAAACTAATAGGTCCGGTTCTTTGATCCAATGGAATTTACAAAAATAGAAGAGAATTATACCGAATTGATGTTTGGGCTGGATCACACGGTACTTAATGCAATGATGATTAGGTGTTTAAAATTAAAATCTCTTGAATTATTGGATGGAGATTCTCATGATTTGGTATGATTTGTTCTCAGCCGAACCGGTGCACACCTTTTTATCTCAACCTTACCCCTAAATACACATCTCTTCTTTTGATTTTACCATTTATTTCTTTTATCGCAGATATTAACTTTACTCTGACAATGAAAAATAAGGTACAAGAATTTATCAATAATAGAAACCCACATACATGAGATTAAGAATACTGTTGGGGGTATTGCAAAGAGTGGAGCCCAAACTAGGGCTTGATGAAGCCCAATAAAGAAAGTGTGGGTTATCCAGTGGGAGAAGCCCATGAACGGTCCTGACGGGCCTAGTCCAAGCAGGATGAGGGGCGCATAGAGACAAGGTACAGAAGATCCCAAAGAAGTCTAGGCTGTCAATGGTCCAACCATCCCCAGACGCCTGTCAGCTGTCAGAAGACTGACAAGGCAGTTGGGGCACCAGACAAGAATAAAGGTACGAAACATTAAACGTGATGCTGACGTGGAGGGACTCGACCTCGAGTTGGGTGAGTATATATAGGGGTGGTAGGTAGCATTTACATAGGTTGGACTCTCTCACTAAAAGCTTGCACTAAACACTTCTCTCTCTAAAAGGTGAACTGACTTGATCGTCGGAGAGCTAACGGGCTCGGGCGCCCCCCTCTGTGTTCATTTGTGTAGGCCAGGCGCCTGAAGATCGTGGGGGCGAGGATCGGGCGTGTGAGCAATTGGTGACAGGGCATTCCGGCACAAACAAATACTAATCTAATCACGAGGAAGTATACCTAACAAAAAATCATGTTGTCTAATATGCTCTTATATTGAGGGAATAAAATTCCATCGAGCTAAAGCAAGGTCACCGACATTGAAAACCTGTTTTCATCTAAACTCCACGCACACTTTAGTCGCAGCTTTAGCCTTCGACGGCTCCTCATCTACCTATATACTAGAATTAAAAAGTTGAGTGCAATAGCTTGGAAAAATACACTATGTGACTTCCACATGAATGTTGGGGTTTGCCCTAAAGATAACTACCATCTCAACAAAGCATGGACAACAATTGACATTCGGAATGAACCAAGCAAGTGGAACTATAATCTTGTGCTAATTTTATAGCTTCGAGGGGGAGTTTATTTCAATTCAAAGGGCAAAATTAAGAATCGTATCAACCCACTTTGTCAGGTTAGATACGAGTCATACGACGAGGATGTGGGAGCACGACATAGAAAGAGGGCTTCGGGCCCTAATGAACAAGTTGTAACTCGTAGCAACTAGAGTGTCTTGAAAACATCTTCATAATAAGTGTTTACCTTTCTAGGGATGCTAAACCTCCATATCGAATGAGGAATATGTAATATGGAGCGTTGGTGTCCCATAAAGTTAACCACGACTAAAAAGGTAGATTGAAATTGTAAAAAAATAACAATATGCACGATGCAAGTATACCATGAATGAAGTTACCACTTGTATGCGAGGAAATCGTACAATAGTACAATAATAAATTACGATAATTCAGATTTGGGGATTGGATCTTTGATTTACCTCAAATAATAGTTAGAACTTAGAAGGACGTTGAAAATCAAGAAGGAGAAGTTTGGGACCAAACCGGTCAGGTATGAAAAGTTAGTACCGTGTTTCCAATGAAGGAAACTTATAGGTACTGGAAAATAGGTTTTCCATCGCATTAGCAGTTGAGCACACTACCGACTTAAGCAAACCTAGGGATGGCAAAAATATCCGTAACCGTGGATATCCACCCGAATCCGACCTAATCGGGTAGGGTAAAACCAGAACCCGAAGCATTTTTCGTGGGTACGGGTAAAACCCGAACTCGAATGTTGCGGGTAATGGGTGGGCATGGTTATCTCACTATCCAACCCAAACCCGCTCGATTATACACATGTATATGTATTTTGGCTAGAAATAATCATTATTTTTCTCTAGAATATTTTATATTTAGCATATAAATATAATATTTTCATGAAATTATGTTGTTTTAATTAATTTTCGTCATTCTAGTGAATTATTGTCGTATTTTTCCTCTTACGTCATGTGAGTATACGTGTGAATGTTAACATATTTGTTGGAATTATAAGGAGAAATTATTACCCATAGATAACCGTGGATACCCGAAACCCGAACGGGTATGGACATGATTTTGATTTTCTACCTGTTTCTCGTATTGGTACAGATATGGGTAAAACCCGAACTACATTGGGTAGGGTAATGGATATGCAATATCCACCCGACCCGAACCATTGCCATCCCTAAGCATACCTATAAATAATTGTGTCCATTATTACACTATGCAGTGATTATTTCATAAAACCTAACCTCCCCTGTTTTCCCGCTCGCTGATCTTCTCCCCCAGAGAAACTCTGCAGCGAGAGAGCCACCGAACCTCCAGAGCCAGGGTTTTCTCCGATCATGGATTCCAGCTCCGATTTCCTTGCCCAGTGTTTCTACAACAGTTTATCCCCAGATGCGAAGCCCCGCAAGGCCGCCGAGGACGGACTGAACGAAGCCGCCAACGCGCCCAATTTCGCCCTCGCCGTCCTCCGCTTGGTCGGGACGCCGACCTACCACGAGGACATCCGTCGCGCCGCGGCCGTCAATTTCAAGAACCACATCCGGCAGCGGTGGGCGCCCGATCAGGATTCGGAATTCAACCCGATCCCGGCGGACGAGAAGAACCAGATCAAAACCCTAATCGTCACTCTCATGGTCTCCTCTTCTCCCCGCGTCCAGTCCCAACTCAGCGAAGCTCTTTCCCTCATCGGTAAGCACGACTTCCCCAGAGCGTGGACCTCTTTGCTTCCTGAGCTTGTCGACAATCTCCGCCAGCTTGCCTCGCAGGGAAACTACAACTATGCTGCCGTCAACGGTATACTCGGCACGGTCAATTCAATCTTCAAGAAGTTCCGGTATGAGTACGCGGATAATGATCTTTGCATTGATTTGAAGTACTGTATCGACATTTTTGCTGCTCCATTGCTCGAAATTTTCCTTAGGACTGCTGAGGTGATAAACTCAGCGGCGAAAGCAGCAGGTGCTTCCGTTGAGACTTTGAAACCCTTGTTCGAGTCGCAGAGGCTATGTTGTAGGATCTATTACTCTTTGAATTTTCAGGGAATGCCTGAGTTCTTTGAGGATCACATCAAGGAATGGATGACAGAGTTTGCAAAGTATTTGACATCCACTGATCCAGCTGTTCCCGATGACCTTAGAGCTGCTGTGTGTGAGAATATTATTCTTTATATGGAGAAGGGTGAAGAAGCCTTCTACCCCTACTTGAATGGATTTGCAGGTGCTGTTGGGAATCTGCTGTTTAAGGTTTCCGAGGAACATACCCGGGATAGGTTGGCTGTGACTGCCATTAAGTTCTTAACTGCAGTGAGTACCAGTGTCCACCATGATTTTTTCGGAGACAACGAGGTGATACGGCGAATTTGTGCGGAAATTGTGATCCCGAATGCTCGTTTGAGAGAGGATGACGAAGAAATGTTTGGTATGAATTATATAGAATATGTCAGGAGAGATATGGAGGGGGACGATCTCGACACAAGGAGGAGAATCGCGTGTGATTTGCTGAAAGGGATTGCAACTAAACACAAGCAGCAGGTAACAGATATAGTTTCTGCTCTGATACAAAATTTGATGAGTTCTTATGATGCTAATCCAACTGAGAATTGGAAGGACAAGCACTGTGCAATGTATTTAGTTGTGTCTCTAGCGAGCAAGAAATTGAGGGGCGTAGATGTTTTAACTAACGAAATTGTTAACGTCGAGAACTTCTTTGGCCGAGTCATAGTGCCTGAGTTACAGAGCCAGGATGTTAATGCATATCCAATGCTCAAAGCTGGTGCTCTAAAATTCTTCACCATGTCTAGAACTCAGTTACCAAAGGATACTGTGATTAATTTGCTGCCAGATTTGGCTCGGTTCCTTGGCGCAAAGTCGAATGTAGTTCACTCTTATGCTGCCTGTTGTATAGAGAAACTGCTACTGGTCAAGGATGATGGAGTGCGGGCAAGGTATACTGCAGCGGATTTGGGTAGTCCATTCATTAAAGTGCTGATGAATAACCTTTTTAATGCACTGACGGTTGAAGAATCTGAGGAGAATCAGTATATCATGAAGTGTATCATGAGAGTGATTGGTGTGGCAGAAATAAGTAGAGACATTGCTGATCCTTGCTGCATTGGGTTGACCTCAATCCTGAATCAAGTTTGTAAAAATCCCAAAAATCCCATCTTCAACCACTATCTATTTGAGTCAGTGGCCGTTCTCGTGAGGCGAGCATGTGACCGGGACGTATCCCTCATACCAGATTTTGAAGAAAAGTTATTCCCCAGCCTTGAAATGATCTTGGTCAAGAGTATCGCTGAATTCTTGCCTTACGCATTTCAACTCTTGGCCCAACTGGTTGAGTTGAATCAGCCTCCTATTTCTCCTAGTTACGAGCAGGTCTTCAAGCTCCTTCTCAAACCTGAACTATGGAATGCAAATTCAAATGTTCCTGCCCTTGTGCGTCTACTTCAGGCTTTCCTTCTGAAAGCACCACAGGAGCTCAACCAAGAGGGGAGGCTGAGCCAGGTGCTTGGAATTTTCAAGCTGCTTGTATCATCCCCAAGAACCGAGGAACAGGGCTTCCATCTTCTGAATACCGTTATCGAGAATCTCGAATTTCCCATCATCGCCCCGTACATGGGTCACATCTGGGCTCTCCTATTCACCCGCCTGCGGCAGAAGGAGACAGTAAGGTTTACCAAGTCCCTCGTGATCTTCATGTCGCTGTTTCTGATCAAGCATGGTCCTGCAAACCTCATCGACACGATGAATTCAGTTAAAGCAGACACATTCGCCGTTATTCTGAACGAGTTCTGGATACCGAAACTCAAGCTGATCACGGGACACATTGAAGTCAAGCTAGTTGCTGTTGCATCATGTAGACTCATCTGTGAATCTCCTGTTCTCTTGGATCCTGCAGCTCCTCGCCCTTGGGGCAAAATGCTGGACGGCATTGTCACACTTCTCTCCAAGCCCGAGGAGCACAGGGTTGAAGAGGAACCTGAAATGCCAGATGTTGCTGAAAACGTGGGCTACACTGCAACGTTTGTCAATCTTTACAATGCTGGGAAGCAGGAGGAAGATCCTCTGAAGTACATAAAGGATCCCAAGCAATTCTTAGCGGCTTCATTGTCTAAGCTTTCGGCCGCATCTCCTGGGAGGTTTCCACAGATAATCAATCAGAACCTGGATGCAGCAAATCAAAGTGCAGTGATGCAGCTCTGCAGAACTTACAACTGCCCAGTTGTTTGACAAGGTATCCAGTGACACATACAGGTTTTGATAATCTTTGCAGAGAAATGATCCCTTTCTATGCATTTTCTTCTATTTTTGAAGAAATTTGTTTTCACAGTTACATGATTCAGGTTTGATTAGCGGATTGAGTCCTTTCTCCTTTTATGTCTTTCCTTTTTTCCCCTTGTTTTTGCAGACGCCAGCCATTTCGAATAGATATGTAGATACCAAGAATATGGAAGAGATTAGAGAGAGAGTTGAGTTGAGATAGGGACTACCACGGTGGCCATGTGCCCACCGCCAGCGGACTGACAGGGCAGCCGGTTTCCCTGTTGACGTCAACGGCGGCATCAATGAACGTAAGGGTTTGCTATTATAGGTCATCGTTTTTAATGTCTTTCCTGTACAACGACCGTTGGAGTTGGACATGGATAAGTCACCAAGCCGTCGTCTTCTAGGGCACATATGTCATCAGAGGCACAGTTTTAGGTGTTTAGGTTTTCATCTTTTTCAAATTCGTGTTTTTGAGAATTACAGGTACAACAAGACCATACGTCAATGGGGGTGTAGTTTGGTATTTTATGATTCCTACTTTTTAAGCGTTTTGATTAAAACTTTGGTTGCGATTTTCTTATTACAAATTCGATTTTTTTGTTTTTGTTTCCGTAAGTCTTAATATAACTCATCATTCTTTGGATTCCCCGTAAATATTTGCGAGTGCTTATTTATATACTCCGGAAATTAGGTAAAAGTTTGTTGACGAATAAAACAGGCTAACTATAATTGATTTTTGCATTTGAAGTTTGAACGCGCCGTCTCGTAGATTGTTGATCGAGTTCAAATCATTGATTTGTAGGAAAGAAGGTAACGCCTCACGAATCACAATTATCTGGGATGTCTAGCTAACTGATATAACGATCTTTGGTTTTGATTCTAGAGCGTTGACATTCTAGCCGTATTTTGGTCAAAAGGGAAATTAGTAAATTACAACCTAAACAACTAAACAAGTGTCCGATAATAAAACTGTAAAATTGATACTAAATTAATTAAAGTATTAAACATCAGAATTCAGAAACATTGGAGAATGGAAGGGAAAAAAAAGTCAGTAAACACCGTGGAGCAGAGCAGAGTAAACTGTAAAGCGCAGAGAGCTAAAGGCAAGCAGCTGGCAGTGGCAGCTCCCGCCATTCTCGGCGTCTTTCTTCTCTTCTTTTTTTTTTTTGGGTGAAATCTTCTCTTCTTCTTTGCAAATTGCAATTTGCAATATATATTCCTCCAGAAACCCAAAAGCCGCGTTAAAGCGGGACCCGCCCGGCCGAAGGATAGTTGGTCCCCAGCGCAGCAGAGTATTAGCCATTAAGCAGCAGCACAAGGTTGTCAAACCGGTTTATACACATGTATTTAATCATATATAAACATATTTATGGACAATTTAGTTACAATCCTACAAATATCATCAACTTTTAACTATTATATTCATTAAACTCATTAAAATGATGTCATTTTACTTAGAATGCGTAAATCGATCATACCGGTCATACCGATGGAGTCATGCCGGTTTCATGACCGGCACAGGTTGAACCAGGTTCAATCGGGTGGCATGACAATCATGCAGCAGCAGCAACCAGATGTACCAGACCAGACCCCATTTCCCCTTCCACTAAATTGCTCCTCCAGCCTCTGTTTCTGCAACAAAAAAGGCAAAAAAAGAAAATGAAAGCTTCCTCTTTCTTCCTCCTCTTGCTCGTTATATATACTATGTTTGGCAACAGGGGGTGCAAGTTCGAGGGGGGTACAAGTTGAGGGGTAAATTGTTGGGGGGTGCAACTTGGTGGAGGGTGTAAGTGGAGGGGTAAATTGTTGTTTGGATGAAAAAGTAGGGGGTGCAAATAGAGTAAAAAGTAAGTAATTATATTATTATAAAATAGATTTATCAATTTATAAAATATTATCACAAACATGAAAATTCAATATATAATAATAAAAATAATAAATAAAAATAATTTTAATAAAAATAATTATTATATAATAATGCTCAAATATAATTATTTATAACAACAATAATAATTATTGGTCGAGCAACCTCGAAACTCGAAATCCAACTCGTAACTGGTCATCCTAAGGGGGTTCTCGTGCCTAACTTTAAATTGAATATGGTCAAACTTAGTCAAACACGTTCGAATCTGTAAGTTTTAACTACTTATTAAAGTAAATCGAGTTAACTAAACTGTTCCTCTCTATCTTTTCAACAAATGCTTCTTATCTCTAATTTTCAATGCAAATTCGGGTCAACTAAGAGATATCGAGTTGACGAGGCGAACATTGACAAACTTGCTCTCTGAGTCAAACGGTCAACCCCAAACAACTTCTACACTAATATAGATATAAGAAAAATTAATAATATTAATTATTATGTAATTATAGTCTAATTAAAAATTCATAATTCCCCTCCTCCCCCTTCCCCCTCTCTTCCTTCCTTCCTTCCCTTGCACCCCAATTTGGGGGTAAGCCGAAACAGTAAATTTACGCTCACGTTTTGCACCCCCCTACTGTTACAAAATAACCAAACGGGGGTAAACACCTTGGAACTTGTGTTTACCCCTCCAAACTTGCACCCCCTTTCATTTACACCCCTTCCCAAACATAGTGATAATGTTTTCTTCTATTTTTTCTCTCTGTAGAGGCTGAGTTGTGTGGCTGTGGTGGTGGTGGTGGGGGAGTCTTATTATTTTCTGAGTTTCTCCATTTGGGCAGGAGGTAAAAATGACAGGCTAATCAACAGCCTGGAAAGGGCTGTTGTCGTTAAGGTGCTATGCTCCTGCGATGGTTGCCCACTCACTCACTCCATATTTATGCTTTTAATTTAACGGTCTTCCTCTTCTCCCCCCTTCCTGGGTTTTCGGCCTTCCCTTTCTCCCCCAGCTCAACTCTCTGTCCTCTCCTTTCGCTTACTCCGTACAATTCGAAATGCCCACCAGGTGTTCGATCTTTTGACTCAGAGAAGCTTCAATTCCCTTGTATCTTCAGCAGCTTCTTCACATTTCTGCCCCTCTTCGAGGTAAGGGGTCTGCATTCTTTGGAAGCAGAGGTTTTCCCTCTCTCGTACCATTTCTAGATTATTTGTTGCTTCTATGCCGTCTCCTACAGAGTTGTTTTGAGTTCTGTAGTAGGAGCCTAAATTTTGTAGGGGGATTTGTGTTTTGAGCTCGGAGAAAATTTAGGCATTCTTTAGTTCTTTTTGAGTTCCAATTTTTGTGGGATTGGTGAAGATGAAGCTAGTAGAAGCTTCGTTTTCGATAGTGCTAGTAATTCTTTTGGTGGAGTTCATTGGTTGGAATGGATCACTGGCTGCCTTCACTCCGCCTGATAACTACTTGATTGCTTGCGGTTCAACCAAAGATGTCACTTTTCAAGGCAGAACTTTTGTTCCTGATTCCGGGCATCCCTCTCTCACATTGAAGACTGGAACTTCCAGTGGTAGTAGTGTTGCTACCTCGAATTCTAGCTTCCCATCGCCGATCTACCAGTCTGCTCGCATCTTCTCCAGCGTGGCTACTTACAACTTCGACATTCAGCAGCAGGGTCGGCATTGGATCCGCCTTTACTTCTACCCTATTCCAGGCTCTGCCCAGAACTTGACAGCTGCATCCATCACCGTCGTCACAAAGGACTTTGTCCTGCTGCACAATTTTGCATTCAAGAACTACAACGGCACTTTCATGTTCAAGGAGTATGCAGTCAATGTGACTTCAGACACTTTGACCCTTTCTTTCATTCCTTCAAATAACTCAGTGGCCTTTGTCAACGCCATTGAAGTTGTTTCCATCCCTGATGTGGTTCTCCCTGACCAAGCTTGGACTCTAAACCCCTCCACCTCTGTTGATGGCCTCTCTGATCTGGCCTATGAAACCGTTTATCGGTTGAACATGGGCGGCCCGTTGATCACGTCTGAAAACGATACTCTGGGGAGAGTTTGGGAGAATGATGCTGAGTATCGTCATGTCAACAACTCTGCTGTGGATGTTTCAACCAATCCTGCATCCATAAGATACCCAGCTGCACTTAAACCCGAGACAGCTCCGAACATGGTCTATGCCACTGCGGTTGCCATGGGAGATCCAAGTGTGACTAATGCCAACTTCAACATGACTTGGGTTCTTCCAGTCAATCCAAACTTCAGATACTTGGTTCGAGTCCATTTCTGTGACATCATCAGCAGAGCTCTGAACACTCTGGTGTTCAACCTTTATGTAAATGATGATCTCGCACAAGGCCTCGATCTCTCAACGATCACTGGTGGCTTGGGTGTACCATACTACCGTGACTTCGTCTCCAACTCATCGACAGAGTCACCGGATACTTTGATGGTCAGCGTTGGTCCTGATACAGCGGCAGACATCACCAATGCAACCGTCAATGGGCTGGAGATATTGAAGATCAGCAACGATGTCAAAAGCTTGGATGGGGTTTCCTCAGTTGAGAGTCTCACTCCACAATCCCATTCCAAGAGCCATAAGGTAGGAATCATAATCGGTTCCACAGCTGGAGCAATAGCTGCATTCGCCATACTCGGTCTCTGCTTCATCTGCATGAGAGCTGGCAAGAAGGACCCTCATCAGCAACAGGGGGGACATTCGTGGCTGCCTTTACCCTTATACGGCATCTCCCAGACCATTACAAAAATGTCAACAACTTCGCAAAAGAGTGCTTCAGCTAGCTGCATCTCACTGGCTTCCACAAACCTCGGCCGATTCTTCCCCTTCCAGGAAATCATGGATTCGACCAACAAGTTCGACGAAACCCTCCTTCTCGGAGTTGGAGGGTTTGGCAGAGTCTACAAAGGAACCTTGGAAGATGGCACTAACGTGGCAGTCAAGAGAGGCAACCCAAGGTCAGAACAAGGTCTCGCCGAATTCAGAACCGAGATCGAAATGCTATCCAAGCTCAGACATCGACACTTGGTCTCTCTCATTGGCTACTGCGACGAACGTTCTGAGATGATCCTCGTCTACGAGTACATGGCCAACGGACCGCTGAGAAGCCATTTGTACGGCACAAACTTGCCATCCTTGTCCTGGAAGCAACGGCTAGAAATCTGCATTGGAGCTGCCAGAGGGCTACACTATCTCCACACCGGCGCAACTCAGAGCATCATCCACAGGGACGTCAAGACGACCAACATCCTCCTCGATGAGAGCTTCGTGGCCAAAGTTGCCGACTTTGGCCTCTCCAAAACCGGTCCCTCCCTCGACCAAACCCACGTCAGCACAGCTGTGAAGGGCAGCTTCGGCTACCTCGATCCCGAGTACTTCAGAAGGCAACAGCTGACTGAAAAATCAGACGTATACTCTTTCGGTGTGGTACTAATGGAAGTCCTCTGCACTCGGCCTGCTCTAAACCCGGTTCTCCCAAGGGATCAAGTGAACATAGCCGAATGGGCGATGACATGGCAGAAGAAGGGAATGCTGGACCAGATCATGGACCAGAACCTGGTCGGGAAAGTGAACCCCGCGTCTCTGAAGAAGTTCGGCGAGACGGCAGAGAAGTGCCTGGCCGAGTACGGGGTTGAGAGGCCGTCCATGGGAGACGTGCTGTGGAACCTTGAGTACGCATTGCAGCTGGAGGAGACTTCTTCTGCGGCGGCGTTGAATGAGGCGGAAGATAACAGCACGAATCATATACCGGGGATCCCATTGACGCCATTGGAACAGTTTGACAACAGCGTGAGCATGATGATCGACGGAGGTGGGAATTCGGGGACGGACGACGACGGTGAAGATGCCACGACCAGTGCTGTGTTCTCGCAGCTGGTTAACCCGCGCGGGAGATGAGTATACTTTGAAACCACAGTGATTAGTGGGAGATTTGTTGTATTATCAATGTATTTGCTTCTGTTACTTCTTCTTACTACACGAGGGATTTGGAGGCGTATAGATGAGGATGGTGGCTAATTGTTCCATCGCTATCTGCTGGAAGAAAGTGTATCATAGAGCATGATTTTGTGATCGTCGCTTACCAGACCAAAGGTTGGGTGTTTCAGCCCCAATGTTACTTTTGTCTGAAGACATTAGTGCCAGACATTTGAGTGCAAATAAGACAACCATTCATAGATTGTCACGGCCTTGGATTCGAGTTTTGCCAATGTTTGATCAGGGGACATCAGTCGCTGGATAAGGATTTGGTTTGTCATGAAAAGTATTATGCAGGAAACCTCTGCTTAATTGATTGTGTTTCAGGCTCTCCAATCAAAGATAATATTGATGGAAGTGTTTGTTTTTGTTGTTGAGTGGACAATTCTGGTAAGTCTGAGAAGTGTAATGCTATGATATGCAGATAAAAGCATCATATAACCGATTAAAAATTATTTCAAGAGACATTTTACAATGATATATATAGTATTGGTGCTATAGTTATTTGTTTTTATGGTACAACTTAAAATTGTACATTTACTTTATGGTACAATTTCAGATTGTACCTATGCTTTTTTGTACAAATTCTTTTATGGTACAACTTGAACTTGTACTTTTATGTGATGGTACAACTTCAAGTTGTAAAGTTACATCATAACATGATGGTACAAATTGCTTTATGGTACAACCTAAACTTATACATTTAATGTTATGGTACAACTTTAACTTGTACATTAAAACACCAATGCTATATAGCATAGTAGAAGTGCTCTTCAAACACAAGATCACATTTCTTGTCAGAGCTAGATATATCACTTGTTGATATAAGTTGAAAAAAAATTTATTTATTTATGAAATTTATGGGGTCTCGGTGACACGTTTTACCTACTGTTTTGCGTCGGTATGTAATCTTCTTTTTTTTTTTTACAGGTTGGATTAGGTTAGACTTTCCGAATTAGCGAACACACATCATTCTAGTAAACTACATAAATTCATGTGTTATTTACTTTCTCGTATAATCGATTTCCCAACACGTTACAACATTTTCTTGTTTGGTGGATACCTTTTCCCTATATTCAAAAATGCCAACTCAAAAGTCTCTAGAGGCGCTGGCATGTGGTAGGTGGATTGGATTCCCCTCTCCTAAACTCTCGCCAAATTGGGTGGAAAACAGAATCAGCAAAAAGTCAGATTAATCCTTGCCTTATTATTCATAATTCATTCACTAATAAAATTAAGGAATAATCATGTCGATTCCCATCACAATTCTTCCACTAATTATATGACTTTCTCATACAGTTCGATCAGTTGGTTGTTGTCAACTCTCAAGTAACCTTCACATCAACAAGGAGGCCCTTTTCTTGAGTACTAGAAAGGAAAAGATCATGCTCAGCCTCAACTCTGGTGTCAAATGTTAAAAAAAGAACACTATGTCTTCACTGTAGAATTGCTTAGTAGAGTTGACAAGTCATTATCTTATGGGAGAAAAAGGCAGCACTTTTTTGTGCAGCTATTTGCAGACCAGCATCTTTTAGGTAACATGCATCATCTTCCACCATTTAGTGGGTCTGAAAAATGGCTTCCATCCGCATCCATGATTGGTGTCCATTTCAGTATAGCCTAGCCTTTATGTTGATGACAAGACCACATCTTTGAAGAATCTCTTTGGCAATGATCTTTGCATTGACGTCAATTTTCGTTTGCTCTTGATTATCGATTTTCGCAGATGACATACTTGACCTTAAAATGTTGAATCATAAGCATGATGTGTAGAGAAAGTAAGCATGATGTGTAGAGAAATTAGTACACAAGTCAATAGCTATGGCTTCCACAAAGTATTATACACTTGTGCATTTTTTGTGTGAGAGACGAGAGAATACCACAACTCGAACAAGTGACCATTCAAGTGTGGCTAACCACTTCTACCAAATGGTCAACAACAATTTGGTTCCGCAATATGAGCTTCTATAATATTAAAAATACAACTTTTAAGGCGTAGCTGATACTACTCTATACTATTTAGAGCAAGTAATAGTCCGAGTATAACTAAATGAGGCACATCTTTGTCATTGGAAAAACATGCATCTTATCAAATTCCAACCTTATCTCCCAAGGGAAACCCTCTATTACAAAGTGAGTTTTAGTCCAATACTAATCCCCACCTTTTCTTCTTCTTTTTAGGTTTCCATATTTTCTTTTTTTTTTTTACGAATTCTTCTACTCTTAAATCGATTCATTATCTTATAAGTGTTGTTCAATTGAGCATACTACATATCATCTTACGTTCCAGCAACCGCCATACAATATGCATAAAATTGAACATCTTACAAAATCTCAAACTTCACCTCATCTAAAGATAACCACTAACGGTTAATTTGATAGGTGGAGACCTCAAATTAGGACAACATATGAATTTGCAAATACAAGTTTGAGAACCTAGTAGACAAAGTCTCACCCCATTTGCATTAGTAGTATACAAATGGATCGACCGATTGAACTACTAAAATCTCAAACTAAACAGAAAATCAAACAAACATACACTTCGAAACATTATTAAAATTTCAGACCACCACCATCATCATTTCCTGCACACAATCCCATTCCCACTTCCAAACCGCCCGCTGCAATCGATCACCTCATTCTCCCCCACCATCACCAAATCACCACCACTGCCGGCCGCCGCCGGATCGAACAAGCAGGCCCCACAATCCGCCGCCAGGAGCGACGACGTCCGGTACACGTCCTCCCCTCCGACCACCGGCATCGCCACCCCGGGCTTCGCCGCCGGGTTCCTGAAATCCGGCCGGTAAGTCTTCCCCAGCACACCCTCCACCTTCTCCGACATCCCGCGGAAGAACTTGAACTGAACCTCCAAATGGGCGAAGCAGTCGTCGGCGGGGACCTTGTACCCGTGGACACGGTCGTCCTCCGCCGTCACCGGAACCACGTTCACCGTCACCTCGCCCACCTCCGGGATCGTGACCACCACGCTGTTCCGGTCGGACGTCCGCTGCACCGTGATGGCGTCGTCGGGTGACTGCCACGTGGACAGGTGGCCGGCGGGGACGGCGAGTTCGGCGCCGTTGTAGGTGAACTTGAGGTGGTCGATGTCGTCGCTCCACGTGGCGGATTTTGTGGCCTCGAGGGAGAAAGTAGTGGGGGTGGAGCCCAGGACGAAGCCCAGGGCCTGGATCCAGGTGAAGTCCCTGGGCCGGCCCACGGGCCTGTGGCCCGTGAAGCGGGCGTTGATCTGGAAGGTGGGGTCGGAGACGAGGGCGAAATTCTCGTTGGTCTTGCCGTGGAAGTAGAAGACGATTCCGTCCCCGCCGATGAATCGCGGGTCCAGGCAGGCTGCTCCCGGAGAGTTACAGTTTGGTTTGCGATCTGCAGTTTAGCAAGTAACTGGAATTTAGCCATTGATGGAGAATGCAACTCATAGGTATTTGAGACTGAAAACAGAGCGACCATGGTAGTTCGTTGTGCCGATTTTGTAAGTGGTGTGGTTTAACCGGTGTTACAATCGGTTCATTCCGGTTTAGGAAAATAAGTAGTAAAGTGGTAAGTCATACCCTGAATGAATTTATTTATGCATATACATTAACATATTTGAATACAATCTCTCTAAAATAAATACAACGTTTCATACAAAATTTAAAAGTTCTCATATTTCAGTGCAAAAATTAATGGCAGCTTTCAAAAATTTATATTCGAATCCAACAAATAACGTAAATATCTAAACATTCATAACCGAATCAAACAAATAAAAAATAACGCGTTAACATTTAACTTTCAAATTCATAAACCAAATCAAAAGATTATTTTTTTTTAAATATAATTAACTTCATCAAAACAATGTAATTTTGTTAAGAAGTTGGGGAAATCGGTTATGTCAATCATACCAGAGATATTCGAGCCAGATTTTACAAACGATACCGATTGAACCCGAATGTACCGGCCGACAATGCCATATGTAGTTCAAAATCTTCTTAATAGCAAGGAAAGTAACTTCTCAATAAGGATTGGAGGGCACTTACTTTTGCAGGAAGGCTTGCAGACTGGAGAGTAGCAGTCGAGGTAGCAAGCTTTGGACTTAGGGTTGGAGGGATAGAGTTCAGGGCATTCATGGGGACATTCCAGTTGCTGCAGCTTGCATGGCCCGTAACTGCACATCGCGTAGCTGCCGTAGGCTTGAGTTGCACTGCCAACAAACATGATAATCACTAGCACCGCCGCCGCCACCACCATCAACTTACTGCTAACTCCCTCCATACTTAAATCACACTTTTGTTGGCTGATTCTTAGCTATAATGCCTGATTACCGAACTGTATATGCTCAGCTCTGGTCTTAATGCCCCTTTTATAGACTTCTTAATGGTTGTAGCATGTTCCCTCGTGAAGTTATTAACTAAGTTGTCAGGTTTCCCCGTGGGAGGAGGGGAATCTTAATCAGTAGTTAGTGTAGTGTTAGTGATGAGATCCACTTGCATTTGTTTTCTTTCCTTACAATGGAATTGATTGATTGATTGAATATCAGAGCGAATTTTCAACTGGCTAGGTTTTTGCAGGGAGAGGGTGAAACGTGGCTTATGGAGATTCTTTTTGTTAGAGAATGGTATAAGATCCAGCATAACTTTTTCTCAACAACTCGAGTTATTGGGATTAACTGGTTCTTGATATGGTATCAGAGCCTAGAACCAAAAAGTCATGTGTTCGAATCTCCATGACCCCCAATATTAACCGTTGTCTTTCAAGCAAATGATACGGTGGGCCTGTGCAAACTTCAAGCTCATGGGTTGACTTTCGTTTGAGGGGGCGTGTTAAAGAATGGTATAAGATCCAGCATAACCTTCTCTCAACAACTCGAGTTATTGGGATCAACTGATTCTTGACACTTTTGACGAGTACTTGAAAATGTTTTTTTTTTTTTTTCTAATTTGAAGTCAGCGCTCTGTTCTGAAGGAATTGAGGTGATAACTGAGCTAAATTCAATGAACTGCATGCATGCCGGGTGGAGGGAGGGAGGGACTGCAACTCGTCAGTGGCCGGCCGGCAAGCGACTATAGGGGCGGATTGGCGGTGTGTATTATTATAACTTGGCCACATGGTACGTGTGGGGTTATGGTGTTTTTTTGGCAGATTTATTTAGGTGTGTTTGTAAGTTGCTGTTATTTATTTGTGGTAATTAATTGTATGATATCATTATCAATATGAGATATATTGATAGGGATATTGTTTGTTCGATGTATTTGTGTTGGATGTTTTATAAGAAAAATAGAATTTAAAAACAAAATTTACCATGACCATTTGTTTAAAGTAAATTTTTAAGTATTATTATTTGGTATTGTTTTCGGTACACTCATTTTTTTAGGGCATGCTATGTATTCGTCTCATTTCGAAATAGATGATTCATGTCAAAACGATGTCACCCGTGATATGATGGATAAGAACGCATATAAATCTGCGCAGAAATCGTTCATCAAAGTTTACTTTGATTTGAAGGACGTGTTGTTTCTGAATTTAAGGATTCAAAATTGAAGGTTTAGAACTTGGGGGTACTGCATTGATCGGTTGTAATCCTATATGATACCATCATGCTCGAGCAACGCTACCCATAAAAATTTAAAATTCGATATTTTTAAGACTGGGTTTTCAGAATTGTGTGCATAGTAATGCACATTTTGTGAGTGCACCACAGAAGCAAACGGTATTTCCTGCTCCATGTATTTGACATTATATATGAACTTGATGAAAATATAATTAATTAAAACAGGTTTTAAAAAGCGTCAACCAAGATGATATATTTGCTCAATTACATAAGCAATTTTCACCCTCTCAATTACGACAACCAAACGATTCATTAAGCAGCTTTCATAGATGAAGTCCATTTGTGATAGCCAGATTGATATGGTCACGAATCCACGCACTTGGGCTGGGCCTAGTAGGATCCTTCGCGAATGGTTGAAAGAGAAACTACACCCCAATTCCCTTCGGGCCCTTATCACGACAATTAACTTAACTGTCCCCAGGTTAAAGTCTGGCCCATCAAAATTTTGTGGGCCTATTGAAACTTGTAATCTCTGCACAAAGACTGACATTGGCACGCGGTCCAAACTGAATTTGGCAAAACATGGAACCCGTCCGTCAAGCCAACCCATCACCTTTCATGTGCTAGTGATTCCATCTTCATGAATCTTCCTCCTCAGAATCAGTTCCACTTCCATCCACCACGTAGTTCTTCGGTAAATGGTAACGGATTGGAAACCAACAATGCAAAATATCTTTTGATACACGTTTTGAGGTAAAAAAAAAAAAATGCCGAATCTCGTTTTAATATATTTGAGAAAATATAAATTACGAAGATTGAAAAACGATTAACGGACAAGGATTTGGTCTAGTGGTACGTAATATTACTAACTTTGAATATGCAATCTCCAAGTTTAAATCCCCTAAATAAAACCTAATCACAAAAATATCATATATCACCTTATTTGGAAGATTTTTTTTTTTGAAAAACTATAAATAGTATCTTCTCTAGTCAGTCTAATCCTAATTCAACCTGAAAAAGAAAAGGTTACAAACCATACTAAAAATACTAGCTAAGACCATACTATGAGGGAAAAGGAACAAATTAACTTGATATCTCCTCACCAACAACAAATAAATAGATGCTAATCTAACACATCAATATCCACATTAAACAGGATCAGGGTTTCACATTTGGTGCGTCAATTGTTAATGAGAAGCCGAGATCGGTCAAGTTGAGCATTTAAATCAGTCAACACGGTTGACAGGGCAAGTTACGTGGACTAGCACGGTAAAGGGGATGACTCTATTTGAATTTGATTTTCATAATTTATATGTAACTTGACCGATTTTTATGAATTTAATATACACGATATGAAATTAAAAAAGAAAAATCCAAAACCATTTGTCGCGATCTTTAAAAAAATAGAGAAAATATTTAGAATCGTGTATTACACTTTCACCTTTACTACTTGTCTTACAAGATTTATACAAAAAAAACCGTCGATCACATTTCCAGTCGCGGGCGGTGCTACATGAGAAGACACAGATTTACGGTCTGAAAAACCCACCGTCGTTAACTACCATCTTCCACTACCTCAATTTTATGCACAAATTCATCGTTATCGTCTCCCTTTTGGATCTCTGCGGCCGCCTTCTCCAACCTCATTTTCTTCCTATCTGCAACATAACAGGGCAAGTCATCAATCAATTTTCGATCACCAATATTTTTTGTGTGTGTAAGTTATCAATAATTTTTAGATAATAGTTATCATAAAATCAACAATTATTACTTCTAACGAAAGATAATACACGAACAAAAAAATTGATTGGACTCCATGGAGCTCATCACCTTTTCCAAACCGAAGGGAGAAGAGGCAGCCGGCCGGCGCCGGTGCATGAAAATCTCCATAGAACTCCATGGCCAGTGTTAGTAGTAGCAAGAAAGTGGAAGCAAGGAAGCAGAGCAGGAAGAGGAATTTCAGATCGAAGCAGAGCAGCGTCGGGAGTGGGAGAATGGTCGGCAACACATCTTGCGCTGGGTAAAGATACGTAGTGACAATAATCTCGCCGTAATTAGTAGTAATATTTCCCTCTAATACTGCAGAATCCATCTCTTAATTTATCTTCTCTAATCTTTATCTCGAGGTTTCAATATATGGAGACGAAGGATATGGGTTTGATTATCAGCTTAATTAAGGATTTAGAAAAAAAATCTGCTTCTTAATATCTTATTAGCAACTCACCAATCCAGAGAGCAAGTTTCGAAAGCAACTTAGATAGGAGTTTTTTTTTTCTTTTGCAGGAGCTACTTGCTTTGGAGGAGTTATCTTTGTGTAAATGTGGTTCGTTACAATTATTAAATCACCAGACAAAGGGATAATGATTAGAGAAATAAAATTCATTTAGATATTATTTTGGGAATTTTTTTTTCATTGGATCTAATATCATCGATGAGATTGCGATAAAAGATTTTATCATAGTATTAATAAGATCATAGTATGTTGATAGCGGTAAGCATAATAATAAGATCGTAATGTGACAATGGTAAGATAACAACAACCATAAGTTTTGAAGTTATATTTTTTTCTCTCAATAAAAATTGATATACACATGTTGTGTATATCTATCGTTTTTCTATATAATTATTATTACATTTTGAGTTAAAGAAAAATAATGCATGATCCAATTAAGAAAAATAAGACGACATAAAATTACATTAGTTGTGATTTTAAAATATGTTCGATGTTAAAATATAAATCTTAAAGTCGTGGTAGATATATTAGTTGTGAAGATGTTGGTTCACAAAATAATTTTGTAAAAAAAAAAATATTTAACTCACCGTTAAACCACAACTTCGACGCAAAATATCTTACCGCGTTCAAAATATACTACTTCCATCTTGATATTTTTGGGTGTGTTTCGCAAATTGATTTGATTTGTCTACAGTGGCGGATCTAGGGGGTGGCCACCCGGGGCCCCGGCTCAGCCCTCCTCTGGATCCATAGTTAGTATAGCCCTTATGAATTTTTCAATTTTAGGCATTCGGCTTAGTGTGATTTTATAATAAAATTGGGTATAACTAGAAAAATGATTTAGATGACCATATTTAAATCACTACTCTAAATTTAGCCTTTAAATTTTAGCCCCAAAGATTATGCATATAAAAAAAACAATGAAACAAAATTCTAAAAGTTTAAAACGTAAAAGACTAAAAGAAATATGAGGTTTGTTCCCTTGAAAACTTACTAGAGCAGTTGGTGGATGCATGGATTGACACACAATGCCAATTGATTAGTCGATTGATTTGTCTAGTGTTAATGCTGCTCGTTTCAACAGCTATTACGAAGAGAACCTTTTCAACAATGAAATATGTGAGAACTGATTTGAAACAGTGTATACTATTGGTATGGATGTAGGCTCCATTATTAATGCATCACTAAATTAAAATACCGTCGTGTACAATTTACATTGGAAAAAAACTATAATCATTATGTTTTTTACTATTCAATTTTCTAATGAAACTCGGCTCAGTGCTCTTTTGTGTTCTGGATCCGCCGCTGTTTGTCTATGCCGCGTTTCGCAAAGATGATAGGTGTTCAAAGTCCACGAGCCTAGCTTCTTGACAAATGACACGCCCCTTCTGCCTGGCGGTGGACGTCCTCACTCCGACGGGCCTATTCGCCACCAACTACGGCGCCTACTGGCGGCAGATGCGGCATATATGCACGGCGGAGATGCTGAGCACGAGGGCGGGTGCAGTCGCTGAGCTGGGCGAGGGAGCAGTGGCGTGGGAGATGGTGGACTCCATCTCTTCGTCGGCTAAGAAGACCAATCCCGTCAACCTCAGCGAGATGATATTCGCCCGTGACGAACAATACGACGTCGCTCGCGGCGTTCGGCATGAAGTGCGGGGACAGCGAGGAGTTCGTCAGGTTGCTGAAGAGGGCGGTGGTTCTGAGCGGCGGGTTCGAGCTGCCGGACTTGTTTCCGACGTTGAAGTTCTTGAGGTGGAAGGGTCTGAGTTGGGCTAGGGCTGAGCTGGAGAGGATCAAACTGAAATTTGACATGATTCTTGGGGAGATCATTGAGGATCATAAGATCAAGAGGAGGGAAAATAGTACTAAAGAAAGATTTGGTTGATGTTCTGTTGAAGATTCAGGAACCTGGATGTACAAATCACTACTCGAGATATTAAACTATGATGGTACATCCCTACCATTTTTCTATGATGGTACTGTTGGGCCGTTGGGATCACCACCTAAATCAAGGCCCATGGAGTAGGAGGCGGCCCAAAAGGGGAAAAGGCTCAAAGAAAGTCAAAGTACGATGTGGATTGGCCCGGCGACCAGCATATCAGTTACAAGGCGTTAACGCCTGGGGATAGTACGATTGGTGGAGCAGGTACAATGACAACACATTAAATGCCGCCGCGAGCGTACCTCGTAAACAAGCCCGGCCCAGGCCCTGTGCTGGCCTGACCCACAACACAGGGCCTCAAGAATATTGGGGCCTCATTAGCCCAACCCAGTCCAATTCATACAACAATATATTTATATATTAAAAATAAATTGAAATTTGGAAAAAGGAAGAAGAAAAGCCATTGTCTCCACTCTTCCTCCTCTCACAGGCCACAACGGCCTCTCAACTCCCCTTTCCCAAAATCAAATTGCAGACACCACAATCAATTCCATAATTCCCCAAAACAAATTAGCTTTCAACTAATTAACTCCTAAAAGTTATTACTTTCCCAAACCTTCATCTAATGACTAATCAATGTTGAACAATCAAGTAATCAACAATCCAACCTTCAATTCTCCTAATCAATGTTCACTAATCAGCTCAATCCCCTCCTTAATAGTCGGCCAAAAAATGAAAGGAGAAGGAGCCGAAATCAAACCCAAGTCTCCCATCTTTTGATTCCAATTCTCCCCTGATTGATTCCCCCCAAATCTCCATTCTCAGACCGACAGAAGCTGAGAAGCAGCACGACAACACTGCCTATCAACGCGCGCCGCCCCTGTTTCAGACTTTCTTCACCCTCGAATCTCAATTCCTAGTCCGTGCCGCCGCCGCCGTGTGCGGCTCTCCTTCTTCGCTCTCTGTTGTCTCCGATCCGCCGCTTTGTAAGTTCCCCTCTCATCTCTCTCCGTTCAGCTATTCAATCGTCTCTGTATATTTTATTTTTTGTTACTTTTAAGTCGAAAGAGGAGAAGGCGGATGTAGGATTGGAGGCCGAAGTATTATTTGGGCGTTAATGGCCACAGCTCATTTGAAGAGTGAAGTCGGCTGGCCTGTTTAGTTTATAACCATTTTTTTTTTCAGGAAACTTTTGATTAAAATTTTGATTGGTTTAACATTATTTTTTGAACAATATGAGGGAATTATTTAATATTTTTAACAAATTTATGGAAAATAATTTTAGGGCCACATTTCAAAGTTTCGAACAGGGCCTCCGAAAGTAATGGGCCGGCCCTGCTCGTAAAAGGGGTACGAGGTATGTGTCTGACAAGACGTCAGGTGCTTAGACCAACTGTCACAAGCTATAAATAAGAGTCAACCACCTTATTTAATGATAACTGATTTCACTCTCTCTCTACTATTTTTTCTCTCTCAATACTAATTTAATCATCGAAGAGTGTCCCCGGGCCACGCCCCCGGACCTCTTCTGCAGGAAACGAAGGACCTCCATCTCAAAAGACAAGCGGTCTTCTCGTTGGTCTTCACAAAGCCGCCTGGCACTTTCTAGGCGTAAACAGGTACATCCCTACCAATTAAACTATGCACAAGGTGCAAACAAAAGCATCTAAGAACCTAATTTGTCCATTAGAAGCCAAAGATGCCGAAATCTCCAGCTCAGAGCAGATAAAGGCAATTCCGTTACTCAAATCATATCCATTTTAATGATTTCATCTCTTATTAGAGCAGAGTTTGTCTTTTGATCAAAAGTACAGAGTCTGGCAGAGTTGCTCTGTTCTGTCTTTGAAAGCGGCGGCCATGATCAAGGAGGTGAAAGGGCAAGCCAAGGTCGGCCTAGGATTGGACGTAATATGGAAATCTCTAACCAAGGAACTTCAATTCATCATCCCAAAATTGATGCCAGAGCATGTGGAGGAAGGCCACGTCCTCGAAGGAGACGGTGGCCTTGGAACTGTCTTCCTCTTCAACTTCTCCCAAAGCAAGTACTTTCGCAAACTTGGTGATTCCTTTCATGTTTTCTGTATTCTAAGAAACTAGACCGCCCGACTTCTTACTGCTGTTTTGAAGTTTCAGACATTAAAACGTTGGGATACCAGAAGGAGAAGATTGTCGAGCTCGACGAGACTCTGCATCTGCTTGGACTCCAAGTTGTGGAAGGTGGTCACCTCGACCATAGCTTTTCTTACTACAAAACCACCTTCCAGCTCACTGCAGCCAACGACACCGCCACGACCGAGACGATCGTTGATGTGACGGTAGCTTATGAATTTCAAGCGGAACCAGTTAAAGTAAGTCACACTCACATGCCATCCATTACCATGGCGCACTCTCTAAAATTCGTCAAGTCTTTGGAAAGTTATCTGCTTACCAATTTGGTTGCTGCTGGCTCCTTAACTGATTGATAGCTTTTCTTGCACCTCTGTTTCTCTTCTCGGTTAATTTCTCAAGTATGTCTTGTTTGTGAAGTGTAATAAAATCCTGCTCTGTTTTCCAAGCAAATGAAAGTCGATTTGTCGAACACCGAATCGATCCACGAGACTTTAACATGGAATCGATTATGTTATCGAAAGTTCTTATACCATGTTAAGACCAAATTTACCAAATAAATTGAGTGGTTGTAGAAGCTCATCAATGTTAAATCATAAAGGATTCCTTAACGAGACTTAGCATCTCTCATGGCAACCAATTTAACATTTGAGCATAATGACACTGTTAATTGGACTACAATTTTATTCAGACTGGAAGCCCATGATGATGAACATCATGAATCAATAATCACTTCCTGCAAACAATCCCATATCCAGCAGCAGCAGCTCCCCTGGTACAGTCAAGGGTAGGAAAGTTAGTACCCATCCCCTGCTTTGAGCTCTGTTCCTCTGCTTCGGAGAAGATGCAAGCACCACATTCTGCAGAGAGAAGGTCCGAGGTTCTGTACTTATCCTCGCCTCCCATGACGGGCATTGCCTTGCCCGGTTTCGCGACATTGTTCTCGAAGTCGGGCTGGTAAGTCTTGCCCAGTACTCCTTCGACATTCGGCGACAAATGGAAGAACCTGAACTGGACTTCCAGATGGACAAAACAGTCATGTTCCGGTATTTGGTACTTGTGTACTCTGTCATCTTCCTTGGTCACCGGCACCACACTGACCAGGATCTCGGCCTTGTTCTTGATCGTGACGATGACACTGTTCTTGCTCGAAACTCTCTCCACCGCGATGTCTTTGTCCTGAGAGGACCAGGCGGAGAGAGAGCCTTCTTCGACCGAAAGGTCTCGGCCATCATAGGTGAACTTAAGATGGTCCACCTCGTTGTCCCATGTCGCAGCCTTCGTGGCCTCGAGGGTGAATTTGTGGGAGTCGAAGAGGATTCCGAGGGATTGAATCCATGTGAAATCACGGGGTCTAGCGACGGGCCGGTGGCCGATGAAATGTCCGTTGATCTGGAAGTTGGGGTCTGAGACCAAGGTGAAGACCTCGTTGCTCTTTCCGTGAAAGTAGAACACCCTGCCGTCTCCGCCCACAAAGCGTGGGTCGTAGCAAGCCGATCCTGGGGCGTCACAGTTCGGTTTGCGCGCTGTAGAGAAATGCAATCAATTTTCCGTAGTTTAGAACACATGATCAATCAATGCGACAATATTTGTTAGTGAATTGGACCCTTTTCGAAACCCAGTATAAAATCGATAAGAGAACATGAAAGCATATGCATACTCCTGCACCCGGCGTTACAAATCGGGTGGTCGCATTCGACATGACAAATTTTGCCCTCGGCATTCGGTCTTCGAGTGGAGGGGCATTCCTCGGGGCAGCCTATGTGTGCGCCCATGCAACGGCTCGAAGTTTCGTTGCACAACACGACTTCTGTTTTCCAGTAACTAGGGATGGCAGCTGAAACGTTGATGGCAGTCAGATGCAAAGTCGCGACCACCATTGCGATGGCGATCACGCCAGTAGTTACGACGAATTTCATAGCCACTAGGTACTTGCTAGTAACAAAACCAGGGGAAGAGGGGGCTTGAAGAAAGAAGGATAGATCAGCGATTGAGCTGTGTAGTAATTTGGGAGATGTGAGGCTAGATATAGGAACACAAATGTATTAAGAAATGATCCAGTTGCCATTTCTTTTATCGGTAGGGTTTCAAATAAGTAAATGTATGTGAAAGTTTTGGCGGGTAATGAAGGCAAGACATAAACATGGGGTGGTGGAGGTGGCAGATGAAGGTGAAAGAGAGAGATACAATTTGGTTTGGAGGGTTCACTTAGTCAACTCTATCTGTTCATCCCACCTTTCCAAGAATGGATTACTTTATCCAAACGCAGCAAAGGGAGGATGAAGGGTTGGGTTCAGAAGTGGCTTAGGGAGAGGAAAGTTGAGGTTTGAGTGTGTTTGATATCATAAATGTAGCACCAAAGCTGTCATGGTTTTGTAAGCAAAGTGTTTAAAAAGTTTGGAACTTTGATTGTAGTTTTGTATTAACCTAGCTCCTGAACCGAAATTTTGTCTTGTTCTCGCCATGGTCCAACTTAAAACGAAAATTGGTCCGACCAATTGGCCAAATTCAAGTATTTCTAGTCGAAATTTATCTCGTCGGATTCGCTATTCGTGACTTGGAGATACTGACAATGCCAACAACCCAATAGCGATTAAGGTGAGTGCTAAAAGAGAAAGATGACAAGTGTTTTTCTTTTTTGTGAATGTTGTGTTTGTTGGATGGATCAAGGATTGAAATACCATATTGGAGGTTGTTTTGAAAAAGTTAGCCGTAGGGTACTTTACACGATTCAACCATTGCATACTGCTATATACTGCCTACCAGTTTAGCTTCTGGTAAAAGGTTTTTCTTATCGAACCACCGATATGGTACGATTTTTCAATCTTTGAAAAAAGGAAGGAAAAAAAAGAATAAAATAAATATATTTAGCACCACGTTTAGCAACCCATACTATAGTAAAATTAATTAAATATTTTTCCATCATTTTCATTGCTATACTTTTCTGAATTCGGATGGTTCTGTGCATTCGCCACTAGGCAGCTCGGCGGCGGGTGTTGTGCTCCGAGGAAGTGACGCCGGATTCCTCCGTGGCTATGCGGTTAACCTGGGCGGGGGATCGATCACCCATGCGGAGCTTGTGGGGATTGCGCATGGCTTGGACATTGCTTGGAAGATGGGATTCCGGAAGTTAATTGTGCAGACAGACTCGATGACAGTTGTTAAGCTGTTGAGTGCAGATGATGAGCGGCATCCCCAACCACACCTTGATCACCTACGTCCGAAGGCTGTTGGATAGAGAGCGGAAGGTCAATATTCGTCATGTATTCAGGGAGAGTAATTTTGTGGCAAATTACTTAGCGGCGGTTGGTCATTCTCTTCCCATAGGAATTCATATGTTAGATGCTCCGGAGCCCGTTTTACGGTATTGATTGTACTTTGATTCTATCGGAGTTCAAACTCCTTGCATGATTAATAGCTAAAGGTTAGAGCACCCCTTCTAGACTCTTGATTTTCACCAAAAGAAAAAATTGCTCTACCTTTTCTCTCACAATTTTCACTACTCCCAAATATTCATTCTCTTGAATAAAAAAAACTTCCCTTCTCACATTTCACTCAAATTTCTTAGTGACCATAGAGTTATAGCCAATGGGCTTCCAGTCTTCCACTATCTAAAATTGCATCTATTCAATTTTTGTAGACTAATGACTATTAGTCAAACCTTTTTTAGATGATTTTTTTATAGCTAAACCTGTTGAATTATTAATAATTAGTCAAATGTTAATTTTCAATTAGCAATTTTGTAAGTAATATTAACTTATCAACATGATACTGACTTGGACGAGATATATAGAGGTTAACATTCCAAAATTTTAGTATTTTAACTAAGAAAAGAGTTACAAAATTACTAACGATAACGTAAAAATGGCTAATATATATTTTGATACATTGCAAAATATTTAGCTAATTTCTAGTATTTCGATAGGTTTAACTAATACAAAAGAATTCAAAAAAAATTAGACTAATAAATAGTCATTATCCATTTTTGTATTTGGTCCAAATATGATATTTGATCAATATGCATGTCATGATCCTCTAGGTAGACCACTTTCTTTTTTCCTCCCTTTGCATTACCACATAAAATCATAAAGTATTTTTTTCAAATAGTATTAAATTAATTATGAAATTCTCATTATTATAGAACTTCACTTATAATTAAAATTATACAATAATGATGCAGAACAATTACAAAGATAATCGTAGAGTACAACATTAGTGTTACAATTTTGATAGATAGTAATAAACATGAAGATAGTAAATTAACTAAAGATCAAATATACGAAAGAGGAATCATTTTAATACGATATATAAGATCTCTCCCTTGCTGCCGCAATCTTATTCGAAACCAGAAGTTGCTGATGATTCATCGAATCAACCCAAATCGAACTTCCATATAGACTTTTACTTCCTGCAGACAATCCCATACCCAGCAGCAGCTCCCCTGGTGCAGTCAAGTGTAGGAAAGTCAACGACATTCCCCTGCTTCTTCAAGTCCTCTGCCTCCTCTGAGAAGATGCAAGCACCACATTCCGCAGAGACAAGGTCCGAGGTCCTGTACTTGTCTTCCCCTCCCATCACCGGCATCGCCACGCCGGGCCTCGCGACCGTGTTCTCGAAGTCCGGCTGGTAAGTCCTGCCCAGCACTCCCTCAACTCTTGGGGACAACTTGTAGAATCTGAACTGGACTTCGAGATGGACAAAGCAGTCGTGTTCGGGGACATTGTACTTGTGTACCCTGTCGTCTTCTTTGGTCACGGGGACGACATTGACCAGAATCTCTGCCTTGTCCTTGATGGAGATGATGACGCTGTTCTTGGTCGAGACGCGCTCCACCTTGATGTCCTCGTCCTGGGAGTACCAGGACGAGAGCGAGCCTTCGCTGATCGAGATGTCTTGCCCGTTGTAGGCGAACTTGAGGTGGTCCACCTCGCTGTCCCATGTCGCGGCCTTGGTGGCCTCGAGGGTGAATTTGTGGGTGTTGAAGAGGACTCCGAGGGATTGGATCCACGTGAAGTCGCGTGGTCGGCCCGCGGGCCTGTGGCCGATGAATCGGCCGTTGATCTGGAAGTTGGGGTCGGAGACCAAGGTGAAGACCTCGTTGGTCTTGCCGTGGAAGTAGAACACCCTGCCGTCCCCGCCCACGAAGCGTGGGTCGTAGCAGGCTGATCCTGGGGCGTCGCAGTTTGGCTTGCGCTCTGCAGGAATTTAATGTGATCAATCCAATTCGATTCGTTAGATCTCAACTCGAGCTATGAATGTGATAAAACTGATGAGCAACAAAATCAGAGTGGTTGTTTTATATTGGAGGCGACTGGCTGATAGTTTGTTGTGCTCAATACGAGACAGTGTTGTGAATGTCTTAAAGAGAGTGATCTAGTCCGCGACTCAGTCAGATCAGTAACCCTAATTTTCCATGTTCGGTTTCTAACAGTAAGGAAAAGCAATGGGAAAGGGGGGAAATGTGACGACGTACTTTTGCATTCGGCCTTGCAGAGTGGATGGTCGCAGTTGACGTGGCAGACCTTGCCCTTGGCGTTTGGGGTGGTGGTGGAAGCGCATTCGGCAGGGCAGTTGACGTAAGCGTCGGAGCATCGGCTGGTTTTGGCGCACCACACGGTTTCTGCTTTGGGGTAATCGGCAGCTGAAACCATGGCCGCCAGCTGCAGAGCCGCCGCCGCCACCATCAGAATGGCACTAATGCCAGCGGTTGTGCCGAACTTCATCCTGAATTGCTGATAACAAGATCGAGTTTGGAGATTGTTGGTGGAGAAGAGGATGGCGATGAGAGTGATTGAGGTGTGGAACAATGGGGAAGATGGGATGCTATTTATAGGAACAGAAATGCATTTGGAAAATTGTTTTGAAGTATTATTTTAGTTAGTTATTTGGCGGGTAAACGAAGCATATGAACATGGGGGCGGGAGGGAAGTTCATGTAGAGTTAGAAAGTAGAAACAGAGAGATTGATATGCAAGAGTTCATGTTCAGTGTATAAGTCAACGCATTTTCATGTTCACTTTTGCAACAATGGTTTACTTAGCCCAAACGGTTGCGATGAATTATGCATAGCTGGTTTAAGAAGTGACTTGCAAAGAGGAAAGTTGAGGCTAGGTTGGAGTCTTGTGGTATGCAAAAAACTATTAAGCAAAGTGTTTACACATGATAATATAGGAAATTGGAGATATGTGTGGCACACGAAATTTTTGCCTTTGATAAATCTGTGTTATAAACCAACTGGTATAATAATAACTCGAGTTGGTGGAAGAAGCTCATATATGGTACTTAATCACTTCCTTACATGCCACTCAAATGAAAGCCAACTCATGGGCTTGAAGTTTGCACAGTCCCGCCATATCGTGTGTTTGGCTTTAAGACAACGATTAATATCGGGGGTCGTGAGGACTTAGAACATATGACATCAATTACAGACTAGGCTCTGATACCATGTCATAAGCTAACTGGTCACAATAACTCGAGTTGTTGAGAGACAATGGTTGAGTCAGAAAATTTATATAGGGATGTCCTCTTTCAAAAATTAAATTAATAATTAAATAATTATAAAATAATAAACTATCTTCTAGTCTAATGAAAAATAAGTTTACCAATAATTGTAATCTTCTAGTTCAAATCACCTAATCTACTGCTTATATATATACTTTTTACCCATACGCAAACTACTACCGTAATTAAATAATCCGTATTTATAAAAATTAGGGGTGTCCCGGAACATCCCCTAACCCCCTGTCTCCGCCCCTATTGGGAAAGACCCATTTAGGGTACTTAATCACTTCCTTACAATTTTAATTTTCATACCCACCGTCACCAGTGAGTGATTTAAATACAAAATATAAATGAATTCACGAATTACTTTTTTTTTAACTAGAGATAATCATATTGATTGGCTGAAAGATAAGAGATTACACCAGTTCACTAATTTTTTTAATAATTGATATGTATAGTTTATTAAGTAAGAAAATTTTGATTACAATCATGCGATTTCCTTAAAAATGTTTATCTGCAAACTTCAATTATAATAGTTATCAGCACTTCTACTATACTATATAGTATTGGTGCTTTAATGTACAACTTAAAGTTATACCATAACATTAAATGTATAAGTTTAGGTTGTACCATAAAGCAATTTGTATCTTTATGTTATGGTACAACTTTACTACTTGAAGTTGTACCATCACATAAATGTACAAGTTCAAGTTGTACCATAAAAGAATTTGTACAAAAAGTATAGGTACAATCTGAAGTTGTACCATAACGTAAACGTACAATTTTAAGTTGTACCATAAAGACAAAATTCTATAGCACCAATACTATATAGCATTATAAAATTTCTCATTTTGTTGATGAAAATCTCTAAAATATTTTAATCTCTTCTTAACTAAACAATTTGGCATCTATATGTAAACCATAATTTTCCAACTGAGTTATAAAAAAAAATCAGTCATGGAATAGGATTTTTCTTCATTTTGATCTTACAACCTATAATATTTGGCCTTTTTTATTCATTTGGATCAACATATTACCAGAGTATTTACCGCCAATTGCCCAATTGTAGTGATATTGATGAAAGAAATAATCCTAGAAAGCCCATTCAGATAGGATTATATAGAAAAAGCCCATTCTGATCGGGCCTTCTTCTTAAAGCCCATTACCCGTTGATCAAAGTTCCCTCTCGAGTCTCGAATCAAATCATTGCACGGACTGAGTTAACTCGTTTACCACAAATTGGAGACCGAGTCCCAGCAGAAACCCTAGCTTTCTTTTGTACATTTACTTGGCTGCAAGAAAATCCACCTTCCTGAAGTCGCCATTCCTGAAGGTGAGTTTGCCTCCTCCTTTCAATTGCTAGCTACTTACTGCATTTTACATATCAGAAGTTGATGATAAATTTTGAATTTCATTCTGAGCGCCAAACCTAAAATTGAACCCTCCATTAAGATTTTTCTGTTTGTTCTTGAATATCTCAGAACTCGGAAGAAATGAGCATGTTTTTGGTGAAATTTTAATTCTTGGAGTATATCAGTCGATGGACACTCCGGGAAGAGGTAGTTCGGTTACTAAGAGGTCGTTGAGGAAGAAAGCTCCTTCCCGGAGTTATGACGAGGATTTGGTGGATGAGGCCATTGAGAAGCATCTGGGTGGAAGGTTCAAGAAAAGGAGCCGAACGAAGGAGGCTATGGAGAAAGAGACCGAGAAGGAGGCAATGATAGCTATATCTTTGGGGTTCCCAATTGATGCATTGCTAGAGGAAGAGATTCAGGCTGGGGTAGTGAGCCAGTTGGGTGGCAAAGAACAGAATGATTACATCGTCGTGAGGAACCATATTCTCACTAGATGGAGGAGTAATGTGCGGAGTTGGCTTTCTAAAGGGCAGATAAGGGAAACCGTGAGCAATGAGTATGAGCAGTTGCTATCTTCTGCATACGACTTCCTTTTGTATAATGGGTATATAAATTTTGGGATTTTATCTGCTACGTCGTCTCCGGTTCTTGAACCGGCGAATGAATCTTCTGTTATAATTGTTGGTGCTGGACTTGCTGGGCTAGCAGCTGCAAGACAGTTGATGTCATTTGGGTTCAAAGTTGTTGTTCTTGAAGGTAGGAACCGTCCAGGGGGGAGAGTGTATACTCAAAAGATTGGCAGAGATGGCGAATTTGCTGTTGCTGATATCGGTGGAAGTGTTATTACTGGTATGCATGCTAACCCTCTTGGAGTTCTGGCAAGACAACTTTCTGTTCCACTTCATAAGGTTCGGGATAACTGTCCTCTGTACAAACCGAATGGGGAACCAGTTGATAAGCAGATGGATTCTGATATCGAGTTTACCTTCAACAAGTTGCTCGACAAAGTCATGGAATTGAGACAAGTCATTGGTGGATTTGGGAATGATGTTCCTTTGGGTTTGGTTTTGGAGAGACTTAAACAGCTTTATGGAGTGGCTAGAACTACCGAGGAGAGGCAGCTGCTTGACTGGCATCTTGCTAACCTAGAATATGCAAATGCTGGATGTCTTTCGGATCTTTCAGCTACGTATTGGGATCAGGACGATCCATTTGAAATGGGTGGGGACCACTGTTTTCTTGCTGGAGGAAATTGGAGATTGATCAAAGCATTGTGCCAGGGTGTTCCCATATTCTATGGGAAAACAGTCGATGCCATCAAGTACAATGAGGATGGTGTCTCAGTGCTTGTTGGTGAACAAAAGTTTGAAGCAGATATGGTACTGTGCACCGTGCCTCTTGGAGTCTTGAAGAGAAAAGCCATAGAATTTTATCCCGAGTTACCTGCAAGGAAGCTGGCAGCAATTGAGAGACTGGGATTTGGGCTGCTCAATAAAGTAGCCATGCTGTTTCCTCGAGTGTTTTGGGGAGAGGAGCTGGATACGTTTGGGTGTCTGAATGACCACAGCAACAGCCGCGGTGAATTCTTTTTGTTCTATGGCAACCATGCTGTTTCTGGAGGTGCAGTACTCATTGCTCTGGTGGCTGGTGAAGCTGCACAAGCATTTGAATGGACCGAGCCATCAACTTTGCTCCATCGTGTTCTTGACAAACTCAAAGGTGAAAACCCTATGGTATATAGATGCGTAAATGTGGTGTCAATTTGCACCTTATATCACGAAATGTGACATTATTTTGTTTTGTTTAGTACAGGTATATACAATCCCAAAGGCATAGACGTCCCCAACCCGATACAATCAATATGCACAAGATGGGGCAGTGATCCCCTAAGTTATGGTTCATACTCTCATGTTAGGGTGCAATCTTCCGGCTTTGATTACGATGTCCTAGGAGAGAGTGTAGGCAATCGACTTTTCTTTGCTGGTGAGGCCACAACCAGGCAATATCCTGCAACAATGCATGGGGCCTATATAAGTGGCTTAAGAGAAGCTTCTCGCATCCTGAAAGCGAGCAGAGCCGAGGATAATGATAATTCAAGGAAGTCCGCGATGCCGAGGAGTCTATTACTGAAAACCAGTGATTCATTGGTGGATTTGTTCAAGAGACCTGAGCTTTCAATGGGAAATTTCTCCTTTGTGTTCAATCCTTTGGAACAGGACCTGAAATCTGTGGGGATTATGAGGGTCACTTTTGATACTTGTGACGAGGATTTGAAGGAGGAGCTGGAGAATAGTTTAAGGTGTCCCGTGAATATACCATTGCAGCTTTACACAATGATATCTCGTCAACAGGTCGTCGATGCCCAACTGTTCAATGATGGTGGGGATAAGCCTACCTGGTCCTATTTGACTAGAACCTTAGAGCTGAAGCTAATTGGTTCTGCAGCCTTTGTAAGCACAGCTCATTCATTGATTTCCAGCATTGCTAATCCGCGAAAGGGCAGGGGCAGGCCGAAGAAGATTGCTCCCCAGTAACCGTAGTGTGTAAGGTGATATTTACTTCTGTCTTTCAATCCACATCAACTGTAGTCTGTAAATACTAATACCTAGTAGTTCATTCATCGAAGTTGACTGGCTCATTCGGCTACCCATGGCTTAAGTAGGCCTCGTCATTGAACCATATAGTATATGTAAAGGAAGAAGTGTTGATATAATATTCCTTTAGTACATGCTGTAATTGGGGTTAAAACCATATATCGGTGTGACTTGTAAGACAGAGCAATGATGTACTCTCCATTTGAACCTCAATTTTGCCAATCAAATTCAAAAGTTGAAACCTGCAGAACGAGTTGTGGAACCAGATTCCAACCTAGCATGCTTCTCGAATTCCCATGGCGTGAAAGGACTTCTCACTTCTCTGCTGTTGTTCAGTTCAGATTATTAGGAACACATGCATGCAAGCAGTGTAGTTGCAGGTTACGAAGAAACAGCTAGTAGTAGGCCAACTTCTAGTTCCCCCTAGCTATCTCCAATAGAATTCCATCCCATTTTCTTTTCCAATGTAATTCCCACTAGAATAGGAAACGACCCCAATGCAAATATGGCTGAAACTAGAGTATCTTCCATTATCTCCAAATCAACCATTGGGAGTACAGAAAGATAAAGCCTAGAAAGAGTCCTCTTGGTCTTCTCAAAGATCTTGGCGAAACAAACGAAAACATAAAAACCCTTTTGTCACTTTGGTTGACTGTATTAGTCCAACACGACTAGCTAGTTCTTCAAGATAATTAATGAGACAGCTGATAAATAAGCATTGCAGATTGCAGATAGATCATTGGGAGTATGGATTGATGGCACGGGCTATGGGTTTGCATTCTCCATGAAGTCGGTGCAGTTTCGGCATCCGCAGTCGACGAATCTGCAGATGAGGCACCCAACACAGGAACAAATTGTGCAGCCTCTGCAGTATGAAGCCCTTGGACACCCTCTGTACTTTTTCCTGCTTCCCCTCTCCTCTGGATCCCCGCACGTAATCCTGCAAATTTATCGTTATGTGAAACGTGATCGAGAAGTCGATTATTCCATCCATTCGAGGCACCAACAGGCCGAACGAGATCGAGTTACATACCTGTCGTAAGGCCTATCAGCACATTTCCAAGTAGACTTGGCGAGAAGAGCATCATGGTAGACCCTGCAGAGCTGCTTGTTTCGGAGCCGAAACCTGCGCTCCTTGCCGCAGCTGGAGCAGGGGATGAAATCGTCGCGATGAAACTGTCGCCTCACGGTCCCACTCGCGCCATTGGCAGCGTGCTTGTAGTACTTGAACAGCTCCGTCCTCCACATCGCCACCTTCTTGCCATCCACGGCAACCCAAATGTGGCTCTTCCACTTGCTGTTCCCCTGCCTCCTGGCATGCTTCTCGAACTCGTGCGGCGTATATTGCTCTGCCATTTCAAGGGTGAAAGGAACGGTAACGATGCATTACAGACAGTAAGTAAGCTTTAAGAACAATGACGTTACTAGCTGCTACGTACTGGAACTGTCGCAGGCGTTGCAGTGGCAAGTGATGAGGAACTGGCCGGAGGAATAGACTCTGAGGACTCCGACGCAGTCTCCGAGCCGCTTGCTGGTGCAGCCGCAGTTGACCTGGATGTGGTCTGCGGCGGGGCGGCAGAATCCGTCCATGGCTCGGAGCTGTGGCTCGAGGAAGAGGACTTCCGAGTACTCGACTGGGACTTCATGCATTCCTGCTTCCTGTAGTGCTGCATTCATCTTGGAAGTGGCTTCATCCCCATCTGTACTTAATTTAACAGTTGTTTAATTACATGCATTGGGATACAACACAATCCAATGAACCGTCTGGATCAATTAATTAAGTCGTAGCCATCAGGAATTAAAACATTGGAATTCAGAATTCAAAGGGGCAATTGCATTACATGAACAAGGTTTATAGAGGAAAACTTATCTTTGAGGTAGCATTTGCTTGAAACATGCTAGAAGTTGCACACATATACATTTGTAGGCTTGTTAAGATCGGTTTTTAGGATGTCATGAACATAAAATAAGTTGAGCAAATCCATATGGACCAATACTTTATTTTTCCTTTTTACTTGTGCTATACAAGAAGATGTCTGATATTGCGAACAAGAGTTCGATCTGATAGTCAAACCATTAGCTTTCAACAAAAGAGTTTAGATTCGAATCTTTTAAATATCACAAGGTTAATATAAACGAATCTTATATCACCCTTATCAAAAAAGAAGATGCCCGATTTTTTCTTCGCATAGTTTTTTTTTTCTTCCACTGTCTTTCGTTTTTCTCTTCACGTGTAATTTTTCGAAGTTACCCCTCTTTTTTTTACACGTATGTTCTGGCTTTTCATTTTTCCTATTTGCATTCAACACCAAACACTGCTCAGACTTCATCACTTATGAAGTTTGTGGTGGTGTCTTGTTTTCCCTGCTCTATGTTTCTTTGTATCTTGTTAGTAATATTCATCATTCCGTCGCACAATTACGGGATAAATGTGTAAATCAAACGATTACTCCAATCAAAGACTCATGAACTAAGAAAAAGTTAATCTGGAAAGACATCAAATTGTGAAGCATTAAAAGAGTAAATTCGATAGATTCTGCATAGAACTTAATCTGCTTCAAAGATAATACATACCTCGACCCATCGCATATCAAGAAGTTGAAAGTAAGAAATCCCTTTCTGTATTATCTTATTTCATTAGATACCTTGGCATGAAAACTCTTCTTTGCCGATCCCTGACGAGTGATAAGAGTAAAAAGACCGCAAATGATTCTGCACACCCTAAAACTTTTCTTTTAAATCTTTCAATGTTTTTTCAAATGGTCTGGATACAGTTTCCTTAAAATTTACACCATTTCCTTGCATGTAGTCCAGGTGTTTGGAATTTACTGCCGAAATTTAAAGCAAGTTAATGGAAAATTAAATTTTTTTCTAGACTTAGTCTAATTCGAACGGTTGAAGCGTATATACTATATTGTAAAAAAAAGTGTATATACTATATGGTAATATCACATAAATAAAAATATGATTATTATGCGAACATATAATTTTCCTTTTACTATTATAGATTTCACCCTCTACATATATTCACTATGTGAATTAATCATGACAATTAAAACAATCAATAGATTTTTTATATCCTATAAAAAAATTAAATAGGTTTCATATTTGAAATGGCAAGTTATCATTCAAGTCCATATTTGAAAAAGCAATTATGAAAGTAAAATAATATTTGTTCAAATTATGTACAGAGCGTCATGACTCATGATATAGTAGTGCGAACAAAGACACGCTAATACACGCAACTGATACATCGAAATATCTCATAGAAGCAATCACCCCAGTGGATCATTCTCAACACATATGACTTTTTTCCACACTCGTGTAATCCTTGTTGTAAGTGGCATGACTATATGTTACACAATATGTTATTTGAAAACATTCGTTCATAACCTGCTTGTTTGCTCTATCTTCTAGGCTGAGTAGAGACATGTTGTTGAAGGTTTTCAACTGGTTTGGAATGTTGAACACCAACAAGCTCACATCACTACACGAAAGATAAGATGTGTTTGTACTCAACATGCAATTGTGGTGTGGCAAGGGTAGGAGTTATCCATACTAAAGTTAAAAATACATGTACAATTGGTAATCAATTTGAGAAATAAAATTATTTATTAGACATCGGCTCCCTACCAAACAACTACCAACATTCAGATCCTTCGAACTTCATATTTTGACCTCCTTCATTTGGAGGTCTGACTTCACCACTAACTAAGAGATCGTCGAGTCTAACTAAATTAAAACTCACTTATAAAATTTAGGAGGCTACAACTAACAAACTTGGCACACATACCCTAATGTAAAAAAGGGCATATAAAATGGTCTCATAATTAGTATATCTAAATTAGAAGAGGCATCATCACATACATTGAACCATGATCATACTTCTAAGTATCAATTCGTTAATTTGTCTAATGTAATGATTTAGCTATATATCTCATATATTTGTTCTAATCCCAATCAAATATAAAAATTTATTTAAACGAGGGTGATACCCTAGAATCTAGATAAACAGTAGGAGGCATCGGCCAGGATAAATTGATTAGCATTTTGCTGAATTCTTGAAGAGTGAAGGATGACGGCATTCTCTCCTTGCCCACTTCTTGCTTTTCCTGCTCTCTCTGCAACAGCTTCCTTGGCCGCCCTGAAAGTTAGTTCCAACGCTCAGCTTCCCGTCCTTCACCATGACAGCCCTTTCGTTCAAGAGGTAACCGCAAAAAATGGAACTTCTCCCTTCATAATCTATCGTTCACTGTGAAATGCAGAATGCAATGAACTTTGAAGACGCATTTTATTATCAATGAAACGAGGCAAAAGTACATTTAGTAGCTCTGACACGAAAGCTTGTTGCTTTGTGAGATATCTATCGCGGCTTGCAAGCTGTAGTTGAAGGCGAGGGATGTTTCTGCATTCATGGTGTTTGTTGTTTTGTCCCAATGAATTTTAGTTTCACGAAATTCGGGATGGTGTTGTGGTTAGTAGCTCGTTGTTTCCAGTAAAAATGGAGGAACTAAAGAGACGAATTTCCCTTTGAAAGGATTTGATATTAAGTTTCTGAGTTATGCTTTGGTCAAAAGATATCAAGTTTATTCTTTGCACCAGAAAGGGTATACATTCAACCTTATTAAAGGCTTAGTCGTGATTCGTATTAGCTAAATTCTGTACTGGCCTAATGTTTTGGGAAGTAGGTTGTTCAAGCAGTCGATGCACTACACTCGGAGTTCAGAGCTGTGGATAACTTGGTGGCACGTAACTCCTTTCGTGTTCTCAAAGCTTTTCAGAATGCTCGAGTTGGATCTCATGTAAGTAACTTGGATTCCAGTGAGCCTGATTAGATTATAGTGCACTTTGTGATTTTCTCGAGGCTGTCTGGAGCGGTGTACTATGTCTTTTCCAGATCATCTTATGAACTTCAGAAGCTTCCCTGACCATTATAAAAAAAACTTCAGAAGCTTCCCTGTCTTGTTTACAAAAGTATAAAATACGAATTATGTGTTTATCCCTAATTTTGGTGAATGCATTCTTCCCTGTGGAATCGTCATTATTTGGTAAATGGAATCATATGTTTACATATGTAGTAGTCAAGTGCCAAAATTGTCAATCCGACCCTTTGATTCTGGAGAGAGAAACATATGGATCAGAAATAAAAGGAAATGGAGCGGAAAGAAACGAGCAAAGATTGATGTTGCTAGGTGAAGATAAATTAACTATTTCCACCTCAGCAGTGTTTCACAGCTAGTTCCCAGAAACCAATTGCAAAAGAAAAATCTTCTTCTGCTCTGGATGACTATGCAGTATGCAGTTGCTAATAGTAATGCTTATAATCAGCATTTTAGTGGATCTACTGGCTATGGCCATGATGAAGCTGGAGGACGAGAAGCACTGGATCAAGCTTTTGCTGAGATTGTGGGAGCTGAATCTGCAATCGTCCGGTCCCAGGTTATCTTGTCTTTCCTTCTTTTTCTATTTTCTGCCAAATGCATCATTCAACTGTTTTTCATTACATAATTTCATGTAAAATATTTGTTATTAATCCTCTTCCTTTCATCACTAGTTTTTCTCGGGGACCCATGCCATCACTTGTGCTTTGTTTGCATTTCTGAGGCCAGGTGATGAGGTTAGCTCCGCATTTGAAAATTTCAGCACCATGCTCTCTATAGAAAAGATTGTCTCTGTTACTCTGATTGTGCTTTGTGGTTAACTGAGCTGCAGACTGGTTGAATTTGATTCTTTTCAGCTTTTGGCAGTTGCTGGAGCGCCTTATGACACATTAGAGGAAGTCATTGGAAAGAGGGATTCTCATGGCATGGGTTCACTGAAGGATTTTGGAGTGACATACAGGGAGCTTCCTGTATGTTTCAATTTTCCTTGGAACAAAATTTATTGAATTAAAATAAAATAAAAACACAAACTTAATATCTTGCTACTGTTTCCAAGCTTGCTGAAAATGGTGGCCTTGACTGGGATGCACTTGAGTGTGCTGTAAAACCTCACACAAGATGTGCACTAATACAGAGATCTTGTGGCTATTCATGGCGACAAAGTTTAAGTGTGAATGATATAGGGAGGGCCATTAAGATGATAAAGGTAAGAAATTTGAAGCTTACACTGCTTACTGTCATATTTTGTTTGATCTGTTTGAAGGTTCTATTGAAGTTGCCATCTATTGCTTTCAGACTGCTATTTTAATTATTGGAGGGAGGTTCTGGTGATGATCTTTCTATAAAGTTTACAGTTTGTGCTTGTCATTAGGCTTAGTTCTGATGGTTTCTTTGTCTCAAACGATATACTTCTTGGGATGGTTCTTTTATGTCATACTTGGTTCATTGATTGGTAGAACCTTCCTACTTAAGTTTCACCTTATCTCTATCATCTACACACTGAAGTGTTTTACTTCCCTTTTGTCTAGTTTAGTTTCTTTGTTTTGCGCTTTTTAATGTTATGTTTGTTGATGCATTTGCATGCGATGCAGATACAGAATCCTAACTGCTTGGTTATGGTTGATAATTGCTATGGTGAATTTGTTGAAGGAATCGAACCTCCAATGGTGGTATGTATCCTTTTTTTTCATCTGAAAATCAAAAAGAGATATTTTCTTTCCTGAGCAGTTTTTCTCTGCAGGGTGCCGATTTGATGGCGGGTAGCTTGATTAAAAATCCTGGTGGGACCATAGCTCCATGTGGTGGATATGTTGCAGGGAAGCGGATCTGGGTAGAAGCAGCTGCAGCTCGTCTCTCGGCTCCAGGGCTTGGAACTGACTGTGGCTCAACACCGGGGGACATAATGCGAGCTTATTTTCAGGGCTTATACCTTTCCCCTCAAATGGTTGGTGAAGCAATCAAGGTACTCAAATTTTTCATGCCTGTTAGCTATGTCCTATGCATTCTTCTGCTTGCAAAGTACCAACATTGTTTTAATTTGCTTTCGCTGTAAAAAGGGAACCTTTCTAATTGCTGAAGTCATGGCATCAAAAGGATTTAAAGTGCAGCCTCTACCACGTGTCAGTCGACATGATACAGTTCAAGTGGGTACTCCAATTTGAAGTTTTTCTGGTTTTGAAAAGTACTCTAGTGCCCTTACCCAGAGTATGATGTATTGATGTTTTGGAGATAAATAAGTTGTGTGGCTTGATTTTTCAGGCTGTGCAGCTGGGGAACCGTGAGCGTCTCCTTGCATTCTGTGAGGCTGTGCAGAGAAGCTCACCGGTTGGCTCATTCACCAAACCAGTTGCTGGTTCAACACCTGGATATGCATCAGAGGTCTGTTCATGTTACGTGTGTACTAAGTCTCTTGCTTACTGTTGGTGTGTTGCAATTGGTTTCAGTACTATACTAATTGATATATGCTGTAGTACTGGAATTTCTGGACTATTATCCATATAAGCATGGTAGTGTATGTGTATATAAATTTACTGGATGGTAGTGAAGGCTGTTGCAACCTGCAAAATTGTATGCTAAGCTGCAACAAGGCATCATTTGGGTTGATGAGTTTGCTAGAAGGATTTATAATTATATGTGTTGTTACGGTTAGTTACCTATGTGTTCTAACATGGAATTCTGTTTGCTAGGTGATTTTTGCTGACGGGACTTTCATTGATGGGAGTACAAGTGAATTGTCATGCGATGGACCTCTAAGAGAACCATTTGCTGTATATTGCCAGGTCGGCTCCATTCCTTCTAGTGAGGGTTGATTCAGAACGAGAAAGATCAATTGATTAAACGGCTAAAAGCTTTATTCTTGTGACACAGGGTGGGACTCACTGGACCCAATGGGGCATAGTTCTAGGTGAGGTCTTGAAACACATTTGATATCAATCCTGAGTTTCTGATCAATCAGTTCTTCGACAAAACCGCCAAGGGTATGAAGTCCGCGCTTTGCATTGGAGATCAGTACATTCTGCGGTCTGCTGCAGAGTTTTGGGCAGCTTCCACAGCTGAGCATGCAATCTGTAGCAGCGGTTAACAGTCACCATATGTGGTAATCAGTTCTTCCCATTCTGGTGTGTTATGCTTACCCACCCCGAGTTCATACTCGGCCTTCACTTTGAGAACTGTGAATGGATGTGCCTTTTCAAAACTGTGCAGGTTGACGTTGTCAGTGATCGATGATCTCTCTTTTTCTGCTACCATGGCTGCTTTAGCCTTTGAAGTTTACCAGGCCATTCTTTCTATTACCTAGGATCACTTAGTCAGCGTGTTGGTTTGCTAGGGTCTTTAGGATGTAGTTGCATAGTAAATCTACTCCTGCTGAGGAATGCTTTTCAAATTGTGTAAACTTCTGTTATGATTATTGTTAGTAGGAGTCAATGCCAATTTTGGTCTTGTATTATGAGTTATGAACTCTTATTTCTCTGTTTCTCGTCTTATGCGAAAAGTTCCCCTGCCCCAGACTCGGTCCTTACTCCTTAGCCCACATTGAGTGTCATGCCATTGTCATGTCCCTCTCGCAGTGAACGAGCATATGTCTTTACTGGACTTGGTGCACCGTACTGTAACCTACCCTCATAGTTTTACAAGTTGCTGGGTTCCTCGACGTAAGGTGTGGGCACCAGTGGCCAGTGGGAGTGAGTTTTGCAGCAGTGATGACTGTCTGATGACTACAACTAACAGGAGTCGGACTACAGTGCCTCCGAGCAATTATGTTCAGGACTGGGTTCCTATTTGTGGTGCGTGAATCGTGACTATAAAACTTTCGTGATGCAAAGCCAGCATTGTCGCATCTCAATCCTTAGTGGTATGGAATGCTGCCCTAACTGAGCATCAAAACAACAGGTTGGCCCATGCTTGCTGGGAATTGACTCCGACACTCCCACCACTATGAAAAGTTTGGTTCCTTGGTTCTCAAACTCGATATTATGCATACGAATTACCTGAGATTGAGTGTCGAGATATCTCAGAATATCGTGCACAATCGGATGAAGATAGGATGAGATAAACTGTAAACTCAATAGCTACCCTTGACTGGGCAGTATCAAATATCTCAAGAATGTGCCAAATAACAGAAATGCATTTCGCCAAAAAAGAAATTAACTGGCTTTCCTATACTGAGCACGAGGGGCCCACGGGCCACGGCCTACCTACGAGCTCATGAATGCAATTCTGCAAATCATGTTGGGAGGTTTACGGATTAAGTTTAACTACGAATGAAATGAAATCCACGAAACAAAAACAATATCCGTTGTCGTTATAAAGCAGTTCTTTCTCGAGCCTCTCCTTTTTGGCAATGTCATCGTTACTACTTCAAGCTCCTGTCCACTTCTCACCTCTCAACTCCATACCCTCTGATTTCCCCGCCAAACCCGCCTCCTCCATCTCTCCGCCGTGTTTAAAGGTTGTCGCTTTTGATCGAAAGAGGCTCAGATTAGAACCCTGCAGGGGAACAAGGGGTTTTCTCGAACTGGGTACAAGCAAAGATGGGATTTTTGTGAAAGATGGAAGAGGGAGAAAGAATAGCGATAGAGTGGTTCTGGTGAGGTTTAACCAAGGTTTCGGCGGCGGCGGCGGCAGCGGGGGAGGTGGCGGCGGCGGCAGAGATAATGGCGGCACTGCGAGGATTCTGGGTAATCTTGCTTTGGCTATTGGGCTGACTTATCTTTCAATGACTGGCCAGCTTGGTCGCGTATTCGATGCTGTTGGCTGGGTTCTCGACGCCGTGATCTCTCTTTGGGTAAATGCCAATTGATCCAGTTATATGCTTAGAATCTCCAAGACTCCGAATTCCTTTTGCTTTTTCAGTACTTCAGCTTATCTTGGTCGTTTTGGATTGCTCGTTATTGCAGCTACTTGCAGTGATTCTACCAATTGTGGGGGTCGGGGCGTTCCTATGGTGGGCTGGAAGGGATATGCTTCAGAGCTCTGTAATAATTGTTCATTTTTCATAACTTGATTTTGCTGTAATTTCATGTTGGAAACTTTCTGGAAGGAGAGTTCATTGCTTGATTCGTCTCTGTATATCTGTTTTATGTGGCAGTGCCCAACTTGTGGTAACGAGTTTCAGGTTTTCAAGTAAGGGCCATTTTTAACCGTTGTTCATTGGGAGAGTTGGATAGCTGGTGTCAACTTCCTCATGAAACTTCGCTTACTCCGTTCTTCTCTGTCACCTTGTGCAGATCAACACTGAAAGATGAGCCGCAGATGTGCCCCTTTTGCAGTCAACCATTTTCAGGTGAGAACAAATTCTCTGATTCGTTATGATCATCTCGTGGAATGAAAGAAAATGTTACCTCCCGTTTGGCTTACTAAAGCACAGTTATATGTTTCATCTGGTATTTTTACATCCTCTTTACCTGTCCTAATCCTGAATGAACACTCTCGACAGTGGAAAATGGCAAGTTTGTGAGAGATTCTGTTAAATCCTCGAATGAATCCACATTCTTCGGAGAAGCCTTCAGCAACTTCTATTCGGGTTCTGATAAAGGTAAAACATGGCTCGACTTATCTCTCCCGATGTTAATGTCATGAATCATAGCTGGTTGGGATATGGAGTCTGGTTCAGAAAATACTGGGATCTTTGCCTTGTCCTATCTCGTGGTTTTGAGCACCAATTAATTGCGCTGGTTATTGACTTATTGCGAAGCTGACACCATATTTCTGGGTTCTTGCAGGAGGGAAGGATTCATCTTCCTCTGCAGTTGTTGACATCGAAGCAGAAGTAAAAGACGCAGACTGACTTGACTGGCTATGTCAAGTTCTAACTGAAATTGCACCCCATATATTCACTTCTCCAGCAACCAGGGAAGTATAGTTATTTAATCAGATGAGATTCTCCAAAGCAGCTCATTGTGCAACCAAGAAATGCATATATGATTGTGAGCGTTGCTGGTTGAAGTAGCAATGCGAACTGCATTTTGCTGCTGCTACTGTTTACTGAGTTTTGATGATCAATCCCGACAATGTATACCATGTATTCAAACGTTCATACCGGTACGTTTGTTCATCGTTCTAGTTGGGTTTACAATAATAATCCATGTAATCCAAATCATTTATAATACACCACGTAATTATCTTGTAATCAGCAAACATGGCACGATTTCATTATTAGAGATTAAGGAATGCTTCAAACTCCATTATACGGTTGAAAGTGAAAGAGCTAGCAATGAGTTCTACATGCAGTTCCAGAGTCACATGCAACTTTAAACCTCCCCTGAAAACTCAAGTGCAGAACAAAAACAGGAAACTTTAGGGAATGATAACCGTTCTTTTGTCCATTCATACGATAACGAACATAAGTGCTGGTTCTCCAACCTTCTGCAAAAAAACAAGTTGCAGCAGCTGTTGAGTGATCTAGCACTCAGTTTCAACTTCGCTGTTGCTTTGATAGAACGCTTATCTTAATTTCACGGCATAAGAGTAACACAACATGTAACTAAGGTAATAGTAACGATATTTTATCTCATCGTTCTCGTCTTTCTTGCCTCCTGTAAAGAACTTGCAACCTCCATAGATGGCCAATCCCCAGCCAGTTAGATTGACAATAACGAACTGCAAATACAATAGCAGCAGTGCTTAGTATACAAAACAGAGTAACCACACATTCCATCAAATTATTATGATGACCATTTCAACTCTTATTAAATCTTCTCCACACCCAACTTACAAACTCAGAAAAGTCAAACTCTCTTCTTTTCTTTTTCTTTTCTTTTTTGGAAAAATCTTTTCTTTTAGTACACACTGGCCTTGCTACCAAACCAATTGAATTTTCGTTAACCAGGACCTCGTGCTCGTCTAGACTTGGCGCCCACGGCAATTGCCGGGCGACAGTTCCTGCTTCCATGGCTGTCGCTTACCTTTCCATTTCAAAGTCAAGATTCTAAATTACTCACAAGGGTTGCCGTGTCTAAGCATTCGTTTTCACATCCCATACTCCAACTCCCAAGTAAGAGTATAAATCGCCCGCCCTCTGCCTCCCAATTCCTACCAGCAAACCTCATTCTATCCCCTCCAACATAAACAGAGCACTCTGTTTCATTTCTCCCAAAAACCATGGCTGCCTCGACTTCATCAGCATCGTCACCAGCCGTATCCAACATCAGAAACACCAAGGCAATCCTGTCCACTGCAGCCTCCATGGCTGCCACCGTCATGCTCGCTCGATCTCTAGCACAGGATTTCATTCCCCGGGAACTTCAGGACGCTCTGGTTTTCAGAATCCGCAAATTCCTCAGCCACTTCTCCTCCCAGCTCACCATGGTGGTGGAAGAATCCGACGGTCTGGTCTCCAACCAAATCTACGACGCCGCCCAGACTTATCTCGCCAGCAAGGTCAGCTCATCGACGCAGAGGCTCAACGTCAGCAAGCCCGATAACGAAACCCAGATCCATGTCCGGATGGAGAGCCGCGAAGAGGTCTGCGATGAGTTTCGCGGAGTGAAATTCAAATGGGTCTTGATCTCGAGGCGGATGCAGTCGTCATTTTCTCAAGGAAATCGCGGTCCGATGGGATCCGCATTTCCCTCGGAGGTCCGGTCTTTCGAGGTCAGCTTCCACAAGCAGCACAAAGAAATGGCTCTTCGATCTTACTTCCCCCACATTGTGAGCGAGGCGAAATCAATAAAGGAAAAGAGCAAGACCCCCAAGCTTTTCACTCTCCAGAATCTGTACGGCAACAATTCCGACACCTGGGCCGGCGTGAATTTGGATCATCCCGCCACATTCGACACTCTGGCTATGAATACAGAGCTGAAGAACACGATCCTCAACGACCTCCAGAGGTTTGCGAGAAGGAAGGACTACTACAGGAGAGTTGGCAAGGCGTGGAAAAGAGGGTACTTATTGTACGGTCCTCCTGGAACCGGTAAATCGAGCTTGATCGCTGCAATGGCCAGCCATCTCCGATACGATGTGTACGACTTGGAATTAACCGAGCTGAGGGGAAACTCCGAGCTCAGGAGGCTGCTGATTGCGACCCCAAATCGGTCCATACTAGTTGTAGAGGACATCGATTGCACGATTGATTTCGGGGAACAATCAGCTGATCAGCAGGATTCTGGGTATTGCCAGCAAGGTGGGATGCAGATGACGCTGTCAGGGTTGCTGAATTTCATCGATGGGTTGTGGTCTAGCTGCGGGGACGAGAGGATTATAGTGTTCACTACCAATCATAAGGAGAAGTTGGATCCAGCGTTGCTGCGGCCTGGAAGGATGGATGTACATATCAATTTGTCTTACTGTACTCCTTGTGGGTTTAGGATTCTGGCTTCCAATTACCTTGGTCTCGAGGATCATAGTCTGTTTCGTGAGATTGAAGAGCTGATCTCGACGTCGGAGGTGACTCCAGCTGAAGTGGCGGAGCAGCTGATGAGGAATGACGATGAGGCTGATTGTGAGGGAGTGCTTGTTGGGTTGATTGAGTTCTTGAGATTCAAGAAGGAGAAAGCGGGAGAGGTGGAAGAAATTGGCGATCAAAATGAGGAAGAATTCGTCGGAACTGTTGCTGGTAATCGGACTAATAATTTTAGAGGGAGGGGAGGGAGAAGGGGAAGGGGTATTACCCGGCGGCTCAATTAATTGCTAACTGGCATTGACCACCAATTGACCTGGAATTTTTGGATTTATTATTTATTAGATTATTTTAATATGATTTCTGGAAATTTTGCATAATTAATTTTTTTTATAAGGGTTATATCCCACGGCTTGCGAAATTCTTTCCGATTTAGCAGTCCAACTTACAATTTTTAAATTGAAAATCAATATCACGCCGTGCTGATTCACTAGAATTAGGATTGGGAAATGGTGTGATCTAGTTCAGACTGGATTATATATGCGGTCTACGGTCCAGACCGAGAGGTTAGAGTATAAACCATGGACCAGACCACGGATTATACGATCTAGACCAGACTACGTTTGTGGCGTTTGGTCCGATACTATTTGGTCCAGATAGACCACAATGAATGAAAAATGAACAAATTAATTAGTCAACCACACAAAAAATTGAGCCAATAGTTAAGAAAAAAAATGTTTTATTTCCTTAAAACATAAATTCCTACATGCATGGATAATTTTGACACCATATATCTCAGTAAATAATAAAGATACAAAGTCAAAACATCCCAAGTTGCACCATAATTTTTTTTTTATAAGGGTGATATAGGTTTCATTTTTGTGAATGGGGTACTACTTAAGGGATTCAAACCTGGGACCTCCAGGTTCTAGGCTCCTTGTTCGTTTGCACCATAACGTCATAAACAGTTACATAATGTCATATGGAGACACGATCGTCTTTACTCTCTAATGAAATGTGGTTGTGAATGAAGGAGGGGACAGGATTCTCAAATTAAGATTGAGACTTGGGTATCGTTGTAGGAGTTGGGAGAGTGGTCGAGTGGGTTTCTAACACATATTGTGAAGTCTGCTGGGTCCACGGTTTGATTCGGTAAATCGCGGTCTAGACCAGACCAGATCAAAAAATCAAAACATCACATAATACAAATCATGGACTAGACCAGACCATACTTAACGGTCTACGGTCCGGACCAAACTGTGCAATCCGATTTGGACCATGATTTTTCAAACGTTTTGGTCCATTTTTCCGGCACTAACTAGAATTGAAATTTATTTGTCCGTACTAAAAATGAAAAATTAATGTATTAAATATCCAAATCAAATAGTTGAATACTATTTGGGCTTTGAAATTGTATACAAACTTAGATGGGCTTTCGGATGCAAATCATGCAATGATATCCTATTGCTAGCGAGTTTGTCACTACTGTTGACGTTTTCCAAGTCCAATTCGCTCTCGGATCTCATAAACCGACCCACACGCGGGATCATAGAAACTATAAATTAGAAGGTAATCTCGCGTCTCTTGCCCCATCTTTTCTCGTCGTCGCAATTCGCACTTTCTCAGCATTTAATTCAGATCCGAAAGCTTGATCTCGTTCGAAGCTCTCTGCCAAGGTGAGTCTAGGGTTTCCTTCTTCTCGTTTCCGTTCGCATCTTTTTATCGTCAAAGTTGTTCGATCTGTGTCCTTCAATCTTTTCGACGTACCTTCAATTATTCTACTGCCACTCGTTCGTAGTTTGCGTGGATGATCGGTTTTCCTTGTGATACTGCGTAGCGATTCTGCAATAGTCTTGGAGTGATTCCGAATTCGATCTATTGGATTTCTGTAGAGCCTGGTTGATTGTATAATTTTGCTGGAAGTATGATATAGCTTAGGGTTTCGTCCTCTGTGCAATCTAGTATGCTTGTTCTAGTATTGAGAGGTTGGACTGCTAGTCGCTGTGCTATGTGGTGTTTCTCTGTGTTGTTTATGAAGAATAGAGCAACTTGTTTATCTTGATTTCTATGCTTGGTGTAGAGTGTTTCCTTTTGTGGTTTAATTAACAATTCTGTTGTTCAATTTTGAGATCATTCGTTGAGTTGATTAGGGCCTCTTCCTCCCCCTCGAGTTGAATACTTGAATGTGCTGATTCGAAGTAGTTTGGGGGTTCTTCTTCTTTCATTCATGCTACCGGATCAGTTACCTTCTGGAATTGAGAAAATTGGTTTCATACCTGTATCCTGATGCCTCTTTGCTGCTTAATCCGAGTAATGCTTATTGTCTCCTTATCGTTTAGAATGCTTACCGCACTTGTTTTTCTCATAATGGCCTTGTCGTGTTTGATAGTGGTTCCACTGGCTTTGTTGGTTTTCGTTTCTGTTGTACTTCATTGTTTCTGATCTTTGTTTGTTCCTAATTGTTCAGATGCAAATCTTTGTGAAGACACTCACTGGCAAGACGATCACCCTCGAAGTTGAGAGTTCCGACACTATTGATAATGTGAAGGCGAAGATTCAAGACAAAGAGGGGATCCCTCCTGACCAGCAGAGGTTGATCTTCGCGGGTAAACAGCTTGAGGATGGCCGCACTCTTGCTGATTATAACATTCAGAAGGAGTCCACTTTGCACCTGGTGCTACGACTCAGAGGTGGGATGCAGATTTTTGTGAAGACTCTCACTGGTAAGACTATTACCCTGGAGGTGGAGAGCTCTGACACCATAGATAATGTTAAGGCAAAAATCCAGGACAAGGAAGGCATCCCTCCTGACCAGCAGAGGTTGATCTTTGCTGGTAAACAGCTTGAGGATGGTCGCACTCTCGCTGACTATAACATTCAGAAGGAGTCCACTTTGCACCTGGTGCTACGACTCAGAGGCGGTATGCAGATTTTTGTGAAGACGCTCACTGGTAAGACAATCACATTGGAGGTTGAGAGCTCTGACACCATAGATAATGTGAAGGCAAAAATCCAGGATAAGGAAGGCATCCCTCCTGACCAACAGAGACTGATCTTTGCTGGCAAAGCAACTTGAGGATGGCCGCACCCTGGCCGACTACAACATTCAGAAAGAGTCCACCCTTCACTTGGTCCTCCGACTTAGGGGTGGCATGCAGATTTTTGTAAAGACCCTCACTGGCAAGACTATCACACTGGAGGTTGAGAGTTCTGACACGATTGATAATGTGAAGGCGAAGATTCAAGACAAGGCGGGCATCCCTCCTGACCAGCAGAGGCTGATCTTTGCTGGCAAACAGGCAACAGCTTGAGGATGGTCGTACCCTTGCTGATTACAATATCCAGAAAGAGTCCACCCTGCACCTTGTCCTCCGCCTCCGTGGTGGCTTCTGACGGAAAGCAGCTTGCTCATGATGGACTGATGGCGCTCATTTGTGATATGGTGATAATGGTGTCGTGCAAATAAACTCTGAGATTGCTCCTTAGTTTTTCTTTGTTTGAACAGCTTTATATTTGTGGATTGTTGCTAGTTTTCTGTGTCTTTTATCAGTACTGCTTTTGGGTTGCCGACGATCAATGCTTGGTCAGTTGGTCTTTAGGCCTTTGAGTAATGAGATGATGGTGTTTTTTTGCTCGAAACAGGGGAAATAAAGAGTTGATTTTTGTGTTCGTCTATGCGGTAATTTAGCCATGTCAATGGTATCAAGTATCAACTCTCAACATAAACATGCACCGTCTCTCGCTACTTCTTCGATCTCGCGATTTATTGCTTTCAGCTTCTCCTTTCGATTCTGGACAAACTTATAGAGCTATTTTAGCATCCATATCTAGGGTTCGTTAGAGAAATCGAGTAATGAATAACTGGATAGCTAAAAGTCGCCCTTATTTTACTTTTTGGGTAAATAGGTTGATTATATATTTTTGTTAATCACATAAGTAAAAGAATGATGTTGTTAATGGAGGATAATGGAAGGTAACAACGAGAGTGACAAAATAGACAAACACAAATTACTGAAATAATTTTGCATCAAATAAAATATTTTTAATGACAAACATTAATAAATTGACAAAATTGAAAGAAAATAATAGATGTAACTAAATATATACTAATAATATTATAATTTCAATAACCGGGGGAAAAAGAAAAGGCAGGCCAGAAGTCGAGAAGAGGAGAGACCGGGGAGGAACGGAGGAGGAAGGCGCTCTGTTGTTTCCGATCTATCTTTCTCTCTTTCCGTTTCTCTCTTCGCAACGACTTTGCCGGTTGACCGGCAAGTACAGCTCATCGGAAGAGAGTCGAAGGAGAGGGGGATTCCGACAATAGAGACAAGCCAGCTCCTGGTAAACGCGGCGGAGCGGGAAGTTGGAACCGTAAAAGGAACAACCAAATTGACCTCTCCGGCTTGCTATCCTCTTCTGTAGTCTCTTTAATCTCCCGATCGATTTGCTGATTCGTCTGTTTGTTTATCGGCCGCCATGAACGAGAAGGCGAATGTTTCTAAAGAGCTCAATGCCAGGCACAAAAAGGTGTTCTTCATCCCTTATCTCGTTACATTTCCTGTTCGTAGCTTTGCTGAAAGGATTTGCTTCCTTGCTCTGGCCTCTGTGGATCCATTATCGCAGTTTCTATCTGATCTGAGCTCAGATGTCTGGTTTGGAATATCGCTCGCGGATTTGTGATTGATTTCTGACCTGATCTGGGCGTTTCTGCTTGGATTCCTGCTTGTCTCCCTTGATTGTTCTTTGATTGATTTAACCTGGATCGGCTAGCCGGTTGATTCCTGTAATTCTTCCTTTCATTTGAATAACTTCGTTCTCTCGTTTGTTGGCTAAGCGGTTAAAAATATCTGGATAGGTTCTTTCACAAAGATATTAATTCTCGAGGAACTCCCTTGAGGTTGGTGGATATAGATTCAGCGTGTAAAACTTGGCTTAAATCAAGCCTCTATATTCTGCAGATACCACAACTTGGCTGAAGGCTGGAGCCATCCTTGATATAATTTGGGAAGCTACTTTAGAAACCCGGGACAACTCCTCCGTAGGTTTTGGGTTTAAGTAATGTGTAATAATCTCAGTTTAGAGTTACATTATTTTCTCAATACCATTGCTTTGATGCACATTGCCTATAACCGACAATTTCGTTGTCTGGGAATTTTAATGCCTGTTTGCTGTTAATCCGTTCTGATTAGAAGTCAGCTGCATGCTCGTTATACTACTTGGTGGGCACAACCTTGAGCATAACTGGATTAAAATAATTACAACGATCCCTGATGAAACAAACAGCTTCAAAACTTTACTGCTTTCGCAGATTGACAGAAACCTTATTGGTAGCCTGTTGTGTTCTTTTTGTGCAGCCTAAATCTCGTGAACTTAAATCGTAATTTGTTTGTGGTTATCCACCTGTGCACATGAAGTTCCTGCATATGCAGTGTGGACTTTACTACATATCCTCCACTGTCTAGTATTTTCTCAAGTTATTGTGTATGGTGCTTTGTTACATTGTAGTTTTGTGTGTAAATTCTTGCTGTCCTTGCTATTTGCTTGTGTCCACAAGTTTTGTTTTCCTTTTTGATATTGATTATTGCTGGGTCAGCAATTAAAAGAAGAAGCATTTTATGTCCTGTCTGATTAAAGCTAAACGTGCCTGCATGCAGATCTTGGAAGGCCTTCTCAAATTGCCCGAGAATAGGGAATGTGCAGACTGCAAGGCAAAGTATGCATACGTTATTTCTGTAATAATTATTTGTGTATTCAATATACCTCAGAAGTTCATAAGAGTTACTTTATACTTCTGCTGTCTGTTCTTAGGAAAATTGTTTGGATGCAGGGGTCCAAGATGGGCAAGTGTGAATTTGGGTATCTTTATATGCATGCAGTGTTCTGGGATCCACAGAAGTCTTGGGGTACACATATCAAAGGTAATATTCAGATCTTTCATGCATCATTTTATTAGTGGCCTTCCCGAGACATTATAGTAATGGGCTACTTTTGAACTTTAGCCAAATGGTGTTGTCTTAAGGGAGTATACAATTGCATTACTGCTGGTTGCGTGTTTTACAAATCATCTTCTAGCCATCCAGAAACCTACAATTCAATTGATGCGTCCTCCATATAGTATTGGAATTTTGTTGTCCACCTTTAATGATATTACTGGTAAAGTCTGCCTCCATCTTCTCATATTAATGTTCTAAATTCACAATAGTGATAAAGATGTGGCCAATGCTGTGTATCTATGGCTTCCAGTGATTGAATTATGTGGAGTGTCTGTGGCATGATATAATATTTTAACTGTGGGCTATAATAGCCCAAGTAATAGAATACAGTCAGAAATTTTCAGATTGTTGCTCTTTATTTGGTTATTTGGTTTTACATTGGAAGGACCGTGCCACATATCTGAGAGTCTTAGTTCTTACTGTAGGTTCGATCTGCGACCCTTGACACTTGGCTTCCGGAGCAAGTTGCATTTATCCAGTGTAAGTTATATGTGTTTTACCGAGCTTATAATTTGATTTTTTCACTCTCCAGTTTCTATATTTTTATTTAATTATTATGTTATCTTCTTCAGCCATGGGAAATGAAAAGGCAAATAGCTACTGGGAAGCTGAACTGCCTCCAAACTACGACAGAGTTGGAATTGAGAATTTTATTCGTGCAAAGTACGTAAGTTAATTTGAGTATGTGGTATTAGTCATTTCTCTTAGTGTCCTGGGCTATTCATTTTCCAATTAAGGGCCTCTGACCTCCAGCATGATTTTGATGCTTCAGGTATGATGATAAGAGGTGGGTACCTAGGGACGGGAAAGCAAAATCTCCTCCAAGAAGACAGGATGAAAGTTATTTGCAAAGGCCAAAGCCAGTTGAAAAAAGTAAGCATGGGCACACTAGCAGCTCCGAAAATTTATTCGAGGGACGGAGGAATTCACCAGCACAAATTTCAAAAGACCGAGTTCCTGCGACAAGAATAAGTATTCCTGTACCTCCCAAAGGACCTGAGCAGGTATCTAGGCTTCCTTGTATTGGTAGTTCTTGTGTATGTTCCAAGAAGGTTGAAATATTTACTCATTTTTTATCAACTAGCTAATTGATAATTATTCAAGTCGAGAGTAAAACTGTAAAACAGTGAAGTGTGGTGATCTGAACATGGTGTCTTCTGATGAAAGGCTTCCATTTCTAGTATAGCTTGTGCAATAAAGTCTCTTGGATGTTTCATCTGCTTAAAAGTTAAAATGAATGATCCCAGAGGGAATAAGGCTCATCTAAAGGATGTAGTCACTGGACAAATGATGAATTAATTATTTTTAGAGTGGAGGGGCAAGTTCTGGCGTTCTTTTGGAAATGGTGTTTTAGATTGAGTCTTTGGCACGACTGTTTTGGGAATAAAATTTATGAAATATCCTCTATTGCAAAAGGTGAAGAAGCCTAGGAACATTTCTGAGTTTTGGCTTTGATGACTCAAAATACAGCTAACTTTCCATAATGTAATGGAGAGCACACGAGGTTTTCCATTGAAATAATAGTTATAGTAGATGTACATCATGATGCTTTATCATTAAACTGTTACTGCTTGAACAGGTTACACCACCTAAGGCTGTCCAGAAAGTTGAACCTGTGGCAGAGCCAGCTGAAGCCGTAAAGAAGGCAGTTGATCCTACCCCAACCGTCACTCAACCTAAGGTTGATTATGCTACTGATCTTTTCAACATGCTATCACTAGAAGGCCCGAATGAGAATGGCTCTGAGGCAGCTTCTAGTGATGATAATGGATGGGCTGGTTTTCAATGTATGTATTCTTGTCTGTATCGATTTGAATTCACTAGCTTCCACAAAAGATGGAGAATTCATCTATGGCTTGGTGCAATTCTAGTGATCATATTGATTGGCTCTTATTTCCTTGTGTGACTGCAATGGTTTTGTTTCCTTGTGGTAGCTGCTGCTGTTGCTGCGGCCACTGCTAATGGAGAAGCATCGACAACTGATAAAGCTGATCCACAAAAGATGGGGTCGAATAACACTCATTCAACCCCTGTTATTGAGGATTTATTTAAAGATGAACTTTCTCTAGCAACATCTTCACTCTCTCAGAAACCCCAGAAGGATGTTAAGACTGACATTATGAGCCTTTTTGAGAAGGTAGGTCTTCATTAATACTTGTATGGTTCAGAACTTTTGTCTGAATCTGCTATGTTATTTCTATCTATATTAGACCTGAAAGTCATTTGAAAACAGTATGCTTCAAAACAAATGACAATTGTGCTCATGAATATGTTGCAGTCCAATATGGTCTCTCCATATGCTATGCATCAGCAACAAATTGCTATGTTAGCGCAGCAACAATCCCTTCTCATGGCAACTGCAGCAAAATCAGCTGGTGGTTCTGGTTCCACCAACAGTCAGCAACAACTTGCTCTGCTAGCGCAGCAACAGTCCCTTCTAATGGCAGCGGCAGCAAAATCAGCTGGTGGCTCTGGTTCGACCAACGGTCAACAACCCGGGGCCAATGGTTTTAATTTGCCAGCTCAAACTTGGCCCAACGCTGGGTACCAGATTCCTGGTTTGATGGTGCCTGTGGCCATGCAAAGCGACGTACAGAAAGTTATGCAGGTACTAGTTTTTGGTAGGGATAAACGTACACAGGGTTGATTTTTTGAAAAAGGAGCAGTTTCGATATTCCAAGGGTATGCATTAAAATTCTGACGCAGAGTTGTTTCTTTTTACTTCCCGTTTTCTTCTGTCAGAGTGGTAACTTAGCAACAACAACACAGCCGATGGGAGTCTCTGCACCCTATCCAGCATCTAGGTAGGTACCTCCGACTTCTCTTTGTTTTCCAGATCCTATATTATGTTGGATCCTGATCCTACCATTTTCCTAAACCAGTAATTCTTGGATTGGCTTGTTTTATTTGAGTAACAATGGCAGCACCAGCATATTACAACCTTAGTATCTTGCTTTTTCTTCATCCAGTATATTTGAGGAGTAACAAGTGGTCATTTTGTTCATTCGCATGAGAACATCTGCTGTTCCTCTTTATGATTCATCTCGCCCATTATTTCTTTCTAGGGATTTCTCGTAGTTGAGACCTGGGGATGGGTTTCTCCGGTTTCTATTTCTCGCAAAACTTATGTTTCTCTCCATGGGGTAACTGTGGCGTGCAGCTTATATAGCATGGGACAAGGAACCCCGGTTGTTAATGGGGTGAGCACAACGGCTGGGGCGAGTAAACCGCAATCGGCAACTCCAGTAGTAGCATCCAGCAATTCGTCGCAGACTGGTAAAGAATTCGATTTCTCGTCTTTAACTCAAGGCATGTTCTCCAAGCATTGAGCTCTGCACAGGCCAGTCAAGAGTCATTGGCTTTTGACCAACAGTCTCTACACACATAAGCATGCACCCGCGAAGTTAGAAGATTGTACACTACACAGCGAAAATAGCAATTTGCTTCCTCTTATTTTTTTTTTCTGGCATTTTCCCATGTCCTGATAACTGTATTGTTGATAAAATGATTGTACACTATTTGTAGATGCAGTTCCCTCCTTTTCTTTGGCTCTGATGTTCTCATTTGTATTTTGAGCAGATTCATTATGAGCAATAAAAAAATTTATGATGGGCTTTTAGGTTTGCTTTCAGCAAATATTCTTGGATGCCCTCATTTCATTGCAACATATATGAAGGTAGTCTAGAACGCCCCCAAACGGATTAATAATTGTAATCGTCATCAAGTTGATTGGCCTGAGCAATTAATTTAGCCTCGTGTCGTGGGAATTGTAATGATCGTGGTTCACCTTGACACCATTGCGTAAGCAGCGCGTAACACAGCCAGGCAAGAACCCTAGTTCATGTTTTAAATCCCCCTTTGCCTATCAAAATTCAAAATCCGACGTAAAGAAAGAAATAAGCATTAGTTTCATCCCAAACCGCTTTCAATTCGTGAATTTCCTATGCTCATCCGCGGTTTTACGCGCCAATGCAGGATCATTGAGCTCGACCCACCAATTGGCTTACAAACATGGTTGATGAATGATGAACAAGGAAACAGGTAGATTGTCCCCGTCAACCAACCCTTAAAACAAACAAACATACAAGCTTACTTCTGAGAAGTGACGGGTAAGACTGGAGAATCCATCAGCAGCCAAAAACAAAAACTGAAGCAAAGAAAAGATGTTGCTGCAAAGCAAGAAATATGGTTTCCACTTCAACACAAAATCCTCCCTCTTCCTACCCATATACCTTAGCCTCAAATGCTAACTAATTCTGAACATGATGTCACCTTTCAAGCTACTCCTCCAGGTCCAGGCAGCTCGCTCTCAAGTTTATGCTTAAATCTTCTTCTTCTTCTTCTTCTTGGTCTGGTATTTTACCAGAACATCTACGTAGATGTTTCAACTGACCCCATGGAAATTAAAACAAAGAATCCACTTTGCTTCAAAGCTTTCTGTATTCCTGATTTGGTCCCACTCCCTCCATCCAACCTACCCACGGCTTCGTTCTGTATAAATAATCTTCTTCTCGGCATCCAAGCACTCAAATCATCAACAGCTGCAGCGAAAAGAAGTAGCAGCAGCAGAATAAAGGCTGATCATTCAAACAGGAGGAAGAACAATGGCGATCCAGCACGGTTCTGGGCTCGGGTTACTACGTTGTATTGTTCTCTTATGCTCCGTCGGATTCCTCTGTTTCGTTACTGCAGAAGCTGCGGTGAAGAAGTATCAGTTCAATGTGGGTGTTCTAGCTTCATTGTTTACCATTTCATTTTCCATTTTTTACTGTGCAAACGGCTAATCGATCCCCTAAAAAATGTTGCAGGTTCAAGTGAAGAATGTGAGCAGACTATGCAACGCTAAGCCGATCGTGACAGTGAATGGGATGTTCCCTGGACCGACCATTTATGCCAGGGAAGGAGATCAAGTTCTTATTAACGTCACCAATTCTGCACAATACAACATGTCCATTCATTGGTACTACTACTACTACTTGACCTTTCTTTCTTGCTGTTTCTTCGATCATCGAGTTCAATAAGCCGACATATATCGATTCATTTCTGCATTGCAGGCATGGACTGAAGCAGTTTCGAAACGGTTGGGCTGATGGACCGGCATACATAACACAGTGCCCCATCAAGCCAAGCAACTCCTACACTTACGCCTTCAACATCACAGGCCAACGAGGCACGCTGTGGTGGCACGCTCACATTCTGTGGCTCCGAGCTACGGTCTATGGAGCTATCGTCATTATGCCAGAAACACCCGCTCCGTTCCCTTTCCCTCAACCTCACCAGGAAACCAACATCATCTTAGGTGCGTAGTTGTTTTCATCCATGCGGCATTCTTTCAGCCTGTTTCTACAGTTAACAAATAGCTCACCTTGCAATTTTGGATTTGCAGGGGAATGGTGGAACTCGGATGTTGAAACACTCGTCAACCAGGCTAACCAATTGGGATTGCCTCCACCTTCTTCAGATGCTCATACCATCAACGGGAAGCCTGGCCCTCTTTTCCCTTGCTCCGAGAAACGTACGATGCAGTACCTCGATTACAACCAAACCTGAAATTTGTTGAACTTGTTAGAGAATGAAAAAAAAAAACTTAATATGTACTTTTTGTTCTGCAGACACATTTGCAATGGAAGTGGAGTCAGGAAAGACATACCTCCTCAGGATCATCAACGCAGCACTCAACGACGAGCTATTCTTCGCAGTGGCAGGCCACACCATGACCGTTGTAGAGATCGACGCGGTCTACACCAAGCCCTTCACGACTCGAGCCATACTAATCGCTCCAGGCCAGACCACAAACGTCCTCGTTAAAGCTGACCAAACTCCTGACAGGTATTTTATGGCTGCTAAGCCCTTTATGGACGCACCAGTTCCTGTAGACAACAAAACCGTGACAGCAATTTTCCAATACAAAGGCATTCCCACCACCATCCTCCCCAAGCTCCCCACTTCATTACCGGCCTCGAACGACACCAAATTCGCCCTCGACTACGCCTCCAAGCTCAAGAGCCTCAACACAGCTCAGTTCCCAGCCAATGTCCCTCTTAAAGTCGACCGACACATGTTCTATACAATTGGATTGGGGAAAAACCCATGCCCGAGCTGCCAGAACGACACCAAAATTTCGGCATCACTGAACAACATCACGTTCGTGATGCCGAAAGTTGGCCTGCTACAGGCACATTACTTCAACACTTCAGGTGTTTTCAAGACCGATTTTCCTGACAGGCCTCCCAAGTCATTTAACTACACCGGGGCGCCTTTAACGGCTAATCTTGCCACTTCTTTGGGGACCAGGCTGAGCAAGGTGGCTTTCAATACGACCGTGGAGCTGGTGCTTCAGGATACGAATCTCCTGACGGTCGAATCGCACCCATTTCACCTCCATGGCTACAACTTCTTTGTGGTTGGCACCGGTGTCGGTAACTTCGACCCGGCAAAAGACCCTGCCAAGTTTAACCTTGTGGATCCACCTGAGAGGAACACCGTTGGGGTGCCGACTGGTGGGTGGACCGCCATCAGGTTTCGAGCCGATAACCCGGGAGTCTGGTTCATGCACTGTCACTTGGAGCTTCACACAATGTGGGGATTGAAGATGGCTTTCGTCGTGGAAGATGGTAAATCTCCTGAACAGAAGGTTTTGCCTCCACCAAGTGACCTTCCCCCTTGCTAATTACAAAAGGGGAAAAAACAACGTCGTGTTTGTATCGAGTTTGAAGAAGTTGGCTTCACAGGAAAAATGAAGACCTGCTATTGCCTATTGCGTTTCCCACTTTCATTTCATTGTTTTCTTCTCAATGCTAATAAGATCCACAAGAAAGGAATATTGTTGACAAATGGTAGAGAAATTTGAAATTTAATGGTTTGGCCAACATTCATTTTCTCTGTTTGTAACAATCTAAGCTTTCTATAAACAACCATACACAAGAGATTGGAACAGAATCTTTTTTTTTTTTTTTCTTGGGGTCAATGGAACTTAAAACCCTGGGGAGGAGCAACCTCTGCAATGTCATTACTACTCTCTTGTTGTTCATCAATGGAAGCTGTGAGTGTCGAAAGCGGTGCTGGTTCTTTGAACTCGCAGGACTTTTCGGAGTTACACGACTGCAACTTCTGCTTCAAACGAATGCTCCTGGAAAAAATCCCCCAACTCTTCTTCTTCTTCACCAACTTCTCAATATCCTCCTTCATGTCCAAGCACTCCTTCTCGAGCTCCGACACTCTCTCCTTCATCTCATCATCCTCAGGTACCGCGAGGTGAATCTCATCCTCGATTCGATCGATTACATTACCGTTGTTAATATCACCGATGAGGTGGTGGTGAGGATTGTCTAGATTATCAGACACAAAGAACCACCCTGAGACAGTAGTCCTGAGCCTCAATTGCTCAAAGAACAGAACCTGAATCACAACCCTGAGAGGCAACCGCTCATTCTGAGCAGCGTGAGTGCTTGCTTCCAGAGAAAGCTTCTGACAATTCATCAGTCTACACAGCTGTTCCTTTTCCAACTCTGTCATCCATGGATGAGCTTTCAAGTACACATCAATCGCATGGTAAAGCCCATCATCCACTGGTCTAGCATAATCAGGAATCGTCGCTGCAAGCGTCTCGAATTTCGACAGCTTCATGTTCACATCAGGAGCGATTTCCGAAAGAAACCCATCAATCAGACTCGCTACAATCGTCATCGAAGTTAACGCCTCCCTCTCCACCATGAACTCTGCCCCCTCTTCGACCATGGAAGCTGACAAATTAGCCTCTTGTGACGTGATCAGGAAGTAATCGACGATTCTCTGGATGCAATCCACGTCGTAAAGCGTCTCGGAAACAGAGTAGCCCATGTTTGGTATCAGGAGATCCTGCAGAGCAGCTTGGTCAAGCTGAACTCCGACTCTCCTCTCCAAATTCTCCCTGCAATACGAGCTTGCTTGTAGGAAAATGGCGGCTCGGAGAATGGAGAGCAAGAAGCTGGTTGGAGTCACTCCCTTTTTGGTGGGCAGAAGTGTGACAAGCTCTTCAAGGTACAACCTTTGATCTTCTTCAGAAGGAAGCAAATTTGATATGACCGGAGTAGCACCTGGCCGGAGCTGCTGGCTCGTCATCAAAGGTAGATACTTTCGGGCGTAATACATCACAGAACCGGAAATCATCTCTGGGTTCATCCCCTTGGATTCAACCGCCATTATCAGCCGCTTGTAGAGATGCAAATTGAGGAACGAGACGTCATCAAACCACCACCCCTGCAGCTGCTCTGTTTTTTGCGCCGCCGCCGATGAAATCCCGTTCCAGGCGACTACGTTCTCGTCGGAGATTTCAATCGCCGGTGTGGATTGAGGTAGATGGGTAATCGAATCTGTAATACTAGAACAACATGCTTTGGTTGCCAATGAATCGATGCATCGGGAGACGATGTAGAGATCTTCCGCCGGACGGAGAACTTCCTGACAGGTTTTCAGAGCCCTGAGTGAATCGGTCCAATCGGTAAAAACCTCTTTCAGGAACTGATCGGTTTGCAGAATCAGATTCTTCTCCCCGAAATCTTCAGTCATCTGAAGGTACTCCGCCGCGCATCTCAGGCTGACAATGTTGAGAGCTGTTAGCTCGAATTTGACTCCATAGCAGAATTTCATGGCGAGCTCAAAAGCCTTGGCACCGCCTGGAAGATCGGGGAGCTTTAATGCGCAGACGGATCCATCCTCGAAGGGGAGTTGTTCGATGAGCTTGCTTAACAAACCACTTCTTGAAATCAATGGAAACTGTGGAGAAAGGATGATGGAGATTGAACAAGGGACAATCTGTGAATATAGTTGGAAAAATGGGAAATTGGACAGAGAAGGAAAAGAACGAACCTTGTGAAGATTAAAGCACATATCTTGAACTTCAATGGCGACATCACTCGAGAGCCCACTTGAGCAAAACCTGGAAGAAGCATAATGAGAAAGTATAATTAGGAAGATAATTTCAATTTGTTTTTGGGTTAGGGAAGGAATTGAAGGATATTCATAGTTTTTTGTTGTTGTTGTACCAATTGAGTCCTTCACGATGAAAGCATTCAGGTTTGGAGCCTAATCTTAGGAATGCCATTACAAAGATGATAGTAGCAAAAAGATTGATGAGTAAAGGCTCATTATGATAAATAATTGTAGAAAGTATGTGGTTAGTGTGCAAAATGGAGTGCTTAAAGCTCGCTCTTACTTTTATTCGCTCCACATTTTTCGTAAAAGGTATGTTTGATCTCTTCTTTTTATGTTTTTTGTTCTAATTTTTTATTTATTGTGAGTGATAGATAAGAGGGGGAAAAAGCACGATTACTGTTTTGTAGTACGAGTCTTTGGCAGAAAAAGTCGTGAGATTAGATATATTCTCAATACAGAAGAAATAATTTTTTTTTATACAATTCGTTTATCTAGTTAGGATTTTCTGACTTGTTCACACCCGACCTGTTTTTTATGTACTAATTTTTGTGAATTGATAATTCAGATTCAGGTTTACCTATAGAAAAAATTGTAAATTTTTTTACATAATACTGATTCATGTAGCATAGAAATGAATCTCTTTAGATAAAAAAGATCAAGTAGCACGTCTTTTTCATTTTTAAAACTACAAGCAACGACCAAATTCCGTAATATAGAAATCACACTTGTTAGACCACTTCAAGTATTTATACCGCAATCATTCATTATAACATGCCAATTTAACATACGCAACTATCATACCAATCCTTTAAGATTTATCTAGGAGGGACAATATCACACATACTCTTATCCTTCAAATGACCCCTAAGAGTCATGTATTTGTGTGGTCTCTTGGATCATGATCACAAGCTTTCCATATGAAGAGTGACCGAGAAGGATCCTGGAAGCCCTGAAACCTCAACTTCCTTCGACTCCAAAGTCTCAGGACAATACGTTACCAACTTGCATCCTCCAATCTGCAGCAAGATCGCTCCACTGCTCTCCAGTTTACACAGCACGCGCACAGTCGTTGCAGCTCCCCCTCCATCGCCTCTTCCATTCGGATTCAGCGCTCCAGGCAACTGATCTCCGTCAATGGCGAATTCCCGGCACCAGGATTCCTTCACACCGTACTCTTTCATCACCCACAACTCAAACCCACCGCCGCCGCAGCAAACCACCGCAGACAGGTGGCCGGAGAGCGACACCAATTGGGTCAAACGACACCGTTCTGGGTCCAATTCCTCTGCAGGGAAGCCAATCTCTCCAAACTCCTCTGCCCTCAAATCAAACGACACAATCCTCACCTTCCCCTGCATCGGCAGGGTGAGCCAATGGAGAGCGGAATTGACCAAAATGCCCTCCGACGGCACTGGCTTCAGGTTCCACGATGTCCGTCCGATCTCCCTCCACGTGGCGCCGACGGTGAGCACCTGGACCTGCGAGTGCCAGGCCCATCCGAACAGGGTCGGGCGGTTGCAGTAGACCACCCGGACGATTTTGGGCCCAGAGGTTACTGGATCGGGCCCGAAGCCCAGAGCCACGTGTTGTGGCTCGGGGAAGCTGGTGTTGATGGGCCTGGGGAGGTGGATCCGGTGGCCCGTGAGCGGGTTCCAGAGGCAAACAGGGGTTAGGGATGAATTTTCGGCGTCGGAGATGCACAAGAAGCCGTTGCAGGATCCCGTGGGGACGAGTTTGGTGAAGTCTAGGTCGTCGTCGGATCTGACGGTTTTGTTGCCGAAACCGGCGGCGAGAAGGCGGATCTGCTGACTGCCGGCGTCGGAATAGTGGAGGAGGAGGGACGGGTCCCGGCGGCGGGCGTGAGCGAGATAGAGGGCGTGGAGTCGAGGGTTTTCGGCGACTGAACGGAGGGATTTGGAGACGCATTTGAGCCTGATGATGGAAGAGATTGGTAGCCGGGAGAGTATTTCCAGCTCTATTTCCGACGGGAGATTCTCCATTGATGATTGTTGTGTGTGTTTTCGTTTGAGGGAAAATTGCTTGGGTTTGCCTTCGCCCGTTTTATATAACCTCCGCCTCGTTTCAATTTGTTCTGCTTCGGTCCTTTTTTGGCCGGACTAAGAAAAAAGACAAACAGAGCCTGACCAAATTGGTCGCTTTCGCCCATTTGGTGATGACTGGTAAGCGGAAGTTCCAACACCAGCAACTGCGGCGACCAGCGATATGAATGAACATTTGTGATGACAACAAACAGAAGAGCCGATCGACGATCTCCATATTCATACCCATTAAGGCATAAACACTAATTTCCGGTCAGTCAAGCCGGCCGGCCGGCCGGCAGCCATATCATATCATATCCACCATTTTTTTCTTTCTTTGTACTTAAGCTACCGGACTGCTTCCCTACTTGACTGTCTTTGCAGAAACAAGCAACCAAAAGAATGATTCAAATCCAACAAATTGAAGCTCCTGTCCATTACGATTTACGACCGCCCTCTCTGCACCTCTCTCTCCTTAGTCCTTATAATTCCAGCAAGACTTATGCAGACCCTTCAACTCAACCAGCAATGTATTCTGCTTGTCTCCTATGGATTTGAAATTGTTAATGGTTGATGATAAATTAAAGTTTTAAATTAGTGTATTATGTATGTGTTTTATGTTATAGGGCACTAACGTATGTATCAACGGTTAACTAACAACTCTATAGCAATTAACCGCTAAATCATAAATAACTAAATTTTCCGGTTCAACATTAGTTCTGGTTGTGAAAATGTAAGGGATGATGAACAAAAGTCTAGAAGAAGAAGCTCCCGACTTCAACAGATGGGCCAGTCATCCCGGATCGAGCCGTTCGATTAGACCCAACCCACGGTTTATGTAGACATCTGCCGCATGAGAGAATTATTTTTATCCCATGTGAAAAGTCTGAAGGATAACTTATTGACCTTATGAATTATTACGAGTGAAGGTCCTGTTTCAAAATTAAAATGAAATTGAAACTGAATTTTAGTATAATAAAATGAAAATAAACATAACATCGCTGTGATCTCTTTCTAACATGTTTAGTCTCCACAAGGTCATTTTCAGTAGTTGCCCTAAGTTATTTATTAAGGTTTTCTTGTGTCATTTTTTAAACAAATAGGACTTTCGGCTGCCATATATAAACAAGCAACCATGCAGCCCTCTCCATGATAATCACTCTTCTCTCCGTGTGCGTGCAAACTGCAAAGCCACATCCCATATGTCCCCTCCAACTTCACACATAGCCCATACCTTAATTAGCAGAAACACTGTGCCAAAGGGCCAGAGAGGCTGATAACAAACCATGTTGTTTCCCCCACCGAAGGCAGCCGTAATCTTATGCACTTCCGTCGCCGCCGCGGTGGCCGTGATGGGAACCATGTTACTAAAAACTCACCATGACCACAGCCTCCATCACTCTTCTTCTCCGCCACAGCTGCTTCGCTTCTTCCTCCACAGCAGCTCCGACGCCCTGTCCTCGTGGCTCACACCCACTTTTCTCTACCTGCTGGTCAACGCCATCATCATCTCCATCCTCGCTTCCTCCAAGCTCCAGTACTCCAAGACCGCCGCTTCTTCTAGCCCTGATGATGACGTGTCATTATCAGGGTACGGTGGCTTCTCGGAGACCGAGGTGAGTAGGAGTAGTGATCTTGAGGAAGGGGGTCAGCTAGAAGAGCCGCCGGTGGATGGTCAGAAGGCCAAGGAGAGAGAGGAGGATCATGCACCGGCGTCGTCGGTCGTACCGCATGGCGGTTGGGATGACCGCCGTCGTCGTGATATGGCCGCCACCGCGGATGATGAGTACTCCGGTGGCGGTCTTACGAGAGAAGAGGATAGAGAGGCCAAGCCTCCGGTTTCCTCCAGGTTTGTACCCCGGAAATCTGCACTACCACCACCACCACCCAACGGATCAGCTACCAACTTCACTCATCGGTCCAAAGGTAAGTATCACCGTACGTTGTGTGACGAAATGGTACCAACTTTAAGTTATTGCCATGACAGAATTTCCGGGATTATGATGGAAAACGTTTTTTTTTTCTTCCTTTTTTTTTTTCAGGCGGTGGCGGTAGTAAGGCGGCGGCGGCGGGATTGGGGATATCGAAGTCGGGGAGGCGGGACGAGACGCTGGAGAGCACGTGGAAGATGATAACGGAAGGGCGCCGGGTGCCGTTAACTCGACACCTCAAGAAATCGGACACGTGGAACACGGGACACGTGGCGGTCCCGTCGGCGGGGAAGGTGATGAAGAAATCCGAGACGTTTAGAGATGCTGCCGGGAGAAGTAGTGGGAGGAAGAACGATACGGGTGCAACGACGTCGGATACGGTTGGGAGAGCAGTGAAGAAGAGGGAGCCGTCGCTGGGCCAAGAGGAGCTGAACCGGCGGGTGGAGGCGTTCATCAAAAACTTCAACGAGGAGATGCGGCTGCAGCGGCAGGAGTCCCTCAATCGCTACAGAGAGTTGCTCCGGGCCGGCGGAGTCGTTTCGGTTTGAGTTCACCAGAGGAGGATTGTGGATTATATAGTTTAATCTATAGATCCTGGACTAATTACCATGGCTGTGAATTAATTAAACTCCTCCACAGTTTTGGTGTCTATGGAAAGGACAGGATTAGTGATGGCAATGGGCGGGTACCTCAATTTCTATGTCCCATCCCACGCTACTGTGGGTCGGGGCGGGTAAAACCCGCGCGGTACAGGCCGGGCGGTTCGATCCATTTTTTTATGTTGTTCAAAAAAAATACAAGTAAAATTTTCTTTTTACAATAGAACGTAGGAAAATAACACTTTAAGAATGAAAAATATTGATAATAAAATAGATAATTGAGCCTAACAAGTTGAAAGATCGACTCTAACTAGTTGAAGAAAAGTCAAAATAGGAGAAATATGTATAGATATTGTAAGAAATTGAGATAAAATAAGTCTAGAACAGGGCGGGACAGGACGGGTCGGAAGTAGATACACATGCCCCGCCCCACTCTACTGCAGGTCGGGTAATACCCGTCCCATCACGGGTCAGGTCGGGTAATACCCGCGGGGCGGGTTGAAATTGCCATCACTAGACAGGATAGGGAGTGGGAGGGAACCACGCTCGATATATATCAAATAGGCTTATGATTTAAAGAACAAAATAAATTAGAGTTACAAATATAATATGTCCTTTTATTATGATATTTTATCAAATCTGTTTCTTCACTATTTTTTATATGTCTCTATACTTTGAAAAAAATATTAAACATGTCTTTCTGTTAAAATTTTTATTCAAAAAATAGTCAATCATGGTTGAACTAAAATCTGGACAATAATTTACTCATGCGTTGACACGAGGAAAATACCCTGAATATAACAATGAGTCTGTCTCAATTCTCAAACCAAACGGAGCTGTAATTGTCCCTCCCTCTTAAATTTCCCCATAAATTATAAAGTGGAACCAAAAGTTGAATAGTAAAACCGGTAACAGCGATAAAATGTTTTGTATTGACATCATAATTTAACTATGGTTCAACGGTTCACTGCAAAAATTACCTACTGATTTGGTCTAATAAAAAAAGGTTTCATTTCACCTACACCAGATGTCGATCTGTGCTTATCCTTTATGACTACAAGCAACCACCTGATTCAATGCTTATACCAGCACCTAAACTATTTGCAGTTTGCTAAGCAATTGACGCACTTGCTACTTCCCACAGGGCAATAAATGAAATGGATGTGACCGAACCACCTGATTCAATGCTTATACCAGCACCTAAACTATCTGCCTGTAACCGGAAAATGTTACCATCTGTCTTCCAGCAGAAAGCAAACCTGGCAAAGTTGGAATTGATTCTTGTGCTGCAGCCTGCAAACCGCCACTTTTTCCCCCTTATGTCATGGACTCATCTCTTACGTTTGCCGATGACCTTATCTTATCTGGTTAGGCGTTGCCTCCCTCCTCTACGCATCCCCACAGCATTATGGGTGGCACCGTGACAGTCCACGTAGATCCTTCTCCCTCCCCAACCAGCGGCCCCTTAATTCTGTGACCAAGATTACTGGCTATTTTGATACTCCATCCAAAACCTGCATGGCTGCCGGCAGTTCTGTTCTGTCTTCAGGTTCCGTCAGAAAATATCAAGGAGGCAAGGACCCAAGAGGTCCACTATCATTAGTTCTTGAACATGCTTCTGTCATTGCAATTATTTCATGATATAGAAAATTAGGGCAATGCAATTAAGAGGGTTAGATATGAAAATTGATGTTTGATGGATTAATATGTTAACCAGCTTCATCCTGCTTTCACATAACCAGATGGCAGGAAACAGCTGAGAGTAAAAAAGGAAAATACCGTGGTATTTTGTACGATCAAAGCTCATGTCGTGGGGTATTCTGTACTCCTACATTTACATTGAAACTGGGAAGAGCCTGTCCATGAAAGTGTTTACTCCCCCTCCTAACAGTAGCGCTCTGCTGCAAAGCAAAACGGATTCCGACCTTCGAATGAAAGCAACTACATTCCATTTTTCAAAAGCTGACTTTCACAACTGCTTCTAAGTGATCAATGGGTTGCCTACCTGGTGGGGTTGATCCAAGCTGAGAACTTCCGGAATGACAGCAGACTCTGCAAAATCCTTTGGAGGTCAATGCTGGATAAGATGTAAAAAGGAAAGTGATACACTGCTGAGCATAATCAGACCTCGGCATGCTCGGTTAAAGAAAATGTACAAGATGTTTAATACCAAAAAACTGATGGAGGGAGGGGTTCACTGATCTACAGTGGCAAAATGATACAACAACGATCTGGATAAAGTTTGAAAGAAACCTGCAACGCTCCAGCAAAAGAAGCAGCAAGAAGAAGTGGAGCAACATAGCCAGTTGTATATGTCAAAAGCAGGCTGCCCCCAACTACTGGATCCTGCGTGAAAATTTAGCTTATCAGTTGTATTCAGAGCATATCACTGAAATGTAAAGCAGGCTGAAATATTTTCACGATGAATAGCCTATGGAAAGCTAGATTAATACTAGACAGACTCATTAGCTCATTGATGTGGGTTATCTTCCTTTCTTTTTACTCGGCTTGTTTACTTTCTTCCTACACATCTGAGTGTTCACATGATATCATCCACCAAGATTACAGTCCAATTAATGAGCAACCAGAGGTAATATTCATTGTTCAAACTGAATCAAACTAAGATTACAGTCCTATTGTCACTTACAAGCAAACCTCACTATGTAAAATCCTAGCAACAAGGAAAATGTGACAAATCTTTACCTCTGTTCTGCTTTTCCCAGAGCCAAATGCACCTGTATGATCCATAAAAATAAAAACCCAGCATCAGAATCACCAAGTGAACCAGCACTATCATGGCATTAACTGGAAGTAAGTAAATCACTTTCCGAATGTTTTTATCAATGTAACCAAGCGTCAATGGAAGAACACTAAGTGTACAAGGTGAAAATCTAGTTACAAGTCCTGCCCCAAAAATAACAGCCAAACAGGAAAGCAGGTCAGCTGGCAACCAATGCAAAGACGAAAATCCATGAACACAGCACAAAACAGCAAAAAAAAAAAAGTGTGAAGGAAGATAGAAATGAAATGGTCAATGTGGAAACACCTAGTGAAGCTAAGTGCTGATAATTGGTTCTGAACAGCCTCGTTAGCCTGTTGATTAGCAGAATATAGGAATCCTCCCAACCAGTCCCCGACGCTTCCATCAGCTAGAGTGTAAAGGAACGCAGCATCTTCCTGACTCAATAACAAACATCATTAATACAACTTAGAAGACGCTCAGCACATGAACATAAGCTACCGAATCAGCAAGATTGTACAACCCTACTGAGACTCTATAAACAAACACATACATCAGTAGATTTAGCAGTTTAGTCCCAGATGGATAAGGCAACTCCAACAATGCCAAAAATATTCTAGGCATCTTCTAATCGAAAATTATGAGTGTTTGATTCAGCACCAGAACACCACAGAGACTCTCACCAGTAATTTGTCTGAGGACACAGCCTTGGCATTTCCCATTGCAACCAAATTTGCAACTGATGAAGAATTCATGAAAAGAAAGAATGATTTACAGCAAATGATTGTGAAATGAACAAGGAACACTCGAATTCCAAAAAAATATACCTGCAATGGAGCTCGCAATCGCTTTCTCCCGAAAGCTACTTATATTACAGGCATTCTTCAACATCAACACAACGTTGCGGCAGCGAGCACGCTCATCTCCAGATGAACCTCCACTCAATTTGAGGTCGAACTTTCGCTTCCCTATCAGAAACAAATTCAATCTCGACTTCCAACTCGCGTAACAAAGATTGATACCTCAGAGAAGCTTAAACCACTCACCTCGATTGAGTTTCTCGTCGGCGGCAATCCAACACTCACACATTGGTTTATGAGCAAGCTCATCTTGCAGAAGCAACTGAGAGCAGCAAACGTACTTCGCGTTTGGTTTCTGAGAAAATCTGGCAGGAAACTCCTTGCTCCCGTCCAATGATTCCCCGATGGCGGGAGAGGATTTTTTCCCCCTCTGCTTTCGGTGATGGAGGAAGGTCGACGTATCATCACTCAAAAACTCTAAACTGGGAAACTGAAACCAAACGGTGTCGTTTCAAGGTTGGATGTTAATAATTAATGAATTAGCGACTTGCATTGTGGAGACGACGTGTCGTTTCGTTGGTGCACAGCCAAAACGCATAGAAGAACCCCAAGAGACGAAGAAGATGCGTCGATTCCATTTCCAGGAAAGGGTGAACCATGGCGCAGGTTCTTAACCTAAATCCTCTGCGTTCTTCGTCGGCTGCTCCGACGGAATCGAGCGGCCTCCATCTCCGAGGCATAGCCGGGAAGCGGAGCTGGAATCAACTTCAGAGGGAGCTCAAATGCAACGGCAAGTTCACTTGCCTGTTCTCCAGCGGCGGGCGAGAAGAGCAGGCGAAGAAAGCATTGGAAAGCGCGCTGGGGGGGAAGAAGAGCGAGTTCGAGAAATGGGATAAGGAAATCAAGAAGAGAGAGGAAGCTAGAACCAGCGCAGGAGGAGGGGATTCCGGTGGCGGCGGTTGGTTTGGCTCGGGCGGGCCATTCGGATGGTCCGGCGGCGACAATTTCTGGCCCGAAGCTCAGCAAACCAGTCTAGCCTTGTTGGGAATTCTGGGCATCTACCTTTTGGTCGCCAAAGGGGACTTGATGCTTGCCACCGTCTGCAACCCTGTGCTCCGCACCCTCAGAGGAGCCAGAGATGGGTTGACTTTGGTTTCGTCGAAATTCTCCGGCGTGGGCGGTGGTTATGCTGCTGTCGGTGAACCCTCGAGCAAAGAAGCTCACAACAATGTCGTCGTCTCCGCCAAGGAGAGAGTTTTGAGAAAATGGGGAAGCGATTGAATTGAAGCTTTTGCCAGTTTTACATGTTAGTTTCTGCAATTGAACTGCGATTTTGAAGTTTTCCCTTTTTCCCATCAACAAGTGAAGAAATTGGGCCTGTGCTAACATTGTCTCATTGTTCTTCCTTGAATCTAGATGCACTGACATCTTATTGCATTCCCATATTCGAGTAGAATGTATGAATTCCAAAAGAATCAAAATTCCCGTTCCATGTTCTGACTTCTGAGTACTGGTTGCTTGTCAAATTCCTGCCGTAATGTAAGATCTGTGGGAAAATGGCCTATACTTGATTTGGCAAACGCGTGCATAGGGGATAGGAAACTACAGATATGTTGAGAAGCTGAGCTAAATTGAATATGGAAGATGTTGATTCCTGATACATTTCAATATGTATTGATCAATACTGTTACTACTACTTAGTCATAGAGCTGTTTGGCAGATTGAGTTCTTTGCTTCTTGTTCTCGAACTTGACAACTTTCTCAAAGGACTGCTCCGTCTTGGAGATGGCCTTTTCCAGGGCTTTCTTCTTGCGAACGTTCTTCGATCTCTTCATCGGTCTTCCCTTCTGCATTCTGTTCCCCACGAACAGCACAACCATGGCCACATGTGAGCTAAACATACAATACTAAGCTGCCTTCAAATGTTCATTATCCTAACAAATGTTCAGTTCCAGCAACAAACAGCAATGCTTGGTCTACTGATGCAACTTGAGACAACACAAATTCCAGCAAAACTAGCTAAATTGGTGCCAAACCAATAACCGAGACAACAGCTTGGTGAAAGACTAGCTTTAAGTTTTAGCAACATGGTCTCATGTTCTCTAAAAGAAACTACTTTCTGTCACTGGAAACTAGTACGAGCCATGAATCGATTCACCGATAACAAAGAGATGAAATTGCTTGTTGATATAGTGTAATTGAATGAAAACTAACCTATTGAGACCACCGGAGGCGGGTCTGGAAACTCCAGGCTCCGACGTGTCCATCGCTGCAATGTTTCACGATTTCCTCAGAAACAGTCAATTTTTCAAGTTGGAATACCGGCGGTGATAAGGAACAAAAGAAAGAGTTGAACTGGTTCTTCAAATTATGATGGTGAATCAATCTAAGTCACAATCAACAACCAAGACGACTCGGAGACTGAACCGGAGATACGGATGGAAAGAGGGTAGCTACTACCTTGAGCGGAATCCGAGATAGTAAGTTCCGTTGTGTCCATGGAATCAGCGCCAGCCTTCTTCTTCTTGTTCCTGTTCTTCGCCATGGCTGAAAGAGCTGCCGTGTGGAGTTGCAGCAGAGCCCGACGGTTGATGATGGAGAGTGGAGAGGGGCTCAAGATAGGGTGCATGGGTTATGCACCCATCAATAACCAAATCTAGACCTTTCATTTAGAAAATCCAGATTTAAGGATGGAGAATTAAAGACCATTTTTATTTTTCCTAATTTTTTTAATCGGCTCATATCTTTTTCGTTTTAACTCGAATTTTAATTTTTTTTTGCACAAATGGAACGAGTTCATCTTGCTCTACAAAATGAGATCAATTTTCAATATTTTTTAAGAAAAAAAAAATTCTGGCCTCTCGGTACGAACTGCATACTATATGGTATTTTCTTCGTTTTTAATTCGTTTTTGAAAACGTTTGCACAGAAGGGATGAGTTTATCATGATCTATTGGATCTACAAATTTTGGGTGAACAAATTACATGACCAAAAAATACCACACAATACCATACAATACCACCCTGGTACGGGGTGGTATATTATGGTATATTATGATATTTTCTTCGTTTTTAATTCGTTTTTGAAAATGATTGCACAGAAGGGACGAGTTCATCATGATCTATTGGATCTACAAATTTCTGGGTGAACAAATTACATGCCCAAAAAATTCCACACAATACCATACAATAGCACCTTGGTACGAGGTGGTATATTATGGTACACAATGATAAAAGTCGTAAATGACAGTTAATATACTTCTACCATCATGTATTCAACCATCCTACAGTCTTTGTTTGTTCATACCACCATGGTACGCTTTTCAAACCATAGGTATGTTCTTATTTCAATACCAGTCAATACCATATAGTATAGACTGGTAAAAAATAGCTCAATTTTTTTTGTTCGAAAAATATATCAAAGTGGATATCATTTTGAAGAGCACAATTAATCTGATATAATTGTGCAAAAAAATTAAATTTCGACTTAAAACGAGTGAGAAATCGTCCGTTAAAGATTAAGAAGGGGAAAATTAAAGGCTTTCCATGAGAGAGGGATGCTGATGTCTTGCTGATGTGACCTGGTTACTAATGGTTACTCACTATAAGGTTACTGACCTGATACGTTCCCGTGGAGAGGGATAAAAAAACTTAAACCCTAAGCATATGCAAGTAACCGTAGCGTGGATCTATTTGTTGCCTGATAAGGATGGGCCTAGATATTTGGGCTCAGCCCATGAACTAAGATTTGGAAGTTTCCCTTCTTTTTTTCTTTTTCCGTTTTTTTATGTGATCTTTTTCATTTAATCACCAAAAATAACCAAATTTTCTGGAAAACAAAATTAATCAAATGTATTTTAAATACACAAATATAGTTCAACATTCATAATAAAAAATCATATTTATTTCAGGACAATAATGATAAGCACATAGTGATGTTGTCTCGCATTTTTTTTTTGCGGCGTCTCGCATATATAATTTCAGTATTATCATTATACACTTCTTGACTAACAAGAACATCTGTTTTTGTATAACACCAAATAAATCCATTATAAAAATGACTAACAACTATCAAATAGGATCTCACATTGGCAAGAATATTTAAGAAACAATCTTACAAGATACTTGACAAAGGCAGCAAAAATATAACATCCTAATATTTTTATTTGCCACTCTCTATAATCCATGATTCATAGTGCAAATGCAATATTTTCTTTAAAAAATCCTTTTATCAAACAACTTTTGAAAACAAAAATATACCATAATTAATTACCATTACAAAACCAAATTTTATTAAAAAAAAAAACCCCTCTAATTATAAAAGCTGTTCGGATAACGGAATTAAGCCCCGCATCTGTACTGCGGCGTGCATCTCTCTCGCCTTGTCCCTGTTCATCGTGGAGATGTCGTGACTGCCATCTTCATCATCTCTGAAGCGCCTGGATTTTCTTCAAAGTGAACCCTGATCCGACGCTAATAAAGCAGCCATTTCAATCAGTCCACAAGTGCTTCCTCCGGACACCGACGTACGGAGAGGGACTTCGGCACGCTTTTCTCTTACCAGGTTCTTTGCTCTCCCTGTCACGGAATACCCTTTTATCATGTCCGTGCTGCTTTTATCTTTCTTCACTGCGACGACTGTTATTGCCGGATTCTCGCTTTTCTTGGATTTCATTTATTTGTGGGCTTCCGGATGCCGAGATTGGTGGTTAAGCTGAGTACGGTATGCGTGAGCGAGAGAGATTTTGGTTCAGGTATCAGGTAACCAATCTGTGCGGTTGGCATATAGCTTGGCGGCAGCTTTTGCTCAGTGCCTCCAATAGCATTTATCGTTACGGAAAGAGTGCGATTAGCTACTGCAAATTTGTCAGTATTTGTTTTGTTGGATGTGTTGTCCGTATTCAGTTTTTGGTTGACGATTTCCTTGCTCCTTGAAGTCTCTCCATTTTTAAACTTGATTGTTATGGAAGGTAGATTGTGCTTATTGGCGCTCTTTTCCTTTCCTTCCTGTCAAATTTTCTGTTTTTTTGGCTTGGCTTTGCTTCCAACTGCTGATCTGCAGAACCAATTTTTCTACTCAAGTGGTAACTGAACTTGGGTTGTTTCAGTATCTGAGAATGCTTTTGCACCAATAGAGATAGGAGATTATGTTTTGGATTTAGTTGGTGTTTGTTCTGTGGGCAACTGAACTTGGGTTGTTTCTTCACAACCCATCTTCTTCTTCTTCCTTATTATTTTAGGGATGTGAGATACTGGTTGAGGTTCTTAGGACTATCATTACCACTTGGACAGTTAGAAATCCCAACCTTCATTTCTTAAACAATAGTTGAAGTGATTTTGATAGGTTTGTTTCTTCTTAGCTCTGCTGCACTATCATATTCGCTTGAAATATTGACAGCTTAATTCCCATGGTTTCATAGTTTACAGGACTATGTCCTGCACTCCTGCTACATGTATTGATTCCATTCTCAGATGTTGTAATGAAGTAAAAAGCCTACATCGTGGTCTACACACTGGATCACAAATCCTCCCTTTGTTTTAGCAGTCAAGTTCTTAGTGCACCTGGCTGATCTGTTCAAACATTCTCCATTTTCATTATATAAGGTGATAGTACATATCAAAATGTTTGTTCTTTTGGAGAATTTGGGTGGAATAAGGCCATCCCTGTTTTATAGTTAAGAACCATGTTGCACTGTGCTTCTCTATAGATTGTACTGAGAATTGCTTCCACCATTGAGAACGGTGTTCACTGTTCCTTATTCTGTTTTGTCATTTTTCATCTTTTATTGAATTTTAATTTATTTTATCCTGATCCTTATTCTGTTTTCTGTTTCTTCCCCCTTGCTTGCAGCTGAAGCTCCTGGATAAAAGAGCTACTACACATATGATAGAATTCTACCGAATGATTTTCCAGTTATGAATAGCCATTTAACACTAGGACGTCTGAGATTCATGAATGCGTAAGGGTTGGTGCCCTTGCAATAATCAGGCATGAAAGTAACAAGTTTCTATAAGTGGAAGGGGATTCACGTTTCGGTTTCCCTGCTTGCTGTTGTTCTTACGGCAGTTATTCTATGGACATGGGAAGAGAATCCTTTCGTTACTACTCTGCAGTCAGCACAAGAGCAGTTTAGAGTAATCTCTTCAGGTATGCTTCTCTATCTCTTTTTTTTTCTTGTCAAGGTAAACCAGCATAGTAAAAACTATGCTTTTTTATAAAACTTAAACTGGTGCTACTGAATTTGCTAGACGCTTGTGTGCTGGGTGTGATTGCACTTAAAAAATGTACTACTATACTCTCAAAAGATTCCAAGCAACAAAATATGAATAAAAACCACAGATCTAGATTTACTACATTTGTCACTTGGACTAAGTAAAATAATGATTTTAGTAAACAGTGTGGATAAAGGAACAAATTTTTCATGTCTATGTGTATGATAATAATAATTAACAGATTTGATTTGGATTTGACAATATTATATTTAGTGCAGGGTTAGAGTGAATAGAAGAAAATAATTCAGATATACCTTGACCTGAAATTGAGTATCCTAGAATCATATGATTTCGAAGTCGAAGTTGGATTTTAACTACCTTGTCCTTGGATCAGACAGACGAGCAACCTTTTTGGCACTACATGGTGCATCTGTTGGGCTTTTTGGCATTTATCACCATGACTTTTGCTACAGTTGCTAACTTCATGTAGGTTTTCTCTTGTTCTGATGCTCAGGTAACATAGTTAATGGGCCTAGTGATGCCTCTCATTCAAGTTCATCTGTGAATTTTACCAACCCATCAGCTCGTGGAACTCAGAACAATGATAGAAATATTGTACCCTCTTCGAAGCTGAAAGGTAAAGTATCTACGGGGCTTTGTTTTACTTTTAGGGCTGTCTAGTTTTCTATTGTGTCCTTGATTAACTTTTCTCAGTTGTGGCTTACCAAGTTACCATGTAATAAGAAGACCTTGATGATAACCAGATAAAGCTTGCTTTTTTGAAGCTTCTGTCTTCGCATAAGAAGTTTATATTATTAGCCTTCCTATATCTCTTTGATGGATAATGAATATTTCCTTACAAATAGGCTAAAAGGTTTTCAGTTTATGGCTTAAAATTTTCGAGATCTTCCCTTAGATATCCTCTAAAATCTACTCCTTTCAATATTTTCTGAAGATGATGCTAACAATCAAGAGTAACCTGAAAGTATTCTTTTGCCAACCTTGTGCAACTGGTTATTGTTGAATCTTTTGTTCATACTTGAGAAGAAAAAGGTATACTAAGATGTCCTCGATGAAATCGAGTGTATGAATGTTATTCCTTGTTTCTGTCTGTATAAAACCTTACATTGCTCTCGTTATTTGATGTTGATACTATATAATTGGTTTTTCCTTTACACAAGTATATTTTCTTCAAACATTCACCATCTAGCTACCCATTATGTTTGTGTGCTTCCCTTTTCCTTCTTACCTTTCTCTCATTGCTCCTCTTCTTCTTTGTTACACTTTGCAGACTGCAATTATGCTAAGGGTAGATGGGTTGCAGACAACAATAGACCTTTATATTCCGGGTTCCAATGTAAACAATGGTTGTCGGGAATGTGGGCGTGCAGAACTTTTCCTAGAAAAGATTTTTCTTTTGAAGGGTATAGATGGCAGCCAGAAAACTGCAAAACGATGGAGTTTGAGCAATCAGAATTCCTTAAAAGGTGGACTTATATTGCTCTCAGCTTCTGGATTTTTGAGTGAAAATGTATGTTTCTACTAATTCCTACTTGTTCATCCATTCCAGAATGCAGGACAAAACAATCGCCTTCATCGGAGACTCACTGGGCAGACAGCAATTCCAATCATTGATGTGCATGGCATCAGGTGGAGAATGGCGAATGGATGTCGCCGATGTGGGCTATGAATACGGCCTTGTCAAAGCGCCTGGAGCCATCCGCCCGGATGGATGGGCCTACCGCTTCACAAACACCAACACAACCATCTTATACTACTGGTCTGCCAGCCTGGCTGACCTAGTCCCTCTAAACGCTACAGATCGAAAGTCAGACGTCCTGATGCATTTGGACCATCCACCAGCCTTCATGCGACGGTACCTCCACAGATTCGACGTCCTAGTTCTCAACACTGGCCATCACTGGAACCGCGGGAAGCTCAAAGCAAACCGCTGGGTGATGTACATCAACGGGAAGCCACTCGAAGACAAAGGACTCGTGGATTTGCACACTGCCAAGAATCTAACTGTTCGCAGTGTCGCCAGGTGGCTCGATCAGCAGCTTCCTTCGCACCCTCGTCGCCTCAAGGTGTTTTTCAGGACCATTTCGCCGAGGCATTACCGTGATGGGGACTGGAACACCGGTGGGAACTGTAATAATACCACTCCCATGACTAGAGGGAGCGAAGTCTCGAAGGACGAATCAAGTGATGCAGTCATTGCCTCTGCTGTTGAAGGGACGAGGATAAAGCTTCTGGATGTTACTGCACTATCTGAGCTGAGAGACGAGGCTCACATATCTAACTACAGCGCGAAGACTACAAACAATGTGAGTGATTGCCTGCATTGGTGCCTGCCCGGCATTCCTGACGCATGGAATGAGCTATTGGCTGCACAGATATAGAAGGGTCAGGTTCTGATACACTTAATACGTATCGTATACAGTACACTTCACTACACATTATTTCATTTGGACATGAGAGTAGCTTCTGCAAATTGGCGTGGTGAACCACTCACCATTTACAGATTACCTGGGAAAGCTAAACATCTTCGCTGAGATTGTTGTCATTGGCAGTCATCCCTATTCATCGGTAAGGATTACCCTCAGGACATAAATGAACTTCTGAGGTTGTTTTTCTCATTAACATACAGGGTGACCATTATAGAGAACAACATGGTGCAGTGTATTCCAAGTGAGTAGCAATCCGATTTACTTTTCGTCTGGAAGAGGAAACGATTCAACCTCGAAGTGTGTATGTCTGTAGCACCATTGTCATAGTGTATTATCTTTTCAGAAGGAGATACATCTTCTGATATATTGGGTAAGAAAGACTGACTGGTAGTAACACTGTAGCAAGCGGGCCTTTTCATTGTCTCTTCCCCTTCTTTCTTCTCTTCCTTTCATGGGCTCTGAGAAAGCCTCAATTCTGATGTCCAAAAGCAAAAACGGATGACCCTTTTGAGACAAGTTTATCAACGTTGAGGCTTCATTCTTAAAACTAGCGTTCAAAGCAAGAAAAGGCTGCAAGTGCAATGAGACTGCTGCAACTAACCAGACCATCAAAGAAAAAGAAGAGAAGAAATGGCAGCAGCTAGTGGGAGTATCTTTTCAAAGCTGCAAAAGACCAAAGAGCCTTCCTCCTCCACTCCAATGTCATTCATTTGAGAGAGGACAAATGGCAAAGACAAAAGGAATATCAATCACTTTGCCTTCATCATCAAACCCTTCTGCCGACGACTTCCATTAATTAATTTGCTTCTTGCACTTGATGACTTGTTAGGGTTAGTACTTTGAGATATGAAATCAAACAATATACAAATATGCATATAAAATAGTCATCATTTCGTCCTACTAATAGTTAGAAAATTAGTTACTGTTATCGACGATGAACACTCCATTAAAATACCGGAAAGAAAAGGAAAGGAACTTAAAACTTGAAGGCCAGCCTACTAACTAACCCAATTATGTGTTGATCTTGATGTTGTGGAAACAGATGATGGTGGGGATAGTAAAGTACAAAAAGAAAAGGGCAAAAGAGAGGCCAGGTGTAGGGATACAGCATCAATAATGGCTAATTAAAACATATCCATTTACAACTGCTGCTGCTGCTGCTGCTGCTGCTGGCCCTTGCTAGTCATCTTCTTTCACATATCACCATCAATCTATCATGTGTGTAAGTTAGTTCTTGATACGAAACTGGAACATGTGGGGGTTGATTAGGTACCATGATCATTCTAGGTAAGCCTTCTTTTCCTCTCATATCCGGTAACGTCCATCCACAAGCAATTAAGTACTCGCTATTTGTGATGCGACTTGAATGAGGGGATTTGTTGTTGGTGAACCACGTAAATCCTTATTGTTCTTTACTTTTTTGATGATCGTTGTCTTTCTTGTTATTGTCGATTTCCCCGGTCCCGCACGTGACGCTATTATAAGGGCCCGTTTGGGAGCTAGGGTTTCAGTTACAGACCTACACGTGATCACGTCTACCTTCTGAGTGATCACGTCTCTGGTAGTTTGAGTGCATACCGACGTCAACGTGTTTGTCAAAGCATATTTCGTGTTCGGCAGATTGAAAATTCACCGTAATCAATACATTTCTAATTCCATCGAAAGATGCATATTAATGTTGAGTCTGATAAATACAAATTTTTGAAATTCACCTTTTTAAGTTTGTAGACTTTATAACTGAAATAAACGATCCATTTCTTAAGTTTATTAGAGAATAATTCGTTCGTAAAAGTACATCTCTTAACAACAACAAAAAAAAACCTAGATTCATGAACCTCGCAACTTCGTTAGTTCATAATTCAGGCAAAACCGCTATTGACGTCAACATTATAGTTTGTGAAAAATTAATTTACGACTCGAAGAGAATATTAAAGAGGAATCGTTGGTGAACAAAATCAAATTCTTTCCATAAGATCAACCTTCAAAGTAACCTTTCCCGAACCACCAGTCGCCTCTAAGTAATGGGATGGCTAGTTAACGGGTCTTAGAGATTATAATAATCCGAGGGATCCAATCATATATACTTTGTAGAACGTAGGAGCCAAATCGCTAATTTCACTTGGAAAATTTAGTAACAATATGTTACAAAATGGAACAGGTTGTAAGAAGAGCATTTCTACTATGCTATATAGTATTGGTGCTTTAATGTACAATTTAAAGTTGTACCATAACATGAAATGTATAAGTTTAGATTGTACCATTATGTTGTGGAACAACTTTACAACTTGAAGTTGTACCATCACATAAAGATACAAGTTCAAGTTGTACCATAAAAAAATTTGTACAAACAGTATAGGTATAATTTAAAATTGTACCATAATGTTAAATGTATAATTTCAAGTTGTATCATAAAAACAAAAACCTATAACACCAATCCTATATAGCATTGTAAAATTCTTTTCAAAGAAAGACAAATAATGATAATGTCTCCCATATTTGTCTTCCTTTTTGCATCTAGAAACTTTTGCACATCGAACTTAATTAAGGTGCGGGAATATTGGTAAAAAGCCTGAAATTATTATATGATGATAAACGTGGTGGCTACCAATTTGATGAGAAGCTGGCAAATGTGGTTTGCTAAAGAAGATTAATTAATAATAATGGCGCATGCCGCATAGTGTCTTTCTAGGGTTCATTGAACCCCCTTTTTATCATTGAGATCTGAAGTGTCAAACCCAAGAAACATTTAGTCTCGGCTCCATGTATGAAAGGAAGAAGTTAATTAACTATACTTATGCACCATATGGTCCTTACAAATGAGCCCCTAAACAATGGATTTTACTAGGTCTGTCAATTCGGTTTCGGATTTTTGGTTTAACCCCAACTCAAACTGATATTTGCATTCTCGGTTTCGGTTTTTGCGGTTTCAACCCGGTATATATATTAGCGGTTTCGGGTTACTGAAACCCGAAAAATCGAAAGCAACCCGGAAAAACCGAAATTGATATTGACGTTGTCGTTTTGGGAAGCAGGCCCTCAGCCCTATCTCTCGACAGTCGACTCCCTCCAAGGCTCCACCTCGTTCTCGCAGGCGCAGCTCCATTGATGTTTCTGAACTTGGTCATGTATGCAATCGTGTTGGGTTTCGCTAGCTGGTGTTTGAATCGCTACATCAATGGCCAGACTTACCATCCCAGTAAAGCAACCAACTAGATATGCTCTGTTTTTTTTTTTTTCCCATTCCCCTGTTTTCCCCTGTTTCCAAGTAAGGCTTTAATTTTTTTTTTTTACTTGTTTTTGATGTGATTGATTGCAGGCTTCGGTGGGAACGGGGCGACGGGGTTCTTCCTGACGTTCGCGACACTCGCGGCGGTCCTGGGCATAGTGTCGAAGGTGCTGGGCGGGAACCACATCAGGACGTGGAGGAACGACAGCCTGGCGGCGGCTGCTTCGACGACGATCCTCGTGTGGGCGGTGACGATGCTGGCGTGCAAGCAGATAAACGTGCGGTTATTTTTCGGGTTCCTGTACCTGAAACCCGCACAGCATATGGTCGGTTTCCGTTTCGGGTTGGTGGGGCTCGGTTTCGGTTTCTCGGTTTTGCGGTTTTCGGGTTCGGTTACCCGACCCGAACTGAACCGACAACCCTAGATTTTACTTAACTTATGGGTGGTTGGGTGCGTTAAATCGGTGTATTGTAATCAATCACTATAATATAAAATGCATGTATTGATATAATAGATGCATTCTGACATTGTATTGTTTGGTTGTTGATATTCTAGTTTGTGGATTGGTTTATATAAAGTTACTTTATGAGGGAGAAATGACACATTTGGCAAATCTCACATAAACAAAGGACGAGAGATATTTGTGATTCATAAGGAACATCTAACTTACGAACGCAATTTGGGGTGAAATAGAAAAAAATTATTGCAAGAACTCCGAAGGTAGACGTGCTCACTGCGGAAAACACAAAAAATGAGTACCCTTGCCAGAAAGTTACCATGATATGTATTCAGAAACTAAATTGTACAGATGTGATCCAAAACCAACAATATCTTCATTAAAAATAGACATTACAAGATGTTATAAATCAACACAATTATGTAATGGCACACTTGGCTTTACCAGAAATGGCGAGAAGGGACCACCAGATGGGATTGGTACCTCAAAGATATCCAAAAGTGACCAAAACCATGAGCAAGTACTGTTTCTCGATTAGCCACACAACGAGTTTTGGACAAAACCTTTCCTATCTATCAATTCAATAATCCAAATGAAATGGCCGGTTAGTTGGGAACTTTGCAATCTCAATTATGCCAATGCTTACCTTCTCAAATTAACCAAACATAAATTATAAAAAACATAAATAAATTTAATTTTTTGGGTAATTTGAAAATGATAAATTTTATAAATTAACCAAAAATTATCAAATTATTTTATATTTATAAAATTATTCAAAAAAATAAAATAAAAAGTATTTATAAAATTTATAAAATTTAATTTGTTAATTTATAAAATTTATCATTTTCAAATATCCCAAAAATAAAATATAAATTTTATTTTTTTGTTAATTTGAAAATGATAAATAATAGAAATTAGGAAAATAATTTGAATTTGAATTTTTTTAATGATTTTTAGGCTGACAAGGCAATGACATGGCGTATTGACCGTCCAAATTGACGGTCAAACCATGTGTCGGGTCAATTGAGTCTATATGCTGCATAGTTGAGGCCAGTATATTACTTTCTGAAACCACGTGCCAAAGTTGATTATATGATAATTGCCTTCAATTTAACAATTGCCGTAAATGGCTAAATTGCAAGTTTGGTCACTCGAATTACTTATCAATTTCATATTTGTCACTAGAATTAATTTATTCCACCCGTAGTCACTTAAATTAGGTTAACAATTCAAGTTTGGTCACTGACCGTTAGTCTCCGTTAACTTTTGCTGATGTGGCGGTCAAATCTTATAGTTGATCGTTAAATGAGTGACGTGTCAATTAAAAAATCATAAAATATGATTATTTTGTATTTTCCAGCTAATTATTATAAATTAAAAAAAAAAATTCTAATTCCTTCGATTATTATTTTTCTATCTCCAGTACTCTTATACTTCTTCTCCTTCCTCATCTCCGCCGCCTCCTCCCAACCCCCGCCGCCGCCACAGGCCAAAACCCACTGCCATCGCTTCATGCAAATCCACGCCCTACCCAAAGCTTTGCCGCTCCATCCTCGCCCCGGCATTCGGATCCTCCTCCTCCCCTTTATTAACCCCAAGTTCGAATCACCCGAACTCCCACCTCTTTCTTCGTGTTTCAAGTCTATGAAATCTGATAATCGATGCTTAAACTATGTGTGTTTTGGGGTGGAATTGGGAAATAGGGGAGCCTGGAGGTGGACGTGAACAACAATGGGCACTAAGCCAATGATTCACTCGAGGAGGGAAGGTCTCACAAAAAAGTTAGCATATAGGAAAGGTAAATACATGATTGACTCTGAGGATTTCCCATTGCCCACATTTTTATTTTTGGGGAAGCAGCAACAGCTGGCCGGCCGGGAAATCAAATTTAGCTCAAAGGATAGATCTGTAGATTCATTAGATTGCTGACACTAAGTGACGACGATGATCTAAGCAAAGACAAAGACGTTTTTGGGGCTGTTGATAAAGAACCCAACACCTGCAACTCGAAAGTTCGCCATTGTTGCACTATGGAGGAGGATCCGAATGTCGGGGCGAGGATGGAGCGACAGAGCTTTGGGTAGGGCGTGGATTTGCATGCAGCTGTGGTGGCGGCGGGGTTGGGAGGAGCGGCAGAGATGAGGAGAAGGGAGAAGAAGTATACGAGTACTGGAGGTGGAAAAATAATAATTAAAGGAATTATGATTTTTTTAACTTATAATAATTAGTTGGAAAATAAAAAATAATTAAATCTTATCATTTTATTATTATTTTAATTGACACTTCACTCATTTAACGGTCAACTATAAAAGTTGACCGTCACATCAGCAAAAGTTAACGGAGACTAACGGCCAATGACCAAACTTGAACTGTTAACCTAATTTAAGTGACTACGAATGGAATAAATTAATTCTAGTGGCAAACATGAAATTGTTAAGTAATTCGAGTGACCAAACTTGCAATTAAGCCGCCGTAAATACATGCTCTACAACTTTCAAAACTCTGATTTGACTTTTGTTTAAGAGGACGAACAAGTAAGTTATCCCAATTTAAACATCCATCTCTCCAAATCAAACAATAATACCTTTTGACTATTATAAATCACCACCGCAATTCAAGCCATTCAAAAGCAAATTCCAGAACTCGATCGGAAATAAAAAGAATAAACTAAGTTGTTTTTTTTTTCTTTTTTTTTTTTGGAAAAGATAGCATATGCACTCAACTTTGGACCTCAGAGATATTTGATAATTCGAAAAAGAAAGGACCTCAAAAGTTTTGAAAATTCAAAAGGAAAAGGGTACCGTTACGTTACCAACCACAAAGTCTTAATTAAGTCCTCCGTGGCTCTTATCCCTCCCTTAAGCGCTTTCGAATCCCGTTTCTTGTCCCAACCCCACAGGCCCACGCCCAATTTGTCGTATCCACCAATAAAAAATTAGGGCCCAAAGATCCATTCCACGCCATAAGCTCTTCTAATATGATATTTTAATATATATATTTTTTCAAAATTTGATGACAATAGAATTTTTCTGGTTGATGATTTTTAGTTTAAATTGTAGGGTTTCCTTGCTTTTATCTTCTTGCAAAGTAAGGGTGGCAAGCTTGTCATTTCAAGTTCATTTTACATCAATTGGGCGTTTGATCAATGCATGATGAAAAATATTAGGATAGATTTAATCGTCAACTACCGAAAAATCAACTGTATTGATTCGATTAAGAAAGTATACAAATTCAATGAATTGCATGAACGGAAAACGAAAATTTTAATGTGTTCAGTCATACTTTATAATTCGTAGATTTAAAAGAACTATTAACCCGTAAGTTTAACATGACACCGATGAGAACTCATTGAATCGATTTGTAGTGACACCAGTCAAACGATTTGACTGCGCTTGTACTTCTTGCTATAATCTCACCAAAGTACATGATTCCCTAATCCCTACTACATTTGCAATTTCATAAATTGTGTTGCTAAATTTGTAGATAAAAGGTCAAATTTTGTATCTTGTTTTTGGTATTAGTCCATTTTTTTCCTTCTATGCTAGAATTTATTTCCATGTATATTTGCCCCTGCTTTTATAATTTGTTTTTTTGGATGAGAGAATCTCTATTATAAATTTATAATTAATAAGCCGTTTCATTAAATTTCAAATTAGGAAGAAAAGGGAGCTAAGTTTGAATTTTTCTCCACTCTCAGTCAGTCACCTGGACAGCAACAAACAAACAATCATATAACGTTGGAGGCGACCAAACCAGACGTACCCAGAAAGATTTTATAAGCAAAAAAATAATTACAACAGCTGCAGAAAAGAAAAAGATAGGAGAACGAGGGAAGGGAGGAAGAAGAAAGCATCAGAGGACAGAGAGTGAGGGAAAGAGAGAAAGAAAGAAACAAAAAACCAAAAAAAAATTCGTGAGAGAACTTGAAATTTTCGAACCGGAAGAACCTAACCAGTAGTAACCAACCTCTTCTTCTTCTTCTTCTTCGCTCTCTCTCTCTCTCTCTCTCTCTCCCGTTCCCTGTCGCCGGTGGCGGTGGAGGTCCGGCTTGCATTTCTGTTTCGCCTTTTTTGTTTTGTTTTTGTTTGTTTCTTCTTCCTTATCTCTTAAACAAGCAGCCTTAACGGCTTCTTTCTTCCAAGCAATCTTCGACCCTACAACCCTGCCCTTTTGGTTCAGGAAACATTACTATATTCAAACATTTTGTCCGCGTCGATGGGGAGCGACGCAAGAAACAAAGTTCCGGCGGGGTGGTGAACCATTTTTCCGCGTTCGTTTGTTGTTGGGTTTCTCTGCGAATTTACCTTTTTTTTTTTTTGTTGTTGCTGTTGTTCTTCAAGTCCTCTGGGTTTCGTTGTCGTGGCCTTTATTCTGAATCTCGCGCCCCCTTCTTTCCCCCCCATCACCGGATATCGGCATTTCTCCGAGCTCTCACCCGAATTTTAGCGCCGTGGTTCATCTTTCTCTCGATTCATTTCTCTTTTTAAACCTCTGGGTTTGGACCAGGTGGCCGCTTATTCGGACCGGAGTTCCGAGTTTGCGGTGGCGGAAACTGTAAGTGCCCTTTCCTTTATCGCCATGTCAATTTTTGAATTGTGTTATCTCAGACTGAGCTCTCGGGGTTCTCAGTGGCTTTTGCCGGGATTTCATTTCTTTCTTCGTAGGGAGGTTTCGGATCAGTACTTTTGAAGTTTGCACTATTTTGTTGTTTTAATCCAGACTAGGGTTCCAGGACTGATTGTTTCATTTTCCTTTTTGGTGAGAATGGCGCCACCTTCATGTTGAATCTCGATCTCTTTGAACTGTCCTTGAATTACATTTCATTTTCCACTTTTAGGGAAACTGCTGATTTGAAATATACGACGGGGGATTTTGACTTGTGAAGCCCACATATGTTTTTGTGTCGGGAACAATCAATATCTGGATTCTGGGGTCTTTTCATTCCATATGGATGACTTGAGAGCATAGACTAAAATGGTGTCCTTGCCCTTTCTCCATTTATGTTTTCAGGTGGTTTGATCTTGGAATAGTGTAGTCCCCACCCATAGCTTAAAATGATGTTATCAGCATCCTCTGCCCCAGTGACTAGGAGCTCCCTTGAGGAGATGCTGGAGTCGTTAAGGCAGCGAGATGAGGCATTGGAGAGAGCCAAGGACCTGCCCCCAGCTTTGCCCGCGCGCCCCACTTCTAGGGCAAGGCTTCCTTCTGCTCGCCTTTCGTTGCCCACAGACTTCAAAGTTGGTGCCAATGGTCGGTTAGAAGGCAAGGTAGAGAGTATATTAGAAAGCAAGGTAGAGAGTGTTGTTTTAGGGAGCAAATTATTAGTAAGTGTAGATGATATAAAAGTGGAGGAACCCAAGAGGAAGGAGATGGAGTGCAGGATTGGAAGTTTTGGAAGCAGGAAAATGAGGAAAGTTATGGACTCTACGGACTCAAATCCCTACGTTCAAGAAATGAATCAGCAATGCAGGGGTTCTCCTATAGGTTCGATGCCCACTATTGACGAGGTGGAATGGGAAGACAACATTGGCTACTTTATTAGGAAGGTAAGTTACAAACAGAGTTATTTCTAGAAATGCTGTGCACAGTTGATATTGTTCCTTTTTCATTTTGAAGTCTCTATAAGTAGGTTTCGTTTCGCTCATTGCAAGCGCCTGCTGTGTCTTCATATGTTGACTAATGGCTGAATGTGTTACAGATGCTGCTTGAGTCTTGCATCATTTTTTTTGTTCAAGGTTTTTGCCGTTGGGTGCATGCAACGCTATTAAATTGGAATTTCACATGATATACTAGCTTCCTCTTGTTGATAGCTGATTTGAATTTCTATGTAGAATCATGAAGTTAATCTCATAGACAAATAGAACTTCATTAGGTGATCGGATGACGCTGGTGTTTTAGTTATGGGATGTCTAAGTTGTGCCATTTTTAGGCATAATAATACTTCCATATATGATAAACTAATGGGAGACACTAATATGAAAAACTTGTAGGAGTAGGCTTATCCAGAATGGTTTTTCAATAGAATGGTAGGCCGTAGGTGATGTTTTTCACTCTAGTTTTCCCCTTGAGCTTTTCCTATTTTGTTCGTATACCACAACCGCTCTATGAAAAGGTTTTTTGTTCTTTGTTTATTGAGGATGAAAATGCTTAGCATATGATATAATAATCTACATCCATGCAATTCCAATAACAATGACACTATTTTGTCTCAGAAACTAAGTGTTTGGTGTCAACTGTCAAATGGGATGTGGGCTTCTGGAAAAATACAGTCAACTTCCGGAGATGAAACATATGTTGCACTTGCAAATGGGAATGTAAGTGCCTACTCATATATGCTCTTTATGCCTTCTTTTCCCCTTCTCTCAATTTTTGTCTTCAAAATGTAGGTTCATACTCATCTATATTCTTGTTTTCCCTTTTCTTGCTGAACGCGAAGGCGGAGTGTTTTGTTCCCCAAATTATTCAATACAGTCTGATATTCTGAATTGGATATTTGCAACAGGTTGTAAACGTGCCACCAGGACAGCTTTTACCTGCAAACCCAGAGATTCTTGATGGCGTGGACGATCTCATGCAACTTAGTTATTTGAATGACCCATCAGTTCTTCACAACCTTAAGTACCGATTTACTGAGGATATGATCTATGTATGTCTAATAGAAATCGTTTACTTTTGCGGCATCTTTGTGAGCCATTTTTAACCAGTTTAGTGTTTCTCAAACAGACTAAAGCGGGGCCAGTTTTAATTGCTGTCAACCCATTCAAAGATGTCCCACTGTATGGAAATAATGCTATGGATGCTTACAGGCAGAAGGACATGGACTGGCCGCATGTTTATGCCTTAGCAGATACTGCTTACGAGCAGATGATGAGAGGTGAAAAGATATAATTTCTCATTTACCTTCTCCAGTTGTGCTAGCTTTTGCGAAGGCCCTCTCCTCATCTTTTTCTCATATATTTGGATTGTGCCCCCTCTCTTGCAGATGGAAAGAATCAATCCCTAATCATAAGGTTAGGGAACTTTACCAGCATCCGCATGGAATTGTTGTTTGAGGTTACTTTTTCACCATTGCTTAAAACTTTTGTTATTGTGAAACATAATTTGGGATGTTGATCCTACAGTGGCGAAAGTGGAGCAGGTAAGACTGAGACAGCAAAATATGCGATGAAGTATTTGGCTGCCCTTGGTGGTGGTGCCGGTGGTATGGAGGTAGAAATGCTTCAAACTAACTGTGTTCTCGAAGCATTTGGGAATGCTAAGACCTTGCGAAATAAAAATTCCAGCAGATTCGTAAGTTTTTCTCCATGTAATTTTGTTTTAACTTTGGAGCCATCCTAGTTTTATTTTTGTCATTATGCATTTTATGTTTAACATAGTTCATTATGGATGCAGGGAAGGTTGATTGAAATTCATTTTACTTCATTAGGAAAGATATCTGGCGCTAAAATTCAAACATGTAAGCTTGTATTCGTTCAATAACTTTGTGCTCTTTCAATAAATTTGTGCTCTTCTTAAGGAAAGGTTTGGTGATTTTTGTGAGTAACTAACTCGATATATGGTTTTCCAATGTGAATTTCATGCTAATGTTGGTTGACTGCACATTTTCTCTTCAGTCCTGCTAGAAAAGGTAATTTTAATTTGTCTATCCTTGTGTATTTAGCTTTGAACTTGAGTCATTATGTTGTACAGTTCTGATATTAGCATTTTTCTGTGAACAGTCAAGAGTGGTTCAGGTGGGCGATGGTGAAAGATCATATCATGTCTTTTATCAACTGTGTTCTGGTGCACCATCTCTCCTCAAAGGTACAGTTTTCAATTTTTGCGAAATGCATTTTCCAGTTGAATACATATTCAGTTATTTTGAAACTTCTTAAGATTTCTTAAACACTGATTATGAGTCATGTCTTCTCTTTTGGAACTTCAGTACTTCTGACAGTAGAGCTAGTTTCATTTGTTCTAATATGTTTGGTTGACTACTTGGGGGTGGCAAAGCTTATATTGAGTTCTAAAATAAGGACTGTAGTCCTATTAACTTATTAAGCTAGTTGGTCATGATGTGCATTATGTGGCACTTCTGATTCAACATGTATAGTCTTCGATGCCTGGTGTGGCACGTAGAAGAGACAAAAATGATCTTCTTTTAGAAATATAGCTACTTACCAACTGGTACTCATAGGCAACCTCATGAGTTATGGTAATCCTTCTTTTCAGAGAAACTAAATCTTAAAGCAGCCACAGAGTACAAGTATCTTAATCAGAGTGAGTGCTTTGAAATTGATGGCGTTGATGATGCTCTCAAGTTTCAGAAACTCCAGGTAATACAAGAAATTTGGTAGTGTACTATCTGCACTTTTAAACCCCCTTTTCTCTCTCCCTCTTTGATGGTGGGTGTGCTGCTGCCAGGAAGCGTTTGACCTGTTGAGAATTTGCAAAGAAGATCAAGCTCAAGTGTTTCAAATTCTTGCTGCAATATTGTGGCTCGGCAACATTAAATTCCAAACTATTGACAATGAGAATCATGTGGAGGTGTTGGCGGATGAAGGTAGGGAATGACAGTCTTGCGCTCTTCCACTTATTTGTTCATCCTCTGCCAACTTTATGTGGGGTAATTGTATGTTATCTGAGTCACTTTCCGGTACTTAAGTCGTCTATTTGGCTTTGTTGGCTGATTCCTTGGATATATTTCCAATCCGTATTTCATTAGGTTTTACTAGTTTATTTGTGGATTTTGTTGGTACCAATTAGTTTATGTACTATGTGGGTACGTACACACACTGTTAGCACTTCCTCTAAAGCAGCCACTGTCAATTCCACTTTCCTCTGTCTTACTGTTTTATAGAACACATGAGCATTCTCATAATCTCATCGCCCCCACAGTAACTTTTCCTATTTTGTGAAGGGTTCTTTCTCACATGAGCTACATGTGTGCACTAGGAAACAAGTAATTTATATGTGGAAGGTTTACAGGCCGATAATGAGTTCAAATTGCCAGTTGCTTTGAGCTCAACCCACTTTATATATAGCCAACCCTCAGTTTCCATCTCAGACTGTGTGGTTGTCTGGTGTCCAGTTACAGGAGCAACCTCATACAAAAGATCTATGACTCGGTGATGGCTTTAAAATTCAGACATACTCTATGCTACTGCTATTCAAGAGCTTAATGCACTTGCAGTTTTACTTAGAATAATTATCTAACATGAATTAAGGGTTTGAGTGGACCATGGTTGTTTTCTCTAATTCAGTGACGTGACATTTTTCTTCCACTGATACTGACTCCAAGCTTTTTCCTGTTTCAGCTCTAGCTAATGCTTCCAAGCTGATGAAATGCACAGCCCAGGGTCTGATGGTGGCATTATCAACCCATAAAATTCGAGCAGGGAGTGATAACATTTCCAAGATAAAAACATTGCAGCAGGCAAGTTCACTCCAAACGTTTACTTTCTCTACCTTCTATCTCAAGTCATCCGAACATTTTCCATTGGACTAACTGCATTATTACTTGATCATTTCTTTTCAGGCAATCGATGCAAGAGATGCATTGGCAAAGTTTATGTACGGGAACTTGTTTGATTGGCTTATGGAACAAATCAATAAGTTGCTTGATGGAAACCAAAATACTTGGGGGTCCATAAATATCCTTGATATCTATGGGTTTGAGTCGTTTAAGGTATAGGTTTGGGTTCCCCTGTTCTCAAAGTGATTTTTAGCCCTTTAATCATGTTGATGACGTTTGTCTTCCATTTTTCAGAAGAACAGCTTTGAACAATTTTGTATAAATTACGCAAATGAGAGGCTTCAACAACATTTCAACAGACACTTACTTAAACTAGAGCAAGAGGTAACTACTAATTATTTACCTTGATCAACCATTTTTTCCCAGCCATAGTAATTCACAGTGGATAGGTTGGACACCTCAGGAAAATGATCCAGAAATAACTTCTTTAGTATCTTGTCTGAGGGTTCTAACTCTGTTATCTCATCTCTTGCAACTGTGTGCTATCTTGTACAAACGGACAAGTATAGTTTCTTCTATGTAATTGATATTCTGTCAATGAGCATCACTCCACCTATCTTCGCAAGTAAAACACATAGGGAATCTAGTAGGCGAATTTGTAAATTAGGCTAAAAAGTGGAAGTAAGGATTGTGGGGGAAGAGCAACAAGGCTATGAACCATTTTAGTCGGGCTGCTTGATTGTGATGATTATTTTGGGGATCACAATTTTATGCTTATTGGTTACAGGAGTACGAAGAAGATGGAATTGATTGGACTAAAGTTGATTTTGAAGATAACCAAGAGTGCTTGGATCTTTTTGAGAAGGTATTTTGTTACTGTATCCACCACCTGCTTGTTGCATCTGACGGTGCTTTTGAGTTATAAATGCCTTCTCCATCAACCATCCATCTGAATTGAGCTTATTTGGTGCATTTTGTGTCTGTTCAGTTAACAGTCCTTATTGTATCTAAGGTTGACAGAGTCAGGTTTAGTTAGATACTGTTATTTGGTTTCAGGGGTTAAATTTTGGTGCTCTATCCATTATTCAGTGACTATAAGTACGAGAGTTCACTGTTTTGTCACTTTTGTTTGCAGAAACCTATAGGGTTGTTATCTTTGCTTGACGAGGAATCAAATTTTCCAAATGCCACTGACTTGACGTTGGTCAATAAGCTCAATAAGCATTTGAATATCAACCCTTTCTTCAAAGGTCAAAGAGGTAGAGCTTTTGGCGTTCGTCACTATGCTGGGGAGGTCAGTATACCGTTCACCATTCTCTCTGTCTCTCTCTCGTGCTTGTGCGGGTGTGGAATAGGTGCAGTGTAGTCTCACTAATATCTCCTATGTATGATCAGTTCGTTTTATGTGGTAAACCGTTGAAGCGACACCTTAAGAATCACACAATAACCTAGGTGCAGAGTCACGAGTCTACTATCCAATGAGCCATTTTTTCATCCATAGTTGTTTTGGATATATACTGTAATTAACACTATTTTCACACTTAAGCAATGGCTGAATCTTTCTTTCTCCTTCACCGTGGCCTATTCTTCCCCCACACCAATTCTTCTCATTTTCCTCTTCAAGCTTCTTTGTTATATCTGCAGTTGAAGTTGGTATTACACATCTCACAGAAGCTAACCTGCTATTTTTGTTGCTCTGCAGTCTGCTCTCCTTCTAACATCTAGATGTATTTCTCCATCTGTGAAGGTTCCCTAGTTCTTATTGTTATCCTAAATTTATGAAATCTTTAATTTGTTCAGGTTGTGTATGATACGAATGGATTCCTAGAAAAGAACCGGGATCCACTGCACTCTGACTTCATCCAGCTACTATCGTCAAGCAACTGCAAGCTTCTGCAATCGTTTGCTTCCCAAAAGCCTGATCAAACTCTTAGATCACTAAGAAGTTCGTTATCACAACCAGGTGGACCGGAATCTTCAACACAAAGTGTTGGAACAAAGTTCAAGGTAAAGAAGTGTATCTTAAATTTTGATCACTAATGCATGTATAGTCTTAACAATGTTTGCAATCGACATTAAAAAAAAAAGTTTTCAGTCATTAAATGTGGCGAAGTCTTAGGGCTATACTACTAAGAGCATGAAATGTAAGGGTAGTTATCTCTTCTAAGAAGGAAAGCATACTTGGTGAGCGCAGCACTTATATACGTGTTGTATGGTTCCCATTCGTCCACTTTTCTTATCTTTTTTCCTTTCATTGTTTTTTTTTTTTTGGTGGCTTTTCTGGATGGCAAATTGTTGTGGTTTTCCACATTAAATTCTGATACTGGGTGCAAGATTAATTTATTTTCTCTAATGTATGCAGGCTCAACTCTTTAAACTCATGCATCAATTGGAGAACACAACCCCTCACTTTATTCGCTGCCTGAAGCCAAACAAAAAGCAGCTTCCTGGTATGTACGAAGAGGATCTTGTTCTACAACAACTCCTATGTTGTGGAATTATGGAGGTGATGAGGATTGCAAGAGCTGGTTATCCTTCTCGAATGACACATCAAGAATTTGCTGCAAGGTATTAGAGTATAATTGACGGTCATGTAGTTTTTTAATGGTTCTATTTCTTTATTATTCTAAACTGTGCAATTATAAATCTGGAAAAAATTATATGCAGGTATGCATTGCTGCTTCCTGAGCCAAGTGAACATTTGGACCCATTGAGCATGTCTGTTGCTGTCCTTAAACAGCTCAATGTACTGCCCGAAATGTACCAAGTTGGCTACACCAAAGTTTATCTTCGCACTGCGCAGGTACATAATTTTTTTGATGACAGTCTTATATATTCAATTACTTCGTGTCATATATAAGTTTACTCTATGGTTATTTTTTAACATCTACGATGCAATTTGTAAAACTTTTGAAGTTGGACATTCTTGTAGGACCTTTCGGTTGCTTAAGAAACTATGTGAATAATCATCGTTGGGCTTTCCTCAAGAAAGTTCCGTTGTAGATTTGCTTTTTCTTTGGCTTCAAGTTGATTTTTTCTGGTTTCTGAACACTGACGACGTATAATTCTGTGGTTATGGTTGATGAGTGGGAAGGCAACATTTTGTTACAGCTTGTTGAACATGCAAGTTGTTACTGACCAGTTACCTTAAAGCTGAGCTACCGATAGAGGGGTGTTTGATGTTTCAGACCATATGGAGCTGAAAAAGTAATGTGAAGGTTCAACCAACACTAGTTGAAATTTTGTTTTTAGCTGGTTCGACCTGATTCACTTTGAACTTTATGCCTATTATTTTCTGGAAGGAAATAAATCCCCGGCTCTGAGTGCTCGTTTTTTTTAAGCAAATTGCTGTAACTGCCTGATACTAATGTATGTGAAGAAATGAGCTCTAAAAAGATTGGAGTTTACAGCCACTAATACCGTGCTGAAAAAAACTAGTAAAATGTACCAGCAGTATATAGATAATATGTGCTTGCAAAGGATTGGCGATTTGTTGATTAATTGATATAAGCATATGGGATGTTGATTGCAACTGTGGATGTTAGTTGCCTCATTTCGTATGTGTTACTGCCTTTCAGATTGCCAGATTAGAGGAGCAAAGGACAAAAGCTCTGCGAGGTGTAATTTCTGTCCAGAATTGCTTTCGAGGTTCCAAGGCTCGTCGTCATTTCCATGAGTTGATAGATGGTGCAACAACCCTACAATCATGTAATCCAAATAGCTTTTATATGCTCATAGTTGAGAGTAGGGGATGCATATTCATTGTCTTGCCCTTTCACCTTCAGCTATTATTTTCCCAATAGTAATTTTATAATTGTGCTCTTTCTTGAGAACTTGAAGCTTTTGGAAACCAAGTTAATATGCAATTCTAGGGAGTTGGATAACTAACTAATAACTAGAAAATTCAATGATTGAGATTGCTGTTTCAAATTGCAGTTGTTCGTGGTGAGAATGCGAGAAGGAAATTTGATTCTATGCCAAAGACGTGCAATGTCAATACTCTCCCAGTAGTTAACGAGCAGTTGACTGCCATAATATGTTTGCAATCAGGTGAGACATCACAGTGCTCTTTGCTATTCCTGATGTATTCATTCTCTGTCCTTTTGCTGCATTCGTTGTTCTTATCATCCTCATTTATCTACAGTAATCCGTGGGTGGTTGACACGGAAGCAACTTAATGACAAGTATAAGTTGAGGCAGTCAAGCCAGGATAATACAAACTCAAGAAGAAAGCCAGGGAGAAAAATATCAGAAGTTAAGGTAATTTTTTGTTGAGATAATTTAATCTCTCTCACAAGAATCTTTCCTGAGCTGCAGTAGACACTAGCATAAGTGATCGAACCCATTGAAAGCTTGATTTGTCTTCTTATATACCCTTCAGTGCAGTGAAATTATTGATAGCCTCCACTTTTCTATTTTCCTTGTATATACCAACCTTTTAGCGCAAGGAAAAGCAAAATAGTTTGTTGATTGTGACTTTACCTTTGGATTCGGTGTTTCTGATGTTGCAGGTAATGCCACAAGAGCAGATTGAGGAGCTTCAGAGTACACTATTGGCAGAACTCCAGAAGAGGGTTGTGAAGGCAGAACAGAGTTTGGCACACAGAGATGAGGAAAATGCAGCACTAAGGGAGCAGGTAGAAGAGTATGAGAAAAGATGGTCTGAATACGAGTCAAAGATGAAAACCATGGAAGAGACATGGCAAATGCAAATGACATCATTGCAGGTAACCCTCTGGTTGCTTGTTCAGCAAAATACAATTGGGCTTTCCAATCAATATTAAATGACAGTTAATTATAGTCTCTGCTCTCTGCTGTTGTTTATACTTTATATCATCCAACTATTAGTATTCCCTTTATTTAAATGAAGACTTCTGAGAATTGGATGCTAATGATTCATTCTGCCTTAACTAAAATCACCCTGCAATCTCAAACCCTGTCGTGATTGGTGGGTGACAATGTTAATAGTGGTTCTGTCAAGCATGCATGTAACTAGTGCCCATGTTTTGCAAGAAGTAGAACTAATTGTTTTCCAGCATATTTAAGGCCTAAAATATATCATGTTCAATGCTTATGCAGGCAAGTCTTGCTGCAGCCAGAAAGAGTCTTGCTGCTGATAACCTGACTCTTCAGCAACAATCACCTCGCCACTACTATGACTCAGAGGATTATCCTTCCATTGGCTCTAGGACCCCTGGTGGAAGCACACCAAGAAAGATTCCTAATTCCATGCCGGATCTTCGAGTGGCGAAAGAACAGCCTACTAATGGTGCCAGAGCTCATCCTGTAACCACTTTACTGAGGGAATTCGAGCAGCAGACCCAGAATTTCGAAAGCAACTGTAAAGCCATCGTTGAGGCGGGTTCAGGGAATTCTTCAGGTTCTATCTTAAATCCTGATGAAGCACTTCGAAGACTGAAAAATCAGTTCGAGATATGGACGAAGAACTACAAGGCCAAACTGCGGGAGGCAAAGCAACGACTCCATAAACTTAGCCATGGCGAGAACCATAAGGGCCGTAGGGGTTGGTGGGGCAAAATTGGTGCCAAAATGTTGACAAAATAAACAAAGATGTTCCATGTCCAAGGCGGAAAACATAGAAGAAGAAGAAAGGTGTGCCCTCAAAGATGGCTGCTTGCTCTGCCTCTTTGCATTCTGGATTAAGCAAGCAGCTTGCCATGAATGCTGAGAAGTATGTTTGTAGCATGTGGTTTAAACTGCCTGGTGGTGGTGGTGGTGGAAGGATTCATCATAATCCTGTGAATAGATATAGGTTGTAGTAGACACCCCATCTCCCTTTTTTTCGGAGTTATAAGCCGAGGTTATTCTCTGTATATCCTGTGTGCTAAATTGTAATGTAAAGAAAACATGGTACGGCTCTGAACTCTGTTTCTGAATGAAAGATGAAAAGTTCCCATATTCCGTCTTTGTCATCTTATCATCTTGCCATTTGGAATGCAAATAGAAGAAGGAAAGGAATTGGCAGAAAAGTTGTTTCAATTTACATCAAACCTCCATAGGCAAAGATTACAAACAAAAGGTGTTCAAAGTTCCTTTCCTTCCATTCTACAAGTGGCAGGGGAATCTAGGGCAAATTGGTTTGCTGTATCTTTATGATCCAGGGACAAATTTGGTGGCAAAGACCCAAGCATTGTTGGCAACAGGGTCATCAAGATGGTCCAAGAGATTCTCCAAGGGACCTTTCCCAGTGACAATAGCCTGAACAAAGAAACCAAACATGGAGAACATGGCAAGCCTACCATTCTTGATCTCTTTCACCTTGAGCTCAGCGAAAGTGACCGGATCGTCAGCGAGCCCCAGCGGGTCGAAGTACTGGCCACCAGGGTAAAGCTCATTCCCTTCTCCAACACCAGGCAAGCCATTGATGCGGAATCCTTCCACGAGTCCCATGAGGACGACCTGGAATCCTAGCACAGCAAGGATACTCTGAGCATGGACCAGGTTTGGGTTCCCCAGATAGTCCAGCCCACCTTCTGAGAAGATTTGGGCCCCTGCCTTGAACCAAACTGGCTCCTTGAAGTCCACACTCACCCATTTCTCCAGAACTTCTGGGGTGATGCAGCCCAAGGCTCCCAGCATAGCCCACCTTCCATGGATAACCTGCCAGCCAAGGTAAAAAAAAAACCAAGCAGTAAGTCTCACATTAGTAAACATGATTAGAGCCCTGCTAAGTGATTATTATTTATTAATTACCTCAAGAGCCCTGTTTCTGGCGAAGGCCTCAGGATCAGCAGACAAACCAGCAGTGTCCCAGCCATAATCACCAGGGAATTCCCCAGTTAGATAGGAAGGAGTCTGAGCTGAGAAGGGTCCCAAGTACTTCACTCTGTCTGGTCCATACCACAAATCATTTCCCTGTCAACACAATTTAACAGTTCATCAAAATCACCACAAACTCAATTGAGCTTTGTTCATAAGAGAATTGATACGAAAGAGGAAAGTTTAAAGTACCATGATGTACTTGGCATTGCCCATGGCGACCACATCTCTAAGAGGGTTGGCATTTTGGCCCCTCTGTCCTAGAAATGGAGATGGCTTCAACACGGTATTGGAGGCAGCCATAATCGTGGAAGCAGCCATGGTTCAAACGAGGCTCTTGCTCTAGAAGGCTAGGCTAGGCTATGCTGAGCTCTGTGTTTGCCACCAAGTGAGGTTTCGTTTGAGAGAGAGGGATTTGGAGCTGTGGAATGGAAGTGGGTAGAGACTCTGTTTTATATATGAGAAGGGAAATGGAGAATAAAAGGTGGGGGAAAAACAAGTGGCGGAGAAAGGAGGGGAAGAGAGAGGAGTGTGATGTTGAAGGAGGAAGTAGCCAATGAGGAGGCTGCAAAGGATTTTGAAGTATCTGCCATCTCATCTCCTTCTATCCACATATTTATCTACACTGTCTGTATCAACTATCATACCACTTAGATTAGATTACGGAGATCAAGGGGGAAAGTGGAAACAATTAAGAATATAGGATATTTTCCACTAATATTTATCGGGAACTTTTACTACAAAATATCCACAAGGATAAATTAACCGGTTCGATTCCGACACAATCCGATAAATAAAATAAACTCAAATGATATAAAGTATTTTCATGAAATAGTATTGTTTTTAAACTAATTTTTTTTATTATAATGATTAATTATCGTACCTTTTCACTTATGTAATCTTAATATACTTGCGAAGAATGTTAACGTGTTGGTTAATATAACAAAAAGAAATTATTATCTACAGATTGATACCAAAAATCCAATCAAATATAAGAAAAATTTTAAAATTCTAAACTTGACTTTGTGTCGATCTGCTACCATCCCTGCCACCAATTCAAGTTTCAACTATTGGTTGACTCCCGCGCTTTAAAACCCTCTCATCGAGAGTTCGACTATTGGTCGACTCCCGCGCTTTACTTGACTCCTCTGTTTGACTCTCTTGTAGGGGTGTACATGGGTCGGGTGGTCCGGGTTTAGACATTTTAATCACCCGACCCATGCACTACGGTTTGGGAAATATTAAACCCAAACCCACCCAAAAAATCTAAACCCTACGGTTTGCTTCTAATTGGGTTGGTTCGGGTTGGCGATATTTTTAAGTAAAAACCCAACCCAACACAAAATATGTAATTATTCTACATCATAAAAATATTTTATAACAAATTAAAAATTCAAACGAATAAATCGAGGTGAAAGGTATCAAAATTCACAAATATTGTTTGAATTTTAATAAAACTTGATTTACTTCAACTTATGTCTAGTTTTTTTCACGACATTTGTTGAAATAGGCTAAAAAGGTTACAAATGAACGCATCCATAATATGATATTCTTTTAAAATTGTACACAAGAAAAAAAATTACGTGAATCATAGCTATATTAAATATATGTCTAAACTTTAAGTCGAAGAATGCATTAGATTAGTGAGACATTAAGAGAAAAATATGGCGAAATATCTTAATTTTCTCATAAGTATGACTATATACGACATAAATATTTTTTTTGGATACGAACTCATACAAATAATTGGAACACGGGTTGGGTCGGGTTCTACGGGTTGTGTAATCTAAAATCCAAACCCAACCCAAAAGAGGCGGGTTGTACAAAAGAAAACCCTCACCCAACCCAAAACCTTCGATTTAGCGATAAATACGGGTGGGTTGGGTCGGGTTGGACGAGTGGGTCGGTTTGCGGGTGTGTTTGTTCACCCCTACTTTTGAGAAGAAAAAAAAATTATATCGATGATTATCGACCTTCAAAAAATACTAATTTATATCCATAGTGACATTGGGCCTGGGGGAAGCCCAGTCCTTCACGGCCCAATGAAAATCGACACATCACAGTAGCTTTCTCCCGCTTTTCAAACCTCCAAGTCCAACACTCGCAACGGTCGAATTTGTTAGCACCCGAATGCATCATTTCACGTGAATCAATCTTATCCGCACGATTCAATGGGTCCCGCCGGAACTCATCGAAACCCCACAAATCCAACGGCCCCGGCCTCATCCTAACTAAGACCAAGCAAATCACCCAAAGCATGCGACCAAAATGCCGTCGTTTGGCAGCCGTTTGACCGTCTCCCTTTTCCACCACCCAATTCCTGTACCGGGAATTCCTCCCTAAATAGAAGGAACAGAAAACCGAGGTTAGGAGGAGCCCATCGGCGAAGCGTCCAGAAGAAGAAGAAGAAATGGAGGGAGAAGGATGGACGATCCTGAATTCTGCATCTCCTGTTAGATAAGAGAGACTTTTCTCCCGAGTTCACCAGTTTAGGTTGAAGAATTTTCTGGGATTCAGAAGGAAAGGAAGACGGAAATGGCTTCTAAGAATGCTAAAGATCACTGGGCGTTTCTGGTAATTAATCCCTCCTCGAAACTTCTCATGCGAGCAAGCATTCCATTTGAATCGAATACTTTTTTCCTGTGATGCGTCGCAATTTGATGTCTGTATCCGTAGATGGAAATTTACCGAGCTTTGTTTGTGTTCTGTGTTGTGCAATAGGGCTTCTCTTGGGTCCTGTTCTCGTTTTCTGCTTGAATTAGGGTTAGACGTTTGGACTGTGATATCACTGTTCGCTTGAATCCATAGGTGCTCTCTTGTTGAATCCGGACTTCTGATTCCTACTAGGATTAGTGGTTGTGAAAGTTCAATGACTTCAAATATTGATTGTGCCTTCGTGGAATTTTTTACAGTCAAGCGCTTGTTTGCTTGCTAGTACTGGGAGCTGATTGTTCATTGCTGTAAAATCACTGATGGTGTTGGCATTGCTTAATGATATGTGTAGGAGGAGATTGAAGCTCCAATGTGGGTAGATCTTGCTCAAGAAGCTGATTATAGGGACAGGTGATCTTCAGTGTGATTTTTTCACACTCGAGTTTTCCAGATTCTCTGGTTGTTTGGAGTATTGGTGAGAGTGGTTCCAATTTCTGCTACTAACATGCCTCACTTTTGTTTTTCTGGGGACCATACTGCAGTGATGACCAATGGTTTCAAATCAGCCATCAGTGAGTATCTTCTTAGCTTGACTCCTTTGTTTATCTCGGCTTGCGAACTGAACTCTTTCTAATCCTAGATATCTACGGGACTGCCTCGTTACGTAATATGATGCACAGGTTTCACCAGCTGTCTTCTAAACAGTTGAAAGCAGCATTTAGACATTGCAGCAATGAAGAGTATGGCTTAGTAGGACAGTCTTCACCACAGCTTCCCTCCTCGGTATCACGATCAAGGGGCAAACACCTTTCCGGAAAGAAATTTCAGAAGGGTAGTCATGACCTCGTAATGAACAAGCAACATCCAGTAAAAGCTTTAAGAGGGAAGTCTTCATTAGTGAAATCAGTTTTGGATGATGTGAGAAAGCCCAAAAGAAGTGTTGTAAAGTCTGGAGGAACTTCAAATTCGCTAGTGAATTCGGCTTCGGAGAGTGCTTCAACTGGTTGCATCAAGGAAGACAATACACTTCCTCTGGGTAATGGTCAGCATTCAAAAGATGGCTCAAGTTCTGGGGATAGAGCTGGTGAATCCAATACGAGTACCCTTACATCTGAGACTTTTCAGCAACCACACAGAAGGCACCACGAGTCATTTAGTCAAGCATTAGGTAACAAAAGCAGTATTTTAGCTGAAGTAAGGATCAGCCTTCGGAAGAGTTGTGTTAGAAGACAAGCAGCAAGGGTCGAAACGAACAATGGTTCAATACACACTACTAATCGTTGGTCGTTATCCAACAAGTCTGGTGTGGGGTCTTCTTTGAATCCTAGTTCCAATCTTAACAGTGAAAAAAGTCGTAGGCCTTCATCCGGAAAGTCTAGTTGGGGATCTTCTTCTAACTCTTCTAGTGGTGTTATTGGCAACAGAGTTCGTAAGTCTTCGTCAGCCAAGTCTAGTGTGGGGTCTTCTTCCGTTAACCCTGGTGGTGATGTTAAGGATAATGACAGTGAAGTCTGCAAGTCTTCATCAGACAAGTCTACTGTGGGATCATCTTCAAACCCTTGTACTTACGATCAGAGTAAACCAAAGCGCAGGTCTTCATCTGGCATGTCTAGTACAGAATCTTCTTCAAAACCTTGTCCTTATGTTAAGAGTAAACCAAATCTTAGGCCTTTATCTAGCAAGCCTAGTATATCATCATCTTCAAACCCTGGTGGTGATGTTAAGTGTTCTGGTATACCACTCGTGCGGGGCAAAGAATGGACTTCAGATAGCAGAAATGTGGCAAGTAACGGCATGGCAGCCATAAAAAAAGTACAAGGTTCTAGAATTTTGAGGGATTCTTCTAACATTCAGCTGAAGGATGGGCCTGGCAATACTAGATTTGTAAACAAAGTTAATCTAGCAAAGTCTTCAGCATACCCACCACATACCAATCGCAAGGTTTGTGACTGACATGCAACATTATGCATCATTATGGGATCTGTTTCTGAGTGCTAACAGACTCCTTGCTGATTGGTGCTTGGATTCAAATTGTTGCTTCAATTCTATCAGCCTATCGACCAATTGGAGGTTATGTAATCATGCAGGCTCTTATTCAAACTGCACCTATGGAATCTCGGCAACTGCATCGAGTTAATGGAAAGGGCTTGTTAATTGGTGCTGCAGCAACACACCAGAAGCTTGGCATAGCTGGGGCAAATAGGCTGGTAGGCACTGGAAAAGAGAACGACAAAGCAAGAACCTGCAGAAAGCCGAAAGGCAGCGTTGTTGAATGTGGAGTTTTAATGACCGGCCAGTCAAAGAAACCACTCAACACAACAAGAAAAGGAGACATAACAAGCTTGGATAATCCGAAGGTATGATGTTTTGTATATCAGTAGATGCAAATAAGGCTCGATTGTTCCCTGATGACTTGATTGGATTTGATCTCCATGTATAGTGAGAATTGCAAGAACTTCATCTGGTCCCCATACTGCACATAACAGAAAGTAGTTCTTTGTTCATGTGTTCTACAGTAGATGTAGGAAGTCTAAAATTTGTTATCTTAGCAACTACAAGGAAATTACTCATGTTGAAGATATCCAAAAATTAAGTAGACTGCTCTACAGAACATTCGGAGCCTCCAACTTCCTGTTGCTCTGTTTCTTGTCTCACAATGATGTAGGCTGTAGCTGTCTACAGTACTGACTTGTTCAGTTCTTTCATTCCTTTTCCTGAAACCATTTATTTATTTACCTGTCGTGCGGTTTTTATCAGGGAAAACCTTGCAATCATCCAGTCACGGGGAAACAACGTCCAGTTGCTACAACTCAGAGGCTCCACTTTCGGTGAAACGGGTCGAGGAACTGTGCTAGAACTAACTAGCTTGTATATACACTACTCAATGTCGAATTTCTTCTAGGATTTCAGTAGTCTTTTTCCCTCCTGCACTTCATGGCTTAAGAAAAGGGTAGAAGAGTAGTTAACTGGGGAGATAACTGAGGATGAAGAGGTAGTAGTAGATAACTGGGGAGGTTGAACAGGCAGACGTCGGGAAATTTTTGGGTCCTGGGCTGGCTACTTATATTCGTTCATTGTGCCCTCTCTTTCTGTGCAAGTATTCTACTTAGAGAAACTCTATGCAACTCTAATGAAGTTCCAAAGAGTCAGAGGTGAAGACTGGTTTCCACCTTTCTGTCTAAGCTCTATCAAAGAGAGCTCATGTCCTCTGTACAGAGCTTTCTAATAAAATAAATTCACAAGCACGTTCGCAAATTATGATTTGCAGATTTACGCCAAAGCTCGACGTATGATATATCGAAGTTGTATTTCTGATATATGTTCATCGTTGATTTGCATCTAGGTTTATGTTAATTAACACTGCTTGGTGGAGACAAAATTTTGAGCATCATTTGTTTGGTTTCTGCCGGATACAACATTACTAGCATTAGCAAATGTGGGGCATCCTTGGTTTTTACCGTTGCTGGAATTCGAGCTTAACGCTTAATAAAATCTGCTAACATTCGATTCCCACAGCCAGAATTTGCAACAGGAGTTCCTTCGTGCTTCTCGGATTTCACCTTCTTAAAGCGCCATAATTCCTCGTTACCTGCAAAGCAACCAGCCCAACGTGTATCATCTTAGTAACTTTTCCATTTTGCCAGAACTATGAATATCAGCAGATTGATTGTCCCTGTCAGACGACTAGTAAATTCTTAGACAAGAAGGCATGGAGAGCATGACTAACCCTTGTTTGGGACTTGTTCAATAGCTTAGCCCTGTCACCTTCATCATCATCGTCATCATCATCTTTGCTCATTAGCATTCTCTTGATCCCTGCAGGGCTGTCTGCTTTCCTTCCACGTTTTGATGTTGCAGTCCCTCTACCCCTTCCCCTTGGTGCTGCTGCTCTTTTACGCCCTTTGCCTCTAACCGGTTCATCATCGTCCTTTGCAGACAAAAATAAGTCAGCACAAAATGATACAACGATTCCAAGAGAATTGGCTCAACCGCAAGATACCTAGTACTGAAGTATGAA